CGGGGACAAATCAACGTACTTGCGAGCCCAGGGATCCCGCTTAGCGTAGACGGAAGACGGGGAGGCGGCGGCCTTGAACTGGCCGACATCAAAGCCGGTAGGGTTGCGGGCAGGCATTGTGACAGGAGACAAAGAGAACACGGAAAGAGAGCGAAGGCGAGGGCAATCGAAACGAGACAGAGGTCGAAAGACGTGAAGCCGGAGCGGTGCGCTTGGCAGAATAGTACCCACGCTAAACCCGATACGGCGAGCAGTTAGCTTTCCCGCCTTCGCGGATGAAACTGACGCCAACAACCAGCGCCAACCCGACAAGTTCACTTTCCACAATGCCACCTCCTGTAGGCAGATACGGGCCTTCGGGTCTCGGTGCTCCCTACACTTTGCAACAAACTCACCTTCAATCCCAACACCCCCACGCACAATCCGCCAACACCGCTCTACCTCCCCCTTCACTTGGTGGCCACCCTGGTTTCGCTGGAAACCCCAACACCAACATCAATCCTTTCCTATCCACTGCTGGTGTCACGAACGGTATGTCGATCGGTGGATTCGGCGGCGCGGCTGCAGATGGTGGTGGAACAGGACTTGCGAGCCATGCGGCGCAGATGGGCTTTGCGCGAGGAGCACAAATACAACAGCAGCAACTACACCAAGGACCCCTCGATTCAAAAGCTGGTGCTGCTAAGACCCGGATTCGTGATGTTTGGAAACATAACCTGGCACATGAGTTGGCTGTGTTGAGATCGTTGGTTGACAAATACCCGTACATCAGTATGGTAAGTGGGCGGGGTTAAATATCTACGAAATGAATGACACATTCACGTCGAGTTGATATTATCTTCACTCTAAACTAGTGATACTGACTAGTCCAAGGATACCGAGTTCCCAGGAATTGTCGCTCGACCGATCGGCTCGTTCACGAATAAAGCCGACTATCACTACCAGACCCTCCGATGCAATGTCGACCTCCTTAAGATGATTCAGCTGGGAATCACTTTGTTCAACGCCGACGGAGAAGTTCCCCCGGCCACCGCCACGGAAGTTAATGGACAACCGTACGGCAATGCGATGGCACCAGCTCCTTGTACGTGGCAGTTCAACTTCCGGTTCTCGTTGGAAGGGGATATGTATGCGCAGGAGTCCACAGCCATGCTTGCCAAGTCTGGAGTTGATTTTGCTATGCACGATAAGAATGGAATTGATCCCTTTGAGTTTGGATCACTGCTGATCAGCTCTGGTCTTGTGCTGCTGGATGACGTTCACTGGGTTTCTTTCCATTCTGGTTACGACTTTGGCTACCTCATGAAGATCATGCTCTGCTCGCAATTGCCTGAGAACGAGGAGGAGTTCCACAAGCTTCTGACTATCTTCTTCCCATCGCTCTATGACATTAAGTATCTCATGAAGCATGCAAGCCGCAACCAGGCTGTCAATGACTCGCCCCTCACCCCGGCCGCTGCACAGATTCTCTCCAACTTGGGTCAAAAATCCGGCTTGGGGGATGTCGCGGAGGAGCTTGGTGTCAAGCGTATCGGTATTGCCCACCAAGCTGGATCCGATTCATTGGTGACAGGCGAAATCTACTGGAAGATGCGCCAATTGATTTTTGGCGGCTCAATTGACGAGAGCAAGTACTCCGGCCAGATCTGGGGTCTCAACGGCCAAATGCCGGCAATGTCGTACCACATGGCTCAACAAACACCTAACCTGAACGGAGCCACCATCTACTCCGCAGTCGGCACACCCGGTACTCCTAACACCGGTATGGGCACCGGCGCTCACACTCCTCACGGCTACGGCACACCAGGCGGATACCAAACCAGCAAGGCATGAGACGTGTGAAGGAGACCGCAAGAGTATGATACGATATGATGCATGTACATATGCGCGAGGGCTCTCGTGCTGGATTTCTCGTTCGCCATTGTCTTCCTATCGCTTTGCATGAGTTTGCGTAACCGCGTGGCTCTCTTCGTCTGAGGTGTTGGGGGGGGGGGGCAGTGGGAGGTGTACGGTGTTCTTTATGATTTTGGCTGGTATTTGAATTCATCTCGCGAGGCGTTCGGGCTCAACGGCCTTTTTGCCTTTCTGCTTTGGTCGCGTTCTATACTTAGAGGTAGACGGGCTCAGGGGGTTTCTCTTATGTACAGCGAACTTTCGATTTTGATCATTCCTACACGCCTAAGGTGTAAACTTGTATCTTCAAATAATCTACCATCTACCATTAGTTATTCATAGTGACAAGTAAGTGGTTACCTGATTGAGAAGCGATATGCGAAGTACCCAAGCCGTGACACACTCCATGAATAAACGTAACGAGTTCTGGGGAATGCGAGAGGCGCAAGTATCCAGTTACCTGTTTGGGATTGCCCTAAACCCGAACAGGAAAAGGGATCCGGCCTCCGCAATCCACGTTATCGGAGTTATCTAATCGACTCCATCGCGATAGCTGGGTGCTTCATGAGGGGTCCTACATCACAATTGATTTAAATATCCCTGTGCAGCCCTGTCTTGCATTCTTTAAGCTCGAGGCTGTTCCCGTGGTTACTTCAACGGCTCCTATATACCCAGGGCCCTCCTCTATACATCCACCGTTCAATCGATGCTTCAATAAGAACCACCAAGATACATCGGAATGGTTCTCGACCGACTCCAGCAGCTGGCCCATCAGGTCACCGCGACGGCAGCGCCGCCGCATCCTTTTGACCCTCTCTCAGCTGCAGAGATTGACGCCGCTGTCGCGCTCGTTCGCAAGGAACATGGCTCGCTCAACTTCAATGCGGTCACTCTATATGAGCCACGCAAGACCGAGATGCTGGCTTGGCTAGCGAATCCGGAGAAGGTGCCTCGTCCTGCTCGTGCTGCTGATGTTGTTGTCATCGCGCCGGGGGGAAAGGTATATGACGGTGTTGTGAACTTGGACCAGAAGAAGATCGTCGAGTGGAATCACACTCCCAATGTGCAGCCGCTTATCACAATGGAGGATTTGCAAGAAGTGGAACATATCGTGCGCAAGGACCCCAAGGTTATTGAGCAGTGTGGGATTGTTGGAATCCCGCCGGAAGATATGCACAAGGTGTACTGTGATCGTGAGTAAACGAAAATGGGATTCGGATCAATATCACCCTTGCTAACTTATCTCAGCGTGGACAATCGGCTATGATGAGCGTTTCGGCACTGGAGTCCGGCTGCAGCAAGCCCTCATGTACTATCGACCTCACGTTGACGACTCCCAATATACCTTCCCGCTGGACTTCTGTCCCATCTACAACGCAGAGACCAAGCAGATCATTCACATCGATGTGCCACCAGTACGGAGACAAGTCAACAAGGCCTCACCGAACAACTATCATGTCGCTGCTATCGAGAAGGAAGGCGGCTACCGCACCGATATTAAGCCTATCCACATTACGCAACCCGAAGGGGTCTCTTTCCAGATCAAGGGCCGCGAAATCGAATGGCAGAACTGGAACATTCACGTTGGTTTCAACTACCGTGAGGGTATTGTCTTGAACAACATTAGCTTCAATGACAAGGGCAATGTTCGACCCATCTTCTACCGACTTTCCCTCGCGGAGATGGTTGTTCCCTACGGAAACCCTGAGCACCCTCATCAGCGCAAGCATGCCTTTGATTTGGGCGAGTACGGTGGTGGATATATGACCAACAGTCTATCCCTTGGCTGTGACTGCAAAGGTGCTATTCACTATATGGACGCAGACTTTGTCAACCGTGCCGGAGCATCCACCACTATCAAGAACGCAATCTGCATTCACGAGGAGGATGCTGGCATCCTCTTCAAACACACCGACTTCCGCGATGATTCTGTCGTCGTCACTCGAGGCCGAAAGCTGATTGTCTCGCACATCTTTACTGCTGCAAACTACGAGTACTGCGTGTACTGGATCTTCCATCAAGACGGAACCGTCCAGCTAGAGGTCAAGCTGACCGGCATCTTGAACACCTACGCCATGAACCCAGGTGAGGACACCAAGGGCTGGGGCACTGAGGTCTACCCAGGCGTCAACGCACACAACCATCAGCACCTGTTCTGTCTGCGTGTTGATCCTAATATCGACGGCTCAGACAATACAGTCTTCCAAGTCGACGCGGTCCAAGGCCCCGGAGAAGTCGGCAGCACTGAGAACAAATACGGCAACGCTTTCTACGCCAAGAAGACCAAGTTCACAACTCCACTCGAAGCAATGTCCGATTATGACGGATCAACAAGCCGCACCTGGGAAATGTCAAACACCAACAAACTGAACCCATACAGCAAGAAACCTGTCTGCTACAAGCTTGTCAGCCGTGAGGTCCCACCCCTCCTCCCCAAAGAAGGCGGTCTCGTCTGGAAGCGCGCTGGCTTCGCCCGCCACGCAGTGCACGTCACAAAGTACTCTGACGAAGAAATCCACCCCGCTGGCCGCCATGTCCCCCAGACATCTGGTGAGCCCTCGGCTGGTCTCCCTCAGTGGATTGAAGCCGCTGGGCCGAATTGCTCGATTGATAACACTGATGTCGTCTTATGGCATACTTTTGGCTTGACGCATTTCCCTGCGCCGGAGGATTACCCTATTATGCCTGCCGAGCCAATGACTTTATTGTTAAGGCCTCGTAACTTCTTTGATCGGAACCCTGCGCTTGATGTGCCGCCGAGTTATTCTCGTACGCCTTCGCAGATCGCGGCTGGGTCGAGTGCTTGTGCTTGTAAGAAGAGTGATGGGTCGAGCGTGCTTGTTTGAAGGCTGCATGAAGAAGGCTTCAGAATTCAAATTTCCAAGATTGATATGTATGAGCATTTCACTTCATTTAATCAAGCAATTATTTTCGAATGCAATTCTTATAGATTTTCCCTTGTCCTCCCCGTATTGTTGTATCTATCTAGAGCAAATAGTAGATCCTAATTTCTGCAGTACTCAATCCCAATTGCTGTCTTCAATCTCTATATAAACCCGGGCACCATATGTACGCATTCAAAATATCATCTCACGGGCAGAGCTTATTTAGCCTTTGCACATCTCAATCATGATATCACCTTGTGGCGGAACACTGGTGATATTGAATGGATCCAAAATCTCATACTTACAACCGTCAAGCTCAACTTTTGAATGCTTGAGCAAGGCAAAGATCCAGCATTTGAGTTCTGTTCCTCAATTAGCAACAACACGAGGTAGAAGATAAGAAAGTTTTTTATACCCATTACAGCAAGAATGCGCCCCGGGCAAGCCCATCTCCCGAGCCCAAAGGCGAGGTATCCAGAACCAGTCATGGCAGCTGTCTTTCCGGATCCAATCCATCGCTCTCCATTGAAATTTTCTGGGTCGGTGACGAACTCTGGGGATCGATATGACAAGTGGGTGACTGGGAATATGAGGGATCCTGTTGATAAATAACTCATTAGCTGACATGTATATATGCATAACTCAAAGACGGGATAATGTGTCGACCTTTGGGAATGATATAACCACCAATCTCGATGTCACGAATCGGCGCCCGCACAAGATTGACGATGTCACCTTTCATTCGAAGAACCTCACGGATGAAAGAGTCAGTCCTGACTGCATCATGCATTGTTTGTACGTCCACAACAGGATTTGTACAACTCATTCCCCGGGATCTTAGAATAGAAGAGACTTCTTCACGGAGATCATCTTGACAGTCTGGACGCATTCCAAGGTAGAAGGTGACCCAAATCATTATCGTTGCTCTGATATAATTAGTTTCAGTAATGAAGTCTCGGGGTGGGGAAACAAACGTTTGGTGTAAACTGGCGAACAAAAAGGTCAGGATCAAGACCATAATCCACATTCTCGTGCGAAGTGATAGCTGGCCGTCTGGTGAGGCGTAGGCTTGAACGAGGTATCCAATAAGGCTATCATCCTAATCCTCACGTCAGGATTACTACTTTAATGACAAAACCCGGTTCTTACTATACCTTCTTTCCCGGAGACTTTGAAATTTCGGAAATATCCGTCCACAGCGTTCGTGTGAATGTGAACCCAATATGAAGCGGAATCCGGAATAGAATAATCTTGACCCATGTCAGAGGCTTCCATAGCCAAGGCGCTTTGCGCCCCAGGAAGGACATATTTTGGTAGATTCCCAAGAGCTCGGCAATGTCTTCAGCCAGATCCACAACCGACTTCACATTTTTGGGGTTGCCGTATTTCTAGTTAGAGATAAGCTATAATCCTCTCAGATTATGGAATAACTGACCTGTCCAAAAAAAATACAAATAGTCGCCTCTGCCATGATAGCTTGTACCTGGTGTTGAAGCTCGACGGGCCTTCCAGGCTGGGAATTTTCGACCATTCCACACACTCCTTTCTCGAAAATAGGCCAAACTGGGACTTTTAGTATGCTTGAAAGGGTTCGAGCAGGATAGGTGTAGTCTGACTCACTTTCCGGCACAACTTTCTGCACTTGTTGAGCGACGAAGCCTCGTGCGTAGGTATCCATATCATGGAAGAATGTCCCATCGTGGAGATCATTGACCCATGTAAGTCCGAAGAACTTGATAACGTTAACCTCGATTCTTTCTCTCAGGAAAGATACCCCACCTTCGCCATCCCGCTCTCAAAGCTAAAATAGCTTTCATCCGTAAGAATGCGCGGTGTGAATTCATTGGATGTTAAGAAAAGTCTCTTTTTCCAGTCAGCACTGTTATTCATTGTGACTCGTATGACATACATGACCATTGCGTTGAATCTGAATGACTGGTCCATGTTGCTTTAATGCCCTTGCAATACACTCTAATGGGGTGTGTTGAAGTTCGTATTCCTGGCGCATGTTAAAATTGTGTCAAAGTTTTACCTCCCGTTAACGTCGCATTAATTTACCGTAAGAGGAACGAAAGGAGGAAGAGCCGCCTTGGGAACCTGTGGTCATAACTTGTTATCATTCCAAGCCTTTTGGCTATCCAATTTGGCGCATGTACCTTGGAATTATGCAGAATTTTCCAAAAGAGTGAAACTGCGGCAAGCAGAATACAGCCAATGATAATAGGCCCGTGGGTGACAAGCATATTGAAGCGGGCGTTGATTGGAGCAGGCTTGCAAAATACTTCACTGAGGAAGCAGGGGCATTCTGAAGTAAATATAGGCGCTTTGATTTATTTTCTCAAGTCTGAAGCCTGTGGACCCGTGATTGGAAGAACTTGTCGTGAGTACCGTACGGATCACTACCCGAGATCATTATGATCCACTCTTTGATGGAAAACCCTTACGTGAGACCTGACGGCAACTATTCACATGGCCATTAAGTTCCATGTAACACAGAGGCAGTATCTACCTCCTTTGGGACAAGCATGGGTTGCGTGGGCACTATATTATGATTATCATTGGCCGCTCATAACGACCCTCGCGGCAGCATCGGAACTTGTGAACTAGCGGGGCACGCAAGAGGCTCTGGTATCAGATCTATGGGATGCATACGATCGTACTTTAGCTGGAGCCCCGTGCGGCCTATTCGGCCTTGGCCCAAGTGAGACGGCTGGTAACGTGGTTCTTCCTTTCAAGACCTAACATTATGGACAGGGACTCGTTGAGCTAGAGAAAATACATTTCGTATTTCCTCGGAGCTATGTCCGAGTTGTTCAACCAAAAGAGTGATCGATCTACGGATCAAAGCCCTTCGAGATCTGATTTTTCCCGTTCATGCGCCAATGTGCGAGTCAAGCCTATGTGGGAAGGACTTCCAATCAAGGGATATGTATGGACGCCACTTGCAACCATCTCGATTCCACGTGAACCACACTTCGCGTCGGTGACGGCACGCTTTTCCATCCCGCGACGTGCGCCATTCGTCCGAATACCTTTTTGCCAACGTCCAAAATAGGCTAGTGATTCTCATTTTCACTTTCTCGTGTCTTAGGATTAGCGTCATATGAACACAATAACGCGCACGCTTCAAGGCTGTGGTTTCTCGCCGCTTATGCCGAGGCATTTCGAGGAGAGAGGAATGTTCAGGGTCGATTGAGCATCGAGGTGAGGTCATGAAGCCCACCAGAAGTTTAACACCGTTTATTTACCCCGCCACTGCGCCAAGACGTAAGGGACTAACTTTCCACTTTCCTTCGTCATTCCACTTTCGGGATTTGCTCTGCTCTCTGGTAACAGCTTCATCAAATCACTACTTCGAAGGTTGGTTGGCCCTAGTGAAAAGCGATAGGGCTTTTCTTCGATTCCAACTTCGGGATTTGCATTCAGCACCAGTTAGCACCCAAAATCACCCAAAATACATCAATCTACTCCTTATATGCCATTGTTTGAATCTGTTTCCAGGCCCAGATCCAACCTAGCTGAAACAAGCAAGGGGCATGGGATGGGTTTTGACGCGTGGGGTAGAAGCAGCGGAAGCTCACATCCGCGCAATCAGCCATGCAGTCAACGGATAGCCCGACAATTCTCCGATAATATTTCATGCATGTCTGTCTAATATAGCGGTGAGCAATTAGTCGTTTTCTAAGTCGCTATTTGAAGCATGCCCTAGTGCTTGTTTCGCCATGTCCGCGGTGGATGTGACCGGGGCCCCAGGAGATCCAGGGTCAGACCCTAGGCCGATGGCTTCTTGTCTCTTATCCATTTTGACGTTATATTCAACTAGGTTTTCAGAATGTACCTGTCCCTGACCCTTCCGATCCATGTGTGTCACGAGTCTTTTGTGATTTGATATCGACGAAGACTAGATTGCATGATAGTCACAACATATATTGACAGGGCTTGAAATAAATTTAGACTATTAATGGAGTATGTCTGTTATTCTTCAACGCCATGCAGGAAGCCTCCGGGTCGCCGTGGGACAAGGGTTTGCTCCTGTGTCGTAGTTTCTGAAGTCCGGGTCGTCAATTTTGTTCTTTTTCTTTGTTTCCAGGTCCATCCAAACGTAAGCCAAGAGCTCCAATGTGCCAGAGTATCTACTGATTGCAGAAAGAACTGCAAATGCTACCGTCACTCCTCTACTAAATCCTCTAGGCCTTGACTAGTATGACATGGTGGCAGGCGAAGGTAAGAATGAAATATAACCGCAAAAGTTGTCGCGACTAGATGTGTATGGTGTAGGCAAAACGAGCAACGAGTTGATGAAGAAGAGATGAAGACAATGCGCGTGTTAATTTGGCATGAATCTACAACTAGGACATTTGAGGGATTGAAGGTTGGGAACTCGATATATTTGAGATGGTTTCCTAAGACAACTTTGGGAGTAGCTAGGTGGAACTCAACGGTGATCCACCAGTAAATCAGAAGGTCTTGGCGGCTACCGAAGCTTCCGTTTTTAGACGTGAGTGCTCAGAATAGGTCTAGTATCAAACTCACTATTCCTAGTGTGGCTTTAGAGATCCCTTTGCATGAGCTCACGCCTTCCTCGGATTGTTCTCATTTTCCAAGTGGGCAGCACTGATAATCAAGTCCTGAGGTCATCATCAGAAGCCTAATGTTTAGTTTTTGTCTCAGCCCCTCTTGATTTTTAGTTGCGCCGATTCACTTTGGGCCACCCAGTCTTCCGTATCGTTTACCCTCTGCACTTCTACTTCCAGGACATCCTTCATCAGTCTTTCCCCACTTCTCGGATTAGGCGTAGATACATAGCAGAAGATCGTACTCGCCTTCAGCAACAAGTCTCTCGCGACCTTGAAAATCATAGAAACGATCAGATGTAAAACAGAGAGAGAGAGAGAGAGAGAGAGGAGAAAAAGGAAAGAAAAAGAAAAGTAAAAGAAAGGAAGAAATCCCCCAAGCCCAGGATTTGAACCTGGATTCTCCCGGGTCCCGATCACGGGCCTATACCGTAGTACGCCAATACCTTGGTATCTCCAGGGGTGTTGCCATTACACCAGCTTGGGTTCTCAAAAATGAAAGCCAAGGGAAGTCGATGATATGCCTACTTTTCACTTTTTTAATGTTCCTATTGCGAGTGTCATTTGCTGTTGATCTGCGTATAGTGATGCCATTCCCATGTGTTCTTGGGATGGCTATAGTATCGGGACTAGACGATGATAGCAACTTTCTGATCGTACATTCTTATTGCTGTGTATCTATATTTTTCACGTATTATCCAGGCTTGAAATGATCCCATATGCAAATAATGCCAAAACCTGGTATCTTATTCACGACCTGGGTAGGGGCCTCCAGTTGTCCAGCCGGATTCTCTAGTCCAATTGAAGTCTTGTACTAGGTAGCTTCGGGGACTACCATGGACGCGACTTCTTAAACAGGTTTAGCAATACACGTACGTATTGAATCTAAGATTATGTCAGCCAGAATTTGTCGAGACTCTTGTCATATTATGTGCATGTGTAATTGTTCAAGAAAAAAAAAATCCAGATACCGACGTCGGAGCGTATGCGTTTCCGCGCTAAGATATATAATCCCAAGCCCTGAAGAACAGTGATCTGGACCCATTTAGCCGCCAGTCTGCCCAATTGAATCACACAGACCATCCCCACCGCGCGCCACATCAAAATTTTTACATTTTGCTCCATAGAGGCAAACATCCACCAACAATCATCCAATAATCCGATATGGTGTAGTGGCTAACATCGCCGTCTCTCACACGGCAGCCGGGGGTTCGATTCCCCCTATCGGAGCATCATTCACCAATCCGATATGGTGTAGTGGCTAACATCGCCGTCTCTCACACGGCAGCCGGGGGTTCGATTCCCCCTATCGGAGTCGAATGATTCATTTTTTGCTCTTTTCATGTTTGGTTTGGGTATGGGAATGCCTAGGGAATTTGGAATCGTTACTTTTTGGTGGGTTGTGGGGACTTGTGGTGGTTGGATGGCAATGTGGATATAGTGAGCCAAAGAAGTATGGGAGGAAAAGAACTGCCAGCGGGCGAGTGAAACAAAGCTACAAAGCTACTAAAAGTGGTTTACACCTGCATGATTGTATTGGCCGTCTTTGTGATAGAAAATGTATCTCTAGCACGAAGAAGTGGTGTATATTGACTTCTATCAACCAAGTGGTTTTATTGATGGTAAGATCAATTGTGTTGGCAATAAGAAGTAAAAACAAATAGTTAAGCAAGCCGCAAAAGAAGTGCACCAAGAAAAGGGTTGATTCTGAAATCTATAAATCAATTCCCCATGATGATAAAATCAAATCAAAGAACCAATATAATTCGCCCACATAACGCCATAAACAATAAGAGGGAATCGTCAAGTCTGGCAACCCAGCACACATGCAGAAACCAACAAAAATCACACAATGACCCTGAGCACAACCCTAAGCCCGCTTCAAAGCAGCCTCGACATCATCCAAAAGCGCCACAAGCTCCTTCCCTCCCTCACTAACCCTGCCCTCAATCTCCAACCCCTTAAGCACAAACGACTTGGCCTCTCCATACCGACTCATTTCAGCAAGACACTTACCAACGCGCCACCACGCCTTGACATTCCCGACAGGCTTTGAATCAACACTCGACTTCGCATCAATGAATCCCTCCGGCCACGCCTGCATCGCCATGTGTGCCTGCGCACGGTTTCCAAAGAGACCAGCCAATTCCTCCCGGGCGAGGGTAACGGGCTCCCAACCAGGTCGCGAGAGAGCCATATCAATGGCATAAGTGTACAGGCGTACGGCTTCGACGTGGTTACCCTTGCGGTAGGTTGCGTTGGCGCTGTCGCGGAGTTTGGTGATTTGGGCGCTGCGCTTTGGGTTGACGGGGAGAGGGGGCGGAGGGATGCCTGCGGGTCCTTCTATGGAGAGGAAAGAGCGGTGCAGGTCATTTAGTTCTTGGAGCTCGGCATTGATGGCGGTTATTTGGGTGGGTGTATAGGCGGATGATTGGGGGAGGGAGATGGATTTGGTTTGCGGGTCGATGTGGAGGGGGTATTGGTTGAAGATGTCGATTTCACTCATGATTGCGGTGGGTGGACTTTGGTGTCCGGGGCGTTTCGTGGTGGGAGATTGCTTGGAGGTGTTAGTTTGTTGCGGACTCGTGTAGAAGGCCGAGGTTGGGAGCGGCGAATGGTTGTCTTTAAACGGGGAGGGACTAGTGCATACCGATGGAATAAAATAATTCGGAAGAAGAATTCCCTGAAAGCAAACTTCACTTGATCGGTAGGGGTATCTGTCAAAGTGGAAGTGGACTGTCATGCGGCGAGAGAGCAAGCTGTCCAGAACTACGCCGACACGGAAGGCGGTGGCAGAACAATTAGATCCAGGCACAGAGCTACAAGTTACAAGTACACGAATACAAAACAGAAACCGGGGTATCAATGATATGAGTTATTCAAAGTCTATTTGCCTACATTCAAGTCCAAAGTACAGTTGTCGTGACAGGAGCCCCATGAACAGTAACCCAGACATGATCCCCAAGAGGGGAAAAAAAAGAAAAAAAAAAAACAAACTATGCGCCTGCCAACACCGCTCCGTGGTCATGTCCAGGACACCACAAAGCAGGGTGACCCGGTTGTTTTAGGGTATTCGTAGCCGGCATCAAGCCTCCACAGTCCTTCTAAGGCTTCCATCATACACATTCAACCCTCTATACTCGTCCATACCCGCTCATTGTGGATGAGTTATAGTCCGGATGGGCGGATCCGTAATCGGACGGGGTATATGGGACGTTGTGCTGGCCGTGTGCACCGCCGTAGCCTGTGCTATTGAAGTCGTGAAGAACGCCCCCGGGCGCAGGGGCTGTGGGGTCATAGGCACCGTGCATCGCCGACCGGTTGCCTAGGTCATCCACCTCGCTCTGTTGCAACAGAGCGTAATCCTCATCTTGGTCACCACGGGAGGAGGCGGCACCCATACCGGCCCGGCCGGAACGGAAGTCATCCTCGTCCTCCTCGAAGTCGTGGGCTGGGTTCGAATTGAAGGCGGCCTTGGACTGGGCGGCAAAGGTCGGGTCAGACACGGCGTCGGGGAGGGTGCCGGTGCGGCGGAAGTGCATCACGTTGCGGAAGGACATCCATGCTGTGATGGCGAAGAGAAGGCTACGGTTGTTTTAATGTCAAAAAAGCTGCTATGCCGTCAGGTTAAAGGGACCACGTACAAGATAACAACCCCGATAATGGTCGTCGCCGTGCTGATGTTGCACTTGGCTTCATTACCGTACGCCCAATTGGCACAGCCAGAGCCACTGCTGGAGGTTGTGGCGCTCTTGGAGCTCGTGGTGGTGGTGGTAGCGCGTTTGCTCGAGGTCGTGGAACTCGAGGAGCTGGAGTCCTTGTCGCTGCTGGAAGACTTTCCGATGGACTTTCCTTGAGCAACATATGAAGCGAGACACACCCATGCCGCGAACCAGAAAACAGCATAGATAGCATCGACCGTAGCGAAGGCGTAGACGTTTCCGAAACGACGGGCACGAGGCCACATGGGCACGGCAGCTAGATAAATCAAGGCGGGCATACTGACCCAGCACTGGGGAGGTTATGTTAGCTGCAAGGTTCCCCCAGATCTAGAATCCCACAAGTCCACGAGGGCACTCACCAGGATCCAGTAATAGACGGTGCGGCCATCGATGCCATCACCCTTTGTCCAAATCGCGATCGTCAATGCCCAGGCAAGGAAGATGATAAACGCCTGGGCGAAATGGATGAGGTTCTTTGTCCGCCCCAGGTTTCCACCCGATAGTCGTGGGATTTGCAGTGCCATACTGGGAGATGAGGACTGCAAGGGTGTTTCAACCCTTCAGGATATCACCCGAAAAGGGGGCAGGATTGTCGCAGGATCACGAGGGAGAGGAGAAAAAGAGCTTGAGACTCGGTCGGACACACTCAGGAATGCGCAGATATGTGACAGGAGAAAGCCGGGGACTGGGAGACTTTGCGATCGAGGGACGCGTAGGCTGTGCGAGCGTTTCTTGGCTGCGTTGTCAGTCTCGTAAGTGCAGTGCCTCAAGTACCACTTTTGCAATGTTTGTTAAGATGTTTCAGAGTGAGGTTGTTGAAAGTGGGTTGACGTAGGGAATGGGAGGATTCCAAACGAAACTATTGTATCTAGCGTTTTACTCCTCACACGGCCACGATCGCCCAGGCGACAGCCCGTCGTTTCTATTTTGGGCGTCGTCAGCCACGGTGGAGTACACGTACCGCCTTTCTCTGACGGCGCCGACTATCGTCATCAAACAAATTAATGCTTTATTGGGCTCCACAAACTTCCTGTCTGGGCTAAGATCTTTCGTGGTTTGTATACACGAGAAAAGACGGCACACGTAAGGTGACAGAGTTATAAAATATCCCGAAAAGTAGCGTCAAAACCAACGCACCATACTGTTATCGTAATTCATAGAGTCGTGTTTCATAGAAGAATCAATCATCAAAACAACCAGCCAGACCTGCTGCCCGAGTTTGCTTCACCAACATCCATATTTCCCGCAGTGGCTGGTAAACATGCACATGCCACCACCAGGGAACGGGATCAAGATATGAGAACTGTGGATCCATCCAGAAAAGGAACGGCACAAGTTTTGCTTCAAGAGATATGATCGCTTCTTTGACAGTATCAAGTGACAGGAACCATGGGAGTAGATGGGCCACAAACTTGTTATCCAGTAGGGACAGCCTCGGAGGCTTGTTGGGCGATAAGGTCGCCATCACCTTCCAAGCGGGAGGCTCAGTTGGTGCCGAGTCGAAGGCCGCAAGATAACCAGAGATAGGACATGGTGCATCGCGCAACAGATTGTCAAAAGCTGCAGCTCCTGAAATACAATCTGCGATGTGGATGGTATGGCGAACGGACGAAACATCGAACTCCTCATCGACCAGCAGCCGAACTGAAAGATGACCGGTCATCCGTGGACCTCCTTTGCTTGCCAAAGTCCGCATGAGACGATGGATAGCAGCGGCCAGCGCTTCGTCGAGTCTCGAGGCACCCCAGTGAGGAGATCGAGTATCCGCGAGTCGGACCTTGATGGCATGAACATGGCCTCGTACGACCAACAGGTCTGCGAAGAACTCTCCTAGTCTACTTTGTTGCTGCAAGATCCAAGGATGTTCCTTGGAGATTTTGATCTCGCTAATCTCCGAGTACGTCTTACTGAGGGTACGCTTCGGCAGAGAGACGGCTGCTTCACTTCCACCCGAGCTGAGGCGATAAGACTTGGTCGGAGTGCGGTTCAAGATTCTGTGGATAGAGTCGCGTGACTGCACTTGGTGATGCTCCAGTACGGGAAGATCCCGTTCCACTAAGAACTGCTTGAATGAATCCGGGTGAACAAAGCATGAGATTAGTTCGGTATCAAATGCAATGCATTTGCAGAGGGTCCGGCTCTCGATGACCTGTCGAGCCGTGGCATCTTCGATGGCAGTTGCCTTGGGCGAGCACGGAATCCAGAGGTCAATCTTCTCGCGGTGGATGATCTCCAGGACTTTTGAAATATAGTGGTCACTGGGAACCTGGTAGAATGCGACCAGTGCCTTGGACATGCTCCCGCCTGATCGAATTGGAAGACCAAGATCGACGACATCTGCACCCACTACGCGGTGGCCTTCAGCCTTCCATGCTCGCGCAAGGGCCAGGCCGTGCGATGTACCGATTCCCGTGATCAGCATCGTCTTGGGGTAGAGCTGTTCATTTTTCGATGCTGGCTGGCGCCGATCGGCGGGGCGCAGTCGGGAGAGCAAGACCGCCACCAGCAAGATCGTATTATCCATGAAAAGCAGTGAGAAAGAGACTGCAATGCGAAACAGGTGCCCCAAGGCGCTGCGCAGACCCTCAACCGAGGTTGACGCTCGGAGAGTCTTCATGGGATTCGTAGGGAGATGAAGTCGTCGCATCGTGAAGACTGCCATGAGAAAGACAACTCCGGGCAATCAACCAGGACGAAGAAGAGGGCAAAACCCAAGGCGAGAAGGTACTGACGAGATGGAATGCAGGAAGGCGCGATGGCGCGAACCGGGAGGGGCGATCGGCACCTGCAGATCGACGAACCGATGAGCGTCTGTGACTGTGTACCTATCAAGGGTCTAGTGCGAAGCTTTGACACTTCTTGTCATTACTAGGGACTATGTATAGTAAACCGCGTATTCGGCACTGAGTCTGTTCCCAGCCATCAAGCGATCACGGTGGGGATCGGATTTTCGATCAGATCGCACTCGGTGAATTCGGGGCTGATTGCCTGAATCACTAGCTCCGCACGATGTCCGATTCTCCGATACAGGTATTCAGCGCATAAATGCCGTGACAGCGTGTCTGCCAATGAAAGGAAGTTTTCGGGCGCACCCGAGCTCCGTTAAGTATTTAGCCCCGAGAGTGCCTTCGGGTTCGGGACCACCTGGGTCGTTGCTTAGCTATATAGAGTCCACTACCCGTCCCTGACATTCTTTTCTGCGGATTGAAGCTGTGTGCATGCTATTATATTTACTCGGACACATACTTGTGCACCCCGTCTCTCATCTACCACTTATCGGGACTTTTATACTTCCCCGCATTCAAAATGGCTGCACGTCAAAGATCGCCTTCTGCTCACGCCCGTCCCGGGGAGCGCTCTGTGCGTCCCACCTGCTGGAACCAGCGAATTACATAAAACTGACATTCTTATTCATTATAGCGGGAGGAAGGCCGTGAGATGAAGCTTTTGCACTTCATTTATGACCAGCCGAACATAGATGACATCCGCGGACACCCCCAGAAGGTGCTTGATCTGATGGACCAGTTTGAGGAAGAATACCATATGATGACCGTCGGAGGACCAAAAGGAAAGATTGTCAAGGATTTGATCGCTGAGTCTAAGCCGAAGACAATGATTGAACTTGGCTGCTACGTTGGATATTCCGCCATCATGTTCGGCGACGCCGTGCGCCAGAATGGAGGCGAGCGCTATCTGAGTCTTGAACTGAACCCCGAATGGACTGCTATTGCCAATATGCTCATCGAGCTGGCTGGTCTCCGTGATTTCGTGCGTGTCATTGTTGGCCGCAGTGATGTCTCGCTTGACAAATTGTTCAAGAGTGGCCAAGTGAAGAAAATTGAGCTAATGTTCATCGACCACTACAAGCCTGCGTACACCACAGACGTCAAGCTGTGTGAGTATCACGGAATGATCCAGCCTGGCACGATCCTGGCTGCTGACAATGTCCTGTATCCGGGCAACCCGCCCTACTTGGAATACATCCGAAGCACCGTCGAGCAGAAGCGGGAGGCGGCTAAGACTGGCCCTGTGAAGGAATACAACACCGTGGGGATGAGGGAGCGCACTATTCAGTCCTTTATGCCCGAGAATGACGTGCCCGCCTTTGAAACAGTGGGCAACCCCAACCTCGTGTACAAGAGCGAGCTATGCCAGCCCGAAGGCGAAAGAGTGAGTCACCGGGAATTTTCCTTAATCCCACCGTATCTCCATCCGGTTACTAATTAGAATAACAGGATGCCGTTGAAGTGTCACGATGCGTTGAAATCCAGGAAGCATAGACCAGCCAAAGTCTCCAGATGACGGATAGTGGGGGGGGCGGGGGGCTTCAGCGTAGGCCAAGCCATTGCCAAAGGTCTAGACAGCATGTAGAAATTGCAGAAATTGCAGAAATTGCCAATTGCTTAACAATCAATTCCAATCCCGGGGAAACCCTCACAAGAGCACTGGGGTGACAGTGGCCCGTAAAGATGAGCAAGCCGAGAAAACATCGTCACGGGCCGAATGAGGCGGAGGCGGCATTTGGCAGATTCGGAAATGCCCCGCCGTAACCAAAGGTTGCCGTCGCCAGGACCTTCCCCCGCATCGGCGCGCGAAATCCGTGGAAGCACTATAAAGCGCGTCCTCCCCTGGAATTGCATCCTACCCATCCTACCATCTATACTTCAATCATGGCCTCCAAGACTTACAACGTCGGCGTAATCGGCTACGGCTTCAGTGCCAAGATCTTTCACATTCCCTTCGTGGAGCAGATCCCCGAGCTCAAGCTTTACGCCATCGTGCAGCGCACTCCAAAGGCCGGCGATGATGCGGAGAAGGACCACCCTGGTGTCAAGTCGTGCCGTACTGCGGATGACATGGTCAAGGACCCCGCAGTCGACATCGTGATCGTGACCACTGCCCCGGACTCGCACTTCGACCTGTGCAAGCTTGCCCTGGAAGCTGGCAAGCACGGTACGTACCGGAAATTCCGAAGCAAATACGACCATTACTGATACATCTACTCTGTAGTCGTCTGCGAGAAGCCCTTTACCCCCACCCACAAGGAAGCCGAGGAGCTCGTCGCCATCGCCGACAAGCAGAACAAGCTTCTGGCCGTGTACCAAAGTACGTCATCCCACACTGCACCACCTCTATAGCCATCGAAGACCCTTCTAACATTGCCCCTCTACAGACCGCCGCTGGGACGCCGACTTCGTGACCCTCTCCAAGCTTGTCAAGAACGGTTCGCTCGGCCGCATCTCCGAGTTCGAGACTCACTTTGACCGTCACCGCCCCGAGGAGCCCGCCGCCGAGTCTCACAAGTGGAAGAACAAGGTCATCCCCGGTGGCTCAGCCATCTACGACCTAGGTACCCACCTTCTAGACCAAGCCGTGCACCTCCTCGGCCTCCCCAAGCGTGTGACAGCCTTCATCGGCTCCGCCCGCGCCAGCAACAGCACCGGATTCGAAGACTCCTTCACCGTCCTGCTCCACTACCCGGACAACCTGATGGTCACCGCCAAGGCGACCGTCGTCAGCCCCGAAGACGAGCAGCTTCGCTTCTGGGTCCGCGGCGAGAAGGGCAGCTTCAAGAAGTTCCACCTCGATATCCAAGAAGACCAGCTCAAGGCTGGTGTTATGCCCCAGGATAATGGCTATGGTCGTGAGCCCAGCGAGCGATACGGTACCCTGACGACCATCCAGGATGGAAAGCCTGTTAAGGAGGTTGTTCCTACCGTTGAGCCCCCTACTTATACCGAGTACTACCGCAAGCTTGTTCGCGCTCTTGGTGGCGAGGGTGATTTGCCCGCCAGTGGCGCTGAGGCTAGTCAGGTTATTCGGTTGATTGAGTTGGCTCGTGAGAGCTCCAAGACTGGCCGGACTTTGGATGTTTAGATTGGATCTATATGTAAAATGATGATGATTATGATTAGCGATAGGAAGCTATAGAGGAGAGATTGAATTGTATATTGAATTGATCTTGTCTTCTGACTACAGCAAGAACACTTGAGCACATATTGTAGGAAGCTTACAGATGTTCGAAGTCACCGTCATGCCTTGAAAAAAAATTAAAGACTTGTCAACATAAGTTTTTGATGAAGTTACGCAGTTTAAGCATAGGTGTGTAGTCCATTCATTCGAACGGAAAGAGCGTGGCGACAAACCCGCGGAAGCCATAGCGTCACACAAGTGCGAAACAGAAAACCAACAATTCTCGAATGGAAAATTGCACGGACCCAGCTTAGCCTCCTCATTCTAGATTTCGCGAGGTGCACCTGGAAGCCATTTCGAACAAAGAAAGTCGTCCACGGCGTCCATGGCGCTCTAGGGTCATCGACCTATCACACTTCTCCCCAGACGTTGGCGTGTGGAGTGGATGGGATCATCTGGCGACTAGTCTGTCCAAGTGTAGTACCCATATCATCCGATGACATCTGCTCAGCTGCTATTTGACCGGATCCCAAGGAGTCTTTCGGTCCAAAGTACAGTGTTAGTATTGAATTGATGTAAGCAGTTGTCCGGGGATTTCGTGGAACGGGGTCGGGGAGCATATAGTCTCCCCTCACCCCGGCTTTTAATCTGGCATATGCCAATAGTTGCTATCCGGGCAACGGATATCCTCTAAAAATCTTTTGGAAATCATTGTTTCTCGAGAATGACACCGCCTCAAGGGTTGGAGGTAGCTATCATCGGCGGCGGCCTCGCTGGCGCACTCACGGCGCGGGTCCTTCGAGAGGCCCATCGAGTGACTATCTACGAGCGCGCCAAGGATGCAGGGGAAGTGGGCGCTGCGCTTGCAATTGGCCCAACCGGTGTGAGAATACTCGAATCCCTCGGTTTTGATCAGGAGCGTGCTGGGTCTATACCCACCGGGCTCATCAAACTCTATGACCACAAGGGTAACCTGGGCCATGAGCAGTATTTGGATACCACGGAAGCATATGGGGCCGAACATTTGGCGTATCATCGTTCTGATCTAAGAAATGAGTTTCTTCGACTGGCTACGGCTGATTCAGAGCAATTGGGAATCAACGGGTGTCCAGCCAAGATTGTCTGGGGGTGTGAGGTGACGGCTGTTGATGCCGAGGCCGGGACACTCATTCTTTCAACTGGAGAGAAAATACATGCTGATCTCATAGTGGGTGAGTTGAACGTCTGGGTATCTAACAAGTGACTTTCCACTGATCTCCAATTGCTCTCAGCTGCCGATGGTATCAAATCTGTGGCTCGCCCCGTTGTCGTCGGCGATGCTGCTTTTTCAACCACGAAAGCCTCTGGTATCTCGGCATTTCGATTTCTGATCGAAACCCAAGAAATCCAAGATAAAATGGGACATCTTCCGAAAATCTTCAAGCCACTTCCTGGCCACAAGTATTGCTTGACAATGCTGTTTTCCACGGATGGATCGAAACGTGGCATGGTTATCTATCCATGCAGAAACTTCGAGCTTGTCAATTTCCTCTGCTTTGTTACCGATGACAAACTGAAAGTTAATTCAACGAGATCGTGGTCAGCGCCGGGAGACCGCGAGGAGATGGTGAGTCTTTTCAGCGACGACTTTCCGGACTGGGCCGTCGATCATCTCCGGTACGAAGCCTTCCTACCTACTTACCCTTGCGATCCACGTCTTGCAAAGGGAAGATTTGGCTAACATTAGCCTTTGAACTTGGTAGATTGGCAGACAATATTAAACTCTGGCAATTGCACGATCAAGATCCACTGCCGACGTACACTGTTGGCCGCGTCGTTCTCATAGGAGACGCGGCCCATGCGATGACACCTCACCAAGGCCAGGGAGCTACGCAGGCTGTCGAAGATGCCGAAGGCTTCAGACTGTTCCTTCGTGCTGGAACCACACGGGATGGCGTCCCGACCATCTTAAAGGACTACGACAGCGTGCGAAGACCACGAGCGAGCCAGATACAGTTGCATACGCGGGCGGCCCAGAGCAACAGGAAACCTGAAGACGCGCTCAGATATGAGAAGTACAATTGGACGTATCCGGGGATCATCAAGGGATTGGAACGGGTGAAGGCCGGGGAGGAGCTTATTCAGTTTTAGGATAACATGTGATTACTCGTGATTCTCCAGGGGAGCCTGAACATTTCGAATATACGCAATAGGTATCGGGTAGCGATTCCAAAACAAGGGAACATAATGAGTAATTTCCTGCACATACTATTCAAGTTTACCATAATGCCCAAATGCCAAGGACATGGAACACCAGGAACGAGTAGCCTAGCCTAGCCTAGCCTAGCCTAGCCTACCCTACCCTACCCTAAGGTGGCCTCTGCTTACGCTGACACCAAAACCATCCAAATCTGCAGCTTGCCGAGCTAGAAGCGCCCATCTGCACTAGTTTCACCGGGGCATGAACTTGAGCCCACAAAGAAAGTAAATGCCGAAATTGTAAAAGCCACCAAGTCCGCCGGGTCTCCATTGTCCAACTAGCTAGCGTCATCAAGGCCTTATCACTATTCCGAATCGGTGAGATCTCCCGCAAACACCATTTTGCTGCCCGAGTTATGGCGGGTCCGCCCTGGAGGCTCTCCGACATCTGGCGAGACACATGGCGGTATGGCACAGCGTGGTCAGCCACTGTCTCACTAGCTTGCCTCTCAAACATCACTGTCACATGGGGCGTCATGCAGGAGTGCGAGGTCCGAGCTGTTTCGTCTCCGGATCCTGGCAAGTTGACCTCCACAGATTCAAGATCGGAGACCCTTATATCCGTCGGCTCTGCCAACCTTATTATCTGATCTTCCAGGGACATCATGGACGCCAGCGCACTTCCGGATTTTGGGGTGCTTTCCTATCCAACACAACGCGGGGAGAGCGGCGACTTCGAAACTTCGCCATTGGAAAATTCAATCTCCCTCAACACCTCTTCTTCATGGACATATTGCGGGCCCCTACTGACACTCGATACAAATCGCCTACCTTCATCATTTCACACATGGGCTGAAGCAACGGTCAATGGGCCATTCATGGGCCCTCTTCTCTCCTTCCTGGCATTCGTGCACAAATTCCTAAAAGCCAACAACCTTTCAAATTACTGGCTTACCATCCGAGCAAGCACGGGTTCAGGAGAATTCGATGTCCCCCGCTGGCACACAGATGATCTATTCTTCTCTCCGGCTCCAGAGACGCGGTCACGCCAGCGCCGCTCATTACTATCCCCGCTATACAGCCGTGACAGGACATCCCAAAGGCCCGACTCAACCTTTCGACAGAAAAAGCACCTAAAATCAACAGAAAAAGTCCAAGTAATATCAGCAACCCCCAACCCAACAAATTGGAAACTCACCACCACCCTCCTTGGACCTGGAACACTTTTCATTACCCCAAAGAAAAGCCCCTCAGCGCGTGCAATCCAACGCAACGCGAAACGTAGCGTCCGCGCCGCAAATCCGCACCATATATGTCTATCCGTCCGCTGTGTAGGCTGCGCCATGGCGGCCGAGTCCGTGCGGACGCACCTTGCCGCAGAACTGGGACAGCACGGGATCGTACAGGCGCGATCGGGCGAGTGCGTATTCTTCCGTGTCGGCGAGGACGAGGGAGCTGTTCATTCAGAGCCGATGTCTCATGGAGATCGTATCTTTGTGAATATTGTACCCGGGCATGAGGCGGATTTGAAGTGTTTAATGGCGAAGTGGGGGATGGAGTATCCGAGAGCTTGGTGTGTGGGGTTGCCATTCCAGGGGTTCGAAGAGAGGAGTTGGAGGGATATTGGGGATTTGTGAGATGCTGGGTTAATGGGTTAATGGGAGGTGCATATGTTCAAATGTTGATACCTGTAGTGATGCATTCACTCGGTAAAGACTGGCTTAAGGGACTGGGGAAAAGAAAAATTGACTACAGATATATGGTTGGAAAATTGGAAAAAATCTTCGTGCACATGTGAGTGTCTAGAAACACCCGACCGAATGAATATGAGCAGGAACCTTGGAAAAATAAATTCACATCTAATCTAGCAAAGTGGTCCTGAGAAATACAACTATAGACACTGGATCAATCAAGACAGAAACCACTTCTGCTATGAGAGAAACCCCTGTAATCGACAAACTGAACTAGGGAGTTCTGCACGGACACAGGTAAGAACAATGAGCGACAGGCAAAGAGAGGCAAATGGCTAAACCCCTTCTGGCCGGGTTCCTATGAATTTCCGGCCACTACTAGGAGCAGCATACTCAAAGCAAGAAGCCCCCCAGATGTTGACAGCATGGTCGCTGCGCCGTTAGCCATAGTTGAAGCCGACGAGGACGTCGCATTGCCATTGCCCTTGGACGATGTTCCCGTAGCCGTGGCATTAGACGCAGACAGTATCTCGTTGACCTGAATCCACATGTCACAATATTTGTAACTGATTGAGTCAGAGACAGACGAGTTCCCAAAGATCATCCCAGGAGTCGAAAGATCCTTTGAACTTTGGAATTGTGGCCAGCTTATATCTTCAGTTGACGGATCCGCATTCTCCGCCATTGCAGTCCACGCATCCATCATCTGCGCACTGAGATGATACTCAGTGGACGTAGAATTGCAAGTTCCGTTAGGAAGATACGAATTGTCCAAATTGCCAAACACAAATGGTATTTCAGAAGTGTGAGCTCCCCCGATATAGGAAACCTCGTCCTCGGAAATTGTCCAAAGCCAAGTACAAGTAGAATTGTGAGTGAATTCATACGTCCATGCGGAGATGTTGTTGCGTGTGGCTTGTGCCGCACCGTACCATGCTGGGCATCTATATGTGGAATCGGTGATGACCTTTGTCATCGCCAAGAAAATTTCAATCGTGGTCTTATTGCCGCCAATGGCGGCAGCCTGACCGGAGGCTAAAAGAGCGCTGGCCGCCGATTCGAAGAAAGATGGCTGGTAATACTTTCCAACGAGCGAGGCGGCTGCACCAAAGTTTTTGCGAAGAAAGTCCTTGTATATCGATATGGTTGGAGTCGTCTTGCCGGTGATGGCCCATAGCAAAGAGTAAATGATACCTTCGTCGTAGTCTTTAGGTTATATGGTTAGTGGAATTCATAGAATGGGATCAAGACGATTGATTGTACACATACTGGATCCAAAGACTGCGGGGACCTGTACGCCGCGGTTGTAGGGGTCCTCGTCGATGACTTTACCGTCCACATAGGGGTAGAAATTATGAGTTCCCTCACTAAGAACACTGAGAGAGCCTTCATTTCCATAATAACCAATTCCCTCATATAGGAAAGTATCAGCTGCGTTCGCGATAAACAGGTCTGAGACTGTCCTAGACTGCAGACAAGTTTTCTGAGATATGGTTAGTAACCACGTGGAAAAAGGAGAGAAAAGAAACAAGCAATATACGAGCACTCACATTACTAGAGCTGCATTGAAGTGCGTTTGCATATGATGCGCCAACTTTCTGCTGGGTGGCGTTTGTGGTTAGGCTCCTGCCACCACCTGATTCCGAGATGACGCTATTGATCAAAGACGGTGCTTGAGGAAGAGAGGCAATGATATACGCGTTCTCAGCACCGGCTGACTGACCGAAGAGAAGAACTTTGTCCTGGATTGAAACTCGCATGTTAGCTCTGCCTTCTCGAGTTTTTATTTTTAGTGTGACTAGATGCTTCGTGCCATACCGGATCACCTCCAAAGGCCGCAATATTATCTTGAACCCACTGCAATCCAAGAAGGAGATCTTGGACTCCTTGGTTACCATAGATCCCGGCGCTTTCAAGGGCCATGAAGCCAAGGGGGCCAAGTCTGTAGTTGACCGAGACAAGAATTGAGCCTCCGTCTGCAGTGTTACAGCCATCGTATAGAGGATCGGAGATAGAGCCCTCTGTCTGTGAGCCACCGTAGATCCAAACTTTGACTGGAAGTTTGGAGTCTTTGGTAGCGTTAGATGGAGCCCAAATATCCAAGTAAAGACTGTAAGATTGATTGTGAGTATCATCAACCACCGACGTCATAAAGAATAATATGGAAAGGTCTCGTAGAGGTACGAGCTCTGATGACCCGACTTACCAGTCTTCAGATGAAAGCGCAGTTGAATTCAACTTTGTCGGTGTAAAGGCATCCGAGAATTGGATACAGGTAAGGGCCGAGGTGGTTGCATTCAGCTTGCCATCAGGGAATTGCTTCTTGTAGGCCTTTGGAGGCTCGAATCGTAGCTCGTGAATCGGAGGCTCAGCAAAAGGGATTGCTTTATAAAAGACTGCATTTTTTCCATCACATCTTCCGCCCTCGATGGTGCCAGCGTCGATTGTGACAGAAGGGGAGGGAAATGCTGCAGCTACAAGAGCCGGGAGAAGAGTGATCAAAAGCCGTTTCATGATCAGTTGTATAACTCTAGAGATTCAAATGAGAGGGAGAATGCCCAAGTCTTTAATGAAAGTGAATTTGGAAAGCAAGAGAGGTGGCTGCGAGCACTCGACCTTTATATTTTGGTCCAGATTATATCTAAAGTCAAAAATAGTCCCATTTTCCCACTTCGAACAGCCCCATACCTTCAATTACCTGTTTGTGGGGCAGCTTTTTGGATTAATATCCCCACAGCCTTACCAGTATAATTATTATATGGTTCAGCCGCTTTTTTGGCCCCTGCGTTGAGCGTCAAGGCGCTAATCCATTTACAGCGTGAATTGCGAGCACCAATAAGCTTGCTTCTTCCACGCCTGTCTCCATCCAGGCCCCAAATACCTCGACCCAACAGGTAGCGAGTTTCTGAAATCTGCTCTCGCAATTGTGTCCCTTGTTGAAATTAGCGGCTCGACAGAATTGCAGCAAGCTAAAAGCCCAACGCTCTGTTAGCAAATCAGCGACCCAGAAAGTGTTTCTATTACCCGTGGCATCACAATACTTCCGTACTCATGCTTAGTGGAATTGCCCAGCTGCACGTTTCCGATACCGCTAGTTTCAGTGACGACATTTGACAAGGGACCCTCTTTGCTTAATTGGCTTATTCTGTCTACTGCGGCCTGACGTATCAGCAGCAAGGTTGAACTCATAGTGAATTCGGGGTGACTATCTTCATATTATCCCAGCTCCCGTGTACGCTCGCCGAGAAGACGCGAAATGGATGAACGCCTGATAGTCTAGGCAAACAAATACGCCGCTTTACGTATGTGCCTCACAAGCAGCAACTTCCTCCCGACAGTCAAATGAGCCCGAACGATCTTTTTTGACAATTTTCTAAGTACTCCCGGCATGGCTAGACCACAAAGTGGAACTTGGATTCAAAATGCTTCTATCGCTCCGACAGCGCATTGTGTTTGCATAGTGGCCTACCTAGAGGTCCCTTCAGCATGGCTCGCAGACAGTCCCAAATGTGACGGTTACCGGAACATCTAGTGTCGCTTTGTTGTTCCATTTTCGTTAAGAGCTGGGGAGTAGTCACTCACGCGGGCATGATAGGTAGCCCCGAGCTCTCTGAACCTTTTAGCTCGCGCATCATCATCTTCCGGTAGATATTCGAGAGCGTCTCCAAGCCCTTCGACTCGTAACCCCTTAATCACAAGAACATGACCTTTTTCAGGATAGGCGAGGTGGTCGCCGTACACAGATTCCTTACAGATCGGCATAACTTGGCCATCCAAGCTCAGCGTTCCGTTGTGTCGAGGCTCCATCACAGAGCGACGAGGACCAAAGCAAGCGTTGAAGCCGGGACAGCTTAAGAGAATATATGCCCAAGAAGCTTCTCCCGCGCACTGTGAACGTTTAACGCTAACGCTGGACCGGCTGTCATTACCACTGCCTATCCTTGAGACTGCCTGGAAATGGTTGGCTGGAACAGAAAATGCTCGGGGAACTGGGAGGACCGGTTAATATATCTGACTATCTTCAAGACGTCTTTTCAAATAAATATTCTGATTTCTTTCGAGCGCGTCTAACAAATATATGAGCCTTGGAATGTTCTGCCTTGGATTTTCAAGACAGTATTGATAAGTGCCGTGGCTCACGGCGGCTGATGCAATATTTCCACCTGTCCTAGTGGCCGCTATTCACGCCCGTATAATCCCGGGGGGGGTTATATTCATATCCGCAATAGTTGCCTGAACGGGTTTAAGCCCATGCATGATATCTTGCCGCACAAGTTTCAGCTTCAGAGAATGCCTCACTGTACGGCTTGCGCCATATGACTAGTCATTTTCTGTTGACAGAAATCTTTCGGAAGAGACAAAAGTACAACAGGCCACGCGTTCGACGGCTCGCCCTGCATGGCCGTGAATGTACAACCTATCGTAGATTGGGGATCCTCCTGTGAGGATCCGTTAGTCGTGGGGGCCAAATCACGTTCTCAGCCCCAGTTAGCCCCAGGCCAGAGGCCACGGACTCCCCCTCGTTCTTATATTCCTTAGAGTTTCGTCATTATCGCGCCACCAAGATTATCAGGATTGACCTTATTTTACGATGGTGTACCATGGCTGGCCAAGTAAAGGTTGCGGTAACTGCCGCTCCCGCAAGATCCGATGCGACCAAGCACGGCCGGCCTGCTGGGAATGCACTCGAACTAAGCGAGAATGCCCCGGGTACCGCGATGAGTTGTCACTGATGTTCCGCGACGAGACCGAATCCGTCGCCCGTAAAGTGCTTTCTTCTCGGTCCTCTACTACTTCTTCTCAATCGTCTTCTTCAAGACGACAAAAGCTGCCTCGATCGGTCCACCCTCCTCTCCCAGACCAAAATGTTGCATCCTCGGGGACTTCGGATTCTTCCGACCGCTTGGACCATCCGTTCTTTGACTTTGTCTCTGACATTGAGCCGCAATATTACATGCACCAGTCTAGGCAGAGTCCTCTAGGGACACACCCCAACACCGGGATATCGAGGCAAGAGGCTATTTGCTTCTTCCTCCAGTCGCACGCAATTCCTGGAAACTTTCTAATCACAGATACCTTGACCAATTTCCTCATGGAGTCTGGTGGGTCGCTAGGTCAGCAGGCTATCCAGTCCAGTATCGTGGCGGTTGCCAGCGCTATGCTCTCCCGTGTTCGCAACATTGCCTCGTTGAGGCAAGCGGCGCGCCAGGAGTATGGGTCTGCGCTCAAGCTAGTCAATCAGGCACTTGCCGATGCTGAAGAGGCCAAGACAAACCAGACGCTTGGAGCAATTGTTCTTCTGGCTTTGTATGAAGTGAGTACTTCCCTCGATATCCATAAAAAATCAAATTCCAACATTGGCAGATCGTCATATCAAGAGCTCCGCAAGGTATCGAAGGCTGGACAAATCATATTTGTGGAGCTGCAGCTCTACTAGAGCACCGCGGGGTCAGCCAGCTGCGAAACGAATTAGGAATCCGGCTATTTTTACATTTAAGATATCAGATCGTGCGTGAGAGGCAATTCCCAGAATCACTAGGAAAAGACTAATTCGTTCATAGATTATAAGCTGTCTCCAACGCGATGTATTGGTACCGGGCTCTTTATTGGAATGTACAAAGCTCGACCTACTTCCCGGTATAAAGGATGCCCTTGGCAATAAACTGATCTTAATCATCGGCAATTTGTCCAACCTCCGTGCCAATATCCACACACAAGTGTTGAGTCATCCACAGGAGATTATCAGTGCGGCCTGTACCATCGAAGCAGACCTCATCGCCTGGCTGGCCGCCCTGCCGCCGGATTTTACATATAGCAGCCACACACTCATGCCAATGGATCGATCTTTTGAACGTCGCTGTCACGGAATTAGACCCTACAATGGCGAATACCACATCTACCCGGACATCTGGTCGCCCAGTTGCTGGAACCATTACCGTTGCGCACGCATCCTTGTCAGTGAGATTATATTATCGCATGTCCACAAGCTATCCAACAGCTCGCCCTCCTCTTTATCCGAAGACTTTCGCATATACTGCAAGTCTCTACGTTCAACAATCCGTCGTTTAGGCGCCGACATCTGTCGCAGTGGTCCATTTCACCTAGGCGCCTGCAACTCAGAGACGCTTCCAGAGGCCACCATTCTTCCACCCGAGAGCTACTTGGGCGGCCTCATGCTGCTCTGGCCTCTGTTCATCGCCGGTATGACCGAAGGACCGACTCATCCACAGCGTCAGTGGGTGATAAAGTGTCTTGAGACGATAGGAAGGACGTGGGGACTGGCTCAAGCGCTGGCACTCATGGATCTTCTGATCGTGGACCCGGGAATGTTTCATTCGGTCGAAAAATATGGCGAAGCTGCTGATACGGCGACTGGGTCGTCGGAAGTACTGCCATTCTCTATCTTCCATGTACCGTATTATGATCTCCCTGCATTGAAGGAGTATCGCGAGCTTCAGGCATCATCGACTTGATTACCTGGGCTGCGTACAGCCTATCAAATCTATCCTCCATAATCATGTGCGCCCTCGCTTTTGAGGACCTTATCAAGTGCGGCGATTTGTCCAAGGCTCTTAATTAGATAGATAATCATGGAACAGTCATTAATTATAAAAAAAGAGAAAAAGGCGCAGAAACACAATGCTAAGTGACGGAAACTTGGGTGCTGATGGCGCTTACTTTTTGCCGCGATTTCAAGGGTCCGTAGTACCTATGGTGGGGACTTCGCGGGTTAGACATGGGTTTAGCTTCCCCCCTTTCTTAGTCTCTTAAATTTGACAAACCTCTTCCAATTAGAGCTGGTCTCTCGGATCTTTCATATCTAAATTGTAAGTAAATTATGATATAGCATGAAATTGTAATATAGTATAGGCCTGAGATAGCGCAACCAAAATGTAACTCAATATGTCGAATCCCGAAGGTTTGCCCTAATACGAGTTGTGGCATTTATCGCTGTCGATTGCCGCGAACCGTCAGCACGGCACATGTCAGCCTCAGACAACGATCATTTTGTCAGAACGGTCCCCTCCTCTATCCATCTCTCCAACCTTGAAAGCAGACAAAATGCTGCGCAAGAAAGAAACATACACGAACTTAACCCCCATCCCTCCCCAAGTACCCCGCCAACTAGCCCTCGACATCCTCCACAGCCACAGCGAAATTATCACCCTCAATCCGCTCGTACTCTCCCACCGCCCCATCAAAGCCCCGCAGAACGCAGTCGCAGACGAATATTATTCAACCTGGTACGAAATCACCGAACGCGTCCAGTATCTCCCGGGGATTGGGAAGCTCGGCTCCAGCAAAATCAGCTTCAAGGGTAGCTTCCACAATACGCCATGGGGCTTACAGACACACACCTACGGGCCTGTGGGCTTAGACCTGCGCATTGAATGGCGCATCGGGGGAAACCAGCTCGACGAGCCCGAGACAGAAAAGACGGAAGATGGGGTCCCTCGAGGGCTGTATCTGCGCGAGGATATTAGTATCGAATGCAACATGGCGCTTCTCTCGTTCGTGAAGAAAGAGCTGCAGGCTTCATCGAAGGTGCTCGTCGACCGACTGATGAAGAAAGCGGAGTTACTAGACGCGGGCGCGCTGGAGGGTATAATGGAAGATGGAAGGTTGAGGACATTTAATCCGGCAGATCGGTCGAATATACCGCCAGTGGACTGGGAGGCTGGCCGGGAGCCCCTGTCTCCAACGACGTCGGTGGCCCGGTCCAGGTGGTCGATATCGTCAGGATCAAGGCGCAAGTCTGCTCCGCCCCACCAGTACAAGCAGGATCAGAAGCCGAGCGTGGCGGTGGAGTTGCCAGGTAATTTATCACTTCAATTGGGGTTGAGAATTTGGCTGATGTCGAACTAGATACATCTATTTCGTATGGCGTTGGGTCTCAAGTGGGCAAGGCATTCCCAGCTGAGCTGCCCGCAATGCCGGAACATAATGAGAGCCAATATTATAAAGGCTAGGGTTACTTAGTGTGTGAGTTTCAAGGTTCGTGGATGCAGTTAGATTGATTACTTTCAGCGATGTATTTTCAAAGGCTTTCTAGTCTAGTGAGATAATTAATGCCCAATGATGCTATGATGCTTATGAACAGTGCCTTCATTTGGATCACAAAAAAGGTCCAATTAGTTGAGTCTGTAGAAGGTACGTAGGTTTCCAGGGTTGTTAAATAAAGGTGTTGGACAAGCATATGTATATAAGTAGGTGCGTGTGTGACCTTCATGCAAGTGATTTACTACCATGTGGGCAGGCCCCATTTACTGTTTGCAAGATGACTAGCCCGCTCAATAGACTATTCAACATATCAACATTTTCCCCACTGACTCAAGCAAGATCCAGCTCGAGGCCCCTACTCTTTTCCATTCAATGAACATGAATCTCAAAATTAGAAGATGATCGCAAGATCCCAAAACGACATCACCAATGCCAAGCCACTAACACCCAAAAAGGAATTTCTGTTACCAAACACAAATTGCCTGAGTGGCAGAGCGTTGCAAATACTGGAGCAAGTATTTACAGCCTGATGAAAGCGGCGATTCTTGGGTCTGAGCTCCGCGGAGATAGGAAATATCCTGAAGCTCACACGGTAAAGGACGGCACATAGGGGGTTAATACCGGAGGAAAGGATAGGTTATCTTTAGACAGAAATCCCTCATAGGGCTGGATTTCCCCAGGTTTTTGATTTAAACTCTCTAGTACACGCCCTGTCAAGAGCTTATACTTCCATGCCCTGAGCAGTTGAGCTGGGGCTTGACATCGGTCTCCGGGGCCCTCATGGCTAAATCTCCGCTTGTCATGTCTTTCGATATCAGGGGCTGGAACTTCGACATTGATCGGTTTATTGACCCGTTCGTGCCGGCGCCGAGGTGGCATCTTGTTCCAAGGCCTATAGCCCATTTCTTGGGATATCGCGATACACCGAACAAGCCATTGGGGAATGTCCTGACTGCCTTCTGGTCCCTGATCGGTGCTTTCTGCGGTGTGGCCCTGGTGGCCGAAGTATCCAAGCGAGTGCCTTCGATCGTGGCACGAGATGCTCCAAAGGTTGTCGGTAGCTTTGTAAGTCACATGGAATTTTTTATGTCGTGATACTTAGGATAGCAGCTGACGATTTTCTTGCACCAGGGTGCCGCTGCAGTAATTGAATTCTACGCCATCGAGTCACCCTTTGCACAGCCTCGGAACGCATTTATTAGTCAGATGTTTGCCTGCCTTATCGGCGTTGGCATATCCAAGCTTTTAGCTCTGAACTCTCACGCCGAAGAATACACTGCACTCGGGGGAGCCCTCGCTTGTGGCCTTACCACGGCAGTCATGGGCCTCACAGGCACTGTACACCCGCCGGCGGGTGCAACGGCCTTACTAGCTGTCACCAATTCTCAAACAGCTGGACTTGGCTGGTTTTTGTTCCCGGTCATGCTGCTTGGGATAACGCTGATGCAGATTACGGCCTTAATTGTCAATAATATTCAGCGGCGGTTTCCTTTGTATTGGTGGACACCGCATCCTCTGTCACAGTCCAAGGATACAGATGAGGAGAAGGATCATCAGAAGGCAGGATCTGATGTGCCAAGTCACTACGAGGCAAGTTTAACAGACGTTCCTCGGCGAGTGGTGGTTGAACGAGGGGACTTCTGGGTTCCTGATGGGCTTTACCTATCAGAAGTTGAGAAACGAGTCTTAGGGGCAATCAGCGAACGTATATAATGGAACCAAGTGCATCGCATAAATTCGACCGCACAGATCTATTCAAACAATGGCTCATCTTCGTAGATATGAGCTTTAGCCACAATTATCCGCGAGCCTCTCGGGATGATTCACATCGCTATTGGCTACTCCTTTGCATGATTTGAGGGCACAGGCCAAATCCTTGTAAACAGGTCCTTACCGCAGCTGTTGGAAACTAACTCCCAAAGCAGTGACTGGTCATTTCTATCCCACTATCGTGAAGTGGTGTTCGGTACCTAGGAGGTGGGTTGCGTCAACCCTATCCATAGCGAACATGACTCCGAGTGTTCCTTGCGCCTAATGGAATTGAATGGAAGCAAGCCACCTCGATCATAGGGCCCATAGGGGCAAGCCTTGGCTTATAGAGTGGATGTATCTACCGAAATGCGACGATCTAAGCTTTGATATTCAGGGAAGTGATATGCTAGGTTTGGGACGTCTTCCATCTTGGAAATAACTTTCAGACAAATTTCCAAGCCAAGTTAATTGGTATTAGCCAGGCATCCCTGTTCAACTGGCCCCTTAGAAAGTACGAAAATACGCCTTGGAAAGTACCCCCAGTCCTGTGAAACAGAGTGGCGAATAGGTGGACACCTCAGGCAATCACGCCCAAGTGAGCGGTGACGTCTCTCGCTCCCAATCATACGCTACGTATTCGCTGTTTGGCCCACCGCTCGAATTTGAATTTTTTTTTTTTTTAGATTTTTAATTTTTTTTGATCTGACAGACTCGACAGGGCACAATCAAATTATCATCCGAGAGATTCCTTTTACATCTCTCTTTAACTGCTCTTTTCTACCTTGGTTTCATTCCAAGAGAGACTTAGCGATCCAAGTTGGTTCTATCGATAAGGGCTCAGCATTAACACCTCCCCCCACTCGCTGCCCCTCTGTTTCTTCCGCCCCGCCGCTCCACTTCAGTCTCTTTTTGCATTTTGCTTCAGTTTCTTCGCGTCTCTCCTTCCTTCCCCTCCCTCCCCCCCATCTTTTCCCCCTACATCCGTCATCATGGTTTCTGCTTCCAAGGCGGCCCGTATGGCCAAGCGTGGCGATGCTTCCTCCAAGAAGTCCAAGAAGGACGAAGTCACTGGCGACCAGCCCGCCACCTCTGAGGACAAGATGAAGGACGTCGAGAAGCTCACCTCTCAGATGGACAAGCACGGTCTCTCCGATCGTGTCACTACCGGTGTCCTGTCTTCCCTGCCCGCCTCCCGTGACTGCAAGATCACCTCCGCCTCTCTGGTGTTCCACGGCAAGGTCCTCTTCACCGACGCTACCCTCGAACTCAACTTCGGTCGCCGTTACGGTCTCCTGGGTGAGAACGGCTGCGGAAAGTCCACCCTGCTGAAGTCTATCGCCACCCGCGAGTTCCCCATCCCCGAGCACATCGATATCTACCTTCTGAACGAGGGTGCTCCCCCCACCGAGTTCGGTGCTCTGGAGTGGGTTGTCCGTGAGGCTCAGGCCCAGCTTGACGGCATGGAGAAGAAGGCTGAGGAGATCCTCGAGGAGGAGGGTCCCGACAGCCCTATTCTGGAGGATCTGTACGACGTAAGTCTTTGATTTTATCACCATAGTCTTTCTTCTCTTTTTCACCGACACTAACACCCGTTTGCAGCGTATGGACAAGATGGATCCTTCCACCTTCCACACCCGTGCCTCTCTCATTTTGACCGGTCTCGGTTTCAACAAGACTACCATCGACAAGAAGACCAAGGATATGTCCGGTGGTTGGCGTATGCGTGTTGCCCTCGCCAAGGCTTTGTTCGTCAAGCCCTCCCTGCTCCTGCTCGATGACCCCACTGCCCATCTGGATCTTGAGGCCTGTGTGTGGCTGGAGGAGTATATGAAGACCTGGGATCGTACCCTGATTCTGGTCTCCCACTCCATGGATTTCTTGAACGGTGTCTGCACCACCATGCTCGACATGCGCGGCAAGCAGCTCCTCTACTACGGTGGTAACTACGATTCTTACCACAAGACTCGCTCCGAGCAGGAGACCAACCAGGCGAAGGCCTACGCCAAGCAGCAGGAGGAAATCACTCACATCAAGAAGTTCATTGCTTCCGCTGGTACCTATGCCAACTTGGTGCGTCAGGCCAAGTCTCGCCAGAAGATTCTCGACAAGATGGAGGCCGATGGCTTCATCCAGCCCGTCATCTCCGACCGTGTCTTCACCTTCCGCTTCGCCGATGTCGAGAAGCTCCCCCCTCCCGTTCTGTCCTTCGACGATGTCAGCTTCTCCTACTCTGGTGAGTGGAAGGACACCCTGTACGAGCACCTCGACTTCGGTGTCGACATGGACTCTCGTACTGCCCTTGTCGGCCCGAACGGTGTCGGCAAGTCCACCCTGCTCCGTCTGATGACCGGCAAGCTCAGCCCCATCGGTGGCCGTGTCTCCCGTCACACTCACTTGAAGCTCGGTGTTTACAGCCAGCACTCCGCCGAGCAACTTGACTTGACCAAGTCTTCCCTGGAGTTCGTCCGTGACAAGTTCCCCGAGAAGTCCCAGGACTACCAGTACTGGCGCCAGCAGCTGGGCCGCTACGGTCTCTCTGGCGAGTCCCAGACTGCCATCATGGGTACCCTGTCCGAGGGCCAGAAGTCCCGTATTGTCTTCGCCCTGCTCGCCATCGAGTCCCCCAACATGATTCTGCTCGACGAGCCTACCAACGGTCTCGATATCCCCACGATCGACTCCTTGGCCGACGCTATCAACGCCTTCTCCGGTGGTGTCGTCGTCGTGTCTCACGATTTCCGTCTCCTCGACAAGATTGCCAAGGACATCATGGTCTGCGAGCACAAGACTGTTCGCCGCTGGGATGGCAGCATTGGTGCTTACAAGAAGTACCTCCGTGACAAGATGATTAGCGCTGGTGCTGTCTAAGCTACTCAAACCGAGTAACATAGCTTTCCTTTCTCATGACGACGAAATGCTAGACGAGAATCGAGGGAACTGCAATGCCTAAAAGTTCAATGATCCGGCACGGATCCCCACCAACCACAGGTCGACTCCGTGATCCCGGATCTTGATATTCTTTTTTTTACTTCCTTTTATCCTTAGATCGGAGGTGTACGATCCCCTATCCTTCCTCATTAGACTTTGAGCATGGGAGGGGCGATCACTTTATTGTTTTCCTGCGATTGTTATCTTTGCTGTGATGAACCCATTCCCCCTCGACATATAGCAGATATGCCCCTGTTGGTCGAATTTTCATTGTTTTATGGTTGTTTTCACCCGCCGTGGTGCATCTTTGATAGAGAGTCCGGTGTCTCGTGATGGGACGCTGGATCGTTCGGCTGTTCTGCGTGTCGATGTATCTACGGATCTTCGGGTCAATGACATGAAATGGCTTCCTGTTTTAGTACTTTTTACTTGTAGTTTGCTTCTGGAAATTGTAGTTATAGTAGAGTGAAGTTGAAGCACTTTGGGTCATAGATGTGACTAGGTTGTTTTAGGTGTTAGATCACCATCTTGAACACTGTTCATTTTGAGATGCCTGTCCCGAGGGCTGTTAGATCAGTGAGGTCTTTGTGTGAACATGAAGTGCCTCAGTCCTAATTTTCTATAATAGTGTTCCAGAAATCTCGTGCTTCAATCTAAGGATTGTAAGTACCTTTCTTCAGTGCAAGACGAAGGAAGTAGCGAAGTAAATGACGGGATCTAGTCGTAAAGTTGCGCAGCGCGTAACTGACTAGGCTTCGATCAGGGCCAAGGGTCGCAAGATATTGAATTAGCCCTAACATCCATTCCAGTGAAACTGCCCGTGAAACTGCCCAAAGAATGGATTTTTTCATATAAAGAAAAAGACACAGCGAGAAAAACGCTTGCTCAATTAATGCTTCGTCCGATCAGCAACCAGCTCGGGCCCAAACATATCATTCGTACTGCACTTCTGTTCCTCCAACTTGCGTTTCTTCGCCAGACGTTCCGACTCCGTCTCAGAAGCCGCTGCCGAGTCAGTCGCAGAAGCCGGCGGCTGAGCCAAGTCGCGCTTCAAGTTGACCTTCTCGGGGTTCTGGCAATGGTAGAGCTTCTTTGCGATTCGCTTGAGACTTTTCATTTGATCTGGATCTGATGAAAGAGATGTGTATGCGTGGAGAAGAGCGGCGCAGTCAGAGATGACTTGAAGGAGTTTGGTGCGAAGTTCATAAAGGGGATTTTGAAGGTTATTTTGGTTTGACTCGGTTGTTTGTGTGAGGGGGCCACCGAGCTTGGTGTCGAGGTAGAACTCGGCCAAGGGTCGGTCTGCCAGGAGAAATGCTGCCATCCAGATTTGCGACGGGGTGTAGAGGAAGTAGACGTCCGTCATCTGCGCAGCAGACTTGAGCAGCTCACGTGTTGCGCCGTGCGCGCGGCCAATTCGGTCTGCGATTGAGGAAGAGGGTGTAGGATGTGGCGCAATCGCAAGAAGAGCACGCTGGAGCTCCTGTGGCGTTTCGCTTGGCATATGGGGTGCGGCTTGTCCTTCGCCTTGTGCGATTGCTGAAAGCTCCATGACGCCGCCTTCCAGGCCGCGGAATGGGTGCCGGACGTCGAATGTGAATCGGAGGCCTTGCATGATCAGGAATTCAGGGGCGATGACCTTCTCCTCTGATGGTCCACCAGGGACACCGGCTGCGAATTGCCGGAGGGACATGTAGTAGTTGTCGGTCTTCGTGGCGAGGAAGAGCGCACATGCCATGATATCTTTGGGGTGGTAGGTCATCGGAGAGTTGGTCAGGTAGAATCGGCGGAGGTACTGAATAGCGGTCGCCTATAGATTGCAAAGAGAATGTCAGATCATCGTCTCGTTGGTAGCTCTAATTGCCATGACTATCTTGAATTCAACTTACTCGGACCATCGTGGGCAAAGGCGGCTTGTATTCATCGCCCAGCTCCAGCGTCTTCTCACAATAATATGTGACCAGTACCAGCTCTTCCTCTGGAGTCAAACATTCGATTTTCTTATCGTCAGGTTTCCTTGTCTCGCCATCGCTTCCAGGTTGCGGGGTCCCGGAGGTAGATGGTGTGGCGGACAGATGGGCTTCACCAACTCGCTGTATCGCGGCTCGCACGCGCTGACTGGCGACATCATTTGTTGTGGCTCGTAGGGACTGGAGTGATGCATTTGTGTAGGACCATAGCCGGTATTGAGAGGAGGTACGGTAGACGTCGTCTTCGATCATGATGTTCAAAGGTCCTGCTTTCGCGGCAGGAAGACGGCCCAGAAGCAGGTTTGAGGGATGTATGTAGCTGCACACTTTGAGAAAGAGATGGAAGAGATATGAATAAGTAGAAATGAATCAGGAGAGCCTCCTTGAAATTAGGTACCCGCGATGCGAGGAAAGGGCGAGGCTGTTCAAAATGTTCGTCGCGGAGGTCGAGGCTGGCGTCGGGTTTGACGCGCTTATCGATAACGAGCCACGGCATGCAAGTATAGCCTCGTTCTACAGCATTTGAACTGGATACACGTTGAAAATATTTGAATCTTTGTTATGCAAACATTGGAAGCCTCCATAATTTTACATGGGATCATGGTTTTCCTTCATCAGTCAATCATCACTTGGGCACCCAAGGCCAAACCAACAATATAATTCTTCGTCTCTGGTCTCTAGGGCTTAGTCGCCCAGCAGACGAGCAGTGATATCTCCCAATTGAGCATCCTCCAGTTCCCGGGGTTGGCCTCCATTGGTGTTGATACCGACAAAGCGCAAAGCAGACACCACTTGTTCCAGATCAAAACCCATGTCGGTGAAACGGGAAACCAGGTCCCTGTTGTATCCACCGTATCTGGAGTTCAACCGTCAGCTCATGTTTTCTCTCAATTCAAAAAGATCTGAGTTGACTTACCGAGCAATATCGTCTTTGGGAGCTGATAACTGAGCATTGTTTGCCCCGCCGGTATTTCCTGAACCGGTGCCAGTGGAAGGCGCACCAGCATACGTCACAGCCCATTGCCGTGCAACACGCTCAAATTCTTGAGGAGCCTGTAGCATCATTGTGGCAACTTCCGCATCCTGGGGGTCTTTCGGCTCCGGAGTACTGAGCAGTGATTGCAATGAAAGCAATGACGATTTGACCGTCAAAACGGGCGACCAAGCAGTCCCAAGAGTATCAAGACAGATTGCACCCTAGGGTCATGTCAGTGAGTTTGAATCCACCAAGTATAATCAGAAAAGCACGTACTGTTTGGCTGCTGATGTTTGGATGCCACACTTTGGTTTCAAACTTCATAAGCGGAGGACGGAAAGGGTAATCGGTGGGGATTTTAATGTCGACACTATAGGTGCCGCCTTGATACGGCGTGTCGGGCGGCCCTGGGAAAGAACCACGGAGACGCGTGATATCCTCATGATCGCCAATCGGCTCAACCTGGATTTGAGAACTCTTGTCTTTAACAATGTCGGCCAGTTCTTTGGCCACACGGCGCATGCGATTACTAGCCATCTTGATGTTGGCTTTGATCTAAAGCGTACAGACGACTATGAGGCAGTTGTGGAGAAGAGGTGTGTGGAAGTAAAGACGGTGACTTCGGTCTTGTGGAGGCGAGGTGATCGTGTGTCGGGAAAGACTCGGAGAGATCGGACTCGGATGAGGAAAGACAAGGAATATGTACTGTATGATTCAATGTTAGCAAAAGATTCAACACGAAGCATGTGACTCGAAATAACTGGAGGGTAGTTCTTCGACAGGAACAAAAGGTATCTAAAATAGATAATAAAGAGCACAAGAGAGCGATCTCACCAGTGGAGGGGAAGTATGAGGGGCGAGCAGCTCTAGTACCGAGCTTACAAGGGCTGCGCCGGGCCTCGAGAATGAAAACTGATAGTGCGTATCAATATACTGCCAAACCCTCCAAGCAAGCTCTCTCGATGCCAGTCCCAGACCAAATTGTTGCAGCTTGACTGGAGGTTAGTGAAGAAGCTGGCTCAAGGCGGGCTCAGGCATTCAGGCATACATGACGCACGGCCTAAGGCCTGAGGCCATGATCACGTGCCGGCGGCAACAGCTTCCAGCTCGCAGACCCCCGAGCAGCAACATCCTAACTGCCGTGACAGCTCATCCCTTCCACCTCTGATTCCCCATCCATCTTCAGCTTCCTTATCCCCGGAGATTGAATTCCGCCCATCATCTTTGTTTTAATTCCTTCTCGGACACAGACAGTGATCCTGTCCCTGGCTTACAAACATGGTTGGTGACCCTGCCTGCTCAAGCTTTCGTCTTCCCGATTTGCCTTTACTGACATATCTTCGAACAGGGTAACCAGCAGTCTAACATGGGCGGTGGCCCTGGTGGCGATGGACGCGATGATAAGGATAAGAAGGTACGATTCCATCCGCTTCCCTGCTACTCGGTCAGTTCTGACTTCGCGCCTACAGAAGGACAAGCCCAGATACGAGCCTCCCCCGCCGCCTACCACCCGTCTCGGGCGCAAGAAGCGCAAGGCCGCCGGTCCCAGCACTGCCGCGAAGCTCCCAGATATCTACCCTACGTCGAGATGTAAGCTGCGTTATCTTCGCATGCAGCGGGTCCACGACCACTTGCTACTTGAGGAGGAATATGTTGAGAACATGGAGCGACTACGCAGAGCCAAGGCTCAGGAAACAAAAGGTCCTGTCAGCGATGGTGATATGGATGTGACCGATCGTAACGCGGATGAGCGGAGTCGTGTCGATGACATGCGAGGCAGCCCGATGGGAGTCGGCAACCTGGAGGAATTGATTGACGACGACCACGCGATCGTTTCCAGTGCCACTGGTCCCGAGTACTATGTATCGATCATGTCCTTCGTTGATAAGGATCTCCTCGAGCCCGGCGCCAGCATTCTCCTGCACCACAAGTCAGTCTCAGTCGTTGGTGTTTTGACCGAGGAGTCCGACCCTCTCGTGTCCGTAATGAAGCTCGACAAGGCTCCAACGGAGTCATATGCCGATATTGGTGGTCTTGAGTCCCAGATTCAAGAAGTCCGAGAGTCCGTGGAGTTGCCATTACTACACCCCGAGCTCTACGAGGAGATGGGTATCAAGCCACCGAAGGGTGTCATTCTCTACGGTGCCCCTGGTACCGGAAAGACACTGCTCGCGAAGGCTGTTGCCAACCAGACAAGCGCTACCTTCCTTCGAATCGTTGGCAGTGAGTTGATCCAGAAATATCTGGGTGATGGTCCGCGCTTGGTCCGTCAAATCTTCACAGTCGCCGCTGAGCACGCCCCGTCTATCGTGTTCATTGACGAGATTGATGCCATTGGTACAAAGCGTTACGAATCGCAATCTGGCGGTGAGCGTGAAATCCAGCGTACCATGCTGGAGCTTCTGAACCAGCTTGATGGTTTCGATGACCGAGGTGATGTGAAGGTCATTATGGCCACTAACAAAATCGAGACTCTCGACCCCGCTTTGATCCGTCCTGGTCGTATCGATCGTAAGATTCTCTTCGAGAACCCTGACCGTGAGTATTTCCCCAATATCCCCAACTTTGAATAGCCTAGCTAACGTGCCTCTAGAAAACACCAAGAAGAAGATTTTCACCCTGCACACGTCAAAGATGTCTCTTGCCGATGATGTCGATTTGGACGAATTCATCAACCAAAAGGATGACCTTTCCGGTGCCGATATCCGTGCCATCTGTACCGAGGCTGGTCTGATGGCCTTGCGAGAGCGTCGTATGCGGGTCCAGATGGAGGACTTCCGCTCGGCTCGTGAGCGCATCATGAAGACAAAGCAGGACGGTGGCCCTGTGGAGGGATTGTACTTGTAAGCGCTGATCAGTGCTCCGCTGAGGAAATCAGCTTGCTGGTCAACGTCTGCGCTGGACACCTCATCTGGGCGTATTGTGTATTTTAATGGAACGCATGCGAATGGCGGAAGCGATATACACCGAACTATCCTCTTGGCTCCTCTTCTTCCAGTATTATCTTGTAATTTCTCTCAAAGTGTCAACTTATTACTCACATGACATGTACATTCATAGATTGGTGGATCCTGATTGATAGTGCGATGCCGAAGCGGGTGCAAACATTGCAAACTAGCTCGAGCTTGAACTTATCGGCGTCGCAACTTCTTTTCCAACCCAACCTCTACAATCTTGCAAAATGGACGGCTTCGACGAAGAAGCTTTCAAGCAATTCTTCCCCTCCAGCTTCGGAAAGCAGGAGAAGTCGGTTGATATTAGTACCCAGATCGACCGGACCAAGCGTGCTGAGGTTTCGGTCCCAAAGCCGCCCGCAAACGATGAAGGGACAGAACTAACTGCACCCACCACAGCTGGCCCTGCAGAGACAGAAAAGAACCCCCAGGAGCCAAAGGACAGCGAGGATGATTCCGACGACGACGATGACTCCGACGACCAGGATGACGAGGACGAGTTCCCCGTGTCCCACGAACTAGTTATGAAGACACACGAGCGCGCCGTTACGACGATGACCATGGATCCATCGGGTGCGCGACTAATCACAGGTTCTACCGACTGCACGCTTAAGCTGCACGATTTTGCCAACATGACCCCTTCCACTATACGTGCATTCAAGTCCGTCGATCCGTCACTTAAGAAGCAATCCGCGTCGCAAGATACACACGCCGTTCACTACGCTGCATTCAACCCGCTATCGCCTGGCCATGTTCTGGTTGTGACTGCAACCGCCCAGCCGCGAATCCTTGATCGAGATGGTGAAACTATCACTGAGTTCGCGAAGGGTGACATGTACCTACGCGATCTCCACCACACCAAAGGACATATTTCCGAGGTATCCAGTGGAGCCTGGTGCCCATTTGATGAAAATTTGTGTGCGACTGCGGGATCAGACAGCACTGTGCGCATCTGGGATGCCAATGTTGGTCGTTCACAGAAGGAAGTCATTGTCCACAAGTCCAGGGTGGCTGGGTCTGCTGGCCGGACCAAGATGACAGCCGTCGCGTGGGGATCTTCAAAACAGGGTGGGTCAGATATTCTGGTTGCTGCGGCACTTGATGGTAGCTTGGCCATGTGGGGTGGCAAGGGTCCTTTCACACGGCCTGCTGGTGAGGTTAGAGATGCGCATACTCGGGACACCTGGACCAGTGGACTGGACGTTAGCTCTGATGGACGATACGTTGTCAGTCGAGGCGGAGATGATACCATTAAACTGTGGGATACCAGGAAGTTCAAAGCGCCAGTTACTATTGCGTCTCACCCCTCAACATCGTTCCGCTATCCCACATCCAACATCCAATTCTCTCCTTCGGCGGCGAATATTATTGTCGGCTCGGAAACTGGCCACCTTCATATTCTTAATCCGGCTTTGAGACCAGAGCTGGTGACCCCTGTCACCCCTGGCTCCCCGTTGATCACTGTTATGTGGCACGAGAAGCTCAACCAAATTCTGACCGGGTCAGCCAACGCCGAGACCCACGTTCTCTACAACCCGACGATGTCCACAAAGGGAGCTGCATTGGTCATGTCCAAAGCCCCCAAACTTCGACATGTGGACGATAACGTCTCCTTTACCACAGATATGTCCTCAGGGCTCGCTGGCGATTCTGTGGTGGTTGGATCCAATGGTGTTCCACATTACAGCTCAGCGACCTGGTCTGCTCGCCACCCAAATGTTGGACTCACAGCATCTGGTCGCTCTCGAGACCCGCGTAGACCACACTTGCCGCAAGTCACACCCTTCGCCAAGGGCGGGTCCGATGAAAGATTCATTCAGTCGCATATTCCTCTCAGCTCCATGCGTGATGAAGATCCTCGAGAGGCTCTTCTGAAGTATGCCGACAAGGCTCAGAAGGATCCTATCTTCACGAAGGCATACCAGGAGACACAACCCAAGGCCATTTACGCAGAAGTGAGTGATGATGAGGATCGCGGTCCTGAAAAGAAGAAGGCGCGGCGATAATCGTCAAGTCCCCACTTAAGGCCCTTGTATACTAGTTTTTACAGACTGCTTATACTTCAACGACGACGATGTTAAATCGAAATGAATTCATGGAAATAAACGACGTGTACACGCAAGCTGTAACTAAGTAACGCTACACTGCTCTCGAAACAAGCAGCGCATGGCCTCCTTACATAGGTCAGCAATGTTCCCCCTCTTTTCACTGCTCAATGACGTCCCAAGAGCGGGATCATCGCAGTACACGAAACCCGCCTGAACCACCAATGGTACAACTAAAACCACATGCTTTGACCTCGTGCAAGATTGGATTGCGCGTTTCACTCAGTGTTGCGTTGTGGCTTACATTAGTATTCTTCAGCCTGGAGTAAGGAGCGCCGGTTGGGTGCTGACATGAGCATTTTCTCCGCTCCAGCTCTTCTCCGTGCGTTGCCGCCTACTAACCTTTACGACCGCTACCTGGTCAAAGAACCTTTCCCTCCGACCTCAGCATGCCGTCTATATGAAATGCTCAATTTTCACTCCCTGATCTGAGTCGAGTCTAGTTGTCGAAAAGCCCCGGTATTCGAGCGCTTCTGTCGGTATCCCGAGTCTATCCCGGTGAATGCGGTACTTATCGCACTTGTTACTGCCTCACTCATATCCTACGCGACGGAGATGGACTCTTCACAGCAGCAGCTGGTAGCAGGCCTGCTTACATCGCTCGTATCTTCGACTATCGCGCCATCCGCCACAACCCCGACCTTCGCCTCCTATTCGCGCTACGCTCATTCTGTTCCTCCTTCCTCGACTGCGGTCCCTCCACATAACCGTAATGGCGACGGACAAAGCCATATGCATGAGTGGTCGTCACTTATTGGTATTACCACGGCATTAATCGGTAATGTCTTCATCTCAGTGGCGCTCAATATCCAGCGCTACGCGCATCTTCGAATCGCTCGTGAATGGGAAGAAGATAAGAGCAGACACAAGGCGGAATGGCGGCGCACGCATTCAGAGTCCTCCTTTGAAAACCGGTATGGGGCTCTTGGAAACGATGATGCGAACGAATCCCGAGGACACTCGCGGAAGCAAAACCGGCGTAATGAAAGTCGCGGCTTTTCGCCGTACCGTGATGAGGACGGCAATACGAGAGATAGTAGCAACACCTCTTCGCGAGATTCTTTCGAGTCCGATCGGACTGCCCGCCCTGGCGACGGAGAACACCAGCGCAAGTCCTATCTCAAGTCTCCATACTGGTGGGTTGGAATCGTGCTTATGTGTCTTGGTGAGATGGGCAACTTCATGGCCTACGGATTCGCACCAGCTTCTATTGTGTCTCCTCTAGGTGTTGTGGCTTTGATATCGAACTGCGTTATCGCCCCATGTCTTCTGAAAGAGAAGTTCCGATCGCGGGATTTCTGGGGCGTTTTGGTCGCTATCGCAGGTGCTGTGGTTGTCGTGCTCAGTGCCAAGGACTCTGAAGAGAAGTTGGGCCCTGAGGAAATTTGGATGATGATCACTCGCTGGGAATTTGAGCTCTATCTAGGCTTGACCACTGGGCTGATCATTGCTCTTATGTGGGCTAGCTTCCAGTATGGCTCACGCTCAATACTCATTGATGTCGGGCTGGTGGCACTGTTCGGTGGATATACAGCTCTTTCTACAAAGGGTGTTTCTTCACTGCTGTCGTTCACCCTCTGGCACGTCATCACTTTCCCCATCACATATTTGCTCGTGTTTGTTCTTGTCTTCAGCGCATTGATGCAAATTCGCTACATCAACCGCGCCCTGCAACGTTTCGACTCGACCCAAGTGATCCCGACTCAGTTCGTTCTCTTTACCTTGTCCGTCATCGTTGGAAGTGCTGTCCTCTACCGTGACTTTGAGTCAATGACGGCCGAGCGTGCAATGAAGTTCGTGGGAGGATGTTTTTTGACATTCCTGGGAGTTTATTTCATCACCAGTGGTAGGGCTCGGTCCGATGACGAATCTACCTTTTCCACTGAAGACGAAGAAGAAGCCATTGGCTTGCTGCACGGCGAACGATACCATGATCGAATTGATCTCTCCCCTCCTGGCCATCATATTGGATTGTCAAAAACACTGCATTCCGCTCCTGGTGTAGATGTTGACGTCGTGCACTCGCCTTCAGGATCTCTTGCGAGTCGTGGGATCGACGGAGTCGATGAGAACGAGCTCACACCTCGAGGGGTCCTATCTGCTGTATCATCATCTCCTGCAGGCTCATTGACCGCCGGGTCGACTTTTTCGGGCCCCGAGCTGGACCACGCATCTCCTTTGCGCCCACCTTCTCGCATGTCCAACCCATGGGCAGACTCGGATCAACCTCTCGCGACACCCCAATCCGATACGGTGCTTTACCGCCCCACTACTCCTTCACCTCGCGCTGGTGATCCCATCCAGGAATCAACAGTCCTTCTTCAGTTCCCTCCGGCACCCGGCGCAGAGCATTCAACTCCCGATGGTGTACCAGCAACTATTCGTCGTGCCTCCACCCCGGCTGCTGGAAACGAACCCCATGTTCTTCTCGAGACGCCCTCCCGACGCGTTTTGCGCAGCTCCCTCTCTCACCGGTTCTCACCCGGTCCTCTTCTCCCTACTCTTTCGGGTGGTTTCAGTGCCGTAGTTGCCGAATCCCTTCGCCGTGGCGAAGGCAGTCCTTTGAAAGACCGCAGCAGGCGGAAACTAGGTCGTCGCAGGCAACTTGATGGCGCATTTGACCGAGGGACGGGCCGTCACCAAGATGGCGATCTTGCACAACCGAGGGCCGATGTCGATGGCCTTGAAAACCAGTTGACACTTGCCAATGCTCGTCTCCAGTCCGCCACAAACCCGGCAGAGCCATCCGCCAAGGCCGCTCGCTCCACGCCTGCGCTTGCTGTCGAGCTCTACACCACGGAGCCTCACACCACCGATGAAGAAACAACACGGCTCCGCAGCTTCAGTGACTCGTGGAGCGGTGGCCTCGCATGGCTGGGCGGTGCATTGAAAAAGCAAAATCAGCCCGTCGATAGCGGTGCGGTGACGCAAGGCACCGTAACTCCGCAGGCCAGCGAGGGACCCTCGGCACAAGGTGAAAACCAACACAATGCAAACACCGAGAGCGAACCTCGGACATAATCGAGCAAAGGCAACCCTTGACTTTTGCAATTAGACCGTACATGAGTGGCTGGGTCACTCAACACATCACATTCATACCTCTTCATCATCATCTCCTTTCTCTTTTTACGCCAAGACCTTCTTTTTTGTTGGCATATGGGCTTGTAATCGATATTGCATTCTGCAGGGTATATTCTGTTGGTCATTTGAAACCCTTCTGTGTCATCTCATTTTGTCGCGTGAAGTTAAAGGCGGGCCTGCGTCAACTTATCCCTGTCATGGGATGTCTTTCTCAATCTCACATCCTTTGTACATCTCATCTTACTCCATCTCAGTTAATAATCTCCCAAATAAATAGCTAACCGAGTCTCATTTCCGACATTTGATTAAATCTCGCATGACGCCTGCCCGCCGGGGCTAACGACGTACTATTATAGGTGGAAAAAGGTGAGACTGCAGACTATGCAATCATCCAGTAAACGTGTAGAGATCCCTCCGCATCCTGAATTTAGCCGCACCTACCTAGGTACTCTCATCTTCTTAGCTTCTCCACTCGGATCGTCAGGTAAACAAGATGAACCCCCGCTCAGACGCGGGGTTATTGCCCCGTTTCCATATAGTCTTAGTGTACATGCTGCAGGTCAGCTCCTGCGGCCGTGATTTGTTCACAATGACTTCATCTCCGTGGTGCATACTAGCCTTGCAGCTAGGATTTCATCCGAAGCTCTAACATTCCAGAACGAGCAAGGTCTGTGGCGCGATGGAACAAGCCCCGATATTTTCCCCGCGGGGTCGAGAAATTGTGTCCGACCAGGGTGTCTTATATGCAGTTCCGATCGGCGCTTTTTGGGTATTCATTCTTTCGAACTTTCCAATTGAACCTTTTTGTCCATTGAGCTGGCTTGTGAGCCTGCGGGATTGATTTGGACAAAAAGGCGTCAAATTCACATCAAGATGAAGGCTACCGGACTTTCGAAGGGATTGTTCCTGGCGCAGTTCTTTGCTGCTATTACCCTTGGATATGCTTCGAAGACTCCACTCTACAAAGATGCCGGTGCACCTGTTGAAAAAAGGGTTGAGGACTTATTGGGTCGAATGACGATCGAGGATAAGATGGCGCAGTTAATACAAGGTATGTTTATACAATACAATTGCATCCCCGAACAATGAAAGCAGGGCACTAGCTGACCGTGGGCTTAGGTGACGTTACGAATTGGATGAACCAAACTTCGGGGGCATTCAACTATACGGGACTCGTGGAGAATATGGAAATGAAGGCTGGCTCGTTCTACGGTATGATTCTATGTCCAGGCGCATACAGACTAGGAAAACCCTGTACTCTTTATGAATGCTCACAATCATAGTGGGATATCCTGTTCCGTGGGATTGGATATCGGATAACATCAAGAGAGGCCAAGACTATCTTCTTCAGAATACTACACTTGGAATCCCTGCTCTGGTTCAAACTGAAGGTACGGACATACTTTTAGCTTTGGCTCAGGAAGCAATTTGACTAATCGTTGTTAGGCATACACGGATTCTTGATTGGCAATGCTACAATCTTCAATTCTCCTATTGGCTTTGGAAGCTCATGGAATCCCGAGGTTAGTGGCCCAGAGTTATGAAATGCCGCAAAGCTCGATATCTAAAGATCATATAGCTAGTCCAGAAGATGGCCGAGGTCATCGGCCGCGAAGCCCGAGCACTGGGCGCCAGTCAACTCTTTGCTCCTGAGGTTGATTTGGCTCGTGAACTCCGCTATGGTCGTGTAAGTTTCAAATATCTTTCCTGCGGCGTTTGGACTGACAAATGAAAAGGTTGAAGAAACTTTCTCCGAAGATCCCTTCCTGGCAGGCGAGATCGGGTACAGCTACGTAACAGGTCTGCAGAGTAAGAACGTTTCGGCGATGGTGAAGCACTTTGTCGGATTCAGCAACCCGGAGCAAGGAATAAACACGGGGCCTGTGCATGGGGGTGAGAGGGAGTTGCGAACCACGTATGTTGAACATACCAGAAAGTCGAAGATATACTTATAACTGTCCAGCTGGATGCCCTCGTTCAAGCGCGCTATTATTGATGCCGGTGCTTGGGCAATCATGGCGGCGTACCATTCGTGAGTGCATCTAACTTGGAAGAAGGAATATCTTCTGCGGAGGCTAATCCTGGTTTTAATAGATATGATGGTGTTCCCGCAGTGGCCGATTACCATACTCTCACGGAAGTTCTGAGAGAGGAATGGGGCTACGACTACTTCGTTATGACTGATGCCGGTGGAAGTGACAGACTATGCAGCTACTTCAAGATGTGCCAGAGTGACCCTATTGATATGGAATCGGTCACGGAGCAGCTATTGACCGCCGGTATTGATGTTGAGATGGGAGGCGGTTCCTTGTAAGAGCCTCAAGCGAGAAAAAGAACGCCGAACATAGCTGACCTGAGTCCAGTAATTTCCAGAAAATCCCAGAGTTGGTCAAGTCTGGAAAGTTGGACGTATCCTACGTCAACACTGCAGTATCCAGGCTGCTTCGAGTCAAGTTTGAAATGGGACTCTTCGAAGAACCATATCCCGCTGCACCGGAGAACCAGTGGCATAAGCTCATCAACAATGATGAGGCAAAGCAGATCGCGAGGGATCTAGACAAAGAGTCTATCATCCTCTTGGAGAACCACAATGAGACACTACCACTGGAGAAATCGGGCAGTATTGCAGTGATTGGACCTATGGCTCATGGGTTCATGAACGTGAGTACATACTCTTACTGCCAAGATCTAGCATCTAACTTAAATACTATCCATAGTACGGCGACTATGTAGTTTACGAGAGCCAGTACCGCGGCGTGACTCCACTCGAGGGCATCAAAGCCGCAGTCGGCGACAAAGCCGAGATCAACTACGCCCAAGGCTGCGAGCGATGGAGCAACGATCAATCTGGATTTGACAAAGCAATCGAAGCAGCAAAGAAATCCGACGTTGCCGTTGTAGTAGTTGGAACCTGGTCTCGCGACCAAGTCCAGCTCTGGGAGGGTCTAAATGCAACGTGAGTGAGACACTTTTTTTTTCATCCCGCCCCACTGCCATACCCAGACCCCTACCAAGACATGGTTGCCCTAATTTAAACTCAGCACCGGTGAACACGTCGACGAAGATGACCTGTCACTTGTCGGAGCTCAGGCTCCTCTGATCAAAGCTATTGTCGATACTGGTGTCCCCACTGTGGTTGTCTTGTCGAGCGGAAAACCCGTTACAGAGACTTGGCTTTCTAACTCCACTTCGGCACTGGTGCAACAATTTTACCCATCCGAGGAAGGTGGAAATGCTCTCGCTGATGTGCTGTTCGGTGACTATAACCCCTCTGGAAAGCTATCTGTCAGTTTCCCTCGCTATGTGGGCGATCTGCCCATCTTCTACGATTTCCTGAACTCGGGTCGCTCCATTGGGGACTCGGGCTATGAGCTCAGTAATGGGACTCTTGTCTTTGGGCATCAATATGTTCTAGGCAATCCGACGCCATGGTATCCATTCGGCTACGGCAAAAGTTACTCCACTTTCGAGTATGGGTCTGTTAGTCTCGACCGGAGCAGGATTTCTGCATCAGAGAGCACCGTGACTGTTAGCGTTAATGTGACCAATACAAACTCGAAGCGGGATGGAACGGAGGTCGTCCAGGTTTATGTCTCGGATGAGATTGCTACGGTTGTTGTTCCGAATCAATCGCTGAAGGGCTTTGCCAAGGTGGTGATTCCCGCTGGTAAGACCGAGACTGTCAAGATCCCGATCAAGGTTCAAGATCTTGGGCTGTGGAATAACAGGATGAAGTATGTGGTGGAACCGGGTAACTTTACTGTGATGGCTGGAAGTAGTTCGGGGGATATAAGGGGAAATACCACGCTCACTGTGTTGTGAAGCGTAGTCGCGATAGCCGCATAATCCAATCCCTTTCATTAAGATAGGAAGGTGATTTTCCAATATCATGATTTTCGTAAAACAGTGTTCATTTCATGTCTTTTGAATCCAAAATCCAAAATTATTAATTATAACAAGGCGCCGCCCGCGTCTATATCCAAGAAGGTGAATGGAAGCTATAATCCCCCGTTTGCTCCATCTCTGGTCTCAACGGCCAGTCTTCCATCCTCTCAGGCACCGTCCTTGTTAGAGTCAATCTTTTATAGGCATTTCCATTTTCAGAATGAGACCTCAACAATTCCTCTTCATCGGAAACAGATCCTTCCACATCCTGCTCGAGACTAAGGATAACTTCAATCGCTTGTTGATCCTCGGTGACCTTCGGGTGACGACTGGCGAAATAGCGTGCGTATTTATAGAGAGACCAATAGCAGCTGACCACATTGATGACGGTGAGTGCAATCTTGTAGAAGGTATAGTAGAAAATCAAGACGACATAACCGATGCGCTCATTCTTCTTTCGCAGATGGATCTCGTTGAAGATGATAACGTTGATGATATACATTCCGATCGTGGCGCCGAGAAGAATGCCACAGAATTCAGGGCGAACGACAAATGAGATCGGGAGCATGAATGGTGCCATGAGGTAGATGAGCGTTTCATAGACCTCTTGGAAAACACAGAGCTTAGCGCCGATTTCCCACCAGCCAAGCTTCCAGCTTGTCAGGATGTACTTGATATCATAGTACATGCCGACGACAAAGAAGAAGTTCCATCGCTTGAAACGCTGGGAAAAAATGGTCATCTCTCCAAAGCCGCCGCGACTACCACTTCCACTGAAGAAGACAGACGTCGGAGTTTCGGTCTCCACGAAAACAGAAGAGCACATCGTGATGCGTCCTCCAAGGCGACGACAACTATCACCGAAGAACCAATCCTCGGAAACTGAGAATCCAGGGTGCTCATAAAATGTCTGCTTCAAAAATTCCGTGTTCCAAATTGAGATTGCGCCGTGAGGGAACGTTGCACTGCCAAGTTTTCCGAAGAAAGCCCGTTGCAGACCAGACATTTTATATTCGAGATCTTGCGCCTGTTGACAGAATGTGCCTTTCGATGAATCCGGACCAACACTCTTGATCGTGTATCCAATACACTTGACCCTCCCTTTCAGTCGGTCGGCGACGATGGGGAAGTTGGGGGGTAGTGCACAATCGTCGTCGATGAGGAGGACATTTTCAAAGCCCTTGGCAGCATAGCAGCCAGCAAATTGGGCGACGATCTTAGATCCAACAGGAACCCAGAGGTGGTTCACACCGTAAGGCTGGCAAACTTCTTCGGTGTTGTCGAGAGGTGTTTCGTTATTGCCATTGGCGATAACGAAGATGTTCTGCGGGGGAAAGACTTTCAAAGCGGCTTTCAAAGTTGGCCCGATGATGTTGGCAGATTTATAGCACGGGATAATCAAGGCTGTATCTTTGGCATTTGAGTAGTTCTTCTCCAAGTCAAGGTTGCTGTCGTCGATTGTAGGAGGATCCTTCTCGAATAGGATGAGAAGAGGGAGGAATGCATAGCTAAATCAGTTAGATCCTGATACAATCGAGAAACAGCCAGAGTAACTCACAGTGCAGCTAAACCAATGGTAATAGCATAACCTCCTTGAATGACAAATTTGGTTCTCACAACCCAGTAGAGCCACCAAACGGCTCCTTTCCATAGTGGCATACCCACAAGGACAAAGTAGACAAATAAGATGAGGAGAGCATATAGACTATATTCGAACAGCAATCGAACCCAGTGTTTCCGCTGAAGAGCAACACCCCTCACTTTGGCCTTTTCGTAAACCTCGTACATGCTATTCCGGTTGCTCTTGAAGTGAGAGGTGGTTGGACTTCTTGCTGGACTTCTTGCTGGACTGCTTGTTGGGCTTTCTTTAGGGCTGAGGATGGCCTCTTTAATCGGTGATAGTGGTGCATTTCTCTCCGGGTCGGTGATCGGAGGGACTAAAAAGTCGGTTTTTCTGATGTTCTCCCATCCTAAACAGTTCAAGTTAGATGGTTGACAATGGTAACATAGAATGCATAGAACACATACTGTGTATTTCGGCAGGATTGCTTAGCGGTCGAGTCGCGGGAGGAGGTCTCTGAACACGACGAGTGGAAAGACTAGCAGACCTAAGCAGGCCGCCGGACTGGGTTTTGCCAGCTGATGAGGGTCGGGCTTGTGTGCGATCATTTTGGGGGAGCGATTTCTCCCATTTCAATTGTTCCCATGGAGAATTGAATTTTGCAGTCGACAGCAGGTGCTTGGGTACCGGCACATCCTCCACAATAGAAAGTGTGGTATTCTCCCTCTCAGACATTATAATATAGAGAACAAGTAAAGACTGACTGTGTTAAGTGAAAGACACATACACGCAAGAGAGAAAAGAATGGATGGTGAGCAGAGCTTTTACCGAAGAAAAGAATGACTAGTTGAGCTACTAGAAAAGAAGCTCCGGATCACGTTTAAAGAAATTGTATGTCTACGGACGAGATCTTAGCTTGGAGAGTGGGCCTTTGGTCGGTGCGCTGTCTCCATCTTCTTCCTTGCTAGACCTAGACTAGACTGTTCCTTGTCTTGAAAGTAATGTTTCTGAGCCTCAAATTTGGACTTGCCGGTCTCTCCGGTATGAATGTCACGGAATTTGGGGAATACTCGCGCGTATTTCGCCTAAAGAACCATCGGCAAACATGAAACTCTTAGAATGATGCTTACCGCTTGAGCGCTTGAAGCCGTGTCTCTGTTACTACTAGGACTGAAAAAGGCTTTGCCGGAATGATGCTAGTTCAAAAAAAACCGAATGAAATATTCTATGGAGAGCCCTATTCTTAGGTGGTAGCCTTGGTTCCAGAATTCGGTGGGCCAGTTATCCGCTTCCACCCCGGTTTGGCTCTCAGACACCGGCGGGCAGGGTCTTAACAATTTTAGAAAAACCCAAGGACATAATAAGATGAACCATGGATGTAAAGCTAAGAGCTCGATTATCAAGAAGACCTTGAATCATAGTATCCAGAAAAATTTACGGACCTACTTGATTTGGGCTTAGCTTGAAGTCGAGACTCGGCTAGAAGAGTTTTTAGCGCAACGGTAGCGTAGCCTTATGAAGCACGTACATGTTCGACCAGTGAAAAAAAGAGACGGAGATCTGGCCCGATGATCTTCAATTTTCTTTCTTGTTTGGTGCGTACTAATCTTGCTCGTCCTCCTCGGTGGGCTCCGACGTACCGTGGGTTGCGTCGTAGGAGAAGTGGAGAGAGTGCTTCGTCAGAGCGGTCCAGGAACGAGCCAGAAACGAGAACGCCAAGCTAAAGCCATCCGGATCCACTTTCAACTAAGTGGGATTTCTAGTCAACAAATTACCCTCCTAATTAGATGAAAGAGTCCAGACTTGTTTCTTTTCGACGTCATGTTCATCGCCTTCCTTGCTTTTGACAATGAACATGTTAATAATGCTTCCCTAGGTAAGATGTTTGGAGAATCGCCAAAAACAAAGCCAAGCTAAATTTAGCTTCCCGGCTCGGCAGAGGCGGCATTGTGGATGCTAAGTTGCACAGCTACCTATGCCCATTCCAGTAGGTGTACGAATATCATCAAAATTTGGAATCGCCCATGACTATGGCGGTGTATGCCCTAGGCGGGCTGGATCTATTTCAAAACAAAGCTAAGTGATCGATCTGCTAACCTTGCATGAACCAAGTGGGAACATATGCATGGGATCCAATTGAGCAAAAAGAATTGAGCGATAGGTTCCTAGTTGATTGGTGACGCGTACTAGAACGTGGTCCGGCTACTCCGGATTCCAAGTCTTCGTTTTGTTTGCATTTTCTGACGTTATAGGACAGCTTCGAAGCCACGGAAAGCCACGCAACGAGTGGTCCTCGGGGCTTCAATGGCAAATCAAACTGCCATGTGGGCGCATTTTGTAAGATCGCTGAATGTAGGGAAATTATAAGAAACTAAGTAGTCATAAATACGTGTAAAGTATACCCAAGCGGTACCTATGTCTAAGTCGGGCCTGTTCCCCGTATCCACCTCAGCCGATTGCGGGATTTTCTGTGTAGCATGGTCTTTCGCTGTAGAATGGCCTTCCGGCGTAGCATAGTCTCCCAGGATACAAAGTGACTGATAATCCTAAATATTGAGAGAAGTGAGGCAGTTATGTAGGAACACCTCCAGCCTGATGAATGTGATCATGTAAATGTGACTAAACAGGCAGCGATGCTTATTTGACCGGCCATAGTTCAAGTCGGTCGAAAGCAGACCCGAAAAACGCACACAGTGACAAAACTAAAGGATATCGGAACAGACGTGCAAAGAAAACACAGCCTGATGTATATATAGACGGACTAAAGGAGCCAAGTGCCTAGGAGAGCTGTTGAAAGGGGAAGAGTAAGAAAGGTGCCAAGGTGAGGTTCGCAGTGAAGATACCGGGCATTTGTTTGTGAGATATCCAACAATATCGAAATATTATCTCCCATTTGCACGTAGACGTGAGAAAAGTTGGAAACCCCGAAATTCGATTCAATTATTAGCTTTCCAGGCCTATATCGCAAGGTCTTTTCCAACTCTCTCCTCCCCGTTGGTAAGTTATCTTTCTCAGCACCAATCCAAATACATGAACACATAGAGATAGAATGCTACCTAATTGTGTAACTAAGACCATTTGACGAATGGAAGTCAAGTTGAATTGATAAACTACATTGCCGACTTGCAACTTGCAGTCATAAAAAAAAAAAAGGAAAGAAAATAGGCCCACATCCTCATCTATTGAACTTCAGGGCCACTTATAAAGTTTCCAGTCCACCATCTTGACGCTTTCAATTTCCCATTCATCATTCCGCGCAGTTACGTCTCTTTTGGGACTTTCGAATGCGATAAGGCGGGTACCAAGGGCCTAAGTAATGCCATATGGAGCTACGAGCCCACCTACCTTGCCACCCTTGGCCCTCTTGCAAAGGGCGTGGTATGGCCCATTCTCACTATCCGGCATTTTATAGATCTTGTTTTCCTGATCAAAGAAGTTATAAGCGCAGAGAATTACCGTTTGGCTCTGTTCTGGAAATTCGCCGCTTCGGAGATTGTAGATCGTGACATTCTTTCAGAAGTTAGCTACAGTGTCCTTCCAGAAGCTCGTTTCAAATTATCGCTTGAGAACCCATGAGGTCTTTTAGCTGTCCTATTTCCGTAGTGATTAGCGCGACCTAAGTAGAAACCTTTTGATCAATACGCTTAAATTCTCATCAAAAGAAATGGCAATCAAAAATATGAATACGAATGTCCATTGTAGAGTTAAACGAAAGGCTATGGTATCGAACCGAAATCAAACGGCCAAGGAACAATTTCATGGTCTCGTAAATATAAAAGAGCAATGCATGGTTCAAGGCGCTGCATCTGCGTTACCTCCAGTATCTGATCCAGAAGCATTGCGGCCAGCCGCTTGGTTAGATGAATCCGTGTCTGGGTGTGGAGAGGCTGGAATATCTGGTCGTTGACTGCTCTGGCCATCGGCTGGACGACCCTCTGCTCTTCGTGTTTTGGCACCCTCTTTCAATTTCTCCCAACGATCACGGTACCGTCCAAGGACGGTCTTCAGTTTTTCGTTCTCCTGTGCAATGCGATCCAGATCTTGCTGTTTGCGATGAGCGAGTTCTTCTAGCTCCTTGATCTTCGGGTCTATATCGGACATTGCTGGTGCCGTGGACATTTGGGCCACCGGGGATGCCGCAGATGAGAAGCCATGTGCCAGTTGCTCTGGAGATCCAGTGTTGTGATGATGCATGAATCTCAATGACTGCTGAAGTGCCATGGATGATGACTGTGCATTGACTTCCCACATGTGCAGTCGCTTTGATAGAGTATCGGACAGCTGTTTCAGTGCCTGATTCTCCATCTGTAGTTCTTCAACGGTTTTCGGGTTCTGGCTTATGAGTTTGTCTGGCGCACCTCGACGCCCACTTCGAGAACTGCCTGTACTCTGGCGCATCTCTGGTGACGCTGGAGCTTCCCGTGCATCAACAAATTCATCATCAGCCTCGTCCAAGCTATTCCGACGAGCCTCCTTCTCTGCTCGCGTTAGGATCCCGGCATAAGACATTGTTCCTCCTGATGTAGGAACGACGTAGAAGGACTCGGCAGGGTTTCCAGGGGCGCTTCCGGGCGTATCCCGAATCGACCGCAGAGCTGCTCGAGAGAATAAACGACTCACGTCCGGCTCCGCTGTCGAGGATGATCGGTCTGAAGTTGCATGATGGCGATCTAGTTTGGTCTCAGCGGACGACTTCCGGTTTGCAGACGCAGCCTTGGCGGGGTCCTCTGATAACAAAGGAAGCCCAGCAAAGGCTAACGGAGCTGAAATCTTGGATATCAGGCCTTCAAATGTGGAATAGAACCGCTGGAACCCCTCGTCATTCGTCGATGATCTGGACTTGGAAGGCAGATTTTCGGCGGCGTTTGCTGGTACGACTTCATGGGATATGATCTCTGTAGGACTGGGCATCGGAGGAGACCACATTTGTTTGGGTGCAGATGCTCGGCTCTGACGAGTTTTATTTGGAACCTCCCGCAATCTTGATTCACCGGATTTGGCCCTCGACCCCTCCGTCATCTTCGCTCCGGCTTGTTGGGCAGAAAGAGTCGGTGACACCGGTGATCCGCGACGAGGGTGCGAAGGTATACCACGAGCCGAGGCCAGGTTACTGGCTATAGATGAGGATTCGCGACTCAGCATCCGAGGCATTCCCGGTAGTTTCGGCGGCTGGTTTTGAGCATCCTGGCTTGTGGCCTTGGTGCTCCCGGGGTCTGTGGCCGAGGGTTGCGCTGCAGCGTTCGAGGGGGAGGTCTTCGGTGTTTCGGCGGTTGTACTAGCAGGATGCTCATGCTGGAATCTCAAGATTTCGGCCAGAGTCTTGTGCTGGTATTCAAGTAGCCGCAAGGTTCGGAGAGCCTGTATGCCCGACTGCGGTCAGCGTGCGATAACCTCGAAGGAGGGGCATAGCCTGCCTCACCTCTGGGTCAGAGCTATTCTGGGCAGCGGTAGCGAATTCGCCGGCAGCCAAGTCATGTTCCTCACTGGCGGCGACGGGATTCGATTTGCGGGTCTCGAATGCAGCATTTCTCGCGTGGGTATGGGCCTGATCAAGTTAGAGACGAAGTACAAACGTGGGGATCCCCTTACCAGTGTAAGCGGAGCTGCCTCCATGTTTAATCAGCAGAACACGGGCGTAAAAAGTAGAGGTGAGCAGTCTGGGAGGCTCGGAGGAGAAAGAGAACATTTGAATGAGTGACGCCATGCCCGTAGCTGACAAGATAAGGGAGGAGCAGCTTGAGACATCAGCCATTCATCCGTCTTCCACCGCAACTACATGAACAAAGACCCGATGCGATTATACAGTATAGTCGAATACTGCTTTTGCTTTTCTCGAACCTAGGTGGTATCTACCTCAATCGGAGATTAAGCTGAAAGCAGCATCCACCGGGACTCCGTCGCATCGGCATTCTAAGTGGTGGGGAAAAGGCTACGCTAACTTTCTCCCCCCTAAAAAAAAAGGCATAGTGCAGATCCAAAGAAGTATCAAAAATAGAATCTTGTAAGGTAGTAGTGAACCTAGCACAAGGCTGAGGAGCTAGAAGCTACATAGAACGATCAAACTAGAAAGGAGAAAGCCTAGATTTGCGGCCTCGGCAGAGCACCTGACTAAGGTGTCCAAGTGTCAACTGCGGAGCTTCTCCCCTCGTTCATCCAGGGGATCCGCTCTGTCTATTATTCCGCAATGCAACTCCCATTGACGGGGTTATGCAGCTGATTGATCTGCTTCCCTCTTTTGGTTTAATCCCCAACTGTTCATAGCCTATCTGGGCTCACCTCTGCCATGGCCGACTCCGAAACCTCCAGCCTCCAGGGCACCAGGTCACGTCGCGCCTGGACAGTCTCTGCAGATTCAGAAGCAATGGATAACTCAGGTCGGAGTAACGGCCGTTCATCCAATGCTTCTAGCTTCGAACGACCTAAAACTTCAACTGGGGAAGTCCCAGATTCTGCTAAGGCTGGACCTAGCGGCATCTCCAAGCTCCTCAAAGCGCGACGGAGGCGGAAGAAGAACGACAAGACACCTGCAGATGCGCCACCTGTACCGGAAATTCTGACTGAAGAGGATCTTCAGATGAGCCGGTCGAATGATTCCCGTGATGGCAATTCCACCCTACCTTCATCCAACGATAGCTCAGCCCCGCCGGAAAGCGAAGTCATCAACTTGTTGACCGACGATTCCGAGCCCGAAAGGTACGCCGAACCCCCTGCTGCCCCGTTCCTATCGTCTCAAGAATCTCACTAACACATTTCCTACATAGGACTCCGCCTCTCACCTCTCACAACTCCCATACGGGATTCTATACCTCCTCCTCTCCCCTCATTAAGACGTCATCCGCGGACGCCCCCGAATCTGAAGGCTTTCAAGCCGACGTCGAATCAGCTGTGAGCGGCCCAAGTGTGACTGGATCCGAATCGGCTACTAGCGATGATCCCCCGAGGCAAGGCATTCAATCAAGTATGACCTTGGATGTCCCGGCCGGCAATAGCAAACGCCGCAGTGCTTCGCCATCACCGGGGCGGCGTTTCAAAGATGCCTTTAGCTCCGATAAGAAAAGTGAGAAAAGCGCAAGCCCGACTGCAAGCACGACTGCAAGCGACGACGCAGACCGAGCATCCTCAAAATCTGGTAGCAAGGACAAACGGAGTATATTTGGAAGCAGACGCAGTAGTCTCTCATCGAAACGGGCTCAGGCAGCTCCAGGTGAAGCTCCTCCGCCCCTGCCGGCTCCAATTCGTACGGACTTGACAGAGAGTAAACCTCGTTCCCTGGAAGCAAGCCCCCTACCGAACACGCCTCCGCATACAGCCATCCCAGCCCCAGCCACGACCGTAACCCCGCCCACCCCGACCGAACACCGGCCACTTAACCCCCAAATACTAGGCGGTGGAGTAACGGACTCCCCAGAATCAATCACATCTCGGAATTCCATATCATCTCCTCCGGGGGTCACTACTGTGAGTCCCTCTGGAAATATGATCTCACATCGGCGAGTACGGTCTGCTTCTGCAGCTCATGGCCCGAGCAAGTTATCAAATGTCACGGCATTGAGCCCGCTGGACGAAGGAAAGTCCCTCAAGAGTTCACCCAGTCAACAAAGTGGTTTCTTTTCATCGGTGTTCTCTGTCGCACAAAACGCCGCATCCTCAATTAGCAATACCCTCAACAACCAACAAAGAAGCCGCACTATCTCTTCCGCCGTACCTGCTGAGTTTGAAGAAGACGGCGACGGCTCTTTCGAAGGTCTTGATAGGAACTCCGACGCGAGTAAAGGCGAAGACGGGAAGCCTTCAGCTTTGCAGACCCTGGGGGCTGGTGATCTGAATTTCAGTCATCTGGACATTGATGCGCCGCCCGGAGAGGTGATTTCTACTACTGATGGTGTAGTTGTCACTAAGCCTCCAGCGACCCCAGCTGACAAGCGGAAGAATGCAGCAGTCCAGCGGCGAGATGAGGATTCTGCGAAGCTTGAGGACCAGCGTGCAACACGCGCAGTTAACCTGGCCTATGAAAAGCCCAGTGATTTCCCCTCTATCGGGTCTCCTGGCGAGGATGTCTTGGATACTCAGTCTACCGTTTCTATCCCTAAAGACGGCATTATGACTGGGGATCATACTCCTCCCACTGGCAGTATCGTTGACGGTGATTTTGGCAGCGGCATCAAGCGAAGTGGAAGTGTGCGCAGTCGACTTGCGCGACGCCACCGTGGTTCTTCTGGGGCCACTGCCTCGACAATTGGTGCTATCGGAGCTGGAGCCAGTGCCCTAGCTCTCGGTGCTCCTGGTGTCAATTCAAGCGTACCTCGGCTGACCGGCTTCGCTGTGGCGAGTAAGAAGCGCAACCGAGACTTTCACCAGCTGTTCCGAAGTGTCCCAGAGGATGACTATTTGATTGAAGACTACAGCTGCGCGTTACAGCGCGAGATCATTCTCGCTGGCCGTATCTACGTCTCCGAAGGTCATATTTGCTTCTCCAGTAATATCCTGGGATGGGTAACTACTCTTGTCATCAGTTTTGATGAGGTTGTCGCCATCGAGAAAGAGAACACTGCAATGGTTTTCCCCAATGCGATTGCCATTCAGACATTGCACGCTCGACACACCTTCCGCAGTCTGCTTAGCCGTGAATCTACATATGATCTGATGGTTAACATTTGGAAGATCAATCACCCGTCTGTCAAAAGCTCCGTGAATGGAACCCGGGTCACCAACTCAACTGGTGATAAGACTGAGAAGGTTGGAGATGGTGAGAGTGACTCTGAAAGCGTCATTTCTGATGAAGACGAGGTTTACGATGAGGATGAAGAAGGCGACGCTGCCGACAGCTTCTTCGAGGCAGGGCCCAGCGCCAACGCTAGTGATAGGTCATTGCCTGGCCGAACAGGTCTTAGCCGCCAAACCTCAGGCTTGTCTACCAATGCAACGATCCCCGGGGCCGGGCCAGGTAACGGCGATACCAAGAATGGCGACAAATCGGCGGCTTCCAAGGAACCCGACTTCCCTGGGCCGGCCACACACGGGCCCACTGAATATACGGAACCCGGTGGTTCATATGATAAGATTATCAAGGATGAAAACATTCCTGCCCCACTTGGAAAGCTCTACTCCTTAGTCTTTGGACCTGCATCGGGAGAGTTCATGACCAAATTCCTCGTGGACAATCAAAAATCTGGCGAGCTTCAGTTTGAAGGAACGGCTAAGGGCCTGACCAACGAAAGCCCCACCAGAAAGTATTCCTACATCAAGCCTCTCAACGGCGCAATCGGTCCCAAGCAGACCAAGTGTATCAGTACTGAGAACCTCGACTTTTTGGACTTGGAGAAGGCAGTCCTTGTCACGCTGAGCACCCAGACCCCCGATGTGCCCAGTGGTAATGTCTTTGCCACAAAAACCAAGTACCTCTTTACGTGGGCCCCTGGCAACCAAACTCGCTTCCTTATGACGTGTACGATAGAGTGGTCGGGGAAGAGCTGGTTGAAAGGTATGTAAATCTAGAGATCTTAGATATGAGGACATTACGCTAACGCTGTGCAGGTCCTATTGAGAAAGGTGCAATTGACGGCCAGACGGCATTCGGTAACGACCTGGTCAAGTCTCTGAAGATGGGTGTTGTTCCTCGTGGGCGCACCGCTGGCGCTGGGCGAGGCAAGGGTCGTCGCAAGAAGGGTGATCCTGCTGTTCGTGATGCGTCTGAGGCGGCTGGGCACAAAAAATCTACGGATTCCAGCTCAGGACAGGCCGAGTCCTGGGGTCTCTTCGAACCGATTCGCGCGATTTTGGAGCCTGTTACCAGCATGCTTAAGCCGCTTTGGAGTGGAAATGTCGTGATTCTCATCATCGGTCTTCTACTCTATATGGCGTTCTTCCGGGCACCGTCTGCTTCATCCACGCTGTCTCGCGGTACTGGCCTTCCTGGTCTCAGTCTGCCTCAGCGCTTGGCCGCTTACGACGAAATGTGGCGTCGTGAGGAGAGTGAGCTGTGGAACTGGCTGGAAGACCGAGTCGGCATGGACGGCATGGTCTTCCCCACTCTGCATCACCGTATGCCAGAGGCTCACCCAACTCGCAAGGCTTCACAAGTCAATGTGGCTGATGAGCTGAATCTTATTGATCGACTTCGCGAGGAAAAGGCCTCGGACCGAGACATGGATCACGCTATTCGGACAACTCGCCAACGTCTCGATATTCTTGAAGAAATAATGAACAAGCGCAAGGTGCAACCGGCTCCCGAAGGCGAGCCTGTCCGAACCGAGCTATGAGATCAACTGAACTCCGGTGCCATGCGCGCCTCATTACCCAACTTCACCAAACCCCGTCTACCAACGTGAAGCGCCTTGCATTCCGTTTCCCTTTCATGCCCCCTGTCTCGACTACGAGAGCACATCGCTCCCTACTCCAAATTCCTTTCCAATTCTGTCTACTTCCTTTCCTCTTTGGGCAAGTCCCTTCCTCTCCTTCTCACATAATCCCACCTCACTACACTCCTTTCGCTTGACACCTCCACCTGTCAGTGCAGGAGCAAGTTTTCTCTTTGCATGTACATGAGCGGCAACTGCTGTGTCTATACCGGGCTACACGAGCCGGCTTCCTTTTCTCTCTGTTTGTTCGAGCGCGTCTCTTCTAGTGGTGTTTGTATAGTTCTATCCAAAATTTTCTTGTTACCCAGCGTCCTGAGTTGAGCTTTTAGGTCTGGACACCTTTTAAGCGCCGGTGCAGTTCTTGTTCTCGAATGGATTCCGTTGTTGATATTCAATACCCGCAAAAGGTATTTAGATTTATTCAATATCTTTCTACTCGCGTATTCCGTCCACCTAGTTGGGCTACTTGGTAAGTGCTCCCTTCGCTTCCAAGGTCGTCATTGGCTGGGTATAATGATTTTCGTATATACTGTCTGTTCCATTCATAATCCAACACAATGGACAATTAAGCAAACAGCTATAGCAGTTTCCCTTGCAGAATATTTACATTATTTACTTCTTCATCTCCTGGTCCTTCTCTTGAATCATCTGCCGCGTGATTTCCTGATTCCCAGCCCGGGATGTTTTCCACGGCTTCACACCCGAGTAGAAAAGATCGTCGATCTGCTCCAAAGACAGTGTAGCAGTCTCGGGTACAAGCACGAATACCAAGATGGCAATGATGATAGTCACGCCAGCGTAAAAGTATCCAACATTCGGTCCCATGTTACCGTAATCCGGATCCAGCATGTAAGGCGTCCAAAAAGTCGCACCGAAAGAGAAAAGGCCGTAGAAGAAGATGGTATTCGCTTGACCGTATGTGCGAAGTGCAACGCTGTGCATTTCCACCGAAGCCAGGCCGGCACTCGGTGCAATAGTTCCGCCGAATATAAAGGCCCATAGACAGAGCAAAATTACAACGACCATCTTTGCAATCTGGTCGTCACTTCCTAGTGCTGTGTTGATTGAAGATAGAATGAGCATGCATGTTGCCATAGCACTGTAGCCAGTCAAAATGGCAACTCGTCGTCCGGCATATTCCACAACAAGTGGCCCGATCAAGGCTCCGGCCAGAATGCATAACCCGATTATCACGTTGATGAGGAATGGGTTGCTGATACCGACACCCTTCAGGAAGGTAGTTGCATATGGCTGCACGAACTGGATTCCAGTAATAGATAGCCCAACCATGATCAAGGCAGAGGCTAATGTTCGGCGGATTTGACTCGACTTGTAGATCTCAAACCATGAGTTAGTTGCCGCGGCAGCTCGCTCCTCTTTGATATGAGACATGATGTCTTCAATCTGGACCGTAATCTCAGGAGAATCTGCAGGGATGCGATACAAAATGCTGAAAGCCTTTCGTGCTTCATCTTCTTTCGTATTATCGTTGTTCAAAATCCATCGTGGAGACTCGGGGAACATGAGGATGCCCGCACCCAAAATGATTCCCAACGGAATCTGGCATAGAATAGGTGTCTTCCACTGCCAGTTGTTTCGTGGCTCAAACTGAGTAGAGCCCGCACACACCGCGCCTGAAGCAACATTGCCCAAGGCAAGCCCGACATTGTAGAGCGCCAGGGAAATGCCGCGCTTGCTAGCATCGATGCACTCTGAACCGTAGGTAACACTCGCCGAGATGAGTTGACCGATCCCAATGGCGCTGATACACCTGCAAACCATGTAGTGCACGAAACTGCCAGTTCCTCTTCCTCCTGTGCCCAGCATTCCAGCAGCACCGATGATAGCAAGCATGCAGCCGATCTGGATGGCGCCCCGGCGACCGGTGTATCTGCCTGAGATGCCCGAAACACCGCCTCCTATCCCAATGAATAGGAAATTCAAGCTGATGCACAGTGATTGTTGAAGGGGAGTGAGCAAACAGTGGTCGACAGGTTTGTTGGTCATCGGGTTCAATAGTTCAGTGCACGTTCCAAATGCCCTTTGATAGGAAGGCATGATCAACACGACGCCGACGTATCCATTATCAAAGTTCGCGATCCACGCTGAAAAAGAGACCCATAGAGACAATCTGAGCATAGCCCCTGTCGAGATAGAATGTTTCCCATCAGCGCGAATGACTGGAGGTTCAACGATGTCGATGTCATGCTCGGACTCTGCATAAGAGGCCCGCATGGTGAAAATCTTATAGGTGGAATTATTGCAGGACTCAGTTCTGGTATAGTTGGAAGACCTTAGTTTCCATTTGATCTGCAGACCAAAGCTGGGGCTTATAATACCCCTCGTAGTCTCAGTGTTCTGCCTGCATACCAGAGAAGCGCCTACATTTCCAGATGGATCATCAAAAATGCCAGCCATATATACTATCCAATAGGAGGCATCGATAGCCCCGAGTGGCTGATAAGGCCCTTGCTCCCATCAAGTTTGATCTCAAATCATTCCTCGCACGGTGAAATCAGTGTCGAATTAAAGTAGGCCAAGCTCCACAGGGCTGTTTCAGCCTGTAATGCTTAATTCCATATTGGTGCATGAATCAGATGTATCAAGTGACTTTCATAACACCGACAATGAGCACTTGGGCGACTTCCCAATGTAGCATAATATACTACAGATCCTTGGTTCCAAATGCCGACGTGATGGTGCCATCACCCGATCCCGACTAGGAGCACGGTCAAGCCTGGAAATCACAGTCTGACGGCATTTCATGGTAGTTCCTGAAACCTGGTCGGTTGATGACGACCTCCCAATTAATGACATAGTAATGTGCTCAGGTGAATTAAGGACGTCAATCAACTTCACCTCTACAACCGCGCACAAGATGCCGCACGAAACGCGATATAAGTATCTTCAGATCCAGGCGCAACTAATGTGGAGCTCTTCTGCTACACTAAAGACTTAGGTGCGTTGAATGAACAATATTGGAGATTGGAGAGAGCACATCTATCTCTAGAGACGGTATGTCCCTCGGAGCCGGCGAAACGCGCTTATGATTGCGTTCAGCGGGATCTTCGGTGGCATTTGACAGATTTTTGACTCCGGATGGACTGTACCAACCGGAGTGGCTGCTGTGGAAGAGAATTTCACTATTGTGAGAATTCACTCCCGGCCAATCCAATGAAGCGTTGGGGCCATTGCACTATTCAATGCAAGTATTGCTATCACATGCGGTATTTCTCGACTAGCTCGAAGGATCGAAAGTTATACCAACCGGACTGTTATATTGGTGATGAGAAGAAGCTAGGTTGGGATCCTTACAGTCTTGCTCTACATATTGCCTATGTATGGGGACCGAAGTCTCGCTAGTTTGGCGTTTTTGATTGCTCGCTATGCCTGGGCAGGGTATGCTAACGATTAATATGCATAACATAATAACTACATCGGTTTTTTTTCCCCATCCTAAGCTCATCACTCTACCACCTTTAACACCGATGTGTACCCGGTGGGTCCTATAGAGAGCCTTCCTGAGACCCGCTAACGGTAGGTCCCGCGTGGAGTACAGTAACTATATTAAGTAGATCGGATCATTTCCCAGACTTTACCCAGTTTTCCCAAGTCTCAGAAACTCTTTCCCTGACATCACTTTTTTCTGCTATAGTATGGACACCAATTTATAGGAGCAGTCTGCCGAACTGCAAATCAAATCTCTTCTTACTCGAGAGAGATACTACAGGGACGCTGCGCAATGGCAGAACCTACGCAATTCCTACCATCCCGATGCGTCGAAAACAGCAATCAAAATCACCTGGTAAGGGAATTGTAATTATCAACGTGATATTCAAATCTGACTTATCCCATCGATTGGGTTCGAAGGAAGTGTGGACGGCCTCGTAGCCGGTTCAAAAAAGCTAGCGCAAGGGGAACAACATCCTCACGATTTGCCTCATGCTCGTCCATTTCAACAGCAGCAATGAAAAATCCCTTGCAGAGTCTACTGGAAGCATCAATGCCCGATTCAAGCTCGCAGGAAATGAGTACGACTGCACACCATTCGCCCGATTCATCTCCAGACTGGAAAAGGTCAATGGGGAGTGGAAGATGTTGAGCTTGGATGCCATGTTTGAGAGGGACACCATTGCACCTGTTCATCCTATGAATTCACCTCCTGCCAGGCTCGACGTGGAGGCTTATCGGCCCAGTTATAGGTGTATTGCCTGGCAAGTAGCATCTAAGGGTTTCCAGGTCAGTAGAGATCTACCCGGCACGGATCGACCGGAATTGGTGAAGCGGCTCATAGATGAAAGTTATAAGTGGATTCAGCCGTAGCAATAGTCGTTCGTTTGACAAATCCATCATCTCTTTCATTTTCTCCCGAATGTTTTCTTTTGAGTAGAGTTGTATACTTCATGTAGATCACGTGCTATGAGAAACATCGGACTCCACCGGCGCCCGCAATCTTCCCCAAACAACCCACGATGGAGCTCTCGACTATCCTGATCATCACTGTACTCTTTATTGGTAAGAACCGCCCTGTGTCACCGCTCCGAACGGCAAACGCAGCAATACCCCTACTCTTCCGAGTAGTATAGAGCACTCTCAGTCTAAAACAACCCTAACACCCACCTGCAGCCTTCCGAGTATTCCAAGCGCGCCGCGACGCCTCGAAGCCCATGATGTCGCACGGAAAGGTAGCCAACATTGACAAGTCAGTAAACCCCGTACCAGGAGCCGAGATGATAGGATGGGGACAATCGAAGTCTAACACGACGCACGGACAGCCTCGCCATTTTCAAGGCCCTCACCTCCGAAGGTCCTACCGTCGTGGACTTCTATGCTACCTGGTGTGGACCCTGCCGCGCTGTGGGCCCCAAGGTCGGCGAGCTGAGCGAGAAATACACGAATGTGCGCTTTATTCAGGTCGATGTTGATAAGATGCGTGAGGTTGCATCGCAGTTCCAGGTTACTGCTATGCCTACCTTTGTTTTCTTGAAGGATGGCAAGGAAGTTGGTCAGCGGGTGCGTGGTGCCAATGTTGGTGCCCTGGAGGCGGGCATTAAAAGTCTTGCTGCATAATTTATACCATTGCAAGGAGAATTGGAGGTAGTCAGGAGGGTAATGTCGCCCCATTCATAATACGAAGAACAAACATGACCTTTCCCGTCTGTCTGGGATCGATTTTGCTTGAACGCTGTTCAAGACTAAGTATGTATGACCCATCGCATGAAAAGGTGTTGGTCCAGGGCAGTCCATAAAGTAGAAGAGGGAGGCATAGAAGCAACGTACCTTTCTTCAATTGAAGATCCCGATTCGAAAAGCCACACTGAAAATGCTACGATGCACAAGATTTTGGAAAAGAAATTATGTATTAAGCGGAGATATCATTACTTCTATGAGCGAGCACAAAAGAAAACAATCTCACAAAACGGACAAGAAGAAATCGAACATTAGGTATATCACAGGACACTTCCAACCCCCAGAAAACCAAAGACTCGAAGCAAAGAGCTTATAGGATGGAGCCGAGGGCAACACAGGGAAGGCCGGCGCCGACCAGATCGCTGGAGGCGGTGGAGGGAGAGCTGGCACAGCAGGCCACGTTCTGCTTGCAACGCTGGTCGAGCAGGTCCTGGATGGGGACAGCGATCAAAATGGGGACTGTGGATTGTTAGTTTCATGGCCATTGATAAGGATGTTGGAGAATACTGACTCTGGACGTCCAGCTTGGAGCACTGGTCGAAGATACCAGCACCATCAGCACCGGAGCCGGTACCGATGAGGTTGGAGAGGAGGCCAGCACCAATGCCAGAGTTGACATCAGTGGTGTCACCAGCGTAGACAGCCTTGTTACAGCAAGAGAGCTGAGCCTGGTCACCACACTTGGACTGGGCCTCCTTCACGGTCATGCCCTTGGGGACCTTGAAGCGAACATCGGCGGAGTTCTGGCTCTCCAGAGTGGGCATAGCAACAGCCACGGAGGCGAGAGCGAGGGTAATAGCGGTCAGAGAGAACTGCATCTTGAAGGTAGGATTAAAGATTAAAATCTTTAATAAAAGATCAAAAAGAGTTTTGTAGGAACTGGATGGTAGAGAAGAGGAGGATGGAGAAGTGTGTGATGAGAAAGCAGAAGACCCCCGAGGTCACGCCTTTTATCTCTAGGAATCCGATTGTTTGGGTCAGTGTTTGCTGTGACCTTTTGGCTCGATATCCAAAAACATTACTGCCATTTCTTGGTCTTCGGAATGCCATCCGTAAGGGGGCAGGAGCCACACTTGCTTGAGCTTCTAGTTTTCTGGACCCCTTCATTGGTTGACAATTTACTCCGGAATTTACTGTTCAATCAGAAGGCCCCTTTACTCCTGAAAATGACTGGGCCCTGCATTCCAAACCCTACGGGTGGTATCTACGGAAGCTACCCTACAGAAATGATTAATCTTCATAACGTCCCATTCACTGACTACATCACATTCATTGGTAGATCGAGCCCTAGTGAACTAATGGACTAAGGCTTGTACTTTGGAACTCAATTCCTTCTAGGGATGCCACTGTTCTAGAATAAGCAATCAGGGTCCTGACATGTGGACTTCCTAAGCAACGTGTAAAGAATGCTCTAACCACACCAAACCTCCCACCGGAGCTGACGTCGTCTCACTCTCACTGGTGGCTTACAGGCGCAGCTTGGTGGCGCAAGGTACCTCAGTGGCTTCGGAGAAATTTTACAATCTCTTTCTCGGAATATATGGATCTCATCTTGGCTTGTGGTTCCGGTTTAATACATACCAGAAATGAGTCAATTTAAATCCCGAAATATTAGTGCAGATACTAAGCCCTGAGTCGTGACCCTACCCAGGACTGTGGATCGATCAGAAGTTCGATCGAGATCTTAAATAAACCCACTCGAAATCCACTTGAAGGGCATTCAGCGGTGCCCGCGCCCTGTCGATCATCCTTGGGCCGGACTGGATCAGAATGCCTCCCGGTTACGATGGGCGACCGATAAGATCTGCACATTATATCTCCTAGATACGGATTGTAAGATCCGTCTTCACAAGGAAAGAATGGATGGTCACCCTGCGGACTTTATCATCTGCGGCGGAGCACATGTTATAACCACCATAGTCGATTAACCATGAGGGAAATGAAGGAGTCTAAGATTACTTGCAATTTCTACAACCAAGAACTTGAACAGTTCATTTTTTTAGAGATATGTGATGAGGATACCATATGGTAGTCAACTGAATGGAGATTGTAATTCTAGGGACAACCCCTTGATCGCCGTATCTGTAGTCGAGTCAGGACTCAGCTCCGAACGGGTATGCTACAATGTAAACTTCCGACTTACTCTTTCCCGTGCACTAGATGCGAATATTGAATCAAAATAAAACCCATCGAAGTTGCCAGCAAGATAGCTGGCTTAGGACCTAACTTGCGATAGGTGCGATTCAAGACAAAAAACCTAAATAGGAAATACGCTAGCCGCATTAGGAGTACCGTGTAGTATTGTCCTGTCGCTCTTCTACAATAAGAGCCTCCTTTAAATACTATCGCCAAATCCAGGCTGTGGATATGTATGCTCTCAATCACTTAGGTGATAAATATCGGATCCGTCATGTAAAAAGTTTGATGTTTGGGAAATAGTGGTGATACTCTATGAATATGATTGTAGTGTAGAATATATATCAGCCTTTTTCCAGGGACCTCGAGAGATGATGAGACAAAACAACCTATACGGCTGTGAGAAAAAAAAAAAAAAAAAGAGTACAATTGCATCTCAAGCCCGAGATATGCATCATCTGCATGTTGCGTAAGCTCTGAGCATGATGCTGAGTCGTATCTAAGCTCGTGCGGGCGATGAATTTAGCCCGTTACTCAATTAAGCGTCCTTGTTGCACATGCTCTAACCGTATATGGAATAGCGCGCCCGCCTTAGCCAAGTTTACGAGAAGCTTTGAATATTGAACGTGGATGAACTAGAGCATAAGGATGACGACTGAGTCTGCCCGTAGCCAAGATCAGAGGTCTGTATATGTCCTGTAATGATATGAGAATACCTTATTCAAGTCTACTATGAGCATTGAATCCATCACAAACAAGTGTATTCAATCAACACCACCACTTTAATTCTCAAGAACAAAATCAAATATCACACCACTCGCCAATGTATCTAGAAATAGTGTATTCTTGGCGCTACAGACGGCTACACCAACCCCTACCATGCTTACACCCTCCTATCCTCCTATCACGGAACAGAGTACGCGGACTCTACTGCAGGCGTTGGGAATCTATCGCGACTCGATTCGCATCATTCAAGGACTATGCAGCTTTCGGTTCACGATTGGCTGTGGCTCCTGGAACGGGGACTGTGCGGGCGATGAAGTATGTGGCGTTGTTGAGTAGGCCTATTGAGGCGATGTTGACTGTCGCGTGCGGAAAAGTTGAGAAGATGGAGACGAGGGTTTCTGGAAGCGGGGTGGGGAGAAAAGGGGTGGTTACTGTTCGGTCTGGTCTCTTGGCTGGCGTTGTGAGTTGGCAAGGGGTTATGATAACTGTCGAAGACCCTTCATGCTTTTCAGTCAGAGCTTCAATCTATGCATAGTGATTAAATGGGATTATGGTACACTGATCGATGATTTGAATTGCAAATGAAGTTGATTTCAGTAAAAAGATCTATAAGTCTCGTCTATCTCTTGATGCAGCAAATGCTTCCAATAATTTTCAAGAGAACAAGCAATCCAAATCGTGAACATGAATCGGTCCGGTCAGATCTTGACCGCTGAGGGGAATCATAGTAGAAAATAAGCATTAAAAGCAATATTGCAAGGGTTGAAACGCTTTCAAAAACAATGGTTGAACAACGCCACCAACAACGCCGAAGCTCTGCATAACCTGACTGACCAAGAGATGAAAGTATGGGCCACCTTTGAAGACTGTACAAGGGGGAAACGATATTGAACTCGCATGTACAATGAGCAATGTCCTCGACGCAAAGATTCGTGACGGTCGTGGAACGGTCATGGAAAGATGCATATTATAGGAAAGTGCTTAAGAATCAGGGAACGGCTCGGGGCGGTCCAGCTGCATACTCTTGCGCTCCTCCTTGACCTTCTTCTTCTCCATCTTCTTCATGGCTTCCTCAGTCAATTGCTGTCGGAAAAGTCGTTCCACAACCTCCTTCTTTCGGGTTCGTCGATCACCGATCATGATCATCACACCACCTGTGATATTGCAAGTGATGGAGCAGCAAAGGATGACGGTGGTCAAAGCAAATGGTCGCTGCCCTGGGTTTTCCATACTCCATGTGCAGGCACCCAGAGCCATCTGGAGAATCGAATGACAGTCGAGGATGACAACAATTGCGATGAGTAGCTGCATGGGGAAAGCATGGTGGGTCATAGTTTCGTGGGGTTTGTAGAACGTATGAGACTTAGCAAACTTGGTCTGGTGGTGCGCCAAGCGCAGCTGCTGACGAGCGTCGAGAACAGAGAATTCGTACTCGTCCTCTTTGGGCGTGTCTCCAAACTCGACGTCCACGTCCTTCTCTTTCTGTTCGGGGAGATCGTTTTTGTCCTTCAGATTGGGGAGCGCCTTCTTGCGGCGGATCTTCCAAGTCAAAAAGGTGTAATGCGCGATGAAACACATGTGATAGGTATCTACAGCTCGGAAGGGAGCCAATCCATCACCCATGATGGCGAAGAGTGCGACCAGAACGTTGTCGATGATGTTGATGAGGTAGGATTGCCTTCCGCCGACGTTGATCCAGCCTAAATGAAGAAGTCAGTAGGTGCCCCTAGTAGGATGGGTTCATCGTCAATAAGACTCGTACCGATCAAGAAAAGCACCCATGCGAGGCCGAACAGAGTGATCAGGGTTGCATAAAGAGTGACGAGGAATCCCAGTGCTGTACAGCCAATCAATTAAATTAGCAAGATTCGGAGCATGTGAGGACAGTGGAGCATACGCTTTCGGATATATTGTCCAAAGCCCTTCATTGACCGCTTGAACTTGGAGCGACGAGAATGCAGCATGTGTCGAACATGATCATTGAGCTCCATAAAGTCTTCCCGTGTCCATCCCTCGAGCCCATGGCCTTCAGGCAAAACTGCGTAGCGAGGACCCGGCAGTACGGAAGACATACTCGTAAACGGACGAAGTTGATCCAATGTTGGCCGTTGCTGGAGTTTACTGTCCTCGGACATCTCAGCGTCAGCTTCGTCCGTTGTGGTCGCCTGTTCTTCATCCGAAGAAGGCGGGTGTCGCGTGAGCGTGTAGGTGGGCATGCGGTTAATCCAGCCACCCAGGTTGGGCACAAACAGCGAGTTCTGAACATTCGTGAGGGTAGACAGCGCAGAAACCTCAGGATCTAGTATGGGTGAGAGAGTTAGTGTCTTGAGCCACTGCCTTATCGAACGGGGCTTACCGATAACGTCCAGTACGTCCACCACTTGGGGCGCATACTCGTTCCTGCGTTGTTCCTCTTGCGTGGCCAGCGTCGGGGGTGCTCCTGATACGGTTGATGCTCGATTACGGGAGAAGCGATTGAGTGCCGCTTGACTAGTGCGTCGCAGCAGATTCCGAGAACCTGGTCGTTGCGCGACCGGAGGCGGCGGCTCGAGATGCTCGGGAGCATGCTGTTCACCTACGCTCATTGGGGTGAGTGGCATCGGAGATGATTCTTCCGATAGTGGCATCATCCGGATAGGAGTTGCCACCTGCGGAAGGGTGTTTGGTGGGGATGACCATCGCCCTGGGCGCGGCTCAGAGCTGCTGCGTCGGCGACCGTGGACAGACTCATCTTCTTCGGCGACAGGAGATTGTATGGTCGGGTGGTGAGCGGCGGAGAGCCCGGGTTGTTGTTCCGGTTGCTGCGAGTTGACCGTGTCCAAGGAGGAGAAGGAACCTAAGCGCGAGAGCCGGATACTGGGGCGACGTGCACGATTCGAATCGCCGTGAGTATGAAGAGTTGCTAGCGGTGGCCTCCTAGGAGACACGGATGAAGACTCAGGAAAGGGTTCGGTTGATTGCGACTCCGGTGCCCCAGAGTGGACGGGCTCGATGCGATCCCGATCCATTGCGGGTCAGACGGGGAAGCGAAGGGTGGCTGGGAAGGAAAGAGAAGGGCAGTTGGAGGAATGCCAACAGATACAATAAGCCCAGCCCCCTAAGACATGAATAGTGAAATCACGTCCAAGTTAAAGTCCAGTCAAAGTGGACAGGGTAAATTGTGAAGTTGAAGAAAGCTTAGACTTTGGTTTTGGAATAGAAACCCTTGGAGGGAGAGCCTTAGTCATCGCCGAATCTTGTTTTCGTAGTGACGACGAGGTGGAGTTTCTGCCGTGTCTGCGCTTGTAACTATCGTGCTGATCTTTTCCAGCCCTTGGGTCACTGCAGCCGATCATGGCAAATGCACCGCACTGACCATTTCGCAACATCGTACGTACTACGTACTACAGTGGGTATCATGCAAAGCAAGCTTGGCGTGATACTTCCTGGTGGCAAATAACACAATTAAGAGCATGGGAACGTGGGAACTAATCGATAAGCCGACTCCACGACTCCACGACTCCACTTTGCTTGAGCTTGGCTGTATTTAGATAAGGGGCTGCAAGGACTGACATCGATCGGGGTCACCAGAAACCTATCGACATTTACAATGTCTTCCGAGATGGTAGTTGATGTATTGTAAGTTTGTAAGCCCCATTATAACATCCGAATGTGTCTCAGGTGGTCACGACGGTGTTTGCAGGAGTTCTCAGCAGTATGAAAAGGCTGTTTCCTCAACAAGTATCTTTGACTGTGTGCATTCTGTGCAAATCATATTTATGTACCTAGAGTTCTCGATATGCTACCCGCGGTCTACTGTTGTGTCGCCGATCCGCTCTATCATGACCTAGGTCCTATAACAAGAGGTCAATTTCCCGGACGACGATGTCGCACCGCAGTCTCCGCGGTAGTGCATTTTATGTGTCAAGCTAATCCTTACTGCGCCGATCAGTCGGTACTTGAATCTTGTCGAAGTTCGAGCCTAAATACAATGAACACGATTAGCATCTTGATCTGCACCAAAGCAAAGGTTGTGCCGAAGCAGAAGCGGGCACCATAGGCGAATGGCATGTAATATTTTTCTCCATTAGCGAGTGCTGAGCCATTCCGTTGTAACCATCGGCTAAGCGGTACGCATAAGGATCATCAAAGAAGACAGCATTATGACGCAATGCCAGTATTGAAGCGGAAACGGTGACCTAGATGATATAATGTGTCATTAGGCCGTTCTAGCACGTGAGTAGATACTCAATTGATGTAGTAGAAACACCATTGTAAAGCCCATGACCGCAATCCTCGTACATAGCCACCATTTCCATTTTCTGACAAGGCAAAGCTCTTCATATTCAAATCCCCAGAACGATACAGAAACCGTTTGGATACAGAGAAGGCAGTCAAGATGGTGACCCGGGCGAATGCACCCGGCATCTAGCTTTTTTTTCTCCTTTGATGTGAAGTCAACCCCTCGGGCTTCAGAGCAACATCCACATTCAAAAGTACAATGGCCAAGTCCTAATTTTCGTTCGGAGTTTGCATATGCGCTCCGGTCCCCACAGCACTGACATTCACGGCCACAGCAAACCCCATATTCTGCACAATTTCGGCGGAGCGTATCGCTGAGATACCACCTTGGGTTTGATCGACACTCAATGAACCCTCGTAGAGTAGGCCCTTTCAATCGATGCTTAAGTACTAGCCAGTTATACTGGTGAGTCCAATAATTTTTTTTCAGAACTCCTAAGCGTCGGTGCAACTCCCGTAGCCTTTCCGTTTCCACTGGCAGCGGTATGGTCTCTCTTGCAAGGAGCTCTTGGATTTTTTGAAGTAAACATTCCTCGCGTTGAGTTATGCGTCGAAGCTTAAGATCATGCTCAAGGATACTTGACATCAACTCTGTTGCGGGATATCCAGAAAACTCGGTGCTCATGGATTGCATCCATGATCTAAAGTCTTGTAAAGACCCAGTATCACCAGACCATAAGATCAGTTTCTCTATTATTTAGTGAACGGTTTCCATCTTCCGCACTGTGCCTTGTGAAGTATATATGACCTGCTGATATCTGGATGATCTGAATTCCGAATATTTGAAAAACTACATATGCCAACCAAGTCGAAAATTTGAAGGGGAATAGTAGATAATTATACATACCAATGTCGTCATTATACTTCATGACTCTTTGGCATCCGCCCTGGTACCATCCATGGATTGCTGACTTACAAAATAACACTATTGGCAGGTCGTGAACGTAAAGCCGCGTGCCCCTTTGGAGGCTTACTCATCTGAGGTTATCACCTAGGTAGCCGGCTGTAGGAAATTCACATGTATTCGCACCTTCCATCAAAAAGCACCTAAGAAATTGGAACAATAGTAATTTTCTAAATTTAGAGGATAATATTCGGTAGTTTCTTGGGATCTTAGAATTCCCGATCGCAACCAATAAGACCGCATTCTGCCTGACCCCTCCACGTTCTATTATAATGCGCTTCTCCGGTTTTGTTCTGGCTTGGCTCATTGGCCTTCTCACAGGCCTGATTTCTGCCTTTCTGGTTTTCCTGTTCCTCGACGCCCTGCTCAATTTGGAACCTGGCCCGCCCCGATCATTGGATGGACCGGATGGCTGAGATTGCTTTTTGTGGCGTTGCCATTTTTGCCTCTTTTCACGTATGAACGGTCCGATTAGAATGGGGACCTTTTCTGGTAAACTAACTATATGAATACGCAGAATGGACCAGGGAAACTCCCCTAGCAGGGATGTCGCAGTACAAACCACACCCATCGAGACTGGGGTGGATAGCTTCGCTCAAACCGATGAAACACCCCTTGGTGTAGTCTTGAGAGATGTCAGAATCGACACCCTTTTACCCCGGTTGGCAAGGCTTTTGGATGCTCGATTGGCGTCGCTAACACTGGGAGATGGAGAAGAAGGGGAGGAGGATGAAGATGGATCTCGGGTCCATGCAGCACTCCATTGGTTGGCCGACTCGGGGCCCGATTCGAGTGACGACGACAATAATGATGATTATGATGATGATGTGGAAGGGGACGCTCCTGGGCTCACAAACGGCCACTCCGGTCAGTGAGATACAAAGTATGGCACCGGAAGCCACTATCATGTGATATTAATACTTATACCATTATGGTATTTTGTCCGCAACAAATATAATTACTCTGCCAATGCCCGGGGAATAGACCCGTGGACTGGTTTCTGCTTCTGCAGTTGACACTCTTCCGCTTCATTGTACTCAAATGGATTGACCGTAGTAATATCACGCATGAAGCTCGAATAGTGCACCATCACTGCTCTACAATCAATGAATGGCTCATCGTCTCCAGTCTAACGTGGTATCAACACCAGAAGTGTACTCAAGTGCTTGAAGTATCGTCTCAAACATTCACGATGATAGTCTGGCTCTGCAGACTGGGTGGCACCAACGAAGTGTTGCGGAGATTGAGGATGGTTGTCAGAGTGGCCACTTGACAATCGAACAATATTGTATCTAGGATTTCAAGATTCAAGCACAGATGTGACCCTTGAGCGCTGGAGGGATCTTTTGATCTACTGGAAGGAATGTATTGTATGCGATCTGCATTGTATGGAGTTCTTGAGAATTGCACAATTGTAGAGTAGATCATGGTAGGCCAAGGAACATTTCTGTCTTATTCTATTGAAAAGGACCCTGCAAGGAAGCAATTAGATCTGATCTTGAACAATTGCAGAGTTTTTGTACGTAATATCGGGCAAGGCCTCTGTTTGGCGGATCGTGAAGATCAACGGGACGGCGAGTCATAGTGGAGCCGACTGAGGTGGAAGATCCCCCTGCCAAACCTATGTCTACTTATGTAACCAGGGTGGCATTTGGCGCATTTGGTGCAGGTTACTTCAGGCAGAATAATGATATATACGTCTCATTGTGAATTTTGATTTTCTGCAGAATTTAGCCAGTGAGTTGTAAGTGAGGTGTGAGGTAACAAGATTGCGGATCGAATGTCATAGTAACTAAAAGAAACTGGGTCTCTGGGCTCCATCATGACATCAAGTGGTTGCCTCGAGGACAAAGGCGGTGAAGATGGAAGGAATTGTAGTGCCCGAGTTTCCGAGTAGTTTAAGGGCAGATTGGGGGGTGTCACCGCCGAAGTCAAGCCTGTGGCACCCTAAGCTAGCACCTGAGCTCAGGGCAGTAAAAGTCACTCAGATCACCCAAACACGGCTAGCCCTTCACCGCCTCTCCTTTCCTTCCTCTCTCTCCCTTCCAAAGGTTCCCTCTTCCTTCCATCATAACAACTAACTCAATTTATCTTCCATCTTCCCCCACCATCGGTATCTAGGGCACCAAGCTACCCTGCTCCTTCCCTCCGTCAAGTTTTCACCCGCCTCCAGGCTTCAATCACCAAACCTTCCCGTTTGTTTGACACTTCACACGTTCGAGCCTTTTCCATCACGAACTCTTGTGTCTCACTTTCAAGATGTCCGTCGACGCCCTGACCACCGACATGGCTGCTGCCACCGTCAACGAAATCGCCAACACCAACGGCACTACCCCCGCCGCTACTCAGTCTGCCGATGCTGCGGCTGCTAGCGCCGATGAGGGCCGTCGTCTGTACATCGGAAACCTCGCCTATGCGACCACCGAGGAGGAGCTTAAGGAGTTCTTCAAGAGCTACACCATGTAAGTTGTGACGTGGTAGCTGGTCTTTCGGTTGAGAACCCCCCTCTGGAAGGCCCCGCAAGCTCCATGACTAACCTGGCCCGCAGCGAGAGCACCTCGATCCCGGTGAACCCCCGTACCAACCGCCCCGTTGGGTACGCCTTTGTGGATCTCGCCACTGCTCATGAGGCTTCCGCTGCCATTGAGGGACTTTCCGGCAAGGAGATTCTCTCGCGTAAGGTGTCCGTCCAGTTGGCCCGCAAGCCCGAGCCTGCGGAGGCCAAGGAAGGTGCTGCCAGCGGAGGCGAGGGTGCTAGCGGCAACGAGGGCCGCAAGCGCACTGGTGGCCGCGGTCGTGGCCGTGGTCGCGCTCGTGGCCGTGGCGGCCGTGTTGGACGCGGTCGTGGCGTACGTCATTCTCCCCTTCAACCCCTACCAACAAACACTGACAACAACCTGAAGGCCCAGGAGGGTCAGGAATCCACCGAGGCGACTGCCACCGAGGAGACTCCTCTGGTCGAGACCACTAATGAGAACGAGGCTGCTGGAGACGAGGGCAAGCAACAGGGCAAGGCCCGTGCCGCCCGCCCCCAGAAGCAGCGTGGTCCCCCCGAGGATGGCATTCCTTCCAAGACCAAGGTCATGGTCGCTAACCTCCCCTACGACCTGACCGAGGATAAGGTACGTGGCTAGTAGTTTGAGCTTTTCATTCCCCAAACTTCTCGTACTAATCGAGTCTACAGCTCAAGGAGATCTTTGCCGATTACAACCCCGTCTCCGCCAAGGTTGCCCTGCGTCCCATTCCCCGTTTCATGATCAAGAAGCTCCAGGCCCGCAACGAGCGCCGCAAGACTCGCGGTTTCGGTTTCGTTAACTTGGCCACCGAGGAGCTCCAAGCCAAGGCCGTCACCGAGATGAACGGCAAGGATATTGATGGCCGCACTATTGCTGTCAAGGTCGCCATTGACAGCCCCGGCAAGGAGGATGATGTCAACGCCGCTGCCGATCAGTACGAGGAAACCACTGCTCCTGCTGAGGAGAACACCGCCCCCGCTGCCCCCACCGAGGCCTAAATTCTCGCCGATTTCTTTACCCCGCAGATAACTTGCTGACTTGGCTTGAGGTTTGGAAGGGGAGGTCTTCGAACACGCGTATGATAACGTTACCCTTAGGATGATGCATCTAATGCGGTTGTTTGAAAGTTGATTCTGGGGAGAGAGAGGAGGGTGTGATGACCTTTTTTTACGGACGCCATGGACTATCACCATTTCGTCCATGCTGGAGAGGAGTTTCTTTTGTTTTGCTGATGCCTCCACCCTTAACGACCTTTGCCTTCTGTATTGTATCTTAGCACACATTTAACTCTTGATGACGATCTGCAATTGGAGGTTATTCGTAGCCGTAGTGTACTGTACGGAGTATTGTGGATAGCGTGCCACACTTGGCGATGACGCCAAGTTGGGGGCTACCCTTGCCGATCAGCGGACGGACAAAACACTCCTTCGCAACTCCGCTCAAGCCATCTTGCATAGTTCGTCTACCCTGCATCTCTCCCATTGCACGATCTCGGTGGAGCGATCGAAGAAAGGGGTTAGGCTCCAAATTACACCGACACCTAAACAGCGCCGACACTCAATCCGCCCTACTCTTGAACCACACTCGCTCGCCACTTCCCCGATTGTCCCTCGTTATACACACTACACACCATGTCTCGCATGTGGGAAGTCGACCCGGAGACAAGGACAAAGGTGCGTCTATGACCCTCCATTGGCCGCGATCGAGGCGTTCCAAGGCCTCAGCCACAGCCACGCTGCAAGGAGAACTAACGTGCAACCCGAACCAGCTCCTCCAAATCTCCAAAACCAACGGAAATGACAGGTGCTGCGACTGCGGCGCACCATCGCCTCAATGGGTTCGTGATATCCCCAACTCAACCCCATACCTCCATACCTGCCCCTCCCTGGATCCTGAACCCTGAACCCTGAACCCTGAACCCTGAACCCCGAAAACACAAACTAACAAACCAGCAGGCCTCCCCCTAAATTCGGAACCTTCATCTGCCTCAACTGCGCAGGCACACACCGCGGGCTCGGTGTGCACATCTCCTTTGTCCGCTCGATCACCATGGACGCTTTCAAGCACGCCGAGATCCAGCGCATGGAATTAGGAGGCAACGAGCCGTGGAAAGCATTCTACGACGCGCACACCATGACCATTTCCGAAGGCCGCACATTCGAAGACTCGACGATCAAAGAGCGATACGAGGGCGACGCAGGAGAAGAGTGGAAAGAGAGATTGTCGTGTAAGGTCGAGGGCCGCGACTACGTGCCCGGTCAGGAGAAGAAGAATAACACTGCTTCGCGATCGACTACACCGCTGAGTCTGGGTGCTGGGGCGACGACGGGGACTCGGACAGGATCACCTGCTGCGTCTTCGATTCGATCGCAGGATAGCGCGCGGGGCCCGACGAAGAAGGAGCAGAATGAGCAATATTTCTCGAAGCTCGGATCTGAGAATGCAGGGCGTTCGAATGCGTTGCCGCCGTCGCAGGGGGGCAAGTTCACGGGGTTTGGGGGTGGAATGCCTGCGCCTGCTGCTGGGGATCGGAAGTCTTCACCTTTGGGGGGACTCGGTGGCTTCGGGGGCTTCGGAGGAAACCAGCCGTTTGATGAGTTCCAGAAGGATCCCATGGGGACTTTGACGAAGGGGCTTGGGTGGTTTGCTTCGACTGTTGGCAAGAGTGCTAAGCAGGTCAATGATTCCTATCTACAGCCTACGGCTAAGCAGGTATGTATTAAACCACTTGGATGTTGAAGTTAGGTGCTAAAGATAGCTTTTCAGCTTGCCGAGTCAGACTTCGCTGCTCAAGCTCGCGTGCAGGCTGCTAGCTGGGGCCAGAACCTGCAGACCGGTGTCCGTGGTGCCGCAGATCAATTCAACCGTTTCGTTGAAGGTGAAGATGGCCGTCCTACGCGGTCTCGCGTTGACCCCGACCATAGTGATTTCTGGGATGACTTCTCGTCTCTTGGTGACGAGCGCCAAGCTAATGCCAATGGAAACGGCAACGGCAACAGACACCAGCGCAGCGGATCGCGATCTGATGTTATTGGTACTGCCGCGATGCGCAAGGGCCCTGCATCTACGCCGCTGGCAAACTCTACCATTCCTGTTGAGGCCAATGCTACTTCTGGGAAAGAGGGGACAGAGACTGGTGCGGCCATGGCCAAGGGCAAGGATGACTGGGATGACAACTGGTAGGTCATTTGCCGTATATATTAGGTAGGGGTTTGGTTAGTACAAGGTGTATTTACTACACGGTGGGTCTCAGATACCATGTTTATGGTCGGTGTTGATCCCTGTCTGGACTTGTATACTTTGTTTCGAATGAAGGGTCATCTCCCTGCTTGATGGGGGAAGACCTAACAGTGCAATTCAGATTATATCTTGGGTTGTGTTTTGATTTAAGTAGTGGTACATCGCAGGAGTGTGGTTATCACACAGTATAGTACATTATATGCATGCATGTAGAGAATCATGGACTTTAGAAGCCCCCTCTTAGCTCGGCAAGAACAGCCTTTTGTCTCGGAGCAGACATGTTCTCAAAGCGGTCGACGCTCATCACGAATGTGCCGCGGCCAGCAGTCAGACTGCGCAGGTGCTTGAGGTAGCCTACCATCTCCTTGAGAGGCACCTTGGCAGTAATTGTGCGCTGACGAGAAGCAGAAGCAGATAGCTCTGTACCAACAGACGCACTGGCAAAGGGGTCAGTGGGGGCATACACCCGCTTAGGATCAATAGGAGGGAAGGCGTCTTCTGGAGATTCAGAGGCGTCAGTCGCGGAGACTGGAATTTCCTCATCCAGTGAGAGAATGTGTCCACCTCTGGAAGATGAAATATCATGAACGACCGAGCCAAGACTAGCCTCGTCGACGCTGATGATGACGTTCATGACTGGTTCCATCACCACTGTCCCCGGCCCGACGAGGAGATCCCGAAGAGCGGCAGATGTTGCTTGACGGGCAGCAGCAGAAAGTGCAGATGTGGTAGAGTCACTGCCAAAGAGGTGCTCCGTCGCGTTGACAGTGAGAGTAACTCGGGTGTTGTGCATTGGAAAGGTAAACTGGGGTCCGCGAGCAAGGGCTGCCAACGCCCCATTCTGTAGGGCTGTGCGAAGAGCAGCGGTGTCCATACCTGGTGGGAGAAGCGGGCTGGTCTCCTCGTCCATTGTCTGCAGACCTGGAGCACGGATTACAATCTGATTACCTTCGAGCGTCTCGGCCAGAAGAGTGTCTTCGTCCGCAACTTCAGAGGCATCCTCTCTGTTGAAAGGTTCAACGATAGCAGTGCATCCTGCCTTGCCACGGCGACCCGCCACTTCCTTGTCAAAGATCTTCGTGATGATGGCAGATGCGCCGAGTCCAGACTCTCGGTATCCAATTTCAATCCGTCCCATAGAGGCCTTCGCCTTCATATCATTGATCAAACGATCCCGTGCGATCTCAAGATGAAGCTCGCCCATTCCACTCAAAAGAGTCTGGCCTGACTCTTCATCCACGCTGACGTGCAGACTGGGGTCCTCACGGAGAAGCAGAGCTAGGGATTCCTGCATGCGTTTTTCCTCGCCCAGGCTGTGCGGCTCAACACTAGTAAAGAAGACCGGAGGGGGAACATCGATTGGACGTAGCTGAAGGCTGGTGAGTGGCTCTGGGGGCGTGGCTTTGTTGCCTGCATAGGATACAAGGGTATCGCCAGTTCGAGCGTGCTTGAGTCCAACCACCACGCCGATGTGACCCGCAGAAATTGAGTCCACTTCAACTGCGTCATTAGCATACATCTTCAGTAGTCGAGGTGCGCGCTCAGAGAGATGTAGATTTGTGTTGAAAAGCAGGCTGTTGCGATCCAGCGAGCCAGAGTACACTCGTACATAGACCAACACGCCGCGCTTGGGGTCATTGACCACCTTGAATGCCAGTGCACAGCTTTGCAACTTGCCGATGGCATCTTTTGGATCAGCGTGTGTCACTGCCTTCTTCTTTTTCTTGCCCTTTGATGGAGCAGATGCTTGTTCGTCCTGTTCCACGATCAAGTCTCCGGAGAGCAACCGGCGTAGTCCTCCTTTAACACCGCCGATGCTGACCTCGGGATCGGGTGCCTCGGGTGGACTGGGGAGAAGATTCACCACGGCGTCTAGCAAAGGCTGGACACCCATGTTGCGAAAACTGGCACCAGCGAAGAGAGGCACGATTCGACTCGTCTGGTCAAGTACGCACCGCCGGAGACTGTCGACGAGGTGCATCGGCTCGATCGCCATGTGGTCTTCATCACATTCAAAGAATTTTTCCACAATAGTCTCATCCTGCTCACTCAGCAGTTCGACCAATGCAACCCGCGCCCGACGAAGCTCCTCTGCCAGAGCCGGCTCCTCAGCATCCAATTGCTGGAGATTCATCATTTTAACGGCCCGGCCATCCTCCCCTTCCTTCCACCGCAGTCCCTGAAGATTGACTGCGTCTGCAATGCCAACAAAAGCCCCATTGCCGCCTTCGAACCAGGGAATATGGCATACCGCTGGGTATACAGACAAGCGGGAGCTGACCTCGCGCACCGTACGGCCAAAGGCAGCACCGTCGCGGTCAAGCTTGTTCACATAGATAACTCGTGGAATCTTATACGTACTTGCTTGATGCCACACTTGCTCCGTCTGGGCCTCAACACCAGCTACACCATCCAAGATGCAGACCGCACCGTCCAGGATACGCAGGGACCGCATGACCTCGAATGTAAAATCGGCATGTCCAGGCGTGTCAATGAGATTGATCGTATGTGAGTGGGCTGAGCGTGGCAGAGACTGATCTTGCGGGCTTGATGATGCCCCATTTCCATCTCCAGGAGGCCAATGGAATGTGATGGCAGCCGACTGAATAGTGATACCACGTGCACGTTCCGCAGGCAGGAAATCAGTTACCGTCGAGCCTTCATCCACATCACCAATTCGCCGAGTGAAGCCGCTGTAGAACAGCATGCGCTCGGTGGTCGTTGTCTTGCCGGCATCGATGTGGGCGATGATCCCGATGTTGCGTGTTCGGTCCAATGTCTCGCTCTGCCACCTTGAGAGTGACGTAGAGAAATATCTTGGCTGAATTTTAGAAGAGATGAGGCTCTTCAGGTGGTTGGTTTGGGTCCTATAACAATGCGGGCCTATACAACGCATCCTAGGCCGGGGAAGGCGTGACAATAGAGTCATGTCCATGCCTGCTGATGGCCAAACAACGAACTTTCTATGTCTATTAGATGCCAGAAGACATGCGGTCCGACCTGTGGTCGACGTTGAAGCTAAGGAAGGAAACGCGGAGCTGCTACTCGGCCGGGCTTGGCACACCTTCCCTCTTCGCCCATACGTAACCGACTCCTCCAACTCAACATCCCAGTCCCCAGACTGTCCGTGATCCCAACCCTCATTTTGCTTGTACAATTTGTTATGCGCTTCTAAAAGCGCCATTACTATTTATTCCAAGCTGCCAGAGGTAAGTTCCCAGCTGTCTTGGAGCTACCTGAGGGTCATTGTGGGGGTCAATCCCCAGCCATTAATACTGACGCCTGCCATGAACTAGCAGCTCCTCCCCTTTCCCCGTGAGCACGCCCCTTAAGTCCAATTTCAACCAGGATGGACTACTCTTCCTTCTCCAACGATCCCGAGCACTCTGCGGGCGCTTCGCCTTGGGGTTCTCCGCGCGCCGACCGAACTACGTTCCCCACCTCCGGCACGAGCGACATCCCGTCATCCCCGTTACCAGGGCAGGTACAGTCCGCGGAGGAATCGGAGAGAGGCCATGAGGTTGAGCCTCAATCCCCAGACCTTTCTGCGCAGCTGCAGAGCGCTCAATTAGGTGACCCGGACTACCCCGAGGAGCAGCCCCCGTTCGCACAGCAATCCCCAATACCAGACTACCATCAGTCACAATCCCCCGCACGCTACCAGACCGGCCTACGGCAGCCAAATTCCCGGCCTGCTGCACCTGTGTATAAAATTCAGGGCAAGATCACTGGTCTAGAGAGGACGGGGAAGAAAGACCCTATCCTTCGCTTTGATGTCCACGTGCGTTGACTCTTATGACGAAGGCAGATGCGCACAGACAATGGCTGACTCTCTCATTCCTGATATACAGACCAATATTCCCAAGTTCCGCACGACTCAGTACCGCGATGTTCGCCGCACCCATTCCGAGTTTGCTAAGCTTGCCGACCACTTGATTTCTGCCAACCCGGAAGCATTTGTTCCTGCCCTGCCGCCGCCCGTGACTCCGGCTGGCGCAGGTACCGATGAGGACGAAATTAGGGTCAAGGCCTCAATGCAGCGATGGCTCAACTGTGTCCTCAGCAATGAGATCCTCATCCAAGACGACGAGGTGGTGCTGTTTGTGGAGAGCGACTTTGGATACAGCCCGGTTCTGCGCATGAAGCAGCCTGCTACTGGCGTGCGACGTAAGATGCTGAAGCAGTTTGCGCCGCCACCAGATGACACCCCTGAGCTCCAAGCTGCTCGCCCCACTGTTAAGCTGTTTTACTTGGGATCTATGGACTCGAGCCACAAGGTTGACCGGATCGTCAAAGCTCGCCGAGGTATGCTGTCATTGAACACCTTTTTGCTCCACAGTGTCCCATCTAATGCTCTCCGTTATAGGCCTGGGATTGGCCGAGTCTGACTTCGGTATTAAGATGGCGCAAATGCACGTGCAGGAGACTCATCCTGGCCTGAGCCTGGCCTATCGCAAACTAGGCAAGGTCATTCAGACGATGGGTGACTTCCACGCCGTCCAAGCGACTGGTGAGGCTACTACCCTTGGTGAGCCACTGGGTTACCATTCTTCAGATGCCTTGATTGTCAAGGAAACTTTAACCAATCGTCACATTCTGTTGCGCGAACTCCTTCAAGCCCGACAAACCGCACAGAGTAAGCGGGCCGCTGCAGACCGCTTGAAGGTCAGCTCGTCCGTCCGCCCTGACAAGGTCGACGAGGCAATCAACGCACTGGAAGAGGCGCAGAGCCATGAGGATTATCTAACCAAGCGTACCCAGCGCGTGACTACAAATCTACTCCAGGAGAAGCGTCGCTGGTTCGATCGAACCACTGCCGACCTGTTGTTCAGCCTCCGCGAGTATACCATGCGCCAGATTGAAGCTGAGCGACGCACCCTGGCTACTCTGGAAAGTGTTCGACCTGATATCCGTGCTATTGATGCCTCTGGTGGCTTGAGCCGACTGGGCCGCGAAGCACACCCCGCCACCCGTCGGTCTAATATGGCATCTAGCCAAGGTCCGAAGGGTGATGCCTGGAGCGGTGTTCCTCGCCGTGTCGACAGCACGGGCCGTAGCTTGAGTGGCAGCTTCCCAGCTCCCAATTTGAACGATGATGAGGATGAGGAGAGTCATCCCGAGACTGCCCAGGGCCGTGTGCGATCTACGAGCCAGGTTGAAACGATTGCCGAGGACGATGATGATCGCCTGGATGCCCGTAACGCTGCCAGCCGGCTGGCCACCAGCACATTCTGATCGGGGTGATGGATTGCATTGATTTTGTACATGTAGCCTGAACACGACCTCGTGATTCCCCTTTGTTGCCTTTATAATTCGTCTCCTATCATGTTTGTAGGTTCCAAGCCACTTTCATTGCTCTTCAACACCATAAAACGACAGATCATTTCCATTAAATAAGCGTAGCCACTGGTACTCACGAAGTCCACCCCTGGAACCTCTCAGCCCCATCATCAGGTACCTCAAACCACGAAGCCTTCTCCCCCAGAAAGATATGGGCAGCAGGCCGTGGAACAACTGTTTTCCCATCATCATCATCATCATCATCCATCGTCCCGGCAGCAACGCCAGTTTCCGGTAAGTTCTTATCAAGGTACATCGTCATCGTCGAGCCACAACGAGGACAGAAACTACGCCCAGCGGTATCGCTCGACCGCCATTCAGTAGGTTTGACAGTCCATTGAATAGCATCAGCTGGAAAGAATACCCAGGCCTGGTACGGAGCTCCGGATTGTTTTCGGCATTCCACGCAGTGGCAGTTGATCATTTTTCCCGGCGGGATGGAAGTAGTGTAGCGGATATAGCGGCAGGCGCAGCTTCCTGAAGCCATTTGGAGGATTTAAAAATCTGATTCGCAAGGTTTCAAGTAGAGTGTAGTTGATTCTGGGGTTTCGTGTGGATGTAGTCTTGGTCTGGATTTACCCCACGGCTGTCGCCGCTTTTGCGCTCAGGCTCGGCTTTTTTGCCACATGCTTTCCTTATTGGTCATGTTGGTATCAACATAGGGTGGCACTAGAGGCAGCCTTGTGTGCATGTGTCCCTTTTTAAATCAGTTTGCCTAGATTGCATGATTGGAACTTATGTGGACGTCGAGCTAGTAGTACACATGGATTAATTACATAGACCCCCTTCTCGAAACTTCTTTACAGTCAGCAAGAATATCATTGATAACTCTTCCAGTGCTCTATGAGGGTAAGCTGACGTTGAAACGCAGCTGAACTAGACGCTGATACCAGCAGAATCTGTCCAACCCTTTGACCTGGAGTGGATCTACGCTTCTACCTTCATTGTGATAATTGGCCACTTTATTGGCAATTCATGTCAGATAAGTGCGTTCCCTCTTCGGAACTCCGTGTAGACGCACTGTCCAGCCATATCAGCATGTGCAACACATCCGCATCCGATCGAATAAAGCAAAAGCGGTCAATCAACGAGCATGTTACTATGGATCAGCAATTTTGAAAAAATGGCTGGATAGCTTTTCTATATCAGAATGGAGCTCATCGAGTAAACAGCAGCAATTGGAGCCAAGAAGATCACGTGTCAAATTCCGCAGCCCCTGGTCTATGCACCTTCTATGTATGTATCAGTAGCCTCGCCTGCAAGACCCACTTCCTTTCCTGAAGACACTGATCGATGTGGAGTGGGCTCCACATCCATGTGCACAGACGTCCGACTCTCGCCTTTCGTCCCTTCTGGAATATTACAGAGTACACTTTCAAACAAGGCTCGGTTCCCCTTTCCTTACATCAGGTACCCACTTCTCGAAAAGAGGATTTCAAATGGGACGGAAAGCGTCACTGAGGCACTTTTAGTGCTGACAGGTTTCTGCGCCGCTGTCTCTCTGGTTAGTGGCTCAAACGTCGTTGCCACACAGACGGCCTGAACGAAGCCAGCCAATGAAGACGCTAGCGGAAACTGGGCTTTGGATTCCGCGGTTTTGACAGAATCTTGCGGCCCGCACGGGACCCCCTTAAAACCAGTTAGATAGCTGCTGACTACTCTAGCGCCAGCTGATCTTTCAGAAGGAGGAAGAGAATCGACGATGATGGAGTATTTTGATGGCACGAACGGAAATCTTCGCAGATCATTGCCACAATCAGTCTGCTTTGGCTAAGCTGCTGAAATCGAACAGGGGTAATGTAGTCTAATTTACATGACAATGCCTATTGTTACTAGTCATGACTGCCGGATCCGTGCGCCTCACAGACTTCGAAACAGCGGTCGACGCCTTCGGGGAAGGTGACAGGACATATCCGATGCTTATGGTTGGTTCGGTGACCATGAACTGTGGGTGCCTCAGTACCAGTACAGTCCCAGAGTGCATAAGCGTCATGTATTGCAGAAGCCGAATGACACTAGAGTCCGATTGAATAATACGAGCCACTCCTAGGCCCGCATTCTCATGTGTAACTTGGCCTTTTACTTTTCTTTCTCCCTTTCCCATTTTCTTATGTTGTGACCTGTCGCCATGTCGTTGCAGGCGCTGTTGAACGCGATACTAGGGCTACTAGCTCTTTACATCGCAAGGGCATGGGTCAAACGAAAGGGACCCCTGGGGCCACTACCCCCAGGCCCACGACCCAAGCTAATCGTGGGCAACATCGCCGACCTGCCGCCTCCAGGAGTGCAAGACTGGATGCATTGGCTGAAGCATAAAGATCTATATGGTATGCTGAACAAGCCACGGTTGACTGATGTCTTTTTTTAAAAAAAAAATATGTTGCTGATACGAAATTGCGCCTGTAGGGCCCATAAGTTCTGTTACGGTAATGGGTCAGACGATCGTGATCCTAAATGATATACAGACAGCGTCAGACCTATTGCGCAAACGAGCCTCGATGTACTCGTCCCGACCGCATCAGGTTTTCGCATCCGAACTGTCAGTATAAGAGCCCCTTCCCACTATCAAAACGGAGAAGACCGAATATCAAATTATCAGAACTCGCATTAACAGCATAACAGAGTAGGCTGGGGGCACGCTTTGGCTATGCAGCCATACACCGACCGATTTAGAGCTTATCGGAAGCTCATGAAACCATATTTTGGCTCAGAAAAGGTCGCTGCACAATACATTCCGCTGCAGGAGGTGGAAGCCCATCGCCTGTTGTGGCGTATTCTGAAGGACCAAGAAAACCTGACGCAACACATTCAGACGTTCGTGATTCCCCATATACTCCCAAGAATTAAGAATCAAGATGCTAACGTGATTATATAGTGAAGCTGGAGCGGTCATTCTCAAAATAACATATGGTTATAGGGTTGAGCCGCACAAGGAAGATATGCTGGTGAACCTTGTCAATGAGGCTCTTGAGCAATTCGGACATGCCGCGACACCAGGTACTTGGCTTGTGGACATAATACCGGCATGTAAGTTACGCGCGAACATGTCCGTTTATCATTTTTACTATCAAAGCTAATGCCGATTCAGTAAAATACGTCCCATCCTGGTTCCCAGGCGCTGGATTCAAGCGTACGGCACAAGAATTCAGAAAAAACCTTGAAGACGTTGCGAAAAAGCCTTACGCCTTTGTTCAGCAACGGATAAAGGATGGCAGGTATAAGCCATCATTTCTTTCCGATACACTTAAACTGAACGGAATTCCACCCTCCGGATCAGAGGAAGAGCTGGTTGCCAGATGGACAACTGCATCACTTTATGGCGCGGGCGCCGACACTGTATGCCACTTTCTTGTCTTTTCATGACCGCCACTCTTGCTAATATGGATTAGACCGTGTCTTCGGTTGGAACATTTTTCCTTGCTATGGCATTGTACCCGGAAGTTCAAAAAATGGCCCAGGATGAGATTGACCGGGTTATCGGTCCCGGTCGACTCCCCACGACGGCAGACCGCGATCGCCTGCCGTATGTTAATGCGATAGTAAAGGAGGTCTTCCGTTGGCATCCTGTAGTACCAATGGGGATTCCACATATGTCGACGGCTGACGACATCTACGAGGGGTACTATATTCCCAAAGGTTCTCTTATTATGCCGAATATTTGGTGAGTTCCAGTGCTCGATGGGTCGAGTTTCATAGGTTGCCATGATATTGCTCATTGGATCGGAAGTCTAACTCGCACAATAGGGGGATGATGCACGATCCCGCATTGTATCATGATCCTATGGCTTTCAAGCCAGAACGTTTCTTGGAGATTGATGGCCGGGGCCCCGACACAGATCCGCACAGCTTCGTATTTGGCTTTGGGCGTCGCGTCTGCCCCGGTCGAATCCTGGCAGACAGCACAGTATGGCTCAGTGCTGCTAAGTCTCTTGCGGTGTTCAATATCAGCAAACCTGTGGAGAATGGCGTTGAGGTGGATATTAAAGCTGAATTCCTGCCTGGAGTTATTAGCCATCCGGCGCCATGCAAGCTGCAAATCACGCCTCGGAGTGCTGCACATGAAGACCTGATATTAGCGGTGGAGCAGGAGCACCCTTGGGAGCAGGGTGACGGGTCCGAGTTGCAGAAGATTCGATATTAAAGTTCGTACAAGTAATGTTTCAATGATTAATTGTGGGGTCATGAGGCGGACGGTTTTCTTGTCTATATCCAGCAGAAATCTCTTAATTAAAGATATACTAGCTCAAGCTTTCCTTTTTTTTTTTTTTTTTTTTCTTTGGATGGCTCTCTTCGGATTAGGAAGCGAGGGCGATATCAGGTGGCCAATGTCCATGGTGTTCGAGCCTGCGTGAGCTTGGAATTTCCAATAAGCTCATAAGGTTCCAAAACATTTTGCAACACTGGATTAAAAGTCGCAAAATTGGCCGATGGAAAGGACTTAGACTTGGGTTGACTCACAAACATCAAATGTAATGGAATGGAGTACACCTTCATCACCATGGCTAGGTGCATACAGAACAGGCACTGCTGATCAAGTAAATGGATCTACGCATCTTCTTGGTCAGACCTGTACCATTTGGGCATGCTGATTTTTACTCAATGATCAGGAAGGAGGGATGGCGTCAAACCAAGGACAAGTCAAGATGTGCCCGATATCCTCCTGTCTATATATCCGGACGTGACATCCGAAGCTGTGACATCATGTGGGGCAGCTATGAGCTAGATGAAGCTACATACTGTAGCAGACACGATATCTATTCTATTATCACTGTATGAGAATTCCTGTATGAGGATTTGGAAGAAAATCTGTATGAGCTATTGAGGCTCAAATAGTTCCAATATACGCGAAGTATTGGAAGTGACTTCTAGAGACGCCCATGGTTTCTCGGGATTTGCATCGCCCATCGCAACCCCACTTTGGATCTATCTCGGACCCAAGTTTCTGAATTAAGAACTTTGATTTGAAAGCAAAGGTCCACACTTTGGTACATTTAACAGGTCACACTTGTCTTACTTCAGAGTCCTTGTTTCAACCCTATTCTTTGCTGCCCCTCCTTTACATTCATCCCTATCGTGCCCCATTGCAATATGGCTTCTCCCAAGGTCTTCATGTAGGTCAATCCACTCGGCAAGCTTGACAACTGGCCTAACAATCTCCACAGAACTGGTTCTTCGGGTTATATTGGCGGCGATGGCCTTTACACCATTGCAAACGCTCATCCCAACTGGCAGCTGTCGGCTCTGGTCCGCAGCCAGGAAAAGGCAAAGCAGGTCAAGGCCCAGTACCCGAGCATCCGGATTGTTCACGGAGATCTGGACTCTTCTGATATCATTGAGGAAGAAGTCAAGAATGCTGACATCGTCTTTCGTCAGTACAAAGTCCATTAGTAACTTCTTCCATGGCTAACCTTTTCTTCAGACTTCGCCGACTGCGACCATGTTGCGGCGGCTCAAGCCATTGCCAAGGGCTCTGAGCACCATACAGCTGAGCGTCCTCTCTGGCTTATTCACACCTCTGGCACCGGCATCCTGACTGTCGAGGATCAGCGCGCTAAGTCCTACGGCATTGAGCGTCCCAAGGAGTACAACGACTGGGAGGGTGTGAGCGAGCTCGTCAATCTGCCCGAAGATGCATTCCATCGTAATGTGGATGAAATTATTATCAATGCTGGCAAGCGTGATCCCGCCAGCGTTCGCACGGCGGTTGTCTGCCCGCCTTGTATTTACGGCCCTGGCCGTGGTCCCTGCAACCAAAAGAGTATACAGGCTTACTTGTTGGCCAGTTCGGTCCTGAAGCATGGCAAGGGCTTCCTTGTTGGAAAGGGCGAGAATGTTTGGCACCAGGTGCATGTTCGGGATTTGAGCAACGTTTACGAGGCCCTGGGTGCCGCGGCCGCTGAGGGCGGTGGCAAGGCCACTTGGAACAACGAGGGTTACTACCTCGCTGAGAACGGATCCTTCGTCTGGGGCGATATTCAACGGAAGGTTGCCGAGGAGGCTTTCGCGCAGGGCTTCATCAAGTCTCCAGAGGCTAAGTCCCTGAATGATGTCCAAATTACCGAGATCCTTTCTGTTGGACTGTATGCTTGGGGCTCTAACTCTCGTGGTCACTCCATTCGTGCTCGCAAGCTGTTTGGTTGGGAGCCGAAGGAGCCCAAGTTAATTGACTTGATTCCTGAGATTGTTTCGCTTGAGGCTAAGGACCTTGGCTTGAAATAGGTTGCTTGTCTTGTATGATACCTACGATACCATGAGATAGTCAAGACATCTGCCGCTTTTCAAAGAATCTGGTTAATTGATAAATTACCCGGAAGGTTCAAGTAAAAACTATATAAGAAGCATATTTTCTGGATTTCCTTTTGAGACGCGCAAGATAGAATTGTGAATTCCCATGTTTTGGATATAGATCCGGCTCCAGGTCACATACGGAGACAAAACTTTCCCACTCCAGTTTGAATTTTGAATATGACGAAAGAAACTTGATTTAAATATTAGCCTACAAGGAGGTAGCGATCAGGGAATCAATAGAGAAATAGACAATCAATAAGAGGCTCAATAAACCGGCCAACTTAAATGCCGGACTCGACACCTCAGGCAGCAGAACGCTTGGACCCATCTTCGCGGCGTGAGCTTCCTGCCATCATCGCTCACGGGTCTTTCATTGCCATCCTCCCACCTCAACTTTCTTCCTCCATCCTCTCCCTGATGAAGCGTTGTCGCTGGTATGCTTCTCCTGCGAACGTCACGCGGCTTGCAACTGCTCTCTCTCATCGATTTCAATTGCTGACAATTGTCCTGCCGGTTCCCCAGATTCAACCCTCATGACCTACATTCTCTCTGATTCACTCTCCACCGTCTCTGCCCTTCGCGTCTAAGCCGGCACTCCAACCGATATGGCGCCCGGGCAGGGTGGGAAGCGAAAGCGTAGTGAACGCTCATACTCCGGTGACTCGGCGAGTAACGAAGCCTCGCGACCCTCCCCTCATCGTCCTAGCACGCTCAATATGGCGCACCACCATGGGAACCAATCCAGCCAATCCAGAGAACAAAATGATATGCGTGACCGATCGCGCCGGCAATCAAACCGTGGCGGCGGTAACCGACACAATTCTCGCCGTGGCTCATATGAAAGCCAGCAGAATTTTTCGAGTTCACAGCACAGGGAGCCTAGCGCGATGTCTCCTCCTCCTCCTCCGACTCAGTCCAGGGAGGGCACAGAGACTGTGCAACCAAACGGCGAGTCTGGGGCGGCCCAACCCACCCCTTCCCCGACACCGAACACTCCGGCCGCGCAGTCGCAGACGCAACCCCAATCTCACACCGAATCCGAACGACCTGTAAGTCGCCCATCCGGCCCTTCCTCTCCATATGACTATGAGTATGTCACGGACACAGTCGTAGAGGAATGGTCATCGACCGGAAAGCAAAAAGTCGTGGAAGAAGGAATTTCGGCTCGGGTGCAAGAGAATCTCGCCGGTCTAGCTTCAGTCTACCAGGAGCTCATTAGATCTGCTATCTATGGACGACTGTCACCTTCGGAGGCAGGGACCGCTGTCAAAGAGATTCTTGGCGATGATTCTGCGTCCCAGCTTGTGGAAATGGAAGGCGAAGAAGCTAAAGCTTCAACCTCCGTCTTTGATTCACGTTCTTTATTCCTCGATACCCTTTCTATCATCACCGATTCCGACACCTCCAACCCCGGTCTCAAACCTCTTGTCTTTGCGACTTCGATTTCCCCTGCTCTCATGCGACTCCAACTTGAAACGCCTTTGCTGCAATCCCTAGGATTGGTTCGTGAGACCTTTGCCCGCATGGGAATCCGCAAGCAAACCAATTTGCTCTACCGCCAATCCAACTACAACCTTCTTAGAGAAGAGTCGGAGGGATATTCAAAGCTTCTCACTGAGCTTTTCGCCACTAGCGGCAACGAGCCGCCATCAAGCGAAGTGGTTGAAGACACCTTCGAAAGGGTAAAGGCTATGATTGGCGCATTTGACATGGATGTTGGTCGAGTTCTAGATGTGACATTGGACGTGTTCGCTGCTGTGTTAGTCAAACAATTTCGGTTCTTCGTGAAGTTGTTGCGAGTTAGCTCCTGGTGGCCCAAAGAAAACGAGACCACACGAGAGGCCCTTCACAACTTCGGTTTGCCAAATTGGGCACTTCCAGGCTCTGCAGGCTGGATTACGACAGACGAGGAACAAATCGCTATTATGAAATCAAATGAAGAACGCGATCGAAAGTTCTGGGATCGAGCGCGAGAGGTCGGTATACAAGCTTTCTTCGAGATCGGGCACAAGTCGATTTCAGAGGAAGAGCGACTTCAATCCCTTGCAGAGGGTAACAATTTATCCGAAGAAGAAGCAGCAACACGGACATGGATTCAAGAGACAGGAACGTTGCCACCAAAGGGCAATCGAGTGGCAGCGCAACTTCTCGGATTCAAGCTGCGGTTCTACGCCTCTTCTGTTCGTTCCAAGGACGATGTGCTGCCAGATACCCTCATCTATTTATCTGCGTTGCTCATCAAAGTGGGCTTTATTTCTCTGCGCGACCTCTACACTCACCTCTGGAGACCCGATGAGACGATGGAGGAGTTGAAGACCGAGAAGATGACTGAAAAAGCGGAGAGAGAAAAGGCTGCTCGGCCGGGTGGCGGAATCAACGCTCTCATGCTTGCCGGTGCGCTCTCGGACGACACGATCCCACCCCCACGTCTTCGCGAGGACTCGCGCAAGGCCACTCCGTCAAAGGACCAAGAGGCCGACAAAAATTCTGCCAAGACAGAAAATGATCTACCAGACCCGATTGAACAGAAGGTGTTGCTTCTCAAGAGTCTTCTCCTAATTGGTGCCATCCCGGAAGCCCTCTTCATCATCAGCAAATTCCCCTGGTTGATGGATGGCTTCCCCGAACTACCTGACTTCATCCACCGTATTCTTCATCAGTCGCTGAGCAAGGTCTACTCGTTGCTTCGCCCCCTCCCTGGAAAAGACCTTGCCGGCCAGCGACAGATTCTAAGCACCGACCAGTCTGGTCTGCCGAAGGGCGAGATTCGACTTGCGCAGCCATCGGCGAAACGAACGCTCAGATGGGCCAAAATCGACACAGACGACGAGAATGAAGGCATCGCCTACCGATTCTACTGGGACGAATGGTCAAACAACATCCCAATCTGTCAGTCTGTAGATGACGTCTTCGCCCTCTGCTCGTCTTTCCTTAACCTCTCCGGTCATAAGATTGGACAGGATGCAAGCTTGCTCTCGAAACTAGCGCGTATCGGCAAGGATAGTCTGTCTAATGACGCTTCAGAAGAAAACAGAACTCGCTGGCGGGATCTCTGCAAGCGCCTGTTGTTACCTTCTGTCAGTTTGACCAAAGCCAACCCTGGGGTCGTCAACGAGGTGTTCGACCTTCTTAGCTTCTTCCCTCGTGAAGTCCGGTACAACATGTACGCGGAATGGTACTCTGGCCAGACATCTAGATTGCCTGACATCAAATCTGCCTTTGACCAGGCGAGGGCCGAGACCAAGGACGTGCTGAAGCGACTCAGCAAAACCAACACCAGGCCCATGGCTCGCGCACTAGCCAAGATTGCTTACGCTAACCCCGGAATTGTCATCAACGTCGCCATCAGTCAGATTGAATCGTACGAAAATCTCATCGAGGTCGTTGTCGAGTGCGCGCGCTATTTCACTAATCTGGGCTACGACATTCTCACTTGGTCTCTCATCAATTCTCTTGGCCAGAAGGGAAGAAGTCGTGTGCAGGAGGGTGGTCTGCTTACCAGCCGTTGGCTAAACGCTCTATCCACCTTCGCCGGCCGAGCTTTCAAGCGATATTCGATCATGGATCCCACCCCGTTGCTGCAATATGTCGTGGAGCAACTGCGTCACAATAACTCTACCGACCTGATTGTTTTGGAACAAATGATTGTGTCCATGGCTGGCATCATCACAGACACCAACTTCAATGATGCTCAAGTCCAAGCCATGGCTGGCGGAGAGATCCTCCAGGCACAAACTATTCTGCAGCTCCTGGACAAGCGACACGAGTCCAAGACCACTTCGAAGCGGCTGATCAAGTCGCTCACCCACACTCGCCTCGCAGGTCAATTACTTGTCGCCATTGCCCAGGAACGTTTGACATGTGTTTACAATGAGTCCTCATCGGAACTCAAACTCCTCGGAAACATCTTCGACGAAATTCACCGGATCCTCACCCAGTACCTGGACTTGCTGCGGAGTAATCTATCGATAGAAGAGTTTGACTCTTTTGTGCCCGACTTTGCCGCTTTAGTCAAAGAGTTTGGCGTTCAGCCCGAGATTGCTTTCTGGATTCGCCGAGCCAGCATTTCCAAGAAGATAGCCGAGGTTGAATCATCGAAGCTGGAGACAGAGTCATCGACGAAGGAAATCACCGAGACTCTACCTCAGCCCAGTGATGAGAATCAGATGGACACTGCAGACGACGGGAATGAGACACCCAAGATCAACCAGAGCTCCGCCGAGACAGATATGGACGTCGACAAAGAAGAGGTCGCCGCTGCGCTTCTATCATCCAACCCCGTGATGCAAGATCTAATTGACAATGTCAAGACCGCCTTGCCTGCCGAAACATGGGAGGTGATTGGCCCGCACTTCTATGCAACCTTCTGGCAACTGGATCTTTACGATGTTCATGTGCCCGGTCAATCCTACGATGAAGAGATGGGACGGTTGAAGAAACGAATCATGACCATCTCCAACGACCGGTCTGATCTGAGTTTAGCTGGCTCCCAGCGCAAGGACAGAGACAGGAAGGCTGTTACTGATCTCCGTGATCGACTTCTGCAGGAAAACAGGAGCCATTTGACCGCATACAGCCAGACTCGCTCTCGTTTGTTGAAGGAGAAGGAACAGTGGTTCGCTGGCATGCGCCTCAAGCACGATGTCTTGAACATTGCTTTGCTAGAGCAATGCTTCCTCCCTCGATTGCTTTTATCACCACTTGATGCCTTCTTCTGTTTCAAGCTGCTGAAGTTCCTGCACAGCTCAGGTACCCCCAACTTCCGAACTGTTGGCCTACTCGATCAACTCTTCCGCGAGCAAAGACTCACAGCCCTGATCTTTCTGTGCACCTCCAAAGAAGCCGACAACCTGGGGCGCTTCCTCAATGAAATTTTGCGCGATCTCTCTCGCTGGCATGCCGATAAGGCTGTCTATGAAAGAGAAGCCTTTGGCACTAAGAAAGACCTACCTGGATTTGCTAAGAATGTCGGACCTGAGGGCGTGCCGCTGGCCTTCTTGGAGTTCGAGGACTTCCGCCGTCTTCTCTACAAGTGGCACCGCCTGTTCTCCGTTGCTCTCAAGACTTGTCTTAATAGCGGCGAGTACATGCACATTCGAAACGCGATCAGTGTCCTCAAGGCAGTTGTCCAGCACTTCCCTGCTGTGAACTGGATCGGTCGCGACATGTTGAACTGTGTCAACACACTTAGTAAAAATGACGAGCGAGACGACGTCAAAATCCCTGCGGCATCCTTGATCGGTGATCTAAACCGCCGTGAGAAGAAGTGGATGCTTCCTCAAGCATTCAACATGGTCAAAACTGGCACCCAGCCGCCTGCTGATGGCAAGAGCGGCACTCCGCAGCCACAAACCGGGACTCCCAATTCACTTAATGCTTCTGCTCCAGAATTCCAGCCTACATCCGGACAACCGTAAGTCACCATCTCACAACTGTCAACATTACTTGACGACTAACACATCAAATGACAGTGGTGACGGATCAGCCAGCCAAGAAGAATCTGGCAAGATGGAAGTCGAGGATGGTGAGATTGAGGATGCGAAAATGGCCGATGCAGCCTCCGCGAAGGGACTGGAGGATGCAAAGACAGCAGAGCCTGGTACTGATTCTGGAACTTCCACGGTCATGGATACGGGTAACGACGAGCGGCCTGATATTCGTGGGCAGCTCGAACCTCCCGTGCGACCCCGGCCAGGCTCTCGAGCCTCCGACTCGGCTCGCCCATCTGATATCCCGAGACGACCAGAGCCTGATCGTTCAACATCACGGCGTCAACAGCAAGGCCGTCCTCCACACGGTGACGGCAGGCTTCCTCCGCGCCCTGATATGAAAGCAGACGACCGACGCGACAGACTTTCTGATTTCAACCCGCGTACTCGTCATGGAAACCCTGATCTTCGCTCTTTCGATACTCCAAATGTCCGCGATCGCTTTGGTATGAGACCTCTACCAGACGAGCCAATGCGCGGTCAACCTTACCGTGACAGCCGTCTGCCGCGAGAGCCAGAATGGAATAATGATCGCCCTGGCCGTCTGCGTCCTGATCCATTCCATCCTCGCGACGGACCAGCTCGTGATGAACTTATGCCTGATTTCCCCGACCGCCCCATCGACGGCCCTCGTCGCGGAGAGCCAATGCGACCTGACCGGCCTCCGCGTGCTTTGTCGCCCTCCAGATCCGATCTCCCTAATCGCCCTGAGCGATTTCCAGATGACCGCCGAGGTGCCAACTTCACCCAGCTTCCTCCTCGCGATGAATTCCCTCGAGGCCCACGAGACCGTGCTGCTGATCCGAGAGATGCTGGCCCCGGCCCTGACTTGAATCACGGTCGGCTGCGTCAACCTGACGCTCAATCCGAGATCCCCTCTGGGCCACGAGGCTCAAGGAACCCTCGTGGTCGCAATGTCTCTGGTCGCCCGTCCAATGGAAAAGCACCTACTCCCGAACGCCAGGTGCCCACGGGCCCTGCTCGACAAGGTGGGCGCGGCGGCCCCGAGCAGTCCCCTGCCACTCCTGCCCCTGCCCCTCCCTCCGAGGCTTCCGCTGCACTCGGTATCCACCCTGATAGAGTACGCAATATCGTCGACGACAAGCCATCTCAGCAACGCCAGCCAGCTGCCATGACACCACCCTCTGGCCCTCGGGGAGGACCCAACCAACAACAAACTCCCCGTGGCCCTGGCGGGGATCGTAATCGTAGTGACAAGCGTTTTGCCGGCATCAACAATATGCTCCAACAGACAAACAACCCCGCTGAGCGTGGCAATGCCACTCCACCTGCCCGAGGGAAAGGTGGAAGCCGACAATCAGATGCCGGGGACACATCTTCTCCACAGACATCAAATCGCCCACCCACAGGCCCGGCCTCATCCCAGGACGATGGTCAGCGCAACCGCTCTGCGCGAGGCGGTGACTTGCTTGACGACGGCGGTCCCGACAACCGCCGTTCAGGAGGCCGAGATCGAAATCGTGAAAAGGACCGCGAGCGCGAGCGTCGTGGTGAAGAGAGCGCCAACGGCGGTGGCGGTAATCGACGTGAAGAACGCCGCAACCGCGACCCTGACCGCGAGCGCAGTCGCAGAAGTGACGTTGGTGGAGGTGCTGGTCGAGAGGAGAAGGAGCGTGATAAAGAACGCCATGGTGAGTCTCGTGAGAGCCTGCGCCGGGCCAACAGCTCGCGCGAAGAGACAAGACGCCGGGACCGACGTGATCGTGACGATGGGCCACCCGACGCGAGCGGCCCTGCTCCTGGCAACGCCAATGATGAGGGCCGTCTTCGCCCGCCGTCGTCCACGGGAGCCCCTCCACCTCCACCACCTCCACCGCCGCCTCCTCTTCCCACCGATGAACAGGGTACCCCTCGCCGCTGGGGCTCTGGTGGCGGAGACCGAGGTAACCGCAACGAAAACCGGGATCGCGAACGTGACCGCCGTGGTGACCGTGGCCGAGACCGGGAACACCGCGACAGTGGTGGCTCCGGAGGACATCGCAAGCGCGGACGTCCCAACCCCGAAGAAAATACCGGTGACGGAAACGTCCGAGGCCCGAGGATGGGAAATGATAGCAAGCGCCCTCGTCGTGGAGCGTGATATACCCCGATGAACTTGCTATAGTGGAGGATAAGTGGATCATTGCCCCGGCCTTGGATTTGGTGAAGATGAAGACTTCCGTGTGACAACTTTTCTTCTATTGTTTTATTTATCTACTGTGATCGCTGCACTTTGCATTTGGCGGTGTTCGGGACCATCCACTCTATTTTTTCTTATTTACTCTGCTAAATTTCATGATCGATATTCGTATACCCGGTTCTTTTCATGTAATCATTATCAACTCCTCCGTTTGCTGTTTTCATTCATTCAACAAGATGGGTAGCTATAAAAGGGGTGGGAGCTCCCTGGAGAGGTGTTGAAGGATTAAAGAATCAAATGTTTGAATCCAACTTGCATTAACAATGCAACTATCCCCTTGTATTGACCCATCATGATATATAGCGAAGTAGAGATTTAGATTTCCCCTCCTCTCTCATGCACAAGAGCGTGCCCTAAAAGTTCATAGGTTCAAATATTCTCTCAAAGACTCTTCGTTAAAGAGATCAAGCTCGACATTTGCGATCACAAGATCGTCATCCAGAGCACCTAAATCCGCAAGGTTCTCCACGATGTTCCATAATGACCCATCCCATTCGTCTGGAACCTCCAGTCTCAAGCGAAGTGTCCGAAAGCAGGGTGTGGACTTCCCCCAGTCTCTTAATCACAGACTCATGAAATTTCAGAAGAAAGGGAACCCTCAGGTTCCCAAGAAACGAACAACGTCAGTGAGAATGGGGTGTTCGAGAGATCGTGGCAGCATCTCCGACAGAGGCACTCCAGTTGATTCCGATAGAGACAATTCAATAAGTAAATCCACGGGGACTTCTAGAGTCTTGAGACACCTCAATCTGGCGAATGATCCTTCGCGATGCAGTAGGGGATCATGTTCGAGATTACTCCATTTCAACACATTTGTTGTGATGGCCAAATCACTTAAGATCTCTCGAACGTGCGATAGATCCGTCGCGGTTTGATCCAAGTTGATAGTGTACTCTCGTGAACCATAATAGCAACAACGGTGCAGTCGATACCATCGAGGTGTTTGAAGTAACCGTGTAACTGGGAGTATCTGGCCAAGAAAATCCTCGTTTAGGCACCTGAGGCTGAGTGATTTGGGCGTGGAAGGGATTTGTGGAGATTCTCCAGGCCATTTGAATTTGACGAATTTGACCGGGTTGGAGATGTTGGCTGATATGTTCCACGGATGGCAAATAGAAAATTGGAAGTAGATTAGCTAGAAGTCTCTCGCCAACGTAGTGGTCATCTGGCAAGCTCCCGGCAAAGGCGAGTGACACCCCTCGGAGGTGCTGAAAGGTAGATAAACGGTCATTTTGAGGATTGCCGCAGAGCGCAGATTGGAACATCAAGCCAATGAGGTGACTTGGGATTCGAAATGTAGGGCAAATATGAAGGCATTGCAAATCTGGGATTTGTGATACCAAGGCGACGAAGGCAAGTATTTCCTGAGCACGATGTTCTCGGATCCATATTCAGCTATATGGCAGGTCGATGGATCTTGTGAATAGCATCAACTCGTTTAACTCGTTGAGAGAAACCTTGATGAGCTATGCATATGTGCAAAGCAAGAAGGAAACAAGGCGATGAGGGAGGGAAAGAAGAGATCGAGATGTTCACTTTATTCGAGATGATTTGCCATTTTACTCTATTCTCCCATTGTGAAGCACCAAACGCGTCCCTCGGTCATGATCACAAAAACTATCTGGCAATCAAAGCAGTTCTTCATCAAGCGTGTCCCAGATCAGCTTTCGAACTGTTTACTGTGACTTACTGACGATCACGACTGGTGAGGCAGGTGCGATGGCAAGACAAGGCTCTTTCTGACCACGAAGGCAGCTTCGAACCCTCCCATCTAGAACATCCGCATTCTCAACTCCATCAGCGCTGCACTCCGCCCACATATCGAGTCAGGTCTGGTCAAGATATATCTTCGATACACGCGCTATTGGTGCGACAGAACCGGTAGTGTCCCCTCTTCTGCCTACATCGACCTCACACCCCAAGTCAAAACGATGCACATCGTCTCCACCGACGAGGACATGGGTGAGGGGATACGCCAAGACACCCTGAGTCAAGACACGCTCACCACCCGTGCAGAGCGAGTCTTCAACCGCGCAAGAATAGAGACGCTCCCCATTTACTTCACAGCCAAAGAAATATGCCTGCTCATCCAGCACTTCAAGAAGATCAAAAACACGGAAAAGGCAAACATTCACATCCACAATTTGCTCGCCGCGATAATCATCAACCAGAAATACCCGGAAGAGGTTGCGAAGATGTTTGAAGATATGGATGCGCGGAAGCCTAAGGGGTATGCCGCTCGCTGGACCAATGAGTTTCACATGGACAACCTGGAGCGTGAAGTCTTGGAGCAACTGGAGGTTGAAAAGGTAAATGGAGAGCAAGGTCCGTCCTGGGTGGTGCCTCAGGTGCCTGCAGATCCTTCGAAGCAGAGGGGTCGATTTGCGGACAAACTAGAAGGAGGAGGTAGTGCTTTCGAGAGTAGCTTCGCAAGTGGGCCTGAATAGGCCATAAAGGAAACGATACCTTGACGGAGCAGAACGAGTGAGAGGGCAAAGCAGAATACATGTTTGAGTCTCCTTACGATGTGATATTTGTGTAGTCCCAGGGTAAACGAGGAACTCGTGCTTGCTGCAGCGGTAGAGCAGGCCATCTGAAACCACTCCGAGCACTGTGCTCCAACATCAACATCAACGCACATGAATCTTGACTCGATGCGCTCTCGGAGCAGCAGCGTGACTCGATCTGCAGTCAAACCTTGGGACACGATAGAGATCGGGTGTCCAGATGATTCCAAAATACGCGACATTAGTACGTAGATAGCGAACGTATAGTAGAATCCGGGTCGGAGCCCGACAATCGGGTTGCCGAAGAAGCCCATTTTCAGCCAAACCCTTTTCATAGATGCCTTATCTTTGTGCAAGGATGCTATGGACAGATAGCGGCGACCTTCCGTGCCAATGATACCGTACTACCATGTGGCGTCGACCATACGGGAGGTTATTATAGACCGGGGTGCGGATATGTGAAATGAATGCACCACCCCAGCTGAAAGATGGGTGGCGTTTCGGCTGGCGAGTTGCGGTTTTGATGGTGGCGTTGGGAAAGGACCATTCATGGAGAGGCTACAGGGGCCCATTTAGCCGACGCGCCCGTGGATAGGCTGACGACCTTGCTTGTTTTTAGGTGGTGTATCACTAGCCGATTGTTATTATTTGCAGGAGCAGTGCAGGTAACCCTGGGACGTGGAGACGATTTGGATTACTTGGCTCGGCTGCGATTCCTATCTAAGGTCGGCCTCCTATGGTGATTTATCTATTTTCTAGAATAATGTGCACGGAGGATGATTAGTGGTGGTCCGTTGAACCTTCGGTGAAAGTTTCACGTTTCGAGTCCATGGGGACGGGGAAAAAGAAGACCCCCGGTGAATAAGCGAACTCAGCAAATCTTTAGGTGGTGGCATTATTCCAGTCGTCGTTACCCGTCAATTGCGAGCACTGAGCGTGACTACGTAATGCCTTCTAGTTTCTAGGATTAGGATTAGGATGTGTTCATTTATGTTTTTGGCGGGGATAATATAGGATAATACCTGGAAGGGTTATTTGTTGTTTTCATCCTATACATCCGCTAGATCATGACTCACCTCAGGGCTGGCCCGGCCCGGAAAAAGGGTTCTATGAAGCGCGCGGGAGGTCCGAGGGCGGTGTTTTGACCGATCCGCTCTTTCAAAGAGGCGTCACCCGCTATGACCAGCTATACCCATCCAAGTTGCTTATTTGTACGAAGGTATAGAGGGCGTTCTGTTGGAGCGTTGTGGGTGGGCCTCGCTATCCGAAATAAAGTCTCTTAAATTATTCACGGGAGCAATTATAATCCACCATGACCCTTGGGCACCGAAACGCCCGAGTCAAAAGGCGTCACTAGTGTCGGGGATATGTGGATACGGTCGGTGATCGCCTAGAAAGAGGGCAACAGGTCACGGTCACAGTTCCCAATGATCAACGACCACGGTTTCTTTATCGCAAATAAGAGAGCCAAGAAGCTACGGGCTCTAGCACGAGCCCAATCGGTAGCTAGCCTCGGGGGAAAAGGGGGCCCGTTCGAAGCGACCGACGGTGAACCCATACTAGCAGAGTCTAGGCGGGTCGGCGGTGCTTTGTTCGTTGATCTCCAGCTGCATTGGGTGCTGGTTATCGCCCCAGTGTGCCAACTGTGGGGGGAAAGAAGTCCTTGGGTTCGGGTTGATTATTTTGATATCCTGACTACCCTGGCTCCATTTCAGGTCCATCGCAGCCCTAATGGTATTTCCTGGACAATCTTGAGCAAATCTAGCCAATTCCGGGCCTCGGATCCACTCATGACGAGGATTAGCGCCCTTCTTTATCGTATCCATTAACGCATTTCCCCTCGCTCCGCATGCGCTCTAATCTGGGCCCTGGCCCCCGGTCCCATGAGGCTGACCCTTGAAAAAGGTCCCTACGTCCTCTTCTTTCTTTATTTATCGGTTTGAGCCCTGAGAGCATTTTACAGCGTTCTTTGCTTCGATCGGCGTTCATAACATCAACATCTGCACCATCCCTCGTTTGCCCCCCCCGCATACCAGCCCCGTCGCACGGCCAACGTTTCTCTGCTTTTTTTTTTTTGTCTACCGGTGGCAGGAATCTATTCTACCTTGCTCCGTTGCTCTGGAAGCGCCTCTTATTCAATCTTTTCGCCACATTCATCCTATTCTTGGACGTGACGTGTGCAGCCCGCTTTTGCAGGTCATTTCGATCGCATACTCTTGAGACTACAAGATCCCTGGCTCCCAGCTCTCAAATCTATTGCAAGAACCTCGATCACCTCATCGGATTGACCTAGTCGAATATCCTTAAACAAACCCGCCATCAAACCTGGTGGATACCCTGCTATCCACATACACGACGCTCCTCCCGAACTACGATAAGCTTTCTGAAAAAACTACCAAGATGCGCCAACGATTCACCTTTTCTCGCGGTAGCCAGGGACGACACCGCGCTTCTACCATCAATTCGTCCGGTGCTATAAGTACACCTAGCAGCCGCCCTCGCTCATCTACTACCCCCGTCTCTTCCAACACTACGGAGATTGCGTGGCACAACACAGACAACAGTCGATACTACCATTTCACCGATGAGCCCGGATACTTTTGTCCCTCGTCACCTATCATCAGCCGCCAGGATATCGCAGAAGACCTAGAAGATGAGATTACACACACTTGCACAATGCTTGTTCACGATATCGACCAAGGACTACCAATATTGCCTTCTCTCAACACAGCACTGCGTACAAGCAATGGCAGTGATGGCATGGTCCGAGCTTCATATGAAACGCATCCTGAATTCCAGGACCAAATGACCCATGTTTCGCCTCGAATGACAACCGCAAAGGAATTCGCCGCATGCAAGCCTATGCATGACTCGGGTGTTGCTTTCAGCGCCCAGTCATCAAGACGTGGCCAACACGGCCGAGACAGCTTGTCAGCCACTAGGGCTTCAGCTGGAGCGGGGAGATTCTACGGACGACGATCTCCACCCGAAGAGCCTTGCGAAAGGGGTCGCCAGCGTGGACGAAGCTTTGCCACAGATGCCACCTCCTTGTGCTCTCGATCTCGATCCCGCACTTCCAGCTTCGACATGTTCCCCTATAGTCCTCCCCAATCCACCGCATTATGGTCCCACAATATCAGAAAGGATATCGCACCCTCAGCCAACCTCTTCTCCGAGCCGGAATCCCTCCTCGGCGCAGAGGGAATGGCCTGGCTCCGCGCTAACGACGATATGCACCGTCTTGGCGACAGAAACAGCCCATGCCAAAGCGACGAGCACGCCGGCCTTACACCCTTCCTTCTTTCGGGTCCCGGCCCACGCCGTTTCTACAGCACCCGCCAACTACCATCGGCAAAGGCCCTGGGCCCGCGCGAATCGTCCTGCGAGCTCCACAGCGGCCTTTCCGTACGCAGTCTCCCCTTTGACAGCGATCTCCACAATCCCCATTCAACGCAAGCGTACAAGGCACAAACCTACTCGCTAGTCATCACGCCCGACGCAAACGGACCGGCCCGCCACAAACGTAAGAAGGCATCCCAACTCTTCAAAAAGTTAGCTGGAATAGGCATGCGGCGCAAAGAGGAACCCGTCGAATTCAGGAGGCCCATGGTTGCTGCTGCGTGATAAGATTGCCCACCCCTTTACGATACCATGTCAAACCTAAACATTCTTGTTTCTCATGTCTTGAATAGATCTTGTATATACCCTATTAGCTTTACATTCACTTCCAATGATTGGTCACTTTCTTCTCTATAGTTTGATACTGTGCGTAGATCATTGAAGTTAGGATTGCGTTAATGTCTCACGTTGTGGAACATGCATCTTATAGTTGGTGGGACTCGGGCCGGCGCAGAGGGCATCCCTTGCGTGGCTGATGGCACCTGGGTGTTGAGGGGATGGCACGAGGGGGTTTGTTTCTATTGCGACCCAATAAAGTCTATTGGTTTTGGAAGGGGTTAATGTTTCAGATAGAGCCCAATTAATACGGTACGATAGTCAGTCTTGGGGCTTCTCAAGAAATATTGGTCTGGGGTAGAAGAAGTCTCCTTTTCTATTCACATTGCTATACGTATTCACCTCCAAGGTTTCATTGAGCGAGATTAGCAGAAGTGAGCCCGAAGATGTCCCTTTGAGTCTATGGTGCCTAGTGGAAAGCGCCAAAAAAATAGCATTATGTGTAGATACTGCATCCAATCGAACGAAGACTATGCACGTTCGACGATGCATCTACTCTTGGAGAACTAAACAATCCATATGTAACCTTTTGCAATTGATCATATATTACCTTAGGAAACAAAACTCTCTATTCGTATAGTGAAAACACTGGAACTAGCAGCAACCGGATATGATGATATCATTTCCTAAAATACAAGTTCGGATCGCGGATGCGCAAGGTGGATCCACCTCGGCCTGATCAGTGTTGTCGGGACTGCCGAGGACTGCTGCCGGGCACTATACCGTCACTCTTTTTCACATCCAAAGTGAGGCTGATCATAAACCCATGCTGTCTCTCATCAACCTCTTAGCCTGGACCTGAATTATAACCAGCCCACACAGCGTCGTACTTTCCGTCCCAAACGATCGATCAAGACTTGCTTCAACCTCCGCTCCATGGCTTCTAACTCGACCGTAGATCCTCCGGTCATTGCCATTCTCGGTGCTACTGGTACACAAGGTCAGGGTGTGGTGGCGGCTTTACTCAGGTGTACAGAAACACCTTTTTCCGTTCTAGCCTTGACACGTGACATTGCATCGGAAGCTACGCAGCGTCTTCAAGCTCGATATCAAGGAGACAATAGGCTTAAATTCGGCTTTGCAAATGCCTACGACTTTGAGTCGTTGTTGACGGCATTCAAGGATGCCTACGGAGTTTTTGCTGTCACCAATACCCGGTTATCGGGAGAGACCATCGAGAGCGAGGAGGATATGCGGCATGAAGTGACGGCCGGTCAAAACATATATCGAGCTGCAAAGGTACTTTCTACTCTCTCGTTCTTGTGACCTCTTAATTGCAAGTTTTGGAGGATGTTAGTATCCCGCTAATCTCACATTGGCCTGATCTTCTATAAGGCATGCGGAATCAAGCATTTCGTCATGAGCAGCCTTCCGAGTATCAGCATTGCCAGTAGTGGTAAATTCCAGAAAGTCTTCCATTTTGATCAGAAACACGAAATTGAAGAAATGGCGCGCGAGGAGCTTCCTGCCACCTTTGTGTATCCTGGTATGCAGTGCTTATTTGGAAATTGAGGGGGCACCAAGCCAGCTAACCAACTCAAGGCTTATTCTACTCAAATCTCAATTGGCCGCAGTACAGTATACAAGAAGGTTAGCTCGCATGAAACCCTTTAAAAAGGAGAGAAAAAAGAAAAACTTTTTACTAACGCGAGGAAAGATGGTGTCATACATTTAACAGCTCCTCTCTCGGCTGACAAGAAGGTTGACTGGGTAGACCCCTGCTATGATATTGGAGTCTTTGTCGCCAGTACGTGATTCTTAAATGAGAGCAACCAGTTCAACATGCTAACAAAGAATAATCTAACAGAAATTTTCCATCTCGGTCCCCAAAAAACGGCTTCAAAAACCTACCCAGTTGTCGGGACTAAAACTTCCATCCGGCAAATGGCAGACATATTGGAGATCAATATCTCCAAGCGAGTCATTGTGACCCCATCGACAGTTGAGCAGTGGGGAGCCTGCATCTCAGCCAAGGCAGGTCCAGGTTATCGGCAAGATATTGAGCAAATGATGGAATGGATCAATGTTGCCCCGGACGATAAGGTGTGTTTTGGTACGGTCAGTACGGAAAACGATCACTCCCTCTCAGAACTTGGCGTGCGAGCGAGTTCTTTCCAAGAGTGGATTGAACGGTATAATTGGCAAGGGCCTTGACCTACGAAGTCGCAAGTACTTGTTTGGAAGATTCAGCGAGACCTAGTTGAGATCCACAATTTGATGCCATTATTTCATTGCCCATGGAATTGTAGTCTTAATTTCCTAAGGCGGACCTGGAGTACGACTAAGAATTGCTCGGATGCTTCCGCCAATGTCCAATCCAACATGGCGTCTACCGCGCTGGCAGGTTTGCTGGCACTGGTGAACGACGCAGCAATTCTCGGGCCCCTCCAATGAACTTTTGCTCGAGAGGATAAGGACATAGCAATGTCCAATTCCAGGTTCCGCGAAGAAGTGTCCCCCTTCATGAATCGGCTAAATCTCTCTAGGACGCCGAGAGGTTCTAGGGTGTGGGGTATACAAATGACTCGAACAGTGCAGATGCACCAGTCTGGTTAATTTTCCTAATCTCCACCATACCTACAGAACGATCTCTACTAGGATGATGCGCTATAGTGTTACCAAAACAGGGCCCTACAGCCCAATGTCTATTTTCTATGTTAAGAAGTGAAAGCGACACGTTGTCGCAGCACGATACCCGGAGTTTCACCGGGTAGCGGCCTCATGAATGACCCATCAACCCCCGGAGTGAAATGTCTCCTGGAGAAAAAGTGACCCCGAGGGTGGGTCTGATGGAGAGCAGTTGGATGCTTCTTGTGCAGTCATCTCGACATGGATTAGGTCCAGTGAGATTCGAGAGAGGCAGTTGGATGCTCATCTCCCTGACTAGCGAAACGGATAAAAGAACGGCAACCTCTACTTCCCCTGTGCGCCATGGCCTCCACCAGGACGTGAATCTATGCTGAACTCAGCTGGGTGGGATTCCACGTCTGGGACGGGGGGTCATGGGATGGCGGCAGAATGACCTGCGCCGGAATGCACTAGTTTTGGCTGGGAGTTTACCACGCGGTAATATCCTCAACCTCAGCCTCACCGAAGGTGCTGCTCTTGGTTAGCTTGTTGACGCTAGCCAGAGCTGCGGCGCCCTCCGCACTAGTGTGAGCCATGATGTCGGGCAGAACCTCATGGAAGAACTCCACAATGTGGCGGTTGACCTGCTCAAATTGCAGGAGGAAGGCGTCGTGGCCCTCGGGACTGTCGATACGCTTGAGACGCGAGTCGGGAATACCGGCGGCGACTTCCTGCTGTTCGGCAAAGGTGAAGAGGCCGTCGGACTCAATACCTAGAACCAAGGCGGGCTGCTCAATTTGGGAAAGGGCATCGCGGACGGGATCCTCCACGTCCTGGCTGGTACGGTTTCGAGACACGTCGTGAGTATCAAGCTTGCGGGTCATGGCAATATAGCAGTTGGCGTCAAATCGGTTGACAAACTTCTCTCCCTGGTATCGAAGGTACGACTGAGCGGAGAAGTAGGTCGGGGGACGTGGGCGACCAGTAAGGTTGGTCGGGGCTGGGCTCGGGGCCGACAAGATCTTGGTGCCAGAGAACTGTGGGTCCATATATTGGACATCCGACTGCGGGGCAGGGGTAGGGGAGTTTTGTCTGCTCTCCGAGCGAGACGAGAGGTGACCATCGTTGTGGATGGCCCAGTGCTCATTAGGAGGAGTAGGAACCTTCTCGGCGCCATTAATGCTTTGCCGCTTGCTAGGGTCTGGCACATTCCGGCCAAAGCGCGACTCGAAGGAGTTGCGGCTGCGGTAGGTGAGCAACGCCGACATGCGGGCTGCTCCGAGACCAGTCGACGGCGGGTCATTGAAGGGATAGTACCCATCATCATACTTGGGGTCACTGTATATGCTCTGTCTCTGTGCCTCACCCCAGCTAATGCACCAGGCAGAGTGGCGAGCGGAGGTTGCAATTGGCACGATGGCACGCACGTAGTCCTTTCCAAAGAATGCATATTCGAGAGTGAGCATACCACCCATGGAGCCACCGACAACTGCAGCGATCTGCTTGACACCGAGGTCGTCCAGAACCATCTTGTGAATGTTCACGTCATCACGAACAGTGGTGAGAGGGAACTCGGGACCATAGTAACCATTTTCAGGCTTATTGTCCTTATATGTGACCGCACTCGCACTGCCGTACGGACTTCCCAGACTGTTGAGGCAGACCACGAAGAATCGAGACACATCGAAGGCCTGACCGGGACCTCCAAGAAGGGGACCCCACCAATCCGCGACATCCGCACTGCCACTGAGGGCGTGACAGATCACCAAGACATTATCGCCATTGGGCGACAAAACACCACGGGTGGTGTAGGCAACGGGGACGTCGTACAATGTGTCACCAGACTCAAGGGTGAAAGAAGGAATGATCGCAATCGATTGATCCTCAATCAAGCGGGCATATGGGTTCTCCGGCTGCGCATCGACTCTCTCTACGGGATTTAGTAGCCGTCTTGGTTAATTGGGGTAAGGGGATAGACTGACGGAGTCGTGCAGTGGATATACTGCTTTGAGTAGCCATTTTGATAACGGATGAATATTTGAAGAAGACAAGAACAGGAAGGAAAGGAGAAGAAATATTCTCCCACCAAATGAGTCAGGGCCCCGCGGTCCCGCAATTCGTCAGAGGGTCCGGGCGGTGAACCCACATTTGGTGGCTGATTTTTCACACCCGAATTTCCCTTTTGATTCTTCAAACTTACCCAACCTCATCTTCAATCCCTTTCTTTTCAATCTCCCTCCAATACCGTCACAATGGCCAAGACCAAGTCCTCCGACAACATCTCTTCCCGCCTTGCCCTCGTCATGAAGTCCGGCAAGGGTTAGTCCCGCCTTATCCCGCACAATCGATCCTCGCTAATTCCATGCAGTCACCATGGGTAACAAGTCCACCATGAAGACCCTCCGCTCCGGCAAGGCCAAACTCGTCCTCATCTCCGCCAACTGCCCTCCTCTGCGCAAGTCCGAGCTTGAGTATTACGCCATGCTTGCCAAGACCCCCGTTCACCACTTCAACGGCAACAACGTACGTTCACCCCGCCTAAGTCGACTCTCATCCGTGAGATGTTGCAGCTGCCTGCCAGCTTTGCTACTCAGAGAAGAAGGCGGGAAAGTCCACTTCGGAGAGTGAAGTTGCTCAGCGATGGGATCTCGTCAAGAGATCCCGGAGAGCGAATGAACTAATACTGGTATAGATTGAACTTGGTACCGCCTGCGGTAAGCTCTTCCGCTGCTCTGTCATGGCCGTCCTGGATTCTGGTGACTCCGACATCCTGAGCCAGGAGTAAACGTATTATACCCACTTGTGGTTTAGAAGAATGCCCATAAGTGTTCAGTACATACTGCAATACATGGAATTTGATGATTTATGACTTGGATCTTGCTGTTGCACGGCTATACACAAAATGAGGGGCTGGGACCATCTGGGCGAAAACAACAATGATAGCCCGCCTTTGGAAAAAAGAAGTTCATAGAAATAGGCTAATAAATCACGCAATATTCTTCTCAATATTATTTCGTCACATTTCCTTTTAGTATCACGCCATGCCTTGTTTGCCCTGGTAAAAGAGATACATGAACCCCCACGCCAATGTTTGCGGGGAAACCTGGGTATCCACCCCTTACACTCTGCATCTCAACCCAGCCACTATAGCCTGAAATTGTCGGGAAATCCTCGGTCCAAACTAACGTTCACTGCTTTAGCCTGAATTCTCCGGGAAATGCATCATCCTATGTGCGAGTCTGTATAAGAGGCTCCAGGGTACGCTCCCGGTTTGCCGATTGTTTAAGGTTGTAGCGGTCTGATCTGCACCATGCGCGTTCTTTTCTTTCTCGCCTCTTTGGGCATCGTTGCCGCTGAGAATGGCTTGGACGGTTGGCTGCGATATGCATCATTATCGTGTACTGGTCAATGCCGTTCGAGGCTCCCTACCAACATTGTCGTCCTCAATGCGACCGAGACGAGCCCCATATACATCGCAGGCTCAGAGCTACAGATAGGGTTGAAGAGCATATATGGTTCCCCCGCTGAAATCACCTGGGGCAAATGCAAGGCATCCTCATCCGTTGTGGTAGGTACCGTGGAGCAATACCGTGAAACATGCGGAAGTTTGAGTGGAATCCCTGAACTGGAAGAGGACGGATTTTGGCTTAGCACCCAGGGTGACAAGGTCCGAATCCTTGGTTCCAACGATAGAGGCGCTCTCTATGGTGCTTTTGAGTATCTGTCGATGCTGGCACAAGGGAATTTCTCCGCAGTCGCGTACGCCTCGAACCCTTCTGCTCCAATCCGATGGGTCAATCAATGGGACAACATGGATGGAAGCATCGAGCGAGGCTACGGTGGTCCATCGATCTTCTTCAAGGACGGAGCTATCGTCGAAGATCTCTCTCGTGTTAAGCAGTACGGGCGTCTTCTGGCTTCTGTTCGGATCAATGCCGTGGTCATCAACAACGTTAATGCCAATGCTACTCTCCTGACGCCTGAGAACCTCAAAGGACTGGGTCGAATTGCCGATGTCTTCCGTCCATATGGAGTGAAGATTGGAATCTCGCTCAACTTTGCGTCTCCTGAAACTCTCGGTGGCCTCAACACCTACGATCCTCTTGATACATCCGTTATCGACTGGTGGTCAAGCATTACGGAGCAACTCTATCAAAACGTTCCCGATATGGCTGGATACCTTGTTAAGGCAGATTCCGAAGGGGAGCCTGGTCCTGCAGTGTATAATCGTACCTTGTCTCAAGGGGCGAACCTTTTCGCCAAGGCGCTACAGCCATACGGGGGCATCGTCATGTTCCGTGCGTTTGTCTACAACCAGCTCAATGAGTCAAACTGGGACGCAGATCGCGCCAAGGCTGCAGTCGACTTCTTCAAGCCTCTTGACGGGGAGTTCGAAGAGAATGTGGTCGTCCAGATTAAATTCGGCCCTATCGACTTCCAGGTCCGCGAACCTACATCGCCTCTGTTCGCAAACTTGTTCAACACAAGCTCCGCTATTGAGCTGGAGGTCACACAGGAGTACCTTGGACAACAATCCCACCTTGTTTATCTTCCCCCTCTCTGGAAGACCGTTTTGGACTTTGATCTTCGTGTTGACCACAAGCCATCATTGGTCCGTGATATCATCACAGGCAAACGCTTCAATCGAAAGCTTGGCGGATCTGCAGCCGTCGTGAACGTCGGCACCAACACGACCTGGCTCGGCAGCCACTTGTCTATGTCAAATCTCTATGGATACGGCCGCCTGGCGTGGAACGCAGCTGACGATCCCGAAGCCATCCTACAAGATTGGATTCGACTGACATTTGGCCTTGATCGCACTGTCCTCAAGACATTGACCCAACTCTCCATGGAATCCTGGCCCGCTTACGAAAACTACAGCGGTAATCTGGGCATACAGACGTTAACCGATATTCTGTACACTCACTACGGCCCCAATCCTCAATCACAGGATGGCAATGGCTGGGGCCAATGGACCCGTGCAGACTCCACGTCAATTGGAATGGACCGCACCGTCTCAAACGGAACTGGATACTCAGGTCAATATCCAGATGAGATTGCAGCTATATACGAAGACATAAGTACCACTCCAGATGACCTTCTTCTCTGGTTCCATCACGTCAATTACACTCACCGTCTCCATTCCGGCAAGACTATCATTCAGCACTTCTATGACGCGCACTACAGTGGTGCCGAATCAGCACAGAGTTTTCTTACACAATGGGAGTCGTTGAAAGGCAAGGTTGATGAAGAGCGATACAACCATATCCGCCATCGTCTCGACTACCAAACAGGTCACTCAATCGTCTGGCGTGATGCAATCAACAACTTCTACCACAATCTCTCAGGAATTCCCGATACCTCCAAGCGCGTTGGTCATCATCCATGGCGCATCGAGGCTGAGAACATGAACCTCGATGGCTATAAGGTCTACACTGTCAGTCCATTTGAGACAGCATCCGGCTCCATCGCTATCGTCACTGCTTCCAATGATACCGTGGGTACAGCTACAACCAAGGTTGACTTCCCCTCAGGGACCTACGATCTTGCTGTTAATTACTATGATCTCTACGGGGGTAAATCTCACTGGGAACTGTACTTGAACAATCATCAGATCGGTGAGTGGGCTGGGAATAGTGAGGATGTCCTTAGTCATACGCCTTCTATCTACTTGGATGGTCATTCTGCTATGCGTATCAAGTTCCGCGGTGTGATGGTCCAGAAGGGCGATGTATTGAAGATCGTTGGAAAGCCTGATGGAGTTGAACCTGCTCCGTTGGACTATGTTGCCTTCCTGCCACAGGGAGTTGTGGACTAGTGTGGTTGCTGTATATAGCTGTTATCAAAAGTGTGGACATACTCACCCACTAGACTTTTAATGTTAACTCTAAGCTCCACGGTACGCGACGGCAGCGTTGTGCACGTAATTATGTAAATCTACGCAGCAAGGAAGACAAGAACACGTAATGAAACGGGAGATACCTCAGCTTGGCTGAGCATCTTACTTCGGTGGTCAGTATATGATGGAGCACGGATCAAACGTAGTTTGACACTATCGCCGAGAAGTGATGGCCAATTCCAGGGTTATGCAATCTTTATATTTGCTTTAGTGGATGTAAGAAGCTTAAGCTCCGATACTCATGCTAGCCGGATTTGGCATAGCGCCTACATCATCGGCGCGCATTCCGGCGCGTCCCCGGATTCATTCAATCCCTGCAATTACAACTTCTCCCAAATTGAGCTCTGCTCAACCTATGTCCATGCAAGATGGCTGATTACTCCTCTTTGAAGGTCGCCGACCTGAAGGCGGAGCTTAAAAAGCGCGGCATCCCCCAGACTGGGCTTCGCCTTAAACAGCACTTCATTGACAAGCTGGTTGAAGAGGACGCCAAAGGCCAAACAGGCGATGCTGCTCCCGAAGCTGAAGCCGCCGAGCCCGAAGCCGCCGAGTCTGAGACTAAAAAGCCCGAAGCGCCGCCAGAACCCACAGATGCTGCTCCCCAGGCGCAAGAGCCGCCAACCGAAGAGCCACAATCCGAAGAACCTAAGCAGCCAGAAGCGCCGGTGACAGAAGAGACCGAGCCTTCACAAGCTATTCCTACACCTGATACCACCCACGAAGAAACGAAAAAACCCTCCCCGCCCGCGCCAGAGCAAGCAACGGACAATGGAGAGCCTGCAGGATTTGAGAACCCAATGCCAGCTGCCCCCACTGAGCCATCCGTGGAAGTGGCCAAAGAACCGGCCGAAACCGATTCAGTTGAACAAGCATCCGGCATCGCCGATCAAATCGATCGGGCAGATTTCGCGATCTCTTCGGAGAAAGCCCGACTCTCGGCGTCTCTGATCTCGGAGGCAAACACAGGGCTATCTACACCACTTCCAATCGAAGAGGCTCTGGAGGATAAGCGAAAGCGAAAGCGCCGCAGTCAGAGCCCCGTTCCGACACCACAGGCGATTGCGAACAAGAAGGCTCGAGCCAAGGATGAAAGTTCCCGATCTGCCTCTCTAGACGACGCACGTTCTGTTCCCGGAGAGGAAAGCACGAGTGCGCAAGAATCGCCAGAGGTACAGAAAAAAGAGGCTCCAGTTCCGGCGAAAGATGCCCGTTTCAGGGGTCTATTTGCTCCCACTGAGCCAGACCATTCTCCCGCTAAGGACGTTATTATGGAAGAGGCCGATGTGGAACCTGCACGGCATCCTGCAACCGCGTCTCTCTACATTGACGGGCTGATGCGTCCTCTCCAGCCTCCAGCATTGCGCAATCATCTCATTAGCATCGCGTCCCCTTCTGGCGCATCTCCCAACCCAGACGTCGTTCAACAATTCTTCCTCGACTCCATCAAAACGCACTGCTTTGTCCAGTTCAGTGACATTGCAGCAGCAGCACGGGTGCGCTTGGCACTTCACGGAAGGAAGTGGCCAGATGAGCGGAACCGCAAGAACCTCTGGGTGGATTTCATCCCCGACCAAAAGGTTCAAGAATGGATTCGCACAGAAGAGGCATCGCGGGACCGAGCCGGTCCCCCAGTGCGCTGGGAAGTTGCCTACGAGACAACCGACGATGCGACAACGGCCACCCTGACTGAAGCTGGAGCTAACCGCTCGGCTCCCTCGCGACCTCGCGAGCCTGGCTTCAACCGTACACCGCCACTAGGACCACGCGGCAGCCATGGTCAGGTCGAGCGTGCTTCCAACGCCCCACCTCCGGCAAGACCCGGACAGGGCTTCAAGCCTTTGGACGAACTTTTCAAATCGACCACTGCCAAACCTAAGCTCTACTACCTCCCCGTTCCCCGCCCGATTGCTGACAAGCGTTTGGACCAATTTGACGAACTACTACGGAAAGGAGAATTCCCGCGCCGTGGTGGAGACGAGACGCGCCGGATCACGTTCGAAGACGATGACTACTTTGTCGATGTTGGTCCGGAGTATGGAGCAGCGGCTATGCAGAGACGTCAGGACCGTGGTGGACGAGGGCGCGGTCGTCGACCCTAAATTAGTGAATACTGCATAACTTGAGAAGAAAAGAAAAGCAATGCCAAGAGATGAGGCGTCCTAGGCAGATAAATGTATCATAGCTAAGACTCACACTAACATCTAACATAGCCCCCCAAATGTACGAGTTGGTTTCCGTTCCTGGAGCCAAACTTCCAGGCCCAAAAAAAAAACTGGAGCCAGAAACAAAAATAGACGGTTCCAAGCCCCGACGATCACCTTTGGAAATTTGTTCAATCTATTCCCTTTGTCAATTTCTGACACGAGTGGCTTGGTAATGACACGAGCCACATCGTTTCTCCCTTTTAATTTCCGCGTTCTTCATTGTTGATGGTGGCGGCGCCTCCCTGATCGCGGATAAGAGATAAACGGGGAAAAAAGACCCTCCGCTTACTCTGTACCTTTCTTCCCCTTTCAACACTCCCCGCAAACTACCACCTCCCAGCCAGAATGGGCTGGACCGTGTGCAATGCTACCGCAGAGCATCAAACGAGTGCGCTTTTGCCGAGACATCCCCCGCACCTCCCCTGGACCTTGCTGACTTGCGACAGTCTCGGAAACGGATCTCTGGGATGGCGGCATTACCTTCCACTCTCTTAGCTTGATCGTCGGCGGCGTATGTGCCCTCCTTGCCTGCGCCGTCTCCATATTCCTGATTATGTGCCATGCGACACATTATAGCAAGCCCATGCACCAGCGCCAGTGAGTTCGGTTCAATGTTGTCATCGGACGCGGAAACCTCGCTAACGGGAATGATTCCCTGCGCGCAGCATTATTCGCATTCTGTTTATGGTCCCCGTTTACTCCATCGTCGCCTGGCTCAGTATCCTCTTCTACAATGATTCCGTTTATTTCGAGGTCATCGGCGACTGCTACGAAGCCTTCTGTATCTCCGCCTTCTTCTCCCTGATGTGCCACTACATTGCCCCCGACCTGCATAGTCAGAAGGACTATTTCCGTGGGATTCAGCCTAAAGCATGGCTGTGGCCCTTGAGTTGGTTCCAGAGCTGGAAGTGTTGTTTCGGACACCGCGGGGCGTGGAGAAACCCGCGCAGTGGGTTGACATGGTTTAACGTGAGAGAATGCGTACATTGGGTTGTTGAACAGGGGAGCTAACCATGTGTTTATGCAGATCATTTGGGCTGGTGTCTTCCAATACTGCGTCATGCGGGTTTTGATGACCGTCGTCTCGGTCATCACACAAGCTACTGGTACCTATTGCGAAGAGTCGCTAAGCCCAGCCTTCGCGCATATTTGGGTATGTCCTCTATCTTGTCTTGTTCAACCCGGCCAGTCAATTAACAATCGGAACTGCAGGTCCTCGCCATCGAGTCTGTCTGCGTCTCAATCGCCATGTACTGTCTGATCCAGTTCTACGTCCAAATCAACAAGGACATCGCGGAGTACCATCCCTTTACAAAAATTCTATCCATTAAGCTGGTTATCTTCTTGTCTTTCTGGCAATCCGTATGTCTCACAATGTTGCCAGTTTTGGGTGCCTACTAACCATTTCTGTTTCTTCAGACATTCATCAATCTACTCATCTCTAGTGGAGCAGTGAACGCAACCAAGAAGCTTGCTATCCAGGATCTAAAGTACGCTTTGCCAGAGTTGATGATTAACATCGAAATGTTCATTTTCTCTATCATGCACCTGTGGGCCTTCTCCTGGAAGCCTTATGCCATTGCCAACGCCAATCAGGGCGAAGTGACCGACTTTTTCGGCAACGGCAAAGCCACCTATGAAGGTGGCCGCTACGGTATGAGAGCCCTGGTTGATGCAATGAATCCTCTTGATCTCTTAAAGGCAGTTGGTCGGAGTGTGCGTTGGCTCGCCGTTGGACGCAAGCACCGTATGGAGGATCCCAGCTACCAGGCACACCACGAGAGCATTGGCCTTGAGCCCCCGGAGGCTGGAGTCGTAACAAATGCAACGGCCTACACAGGTGCTGCCGCTGTGCCTGGTGCCCGAACAACTCGTTACGGCGCAGACGAGGAGGGCGAGATTCTCCTCGCCAACGCGCAGTCTAACCCCGAGGCTGCACACCTGGGCACTTCTCCATATGCATCCGACTCTGACACTTACATGCATGAGCATGAGAATCCTGGCCGCTTCTACAATAACAACAACGCTTCCTCCTACGACGAATTCGACCACGGCAACCCGTACCTTGCCCACCATGACGCACAACACCCCTACCCAGCCGATGGTCCCCTCCGCGAAGCAGTCCCTATGCCAATGCCAGATCCATACCGGCCTCCACCGCCTTATCCCGATGATCACCACTCATGATAATGCATGATTTAGTCACGACAGTTTTTCGATAATGTCGGGCTGATTTCCATTCCATATTCATGATTTCCCTAACGATCCGGGATTCGGGGTACAGACGGTATCCTCGTTCCCATTCTATGGTACCCACGAGCAGTTGAAATCTTCCGGCTTTATAATCTCCTTTCTCTCGTCTGTTTGGATATGAATACCCATTGTTTTCGTCGTTGGCACTTGACGCTTTGATGCCACCTCCACTTAAATGCTGTGCACTTTACTTCCCTGCACAGCATATCATTTCTTGTATAGAACTACCTTACGAATGAATTTTTTGATCAACACGTCAACTTTCCTGAATCGGAAGATACTCAATTCAGTCACACGGGAGTAAAGTGAAAATGCAAAGATAGATTCGTAATCTCGTTTAAAAATCTTATCTCATGAAATATGAAGGCAGGCTCGTAACGCCGATGATAGTAGTAAAGCAACCCAAACCTTCCCAGGTTTGTTTTCGTAAACACGATTTATCCTCTATCTCAGGGATTGGAGGCACCTCCACTAAGAATATGCGCTCTCCCCAGTAGGAGGCATGGCGTGGGCATATAACTCGTCATCCATCCGCCGTTCCGCAAGAGCGGGGCCTCGGCGCGTATTGTTAGCGTGGCGTGCGCTCTGGATGATATGCGACTTGCGGCCTAGTTCGCGCATGGACTTGACGTTCTGACCTATCTGGCCGAGCAGGGATACTAGGAGAACGTCGTTGCTTTGGGATAGAACTTCGGAGTTGAAGGCGCTTTGTTCATGGGGGGAGAGGATTGAGAGGTGGGAGATGAGAGAGTTGATATTGCGGAGGATGGTGTGCGATAGCTGTGGCAAGAATGGGTCCTTTGAGTCACTGGATTCTGTGGCTGAGATGCTAGAGACGTAGGATTTGATGAGCGAGATGCGGGATTCGAGAGTGCGGATGGCGTTCAGGCGGGTGTTGAGGTTCGCGATTAGTTCTTCCTCCTCCTGTGAGAGCACAGCTTGCGAGCTCTGTTCACCGTCCGTGTTATTATTATCGCCACTCTGCTTAGATCCAATTGCGGCAGTGCCAGGAGTGATGGCCTCAGTCCGAGTGGCAGTTCCAGATCCCTTGGCAATAGTGTCGACACCGATCATCTCCGCCTCGCCGGTCTCCACGGAATATGGCAGCTCACGGAACCGTATATTCATCCTCTTTTCCTCGCCATCTATTTGCATGTCCTTGCCCGCATCTGCAGCGTTCTCGCCTTCCAGGACGCTCTCGTAGACGGTCAACGGAAGCTTGGCTCCCTGTCTATTTTGGAGCTGTGAGGGGTGGAAGGCTAGAAAGACCGCTGACTCGTTGTAGTCCTGGAGAAGCTGCTGGTGAATAGGGAGGTGGGCGGCATCTGGTCCAGATGGAGGCGCAGTTGACCACCATCCGACGATATCGAGAAGAGGATCTTTGTGTACATCCTTGACTGTATATCGGTCAGCTCGGATAGTTTGCGGTGGGGAGGGTCTACTGACACTGCTTCACACGCTCTTCGAACCAAGATGCGGGCAGTAGGACCTTTCCATCGGATTCAGTTGTAATAGGGCACTCGAATGCGTGCTCTAGAGTTATCTCTCGCCCGTTCTGTTGACCTAGCAGAGCCCCAATGATGGGGTCTCGCTGCTGCCGAGCGGCATGACGAGTGATGTGGTCGGATATGGTGAGAAGCACAAGTGGGTGCAACTGAATGTGCAGACCCGAGTCCGAGGACTTCTGCGAAATGAGAGACTGCGCCGGATCCATAATTGTATCTGCTCAAATGTAGGTTGAAGCGCGAAGTGGAGGCGGCGGTGATGCGGTAATGCGTTTGTCGTGTTTGGCGTGTTTGCGTCTTAGAGAGCTTTCCCCGCCGAATCTCACTTTCTCCAACTTTCTTGTATCAGTACGCCATGGCTATCCCGTCCGCTTTCGATGCGCTGAAATCGCATCTTATCAAGGTCCAGGAGGACCCGTCAACTTCCTTGGACGTCACCCTCATAGATCGGTTGAAGCTCCAGCTTGTTGAATCCACCAACCCTGTTGTCCCCGCCACGCTCTTATCGCAGATATCAGCTCTGTTGCCATCGCTGCAAGAGGACCCTGAGCCACTCACTACTCTCGCCATTAAGGCTACAACCTACTTCAGCTTCACAGACCTTCGCGCCGTTGAACCTCCGATTAATCTCGTTGCTGGCTTCAAAGCTCCATCCCCACCTATCAACCTTCTTGCTCTGTCATTGCTGGCCAAGGCAGGCCAGGCTTCCAGTGATGCAGCCATTGTCGCGGGGGATCCGGGACTGGTCGCTTCCCTCGTGGAGCTGTGGCTGTCTACCTCTTCGACGGCAGTTGCACAGGCGGCTTTCGATGCGCTGTGGGCTTTGCTAGATGTTGACTTGGCTAGTCCCCTCGAAAAAGGCGAGTACGAACAAACAAGTGAAGATGGACATGCTGGGCAAGGTCTCATGTGGAGGAGGCTGTTTACAGACAAAGATGTCTATGGAGTCCTGTTTGCTTTGTGTAGTCTCCAGAAAGATGCACCAGGCGAATTGTCCAAGCGCGAACGGACGGTGGCCCAAGGAAGACTGATGGGATTTCTGGTGAAAGCAGGCCGCTTACGCTGGGATATCATTTCTAAATCGCACGTGTCTGAGATTGAGATGAAGTATCAAAGCAAGAGTCTCCTGCATTTCGCCGCCTGCCAAATGATCGACCAGAGTGATGTGTTGATGCACATGACGCTTCTAGGTTTCTTCCGAGATCTGTTGGAAATTGACGCACCTGGCCTTGCTGCCCGAAGCTATGTGCAATCTACATCGACCTTCTCATCTCCTGCTCTCGACTTCCTCATCTCGGAGAAGCTGCATTCGAACGTACTTGAATACTATCTCAATGAGTCCAAGCTCGACTCCGTGGACCTTGTTTACCTCTCTGGTCCAATCATGGCTTATATGGCAAAGTATGCCGAGTCTTATCCCAACCACTTCCTCCAGAATTCTCCTACCGTTCTTGAGGGAATTATCTCGCGCATCTCGCGTGCAGTTGCTATTCCCTCAATCCAATGGGCACATGGAGAGGTTCCCACTGGGCACCTGGCAATTTTGGCTTCCCTACCACGCGTCCTCCTTGTTGAAGCTGGCAAGAATGGATCAAACCCCCTCTTGAGCATCCCCACAACCCCCCCGAATGAAGAAGCCCTAAATGCCCTGGGTCGGGTTTTCCATGGACCAGCACGGACACATGTCTCAGATTCCATGGACCTGGATAGTTCTGGCCAAACCCCAACAGATTGGCATCATGAAGCCGCAGCAGCACGCATGCTCTACTTCCAATATCTTAATAACCACCCTACCTTCTGGACTGACGTTGTTGCCGCCGCAGATCTCCTAGCGATGAAGGAGGTCGCTTTGGCGGCGCTGAACTTCATCAGGGCCATTGTTATGGCAAAGTGGCAGCCGTTGCCCCCAGCTTCGCATGTTTCTCGCACACCATCTCGGTTCCAGCTGCCATCGGAAGAGAGCTTGGGTCAATTTTCTCCGGCTATGAATGGCCTGCTCCCTCTTTCTGGACCATGGGCTGTTCTCACCCCACCGGCTCTTACAACTCTCCTGCCTTATCTGTTCAAACCGCCCCGGTCATACTCGGAATTTGTAAGTGGTGGTGCAGGCGATACCCAGAGCATTGTCTGGAAGGTAGCCACTGCGAAACATGATGTTCTTGAGCTTCTCAGTCATCGACTTCAGCAAATCGGGGGCCAGATGGAAGGGCTTGAGGACATTTTGCGAACTCTGCAGCAGCGGGTCGATGAGGGCCCTTGGGGACCTGTGCAGCCAAGGAATGCCGAGATCGAGACGGTTGGACTTTAATAAGAAAAAAAAAAGTAACTGTCTTCTAGTTTCTCCAGTGATGCATACTCCCTATCACGTCTGTTGGTTTTAGCCTTTTAGCTCTTCATGGAATGCCTCATACATCCACAGACTGAAAATTCTTCCAAAGCATGCATAGCACTGATTTAGTCACGAAAGTGAGATAACTTCTTCATACCGTATTTTTCGTCACGTCCCTCTCGCTACATATCAGAGGGTGCGGTCAATTAAACAGTAATTCGTTTCACCACATCGTCCTACCACTGAGTCATTGACCCAATCACCCTCACCGAAGTGATATCCAGGCTATTGCTACATTATATACATATCCGATAAATGTCCAAGTCCATATCGGAGCCACTAAATATGCTCTAGCAAAGAAAGAATCAAGGTCTTTCTTCTCCTTTCGCCTCATCTAACCGTTGAGCAAGCACTTGACAAGGCCAGTCGCCTTCCAGGTTCAATCTTTCAGATCGTTTAAACCCTTGAGACTCATAATATTGGATCAATTTGCCGTCGCCACCTGCATAGCAATCCACCCGTAGTAAGGAGACTCCAGCCCCGTTGGCAAGATGACGTGCATGCTCCAAAAGGCGTTTGCCAATCTTTTTGCCGGTCCATTGTCGATCCGTGACTAATAATCGCACGTAAAGCTCAGGCTCAGAGACAGATGGCACATAAGGCATCCTCTCTCCAACAGCAAGCGCTCCTATAATAACCCCCGGAGTTTCTCCGTTTACACTTAGAGGGTTTATATCGGAATGTCGATCTTGGCCTAGTATAGGCGTATCATCAGCAACCTTGATAGCGAGCCAAAGTCCATGACCGGTTGTTGCAAATTCTCTGAGTCGTTCGGCGCGTTGTGGATTCTCAGAAAACGGTGCTACCCCCCACTGCCCAATTCTATCACGCGATACTAGCCATTTGACTGCGGTATCTAGGAGATGGATGACTGCCGGAACGTCGTCTACTGTTCCCCGCACGATGGCTATATCGTCGAATCCATCATGAATCGTGCTTTGAAAACTTTTAGTATCTGTGAATAGCCTTTCGCTTTTGTTCCTCATTTGATACTGGTCCCTTTCTACCTCAGAGGTAGATTGGCGCTTCAGACAATAACACTTACTTTGATGCCATTTATCCAAGCAATTTCGATTTGAAGAGAGATGGTTGTTATGGTCGGTCAGAATGCGGACGCCTAGTGACCCCTCAAGTAAGCGGAACCATTATTCGAGTGCGTACGTAATAGCCAAGAATTATCGATCGTATCCATCTTAGTACAACGCGGAACTTGAGTCATAACATAGTACGATTACAGTAGTCTGTGCACCCATAGATCGGCTCTTATCTAGCGCGGGGAGTCCAAAGTCATGTGACCCATGAAGGCGGTGAATAACGGTATTTTCTTGAATTGATGCATTTTGCTCCGCGGACCATTGACTATGGCGCCGTGCACCGTTCCGACGTGAATAATACAGTTCTTGTCATTTCAGAATGTCCCGCTTCGGAAAGGGAAAGCGCGGGCCCGGTGCAGAGTTCACATGGGATGCTGACCCCGGCGGCGAGCCCGACACAGCGCCCACTCCCCTCTACCCTGTACGTTTTTTGGTCTTCAGCTCTTCCAGTCCCCGCCCACCATGCTTGCTATGAATTTGGAATCATGAGTGCTTATTCGCGTCAATTTGTGCGTTCACAGGCATATGTTGTTCCCTACGCACGAAAAATCACCAGCAAAGAGCAGGCCGAGGTAGACAAGAGCCGGCGGCTGCGTGAGCTCTTCCACGAGGGACCTTATTATTCTGTGGTTGATGCCTCGGCCTCGAGTGCGAAAAAGGGCAGTGCTGCTCGCGCCAACTTTGACCCGTTCACCGGCATGCCATCTTATTCTGGACGGTACCAGAAGAAACACAGAACTATTCCCCGGATCTCTGGCATTGGTCGCGACTATGGTGAGTCTCTAAGACTACCCACGCATACTACACTTGCGGTTATCTTGGTTTCAAAGCTCCGGTTACTAATTACGTATTTGACATGAGCAGAAACTCGATTCTTCCCTCGTGAGCTTTGGCAGATTATCCAGCCAAACTTCCGGCCCGATGCCTCATTGGACGGCTACCAGGCCCAGAGCAACGCCGTCAGCAACAAACGTGGATTCGAAGATGAGGAGGACGAGGAGGAAGCCGCAGCCAAACGACGAGCCACTGGCGGTAATGAGGACGATGGTGACGACGACCAGAATGAGGGAGAATTGCTCGATGGCGACGAAGACGCGATAGAATCCATTGCAGATGATGACTTCCAGGATGATGAAGACGACATGGGCGGTGACTACGATGCCGAAAAGTACTTCGATGACGGCGGCGATGACTACGGAGACGATGATGGTGGTGGTGGAGACGAGGAAGCCTACTGAGGCGCTGATCCAAGATACCCTTTTTATTTTTTTGCTAAATGCGCTTTTATGCGCGTCCACATCTGTTACAGCCTCATGGATAAGTTTCAATATGATCTGCATGGGAACCCCCCATGGCGTTTGTCTTATGCTTCGGAAGTCTTACATCCCAACGTAAACTGGGTAAACATCGGAAGACACTACAAACACAGTGTATAATTTCACATTTATAAAGCTAGTAATTCAAATTCAAATTCATATGAATCATATCTTCTATACACCCAGGCGAGACCGATCTGGATGACGTCAGCCAGCGAGATCGGCCCCGCGGACAACGGCAGTTTTAGATGTGGAGGGGTATCGGGCATTCGCGACTCACCAAATCCTCAACATGGACACGCAGAGTCCCGGTCAAACAAGGTCGGCTCTCATCTTGTATGGGACCGAGACAGGCAATGCGCAGGAAGTGGCCGAGGAATTGGGCGCCTTGGCTGAGCGTCTGCGGTTCGCGACGCATGTTTCCGAGTTGAATCAGTCGAGGCCGGTTAGTTGCAATTGACCACGAATTTCATCCCTTCGGGCTCTCGACTGACATTTCTTGACTCCTAGGAGCTTCTCTCTTCGTATACGGTTACCATATTCGTTGTATCGACTACCGGACAAGGTGATTTGCCGGCAAATGCGCGGTCGTTTTGGAAGTCGCTTCTGCTCAAGAAGCTGCCGGCAACATATTTGAATGGAGTTCACTTTGCAACATTTGGGCTGGGAGATAGCTCGTACCCCAAGTATGTCTATACAAATGTATGTTTATGGTCTATGCTTACCGGGGACAGGTTCAACTGGGCAGCGCGCAAGCTTTACAAGCGGTTGCTGCAGCTCGGCGCAAACGATATTTACCCGATGGGAGAGGCTGATCAGCAGCACCCAGAGGGGTAAGTCATCTTGTATCCTAATACTGTTGGGGACAATATCTAACAATTCTAAATGAGATAGACTTGAAGGCACTTTTATACCTTGGATGACCGACTTCCGAAAGCATTTGCTGGATATTCACCCTCTTCTTCCGGGTCAGCATCCAATCCCGGACGATGTACAGTTGCCACCAAAATGGATTTTGCAATTGAAAGATGGCGAGACATTCGTCCCAAGACCAAAACCCGAGTCGTCAACAGGCAATATAGCTGAGACGGATGAATATTCTGGCTTGAGCAATTTGGACTGTGATCTCAGACCACTACCTGATACCCTGAATGCGACTCTCGTCCAAAACCAGCGTATTACACCACAAAATCATTGGCAGGATGTACGACGGATCTCTTTGAAAGTTCCAGACTCCTTGTCTTACAATCCCGGAGACATGATCGCCATCACGCCCAAAACCTCCCCAGGTGATGTGCAAATACTCCTTGATTTAATGGGCTGGAATAAGCAAGCCGATGTACCCATTACCCTTGTTCCAACTGGAAGCACACCTGCGCCTTCTCCCATACCCGGCCTCGACTCCTATCCGAACCTGACCCTACGCTCTCTCTTCATAGACTATCTCGACATCAAGGCCATTCCTCGCAGATCATTCTTTTCAACGATTGCACACTACACAAACGATGAGATGCATAAAGAGCGACTTCACGAGTTCACAAACCCCGAATATCTAGATGAACTGTGGGATTACACGTCGCGCCCACGACGAAGCATTCTCGAGGTGCTGCATGAGTTTGACTCTGTCAAAATTTCCTGGCAGCACGCACTCTCCGTTTTCCCCGTCATTCGGGCACGGCAATTCAGCATAGCTAGTGGCGGAGAGCGCAAGCGGACACCTGATGGTAATACCCAGTTCGAGTTACTCATCGCCATCGTCAAGTACCAAACGGTCATCAAACGGATCCGCGAGGGCGTCTGCACCAAGTATCTATCTATTCTTCGCCCAGGCAGCACGCTTCAAGTCCAACTCCAACCGGGTGGACTCAATTCTTCAGTGCAACAACTCACTGGACCCACTGTTCTGATCGGACCCGGCACAGGAATTGCACCTTTACGTTCTATGCTCTGGGAAAAGGCAGCCCTGGTCCAAGCCTTCCGCGAGCAGAACCCCGGCGTCGAACCCCCCATCGGACCTACCGTGTTACTCTACGGTGGTCGAAACCGCACAGCAGATTTCTTCTACGAAGAAGATTGGGACCATTTGAGTAAACTCATCCCGCTGCAGGTGCTCACTGCCTTCTCACGTGACCAGCAACAGAAGGTCTACGTACAAGACACCATTCGCCAAAACTTCAAGTTGTTCTTCCGTCTTCTTCATGACATGCGGGGGTCTGTCTATATTTGTGGGTCTTCGGGGCGTATGCCTCAAGCTGTGCGGGAAGCTCTTATTGAAGCTTTTGCGAATGGTGGGACGCCGGAGTCGGGGCAGTCATATAACCGGTTGCAGGCGGAGGAGTATTTGATTGGAATGGAGAAGATCGGGAGGTATAAGCAAGAGACATGGTGAGTTTGTAAAAGTAAGCTGAAACAAACAACATGTCCATTTCGGTTCACATCAAGATGTTCTTCCGCACTTGATTTGCATGTGCTTCCGACGGAAGAGCTATACATACATAGTCAGGGTCCTGCCCGTTACTGAACGAAGAAACACACAATACGGACAATCTTGGAAGCCATAGACATATGTCAAATAACATTGAACGGCCCACACATGCTCTCCACCAGTAGGCTGTATGTGGTTAACCTCGGCTGGCGCGGTGGTTCGAGGAGGGCTACATTCGGGCCGCGTCGGCGATTTCAAGGTCTTGGCACTCCGTCACCGCAGTCAACTCTTTCTCCGAGATCTCGACACACCTCCAGCTTCTCTCCTACACGGAATTGCTCCAAGCTTTCGACTTCCAAACACATCATGGCTAGCAAGTTGCGGATATTGGTGCCCGTCAAGCGGGTGATTGATTATGCGGTACGAATGAAGCCCCCCTCCATAGCCGACCGGAGATCGGAGCAGCAAGAGCTGCCCGCGACGGATTGAACAGAACCTACTCAACCTCGAAACAGCACAGGACTAACATTGGAATTTACTTGGGAATCTATAGATCAAGCCCCGCATTAACAAGGCCCAGACGGGTGTCGAAACCGCCGGTGTCAAGCACTCCCTGAACCCATTCGACGAGCTCTCCATCGAGGAGGCTGTGCGCCTGCGCGAGAACCACAAGAACAAGAAGAGCCCCATGGAAGTCGAAAACATCCTTGCTCTGTCAGCCGGCGGCCCCAAGGCCCCCGATGTGCTGCGGACCGCGATGGCCATGGGCGCCGACCGAGCCTTCCACATCGATGTCCCCGAGTCGGCGGACGGTGGACCGGAGCCGCTGACCATTGCCAAGATGCTGCGCGGTGTCGTCGAGAAGGAGAACATCAACCTGGTCTTGCTGGGTAAGCAGGCCATTGATGGTGACCAGGGCCAGACTGGCCAGATGCTCGCTGGATTGTTGGGCTGGCCGCAGGCTACTCAGGCTAGCAAGGTTGAGATCAAGGATGAGGCTGGTACCGTTGAGGTGACGCACGAGGTCGACGGTGGTGTTGAGACTCTGCGCGCTAAGCTGCCTTTGGTTATCACCACCGATCTGCGTCTGAACGAACCCCGCTACGCCAGTCTGCCCAACATTATGAAAGCGAAGAAGAAGCCGCTGGAGAAGAAGACTCTGGCCGACTTTGGCGTTGAGGATACACGGCGCTTGAAGACTCTCAAGGTCACCGGTACGTGTGATTGTTTCATTATTAGTTCTGACCTATTTGCTGACTTGCTTTTTCCAGAACCCCCGGCGCGCAAGGGTGGTGGCAAGGTCGAGGATGTCGATGGCCTCATCGGCAAGCTGAAGGAGCTTGGAGCTCTCTAAATGAGGCTCGTGCGTAGTTTCCTAAATTTGTACCGTGTTCTTATACCATCGATCTTTTGTCCCGCTAGACCATTATGTCTTTGCCTGCATCCATTGGATGCTTTCTCATCGCCCATGTTGGCTTAGCATATTTTATGCATTGAGATGATCACCTGAATGAGAAAATACAATTCTTTTTTTTTTTTTTCTCGATTGTTGGCTATTAAGGTATGTATAATTCCTTTGTATTTCCCATGCATCGGGGACTACCTAGTTCGGGGATATTCGGCTGTTCAAATAACATGATGGCTTGAGAAGTGGGTTTCCGTCAGAGCCCCTGCAGGAGTTCTGCATTTGGATCCACAGTCATAGTATAGCTATGGTTTCTTTTCGCTATGGTCGGCATGAGATGTACGTATTGAGGACCTAGCAGGTTGCCTAGACCGTGTTCGCCGAAGAAGAAGCAGAGAAATCGAAATCGAAATTGAGATCGATCTAGTTAGAGAATAGAATGTACCCGTCTACCCAATCGCTTACTAGACACGATTTGGCCGATACTTTTGCCTCATTTGCCTAGAATTCAGCCCATCCCCGTGTTGCCAGCCGCACCAAGGGATGGACATCTCCACTTAGAGTTTGCGCGGCATCCTCAGCCGAGGGATCGATGTCCAACGGTCGCGGTCCCGCCTAACTAGCCGGCGACCCAAGATATTAGGAGTCGGAAAAAAAATCTGTTCAAAAAGTCTAATGTTCCCGAATGGGTTCCAATGTGTCCAATTTCGGAATTCACGGCTGCACGCCAAATGACATGTTCGAACACTAAGGTCCAATTATGCATACCCGGGTGGCAGACGATCACGCTATACAAGGGTTTCATTTGGATGAAGAAGCAAAAAGTCTATAGCCCGATTTTACAGAGCCCGAACAATCAATTTGTAATCCTCCCCCGCCACACAATCTAGATGAAGCGCATTTATGAATTGGCGAACCGGGTGAATCGTACCGTGCCGTTGGGCTGTGTAGATTTGGAAATCGTTGGCAATCCGTGATTACCGGAGTTGCAGGTGGGGCAGTGTGATCTATCGCAGACGAAGGAAGAGGATGGTCAATGGGATATATGGAATATGGCAGTGCCGGTGACGCAGTTGCTGTCGGTTGCAGGTAGAGACTCCACTAATTAGCTACTATTGAACATGTGCAGGAAAGACTCGGCAGTGATGGGAAATAGGAAGAATAGCGTTATCACTTCGAGTGATGACGTCCATCCGCGCGTTCCATGGACAAAAAGCCTGCGATGGCCACGATTCTGGACTTCGACGCCACTCGGCCTGTGCTGTCTTTCCGTCTGACCCGATTTCCACTATAAGCGGCCCTGGTGCCTGATCTTTGGGTGATTCTTTCTCTTCCATATTTTCTAGACATTTGAATTCTCCGATCCTCAACGATCCGCGGTCTACTGTGGTAAGCTTCCTGTTGGTTGGCCACATTCCAACTGTCTCGCCTTTCAGCTTGCCATTAGCCACCAGCCACAGGCTCTCTAGGTGACTGTAGCCTGTCGGGCAGCTGGTATATGGCATCATAGTCCCATCACCAGTGCTAACCAGGTGTCTAGAATACTATCTCGGACCCGTGAGAAGGTTGTCGCAACGCCTTCGCCCCCGCACCGCATTCTCTAGTGGCGACCCTGCCGATCCCGGATTCCAAGAGCAATCCCCCAGCCCGATCATCTCTCTACATTCCTGATCGCATTAAGGAACATTCCTCGGACGTATGCTGTTCGCAGCACACCTGCGTTTCAGATAACGATAGGTCATTGCTCAACTCTTTTCGCATCTTCTGTACACGTCCCACGCCAGCGCCATGTCTCAATCCACATGGGAGAAGACAAAGCGCTACTCGAAAAAGGGCTTCGACAAAGCATGGGACACCGTCGACAAACTGGGCGCTCCCGTCAACCGCCTCTCCAACAAGTTGGGCGCCGAAGCCTTCTGGCCCATGGCCATCGATAAAGAAAGCGACAAGGCTGCGCGCATTTTACGCAGTTTCGTCAAGGATGGCTTCTATGCCGCAGATAACGAGACTGGTACCGATGAGAAGGGCAAGATTAATCGCCCCAAGGGCAAGCAGAGGGTCATCAAGAAGATCCCTTCGAAAGTTATTCAAAATGCCAAGGGTCTCGCCATTTTCACCACCATGCGAACCGGTCTCTGGGTCAGCGGCTCCGGAGGCAGTGGGGTTCTCCTCGCACGCATCGCCGAGACTGGAGAATGGAGTCCGCCATCCGGTATTATGCTGCACACGGCTGGTATCGGATTCCTCGCAGGAGTGGATATCTATGACTGTGTCGTGGTGATCAATACATACGAAGCGCTCGATGCGTTCAAGAAAGTGCGCTGCACTCTCGGTGGAGAGGTCAGCGCTGCCGCCGGCCCTGTTGGTATGGGAGGCGTGCTCGATTCTGAAGTTCACAAGCGACAGTCACCTATTTGGACTTATATGAAGAGCAAGGGTCTCTACGCCGGTGTTGCCGTGGACGGAACCATCATTATCGAACGAACCGACGAGAACGAGAAGTTCTACGGCGAACGAATCTCGGTCACCGACATCTTGGCCGGCAAAGTGCGGCACATTCCCGACGGGGTCAAGACTCTTCACCAGACCATCAAAGCAGCACAGGGCGATACCGATGTCGACGAAAACCTAGTCGCGTCCTCCGGCGAGACGCCCGGCGATATGGAAATCGCAGCTGAAGACGAGCCGCATTTTGGCGTCCCCGAGCCGGACGACCCGGATCCGTACGGAGTGAAGGCGCTGGAGGCTGAGGGCTTGTTCATCCGGGAAGCCGGCACGAAGGTGAGGCCAAGTCCTGATCTCTTTGAGTTCCGGCCCAACCCGACCAGCCCGGTGTTCGCCACTTTCTCGCGGCGTAGCGTCGAGAGCTCGCCGCGGAATAGCTGGCGGACCAGTGTGCAAAGCCACGTTTATTCTGATCGTGGTACCCAAACCGAAACCGATAACGCGCCGCTAACTGCCACGTCAGTGAGCCGAGCATCTTCGCGGAGCGCGAGGGATTCGATGGGTGGTCATGTGGCGAACCGGTGGGAGGACGAAGCGCATTGGGATAATGTGCCGATTCATGGTGGTGAGGTGGAGAAGAAGGACGAGAGAGAGCTTAATGGACCCACCGAAGAAGAGAATCATGCCGTTGATGACGATGACGACTTTGAGGTTCACGAGGTGGCCAACGCGACTGTCACTCAGAAGGCCTTACCAGAGGAAGAAGCCAGCCCTGTTGAGACGAAGCGCATGTCTCCTACGTTTACTCGTGCTCGCCTGGTTTCTATCCCTAAGCGTACTCCTCCACCTCTGCCCCCGCGTCACCCTCGACACACCTGGGGCTCTGGTTCCAGCCGTGAGTCTACCTCGCCGACTGCTCTTTCGCAATCAAGCCGCAGCACCGAGCAGACTGATGCTGCTCTCGAGGCTGCCGAATCCTCAGAGCAGACTATCGAGTCTGGCCCTCTGCCTTTGAGCGTGAAGACTCTACAAACCAACGTCGTTCTTCCGGCCGTGGTGGACGAGGACGATTTCGAGTCGGACTCTGAGCTGCCCGCGGATAAAGACGAGTTCATGTCAGCCAACGGTGACAACGAGGACAACATTGAGGAGAACATTCTGACCAAGGAGCCTACCTTGACGGAGACTGCTCCCGATAACAAGGAAGAGGAGGCCGAGCTTAAGGAGGTGGAAACCGAGCAGACAGATTCTTTCTTGCTACTTGAGACCAACTCAAAGATCGAGCCAGAGACAGAGGAAGAGGTGCCCAAGATCGAAGAAACCTTGACCTCGCTCGGTCTCTCCGACAGGTCCGAAGAGGTTCTGGCCCCCCTCGGTCTCGAAGAGAAGGCTCCTGAGGAGAAGACCGAAGCAAACAAGATCAGAGTGAAAAATGATGAGGCCGAAGAGGCTGCCGAGAACAAGCACCTCGATGTCGATCACAACGACGCCAAGCCTGAAAATATCAGCCCTCTCCTGATCTAAGCATCTTCTCTCGCCAATCTCGCAACGTTTACGACTTTCTCTTCTTATATACAACTTTCATGATACCTCGATACCTCGGTCGGTGTTGGATAGGACGGTTATCTCAGTGGCTGAGATAAAACTACTTCTTCGGAAGGGTCCATTTGTGCATTTTAGCGTCTTTGCATTCAGCGGAGGGATTTAATGGGGTTGGTCCTCTCGGTTTGGCGAATATAACACCCTCGATTCGTGTTTGGGTTTTCTTTCTGCATAATTGATGCATCGTTCAATGTATTACATCTTCATTCTTTTAGATATATTGATCTTTGATTGATAACTTATTGATTTCCAATGTTTGTATTCGAGATCATAACCGCGTTAGGTGGGCTGGCCACGCCTCCTGGTACCTAGATCATCCGTCAACACCGAGACCGAACGTAAATTTAACATAATAACATGCCTTGAGAGAAAAAATAGTTAAAAGGAACGAAGACTTCCCCAGCTGCCTTGCAGTGGTAACCAAATCCTCCAAATCAAGCATCTCACGCAATGGTAACCCCCACATTGCCAGAGCCCACCGATCGATCGATATAGCAGGGTCATCAAACGGCCTACCAAAGTGGCGCACGGTTAAAGCTCGGAGTATTGTTAGCGACAGCTGCAACCCGTGATTCCCACAGCCAGCGCAGCCTCGTGTTGCCTCGAATCCCAGCAGCCCCGGGTTGTCAATGGGATATTGGAGCAGCTTGCCTGTTGCCAACACATTGTATGCTAACGTGAAGCTTACCCAGAGAAAAAGGATGTTCCCCTGTGCAGATCTCAACGTTCTCCTCTTTCATAATAGCTTGAATATCTTAGAAGTGTATTTGCTCCTGATTGAAGAGGTTTAGTCTCTTTGCGATTCCTCCTGGCCCAGTCTGCCCAGTCCATCAAAATGCAGCTTTGAAGTGAAATGGACTAATAAGTTATAAAAAACAGACTTGACTAGAATCCAGAGCTCGCTTCTGTCTTGGCCTCAAGATGGGGTTCCCCAATCTGGAGAAAACTGTATAATTGAAATTCTTCTGGGTCCTATGAATATATATATGTCCCGATATTCCATGTCCCGAAATAGAGTTAGGTTATGCTTAAAGGATTCCCACGGTTCAGCTTCCTTGGTGGCGTCTCAGATAAATTCTTCAGCGAGTTCAGCCTGCTCATTAGGTACTTTTGTTCATGCATTGACCACTTCCCTTTCCCTAGGCCTTCCATTAATGCACATGTGTGCACTACCCCTCTTTTCTCCACCCTGTCATGTAAATATTTGAAACGGGGTGGAATGGCCTACTGTAGTGGTATCTTTTGGCCTTGGCCTATCTCAGGATGGTCATCTGGGGCCGACATCATCGGTGGGTGCTATGAAGCGAGGATCTAGATGCAACGGATCACACTCGCGACTTTCCAGCATCCAATGAAGCTGTTGATGACCCGATCTCGGCATAAACATTAGGCCCAAATTGGCTAGGTAGCACGGTACCAACCTGTTAGCCGTATCTTTTAGTGGATAATGAGCTCCCATCCCGCAACTAGCACCACTTCCCCCAATGCTGTTTGCCAGGTCTTCTCCACACTGCATTAGCACGGCGTCTACCCTGAAAACCATGCAGCCACGATATTCGGTTGTGAATGATTGTGGAGGCGAGCCATAGCGTAAATCGGCCCAGAAGCGAATATTCGCTTTGTCTTTTCCCTCCATCTTCCGCGTTTCTTCCATAGTCCCTACTTGATTCGATAAAAGTGACTAGCTATGACTGGCATCACAACCTTGATTATAGATGGCATTCTGGCCTTTCTCGTCATCAGAAGCATTTACCGGTTGTACTTTCATCCTCTCAGCAAATTTCCCGGCCCCAAGCTTGCAGCTGTTAGCAGTGCGTACGAGTTCTATTACAACGTGATAAAGAGGGGGACATTCATCTGGGAGCTCGAACGCCTGCACGAGGTTTACGGTCAGTCACTCAAAATACCTGTAGGCCATGGTCTAATGCATATCAGGGCCCATTATCCGTATCACTCCGCGAGAGATTCACATCAAAGATTCGAATTATTATGATGAGATTTACGCATCCAGTTTACGGAGGCGAGAAAAAGACGCCGTTGTAGTGGATAAGTTTGACCTTGATGGTTCGGGATTTTCCGCCATCTCTCCAGAGGTACATCGCCAGCGTCGTGCGCCACTAGACCGGTTCTTCTCAAAGGCAGCGGTTTCTAAAATCCAAGACTCGATTCAATCTCGCCTCGAAAAGTTCTGCGACCACCTCCAGCGCGCCTATAATTCCCACAAAGTCGTTTCTCTCGATGCAGGATTCTCTGCACTGACATCAGATATTATACATCAATATGCGTTCGGGTTCAACAGTGGCAATCTGGACCAAGAAGACTTCAACGAGCATGTCAGAGATGGGATTAACGCACTCTTTATGCAGAGCCACATTGCTTTCTTTTTCCCCATCATCTCAACCATTATGAATGCGCTCCCACTTTCGCTTCTTGAAAAGCTCAACCCATACGTTTATGCTCTGGTATCACAAAAAAAAGACCTTCACCGGCGATCAGCAGAGGCCCTTGCAGGGAAAACTAGTAATGGTTCGGTTATTGAGAATATTGCTGGCCCTCATATGCCAGAGCATATGCGCACGCCCGATCGCCTCGCAGCCGAAGGACTGGCGTTGATCATTGGAGGCACCGAGACGACTGCCCGAGCTCTTGGACTTGGCACATATCATCTCATCCGTAATGAGAATATCATGGCTAAACTGCGGGAGGAGCTGCGATCTGTGATGCCCACACCGGAGTCTAAACCTACTTGGAATCAGCTTGAGCAGCTGCCTTATCTTGTACGTGCGTCCTATTGCCCATTACACGAACCAGGTACTTACCAAAGTCTAGTCGGCTGTTGTTTTAGAGATCCTGCGCATCTCTACAGGAATTGCAAGCCGATCGCCTCGTATAGCGCCAACAGAGACCTTGATATACAAGAACTTTTTCATTCCACCGGGCGTGAGTACCTTGAAAACACACATTTTCGAGGGTTCTAACAAATAAAGACACCCGTCAGCGAGACCAATTACTTCGTCCTCACGGACCCAGCTATCTTCCCGGACCCTCACGTCTTCGACCCAGAAAGATGGATGCGTGCTACAGCCAAGGGCGAGCGATTGGACCGGTACCTGGTTAACTTTTCCAAAGGTAGCCGAATCTGCGTGGGAATGAAGTTCGTGTAACCTGCCAGTTCCGTTTTAGAAATTGGACTGACTTGTGATACAGTTTGGTCTATGCTGAGCTTTATTTGATTATTTCGACGCTTGTCCGCCGGTTCGATCTGGAGCTGTACGAGACAACTGACAAGCACATTGGCTTTGCTCGTGACTTTGGCACACCATACCCCGTCGAAGGGAATTTTAATGTTCGAGTTATGGTGACTAGGATTATTCGGGAGTGAGATTGTATTGTGATCTGTCGGGTTCTGCTTCAGCTGGTCTCTGGAAGCTTCACTGTGCTCATTGCTCTCCAATCGTGAATTGGTACCCAGTAGAATTGGACACTAAGGGCAGAATGAATATATTCCACTTGTTAGACAAAGCAGCGAATCATGGCCAGCACAGTCAGAAACAATTGAAGATAAAGCAAAAATGGCAGAAGAAAGTGGAGATACGTCACAAAGTCCGCTTATCTCCGAATGCTTGAGAATGCTTGTTTCTTCGGACAACACTTCTCTTCCCACCGCCCATTTCTCTTCCTCATCAACATCATTCACTATGCCAACCGATCAGCATGTCAGCGCGGCCCTGTCGCTCATCGAGAACGACAAAACTAAGATCCTGGGCCTGAACGTCGGCCCCCACAAGAACGTCCAGCCGGGAGACTACATTCCTCGCGCAGGCACGATCACTGTCACATGTTCTATGTAATCAGGTCACTGACACTCCCACACAGATGCTCAGACTCCTCCCGAGCTCACATTCCAGGGCTTGGATGCCTCTAAGACCTACCTGGTTGTCAGTCTGGATATCGATGCTCCCTTCCCTTCCTGGGGAGTCCTGGGACCCATCCTCCACTGGATCCAGCCTGGCGTGAAGATCACTGAGACTTCCACTCTCGACACCAGTGCCCCGTTCATCGCCAACTATATCGGCCCTGCTCCTCCTCCTGGCAGCTCGCCTCACCGCTACATCTTCTTCCTGTACGAGGAGCCCGCTGGCTTCGAGCCCAAGAAGTATGCTCCTGCCAATGGCCAGACCCTAAGCAACTGGAATCGCATGCGCTACGACCTTGATTCCTGGGCCAAGGAGATCGGCCTGGGCTCTGTGCTGGCTTTCAACTACTTCAACAGCAACTAGATCCGCGAGGCGGTCATGTCGAGGTCGTTTTCCGGTGCCGAGTGACGGTTTTCTCGGTACTCGGGGAGGAGCCTGTGGTTGTTGTATCGTTGCTTTCTTTTCGCTACGGCGGCATTTAATGCTTAGTATTGCTCGACTTAGTCTTAATGGAATCGCGCAAAATTTGCTTTCATGCACTTGCTTACACGCAATAACTATATCACTAGCCATCCTATGCAGGAAACAAAGCTTTTTGATATAGACTTTGATTAAAACGCCGATATTGAACGTATGGTCGAGAAGCTTGGTGCCAAATAAGAGAAGTTCGACGTCAGCAAGTGTACACATCTCATCACAGCCTCCCAGTACGCCGAGATCAAGAAAGGTATGCAAAGCGATGGTGTATCAGGGCTACTGCGGAGGATGCTGCTCAGGTCCGCCAGCGATACTTGTTCCACATCAAGTTCCCCTGAAACCCCAAGTGCCATCCTAGGATGTTTCGATACAATTTCAGCATTAAAGTATAATGAGAAGAACCTGTGTTAGGATTTTGTCATGGTATTGAGCTTATCAGAATGTTTCCTTGCTCTTGTTCTTCATGAAGAATTATGCAGCTCCCGTAGATCTGGATTTCTTGTTTCATACCGGTGGCGGGGATTAGCCATGAGGCTGAAAATGGTATTCGTACCTGTACCTTAGAATCTATTTCCAGCGACTGGTAGTACTATGGTAGTCTATAGGTAAGTGAATAAGCAGCTCTCTGAAGGTACTCCACAGCTTATCGGACGGTTGCCCGCCAATCTCCGGTTCGCGCTTTCCGCTCCACCTGAGCTCCTTATTAAAGCCGATCCCCCGCCATGGATCCATTTATCCTATGAATCCTAGGATTTCTTCTAATCTTGCTCCCTGATTGCTGGCCACCATGGTTCTCAACTGGCTAGCTCTCTCGCTGGCCAGCGTCGCTGCGGCCGAGTATTTCCCGCCCGCGCCAGAGGGTCTGAAGATTGTCAACTCCAAGCATGAGGAGGGCGTCAAAATATCCTACAAAGAGGTGGGTCTATAGCTTCGTTCGTTGTATTTCATGTACTAACTGCGAATAGCCGGGTATCTGTGAAACCACCCCGGGCGTCAGGTCATATTCGGGCTACGTTCATCTGCCTCCAGGAACACTGGAGGATGTAAATATCGAGCAGAAATACCCCATTAACACCTTCTTCTGGTTCTTCGAAGCTCGCCATAATCCGAAGAATGCCCCGCTGTCCATTTGGATGAACGGCGGACCTGGCAGTTCGTCCCTGGTCGGTCTCATGCAGGAGAACGGCCCGTGTCTAGTAAACGCAGATTCCAATTCGACCGAGCTCAACCCGTGGTCGTGGAACAACTACGTCAATATGCTGTACATTGACCAGCCTAATCAGGTTGGGTTCAGCTACGACGTCGCCACAAACGGCACCTTCGACCAGCTTGGCGCCGGCTGGAATGTGTCAAAGTGGGAGCATGGCGTCCCTGTCCAGAACAACACTTTCTACGTCGGCACGACTACTAGCCAAAATGCGCAGGCATCGGCAAACGGTACGGAAAATGCAGCTCGATCGCTCTGGCACTTTGCGCAAACTTGGTTTACCGAGTTCCCTCATTATAAGCCCCACGATGATCGCGTGAGCATCTGGACAGAATCTTACGGCGGTCGCTATGGACCAGCCTTCACTGCATTCTTCCAGGAGCAGAACGAGAAAATTGAGAAAGGCACTATCGCCGCTGCCAGCGAATCTCACTACATCCACCTCGATACCCTGGGGATTATCAACGGCTGTGTCGATCTCCTCGTACAGGAGCCGACATACCCCAAGATGGCATACAACAATACCTACAACATCGAGACAATTAATCAGACCGTCTACGAAAATGCCCTAGATGCATGGAGTCGCCCGGGCGGGTGCAAAGATCTGATCATGAACTGCCGTGCCCTCGCAGCAGAAGGCGACCCCCACATGCACGGCAATAACGAGACAGTGAACAAGGCATGCCACAAGGCGGATAGCTTTTGCAGCAACCAGGTTGAAGGTGCTTACGTTACGTATTCAGAGCGTGGCTACTACGACATTACGCACAAGGACCCAGATCCGTTTCCACCGTCGTACTTCCTAGGATACCTCAATCAGAATTGGGTTCAGGGCGCGTTGGGCGTGCCGATCAACTATACCGAGTCCGTTGACAGTGTCTATGTTGGCTTCTCATCGACAGGCGACTATCCTCGCTCAGATGTGCACGGCTACATCGATGACATAGCGTATGTGCTTGATTCCGGCATCAAGGTGGCTCTCGTTTACGGTGACCGCGATTACGCATGCAACTGGATCGGTGGCGAGGATGTGAGTCTGCTTGTGAATCATAAGGAGGCAGACGGTTTCCGTGATGCGGGATACACACCACTTCGAACGAACAAGACATATGTCGGTGGCCAGGTCCGCCAACATGGCAACTTCTCTTTCACTCGCGTCTTCGAAGCTGGCCACGAGGTCCCCGCGTACCAGCCAGAGACCGCGTATCATATCTTCTACCGTGCTCTTTTCAACCGCGATCTGGCTACAGGCAAGGTTGATACCGCTCGCAACAAGTCATACTCTACTGCTGGCCCGGATTCAACTTGGACCATCAAGAACGAGGTGCCCGAGAGCCCGGATCCGTTGTGCTACATTCTCGCCCTGGAAGCGACCTGCACGGATGATCAAATTGCCAGTGTTGTTAATGGCACGGCGGTTATCAAGGATTGGATTGTTATGGATGAGGCATCACATTAGATAAAGATCACAATTCAATGAGGCTTGTCATTTTTGTACTATAGAGTTTATGCACTAATCTAGTATTTCAACCTACCCTATACCTAGGTACTCGTCACATGTTATAGATCATCGAAGCTGGTTTGCCGTAAGATGCAGCTGAACCTCAGTGAGCTGAGATAGATCTTCAGGCTTCGGCCTTGGCCCCACGCTTGTAAGTCTCTTTGTCTTACACCCGGAAGATCCCTTGTAACAATCCTGATTCTCAGAACCTTCCTTTGCCTAACTCTCTTATCAATATCCCCTCTTTCTCCCTTTCTCACTTGCTCTCTTTCTTTGTTCTTCCTCGATGGAAATTGACGAGTTTGATTTTTTTTTGGTGGAACTGGACTATGACAGAAAAATAGAAACCCACCTTATCCAAAGACAATATAGTCTCGTTGGTCATCTGGCTACTGTCCATTCACAGGGTGAAGTTACCACTATTTACGATGAAGTATGCACAACCTTAAAAGTGGATCATGACATAATCGTTGAAGTGGGGCTCCCGTCGATGATGTCGTGGATCGCGACACTGCCAATTACTCCTCTGCCCGCAAATCCCTTTGCATACGCATAAAACCACTTAGTAGCCAAGTTAGTATCGGCATATTGATCTAGAGTCAGTCAGAATTAAGATCACACTATAGATCAGCGTCCACGGGCACCGATACGACGGCACGGAAGCTTCTCGAAGCTTCGATGCTTAACCTGCAACGTCACACGTCACAGACACCTGGAGACCATCAGGTGGGATTCAGGTTTCTTTGACCCCCGTCTGCAGGGATAACCCTTTCCTTTCGTACTACTCCCGTTTACCTCTCACTCTCGCTCTCACTCCCCACCTCGCCTCGTGCTATATCGCCCGCATCGCCACTTCCACCTCGAACCTTCTACGTCATTCGAGAAGGCACTACCCACATCGAGGGATCCATCCTCTTTTTTGACAGGACCCTAGCTTTTTAAGCCTGCAGACCCCATCTCTCGCGCCCGTTTTGCCCCTCTGGTGCAAAACTCAATTCATCCACATCACAAATCACCATGCCAGTTGAGACTAAACTGTATGACGCCTTGAGCGTCAAGCCTGAAGCGACCCAAGATGAAATCAAGAAGGCCTACCGCAAAGCGGCCTTGAAGCACCACCCCGACAAGAACAAGGACAACCCGGCTGCTGCTGAGAGGTTCAAAGGTATGCACATTCATGAATCAACCCCACTTAGATCGATTACTCACTCTTCTTACAGATGTTTCCCAAGCCTACGAGGTTCTCTCTGACCCCGAAAAACGCAAGGTCTACGATCAATTCGGCCTCGACTACCTCATGCGCGGTGGCCCCGCGCCCTCTCCCGGCGGGGCTGCTGGTGCGGGAGCTGGCCCCGGTGGGATGCCCGGAGGATTCAACTTTGGCAGCACGCCAGGCGGCGGCAATTCGCGCACATTCCACTTCTCCACTGGTCCCGGTGGAAGCAGCGGCTTCCGATTTAGTAATGCAGACGACATCTTCCGCGAGTTCGCCAAGGCCGGCGGCGGTAGAGGAGGCGGCGGCGGCGGCGGCGGCATGAACAATGGCTTTGAGGATGACGACATATTCTCTATGCTCGGAGGCATGGGTGGGATGGGTGGCGGTGGCTTCCGCAGCCGTCCATCTGGCGGAGGATTCTCATCCAAGGCCAACCGTGCGCCTACTCCTGAACCGACGGTTGTTGAAAAAGACCTGCCTATCACACTAGAAGAGACCTTTAGTGGTGTTACCAAAAAGGTGAAGACGAAGAGCAAAGCTTTTGACCCGAGCGGCAAGCGCACCGTTCAGGAAGTTACTCTGGAGGCAACCATCAAGCCTGGTTTGCGCCCCGGCTCGAAGATCAAGTACAAGAACGTGGGCGACCAGGAAGAAGGCGGCCGCCAGGACGTGCACCTGATCGTGAAAGAGGTATGTTCATCCCATTGAAACCACACACCAAGCCCGATACTAACATTGATGACAGGTACCGCACCCAACTTTCACTCGCAAGGGCGACGACCTTGTCACAAGTGTCGAACTTAGCCTCAAGGAAGCTCTGACGGGCTGGGAGCGTATTGTGAAAACGATCGACGGCAAATCCATCCGCGTATCCAAGCCCGGACCAACACAACCAGGTCACGAGGAGCGGTATCCTGGCTTGGGAATGGTGATCTCTAGGAAACCTGGTGAGCGCGGTGATCTCGTTGTACAGATCAAGGTCAAGTTCCCGACCAGTCTGGACTCAAACACCAAAGAAGTCCTCCGAGATCTGCTTCCTTGATTTTTCTGATTGGCATACATGGCATTAATTTGAGCGTTTTTCATGGGAGATAATGATAGCAATGATTTTTACTGGCGTTGGGATGGTCAAGGTCGCGTCATTGTTGGTGTACATAGTCTAAACCACTTTGGGGAATGCGGAGAAGCACCTCAACTTGGAGAAATCCAAATCAACTTCCTCAAACTACACTTTCAGTCCGTAATCATGAAACGAAGGATCACATTTATTCAACGCCCCGATGCGCCTTTCGAGGCCGACCAAGCGGCCTTGACCTCCAAGTCTCTCACGATCCGCAATCTGGACGCCGCCCGTGAAGACCGCATCACGTTCGGCCTCGACGACCTTCCACAGGAGGTGAGCAGAACAGCACACCAGATTTTCGATCAGTGAAAAGGCCTATGGCTAATTTTCTCTTGATCTGCAGCTCCGCGACGTTCTTCAACAGTCGCACGAACTCCGCTTCCGATGGACGACCGAGCGGTCCTACGACGCCGTCGCGCCCTTTGCCAGTCGAGTCTCGCCCGGCCTACACATACACTATACCCCTCTAGCGGCTGAACAGTCTTCGTAAGTAGTTTTCGCCCTATATGAGCTCGAGTCTGAACTGACAGGATGGCCATGCAGAGAGGCGCTATGCTCGCTGCTCCGCACTGTGTTTAGCACAGGCGAGGGGCAAGAGTACGGAGTGGACTGCCTGAAACCAGAGGTATATCAAATCCAAGCCCCTGTCCAGCGATTCAAGTCGCCTTAATTGTATGAATAAACTGGGCAAAGACCATGCTGATACCTATTTCGCATAGGACACATTCATCACACCCCCGCTCCTATCCACCAGATTCGCCGCGTCGGCCTCTCTTCAGTTCTACACCCAGCTCCCCTCCCTACAGCCTCTCGTCGATTTTATCAAGAAGTCTGCTTGCAGCCAACGCAAGGTTGGTGATACCGAGTGCAATGAGCGCGCGGCCTCCCTGCTCACGGCCGACACGGTCGATATCGACTATGATAGCATCTCACACGCCCTGACCGTGTCGACTATCTGGGCCAATGCACCTAGTGGAGGCTGGACAGAAGATATTCAAAAGCCTTCATCAGGCGCGGATCAGGTCGAGTTTGGGCTTTTGGGCACCGAGCTAGGCCTCGAACCGCAGGAGATCAAGATGGGCGGGCTGCTGGCTGTTGTTGGACAGGATAAGAAGATGAGTGAGTATTCAGATCGGCTTCACGCAGACTACATCAGAGCATTGTCTAACCATAAACAGAGCCCACCATGTTCTCCTTCCCCTCGCGACACCACCCGCTCCCCAAGGAAGCGGGATATACCGTTTCGTTCTCCACTCCGACGGGTCTTCACCCAACAATGGCCATCTCTATTTCCAAAGCCGCGCTAGAGCGACCTCCAGCACCGAGCGACGCAACCTGCGCACTACACACATACCTCACGCTTCCATCCTCTGTCTTCGGAGATCAGTACCAGCTCGGAACCACCGATCCGCTCTTCCTAGAATCACACAATCTCGCAGCACTGCGAGCTGTCTCGGGTGAAACAGACCTCGAAGCTCCAGACTGGGCTGTTGAGCGCTGGGGTTCGAATTGGCTTTTCGAACTTGCTACTTGGTCCCCAGACCCGGCCCAGTCTAATTTCACGGCAACTATTCCTCTACACCTACGTTATCTCGAACCTTCTGAATCGGGATATCAGACTGCAAATGTACCCTGGCCGGTCGCTTTCTGGGCTTGCACTGCTGAGGATGGGACTAAGATGGGTGTCAACCCATTCGACCGCACGAATCTGGGTTGGGACGGTCTGTTCGGTCCGCGCACTATGTTTTACCAGCTGCATCCTGAGTCTGAGCATCTCATTGAGTCAGTGGAGGTACCAGTTCTCAAGCTTACAGGCCAAGGCATGTTCAAGGCGAAGAACATTGAGCTGGGAACATGCGTTGCTATTTTGCTCGGTTTCCTTTGGGTGCTGTGGCGCCTTGTCCGCGTGGCATGGTCCTCCGGTATCAGCTCTGAGAAGCGACCTGTGCGATCTGACGGACATGACAAGAAAGACTAAACACATCTTATTCAATCTCGTTCTTCCATTGGCGTTCATGGGTATCACGAAATCAACTTTATACAAGCATTGCTGGGCAATAGCGTTTGTTTATTCACCACAAACACATAGACACATTAACCAGTCCCCTATACATAAAATCCTCAACCTCCTCAATTCCCTTAGTAACCCAGTTCAATAACAAACCGCCCCCCTAAATGCCCATCTCAGGCAACGGCCACGGCACATCCGTCATAAGGAACTGATCCAGATCAAAATTCTGCAAACTCGGCATATCAATCATCAAATCCCCCAACCAAGACAACTCCACATCAGAAACGCGCCCCATCTCCAACCCAGGCACCACCCCAACACCACCAACTCCCTCCGTCTCAGGTGCCATCGCCAACGCATTCGCCCTCAAAACATCCGCCAACGCCCTCGTGTCATCCTCCTTCCTCCTCTGATGCAACGCAATAAGCAAATAAGCCGTCGAATACGACTCCCGCATAACACCCGTATCATACGCCGCCACCACCGCCCCCAGCGTCCGCATCGCATCAGGAAGTAAAGCCAACGCAGCGCGATTATCGATAGCAAGTAATGTGCAAACGACCTGGAACGGTACATTGGCAACCTGATGCCAGGGGCTTGAGGCAGAGACCATTTCTCTTGCTGCGCGGAGACCGCGAGCCGCGAGAGCGAGTACGCGGTCTAGGATTGTTGATGTTAGGAGGGCGTGGGCGTTTAGGGCGCGGACGCGGCGGTAGATGCAGAGGGTTAGGTTGCATTGGACTAGGATTAGTGAGGGGGTTGTGTAGAGGAGGGATAGAACGGAGGAGAGGGCTTTTTCGAGTTCTGGGAGGTCTTGGGGTGCTGAGCCGGTTGGGTCGAGGCTTTCGGAGATGGGGAGGAGGTGATATAGGTCTGTCTTTTGGGACGGGGGAGAGGATGAAGAGGTGGATGGGAGGGATTGAGTGGTTGGGGAATGTGTTGTTGCTCCATGGAGGACGACTCTTGAGCGGCCTAGATCGAATGATATCCAGGTATTTAGGTGGCGGGCCATACCGAATAGTCGGCGGCCAGTGTCGTTTGTGTCGGCGGTTCCATTTTGGTTTGGCGTTGCGATCAGGCCTGTGGAGTCTGGGTCTGGTTTGTCGAGGTGAAGGCCTGCTGCCTCGATGAGATGCATCAGTGTGCAGCTGGCCATCCAGGCGGCGTGGGGAGAGGCTGTCATGCGGAGATACGCCGTTCGAAGAACCCATCCGGTTACGATCTCGACTGATGGTGTTTGTGCGCAGAGGATGGTTTTTTCAAGGAGCACGTGGGCTGTATCAACGAGCTGGCGCTCAGTCGGCGTGATCTCGCGCTGGGAGAATAAGAGCCCAAATGCTGCCACGCCGCATAGCACAGCATCGTAGGGCTGAGTTTCCAGAGGCTCGGGGGCTGGTACTGGAAGGTTCGACCAGCGTTGGACGGTATGGGCAAAGATGCTCTTCCGGTCTAGGAAAGCGTAGCATGGATCGACCTTTTTGAAGTAAATGACTGCCAAGCGCTGCATCTCATCTTGCGAGATGATCGTGGTAATTGACGCCGGCGACGCTATGGGCGAGGCGACAGCCGGTGATACACGCCTCTCGCCGACATTCCATGCGAACAGATGTAGTCTGGGGGCGCGTGCTGGGTCAATTCGTAGACCAAGCTTGCGAACAAACGCCGCCCCAGAGTTGGCCTCTAAGGAATGACCGACTCCACGGGAGCTGTTCACGCGAGAGGCCGGAGATGCAACATTGCCCGCAGCGCTGACAGGAAGTCGATTGGACCATCCATCTGCTGGTAGGGCCCGATTACCCATGGAGCTGGCGCGTTTCTTGCGCGGGGCCGCGCTGTAGTAACACTCGACGCCGGCCTGGACACAGGTAGTGCATGGCTGCTCACCGGAGCATTTACGCTTGCGCGATTGACAGGATAGACAGGCGGCACGCGACCGCTTGCGAGGTGTTGAGTCGGCCATTGAGTTGGAGCAGGTACGCGTTACTTAGATCTCTAAAGTCGAGGTTCCGCCCGAGGCCTCCGCATTGAACCCGCGTTGCGGTACATTAGTTATAGTATTTACCCTTTACGCTCAACCCTCACTACACGCCCGCGGTTCCACAACAATTGAAGATTTTCAATGCTGTGACTTGTTAACTCACCGTCAGTCGTACTTCCGACTATCAGGATAACCCATCATATCTTCCAGCTGCTTGAGGTCCGGCATCCCCGCTGGCCCCGGCATGTACTGCACATTGTCCGCACAGTGGTTCCATTCCACCAAATCTCGTTCTTCTACAACGTCTCCATGATCTGCGGTGCATCGATGTACGTGCGAATCTCGACCATTTGGTTGCGGTGCCAGCGAGTCACCCAGACGTTGACGATGTCGAAATCATCGCCTATGGCCCCGTCAGACCTGTTCACTCCGGGACGTGTTTACCTACCCGAGTTCATGACCCCTTTGAAATTGATCTCCTGCACCGACCATGCACTATTACACCCACCGTGGATGGCCCGCGGGTGGATCTCGAATGTGTCGGCGTGATCGAGAAACAGCACACTAACGCGCCGCAGGGCGTTGACGTAGAAATGCAGCAGGTCATTGTAGCGACCGGCGATCGGGTGGTGCCCGACTACGGTGAAGGTGACGTTTTGGATGAGAGTAAACAATTTGCTCATGTCCTTTTCCAAATCCTTGAAAGAATCCCATATGTGCAGCTGCGACACAAACTGGCAGTGGGCGGAGGGATTCTCAAATTCGAAGCCTTCACGGTCCCTAGTGGGGTCCTGAATAATGCCATCGCCATTGCAACGACCGGGTCGACGAGACCTGATCCATCACATCCGAGATGTTTCGAGGGTCTTCTGCGGGTCGACTGTGGTCCGGCCGCTGGGTCGGGAGAGGCCGATCCCTCAGGTAATGACGAGATATCGCGAGATAAGCATCGGACTCCCAGAGTTCGGTTCTTACTCAATAGTTTGCCTATCAGTGCAATGTCTTTTTTGTTTACGTTCTTCTATTTATTCCAATTGACCTTTTTTTTGGTTTAATGTTCCGGTTGGGTAGCACAGGTGAATGCACCGAAATGCACCTCTAAAACACCGTAGGGTTGCCGGAGCACACCTAGCGGTGTGTAGGTACAGCAGAAGCGGGGACACAGTGCAGCAAAGATGTGTCTAGCGCTGCTGATAGCTAAGTGGGTTTGAATTGCACTAAGCCGAAAACAGAAGTGATTTGCCTTTTTTCATTGTCGAATCAAGTGCCCCGGCCGGTATCGGCCCGGTCCCCTGATTGGCCGGCGGTCAGCAAAGCACGTGCCCGCCCTGAGTCAACGAAAACCTCTTCTCCGAACATCGCCCTCTTCCTTCTTTCTTTCCCTACGAGTTACTCCACTTTCACACTTCCACACCTATGTCGCGCTAAATCCTCTTTTTCCTTTAACATCCCTCTGACTGGTACTACCACAGTCGCGCTTATGTGTTTGGCACCCTCAACTTTCACCTCCCAGGACTACATCTCGGGTATGTTGAAGCAATTTCCCAACCCATTGACAAATCGTCCAGAGACTAATCGACCCTATAGACCACCTCTGGAAAGCTTCAATCAACTGAATTGACCGATCAATTAACCGTTTACACCATCTCGCTATTATCTTACATCCAAATCAAATATGTTTATGAACCTGTTCAAGGCCATGCCCGCTCGGGCTGGGGCCTTCGCCTCCATGAAGACCCCTGCTCAGGCTCGCTTCATGGCCACTGTTCGTCAGCGTGCTGCCCTTGAGCCTGCTACCTTCACCATCCGTGACGGTCCCATGTTCACCGGAAAGTCTTTCGGTGCTCGCTCCAACATCTCCGGAGAGGCCGTCTTCACCACCTCTCTGGTTGGGTATCCCGAGTCCTTGACCGATCCCTCCTACCGTGGCCAGATCCTGGTCTTCACCCAGCCTCTCATCGGCAACTACGGTGTGCCTTCCGCGGAGAAGGACCCCAATGGTCTCTTGAAATACTTCGAGTCCCCCAACCTCCAGGCCGCCGGTGTCGTCGTCGCCGATGTTGCCGAGCAGTACTCCCACTGGACCGCCGTTGAGTCCCTGGGTGAGTGGTGTGCCCGGGAGGGTGTGCCCGCCATCTCCGGTGTCGATACCCGTGAGATTGTCACCTACCTTCGTGAGCAGGGTTCGTCCCTCGCCCGCATCACCGTCGGCGAGGAGTACGATGCCAACGAGGACGAGGCCTTCACCGACCCCGAGCAGATCCACCTGGTCCGTCAGGTCAGCACCAAGCAGCCTTTCCACATCAGTGCTGCCGACCCCACCTCCCACGTTGCCGTTCTCGACTGCGGTGTGAAGGAGAACATCCTGCGTAGCCTGGTTGGCCGTGGCGCCAGCGTCACTGTCTTCCCCTTCGACTACCCCATCCACAAGGTTGCCCACCACTTCGACGGTGTCTTCATCTCCAACGGCCCCGGTGACCCCACCCACTGCCAAGACACCGTCTACCACCTGAAGCGCCTGATGGAGACCTCCCAGGTCCCCATCTTCGGTATCTGTCTCGGTCACCAGCTCTTGGCCCTGGCTGCCGGCGGCAGCACCATCAAGCTCAAGTACGGTAACCGGGCTCACAACATTCCGGCCCTGGATCTGAGCACCGGTCGCTGCCACATCACCAGCCAGAACCACGGTTACGCCGTCGATGCTTCTACCCTGCCTTCTGACTGGAAGCCTTACTTTGTGAACTTGAACGACCAAAGCAACGAGGGTATGATCCACAAGTCTCGCCCTATCTTCAGCACTCAGTTCCACCCCGAGGCCAAGGGCGGTCCCCTGGACTCCTCCTACCTCTTCGACATCTACCTGGACAGCGTCCTGAAGTACAAGAACAGCCAGGCTGGTCTCTTCCCCCAGCGTGACAGCCGCCCCAGCCCTCTGCTGGTGGACCTGCTCGCCAAGGAGCGCGTGGGCGTCCAGCCCACTATCGGCATGCAAAACGTGGCCGCCGCCGCCGCTGCTGCTGCTGCCTAAGTGAGCATGTCTTCATGTGGAGTTCGGGCTGATATATATTCGGGTTGATGTCTTTGTCTTGTTCATAGTATATTTCTTTTTGGTATATCGGAATTCAGGTCATTCAAAGTTTCCATTTTGATACTTCGTAGTACTCTGTTCACGTAAATGTAATGGTAATGCCTACATAAAACACCCTCTATTTTGCCACGATTGACACCACATCCTCGTCTGCTACCATGTGCGACAATCCCACGCGCTGGGGCACGTGTCGAGCGCTGGCACCCCAGACCATGGCGTACTTGAATGTTTCCTTGAGCGTGCGATGGATCTGGTCACACACGTCCTCGATGCTAGAATCCTGGCGCACAATCAGAGCCTCGCTGAAGTCGGGCACATCTCCCTTCCTGTCGCATAGTTAGTATAACCAATTTCAACTGGAATACTCCCAAGACGCAATACATCGGCTTGGAAATGTGACATACCGTTTTGTATAAAGCCGCATCAGTCTCAACTCCTTCCAGATCCGCTCGACAACCTCTTGCACACCGAGATCAAGTTCACAACTCATGACGGCTGTGTACGGCTCGCGGGCAAGTTGATCCAAGAACTCGAGGCTGATGCTGTCGATTTTGTTGTAGACGTACAAGCTAGCGTATTATTAATTTAGGCTCATTCATTACGTAGTCGTGTGTGTGACATTGAAGGTACTTACCAGCGGATGTACTTGCGGTGATCTTTCATAATGACATCGATGAAGTCATCGATTGTGGCTGGAACAGAGAATTAGTCACTTAGGTTGTGGTATACTTCAATAAAGACTCACCGAACTCGTCTCGCACCAACACCTCGCAGTTGAGAATCTTGTAGTCACGCAGCACGTTGTAGAGCATCTTCTCGTCCAGGTACTTGGGTGGTGTCTGGAAGCCGATCTTCATGCCACCGGCCTTTTTGATCTTTAGATAAATGTTGCTGAATTCATATTAGTGATATTTCCCATCAAGGAAGATGTATGACCTACGGAGGCTCCTTATTCAAGCGAATGCCAACAGCATCCAATTCATTCTCCAGCAAGGCTCGCTGCTCAGCCCGCTTGGTAGCGTCCAAGATCATCAGAACCAGATCACTGGTCTAGATTCAAGATTAGATTCCACTTCCCTTCAATCTCCACATGAGCTAAGACATACCTTCGCAGCAGAGATAACCTGACGACCACGACCCTTACCCTCGGCAGCACCTTCGATAATACCAGGCAAATCCAGAATCTGGATCTCGGCACCGCCATACTCCAAGACACCGGGAATGGCAGTCAAAGTGGTGAAAGAGTACGAGGCAGCCTCACTCTTGGTCTTGGTGATCTTGGACAGGAAAGTAGACTTTCCAACGGAGGGGAAACCGACAAGTGCCACACGGGCATCACCACTCTTGCTGACGTCGAAACCGGCGCCGCCACCTGATCCAGCACCGCCTACGGGCTCGAGAAGTTGGGCTCGAAGACGGGCAAGTTTTCTGAGAAGCTGTTAGCACGATGTTCTCGAAGCTATCTGGATGTAGGATCTGGGATGTAGAGACGGTACCCTTTCAATAGACCAAGATGGTGCTCTGTGGACTGTTAGTTCTGTAGGTGAATGGTGATCTGCTGGTAGAACTTCGTACCTGTCGCCTTATTCTCTGCGGGGCTTGTTAGTGGGGTGATGCAAATTCTGGCTTTGAGATAACTTACTCTGCGTCCGGCGCATCTCATCCTCGATCCTATAATTCGATAAGTCAGTTATCCATTCATGCATCGCTCCGGGGTCGACATACTCCTTGATCTTCTCCGTGATATTCACCATCTTGCCGGTGGTTAAGGCGTATCGCCAATGATCTCACTGAAATCGTTATTCGTCCCGTTCAGCTCTTGTCCGAGTATCTTAGTTCGGATACAATCAAGTTGGCACCCTTTCAATCGGAGCCCAAGAACCTGAAACTCGCGAATATCTGAAATCCCAAGACCAGCACAAAGGTTGTTCGTCGCGAAATCCGCACCCGCCAAGCCTTATGTAATCACCTTCATTTCGCCGCGCAGCTCAACCTCACTTTTTGCCCTCGACACCTCCCTACAAACCCCCAGCCATGGCAGACACAGTCGTTGAGCCCGAAGAGGCAATTATCTCCAACAGTCCCGAGGACGATGCGCCGGCCGCGGACACCGCCGTTGTCAAGAAGACCAAAAAAATCATTCGCAGGAAGAAGAGGCCCGCCAGGACACAGGTTGACCCTTCTTTTGTGAAGTCTGAGCCACCGCCACAGACGGGTACAATCTTTAACGTCTGGTATGCCAAGTGGTCTGGTGGCGACCGCGGTGATCAGCAGGATCTTAACACGCCGGCACCGGGGCGCTGCAACATTGCTCGCGACAGTGGTTATACGCGCGCTGATAAAGTGACTGGGTCGTTCTTCTGCCGTAAGTTTTTATTTCGATCTCAAGATATCAATTCAAGCACAAGGGAAACTAACATTTGCTCATCCAGTCTTCTTTGCCTATGGTACATGCTTCCAAGGCCCCGAGTGCGAATACCTGCACCGCCTACCAACGATACACGACCTCTTCAACCCGAACGTCGACTGCTTCGGACGAGATAAGCACTCCGATTACCGCGACGATATGGGTGGTGTGGGTTCCTTCACCCGCCAGAACCGCACGTTGTATGTCGGCCGGATCCACGTCACCGATGATATTGAAGAGGTGGTCGCGAGACACTTTGCGGAGTGGGGACAGATTGAGCGCACGCGTGTGCTAACGGGACGAGGTGTGGCTTTCGTGACTTATTCAAATGAGGCGAATGCGCAATTCGCCAAAGAGGCCATGTCTAAACAGGCCTTGGACAATAATGTGAGTATAGCTCTTTCTACAATTCTCGAAGAAAGCATCTGCTAACTACCATTCAAGGAAGTACTCAATGTTCGCTGGGCGACTGTTGACCCGAATCCGATGGCGCACAAGCGGGAGGCGCGTCGTTTGGAAGAGCAGGCTGCAGAGGCGGTGCGCCGGGCACTGCCTGCGGCTTTCGTGGCTGAGATTGAGGGTCGTGATCCTGAGGCGAAGAAGAGGAAGAAAATTGAGGGTAGCTTTGGGTTGGACGGGTATGATGTACCCGATGATGTGTGGCATGCGCGCACACGACAGCTAGAGAGCTCGAAGTCCGCTGCTGGTGAGCTTGAGGCGCCCGAGGAGCCGTTGATGATCGAGTCTACGACATCGGTAGCTGCACCTGCACCTGCATCAGAGCCCGAGAGCGGGATCTTCTCGAGCGCGACAGTGGCAGCTTTGAGGGGACTCACGGGTGGCAACATCACGACTCAGGCAGCGCCCAAGGCCTCTGGGCCATTAGTCGCCTACGGAAGTGACGATGACAGCGACTGAGTCGGCACTACATGATATTTGGATTCTTAATGTACTAAATAGCGATACCTCATCAAATGACGAATCTGTCCTCACATGCACGAGCTTCGTTACATTGGCGTTATTCATAAACGGGGTATCATCCCGAACACTCGCTAAGCACAAACAAGGGAGGAGATGTATGATAGTTTGAACAAAAAAAAAAAAAGCACAATTTCCGCCCAATATGAGAACATGCAATTGGTCCCGTGGACCGAAGCCAAACCAACTCCGTTCTTACCTGTCGCCGGGACCGAGGTCGTAGTACACGCATGAGCCGGTTCGATAGTTGTAGATGAATGCGTTGGTGCAGCTTTCTGTGCTTTCGCTGGAGCGGGCTTCCGAGGCGAGGTCGCTAAGTAGTTCGTATACTTGGCTGATGTATTTGCGTTCTGTTAACGGTGCGTTTTGGATGACGGTTCGCCAGCTGTCGGGATCGGAGAGGCGAGTATCGCGAATAGAGTCGAGGACGTCGTCGCGGGTGTCAATGGCGGCGACGGGACCGTTGCGAGCATTCTCGGCGACCTCACGCGCGCGAAGAAGAGCTAGATTCTCTATTAGGTCTGCAATGGATGAATGGGATTGCCTAAACGTACCTGACTCGACAATGTTTCTTCGGTTTGTCTTTTTGCTCCTGTGCTGAGGCACGAGAATACGAACATCATTCGCCTTCTCGTTAGACAAGAGAGTATCCTGTTGCACAGATTGGCGTGATTGCCGAAGATCCACCATGCCTTCACGATGGAGCCGGGCCTGAACCTCGAATCGAAGCCAAGGTACAAGTTCGGAGCTGCGAATATCATACTCCTCCCTGCGCTGGGGATTCCGGACTTTATAGCCCCGCTCCTTGCTGTCTTGCTTCGCGATCACGATCCAGTTGTGGTTATGCTCGCGGTACTTGATCATAAGCTCTTCGAGGGAGGAGGCGTCAACGGCAAGCTCTGCGCTGATATCGTTCGCCCAGAGATCCTCGATTATCTTGACTCCAGTAGTGCGGAGAACTGTTGCGTCAAAGCTAGAAACGAGGACATCGCACTGATTTGGTTAGTATGTTATGAGACTTGAACAAAGTGGCATTGAAATATAACTTACCCTGCGTGTTGTCCAGTACAGCTCGGCGCCCGTGTCAGTGTCTTTCGGTGCAGCTCTGGAGTTCAGGTGCTCCCTCATAGACGAGCCAAGTCTATCAGAGCTGAGATTGAATCCGACCGCGTGCGCTTGGGGTCGGTTGGACAGAACCTTGGGCGAAAATTCTTGGATCAAACGATCATATCGACCACCTGCGGCGAAGACATCGCGGCGCTTGCTGTCAAAGATGCACTGGAACAAGACACTGCCTCGGTAAAACTTGTCGTGTAGACTACTTAAGGGATTGACAAAGATCTTTCGCTTCACACCAAAGCATTGCAGATAGGTCATGAGAACATTCAAGCGGGCGAATATAGGGGAAATCCGCTCAGCATACTCAGTGCCTTCCATGATGGTTTGCAACCTTCGCTGGGTCTCTTTCGGATTATCTAGATCAAACATGTTAGAATCTCTTATACTATCGGGTTTGTTTGAAGGTACCTCTGAAATCAAAGCGGGCGAGATCGTCCAGAGAGGTTGAAGCAACACCAATAGCAGGAGACCGAAGTTCACTTCGAATTTTCTGCATGGTCCATTTGCCAACATTCAGTTTGCTAATGACTTCCTTCACCAATGGAATCTGGGGAGGTGTGATGCGACAGAATTCCATGATCAGTTGCAAGAGGTCAGAATGATTGATCAGGAAGCACATTGATGCAGATCGAAGAGGAGGGAATTCTTCGATGATCTCGTCAAGTACTTTGATCACTTCCGCTTCCTTCAGTGCTAGATCCAGCGTGTTGTAAGACACGATGTCAAAATCCACCTCGCGGTGAGTACGAGGCTCACTTCCATGTGTAGACTCCCTATAAACCGTTCCAAAGGCGAAAGTCTTTTCCAAAGAAGGATCTTGGCGGGGGATTGCACGCGCATTTGGGACTGTCAGATCAAAGGGCAACTGAAGAAGGTTGCCCGATGCGTCCAAGAGACGAACAGCCCCGCCAGAGTAGTGCTGGGATCGTGGGAACAGCATCTGTCTGGTCGACTCTACTGCGCCGTGCCTCCGGAAGATGGAGGTCAGTTTCTCCCTCACGAGACCCTGAATGAGCAGCTCATTTGCTGCGGGCACTCCATGTGAGTCCATGTCCCAAGCAAGATCCTCAAATTTTTTCGGCGATTGAGAGAAAATCGCAGACAGGATTTTCTTGTAGTCTGGCGAGTTTGGATCTGAAAGTAAGTGCACGATAGCACGTCTGAAAGTCTCTTCCTCAACTTGGAGAGGGATTCTTCCACTGGAAAGAAGTTCGGCGGCAGTAGGTCGTTCACTGGGGATGTGGCTAAGAAGCGACTCAATAATCTGCCCTTGGACGACCTTTTCAGATTGCTGGAAGGTTTCCGGGAGTATATGGTTCGGCTCTCTGATGGCCCGCAGTGTTTGGTCGCGCTCCATGCTTGTTGGTAGTGGGTGGCACATTTCGAACAGAATTACACCGAGGGAATACATCTATATTGCGTCAGCATTAAAATTGAGCGCGTAAATCTCGGCAGCCTTTACTCACATCAACTTTCTCATTATAGTGACCCGAGAAACCAGATTTCATCTCGGGAGCAACATAGTATGTTGTCCCAAGGCTACGAGTGAAGTCTCCCTCAAAGTCAGCCGCCGCGGATGAGCGTACCGCTGTTGTGAATTGCCCACTGGTGGCAAGCCCAAAATCACCGATTCGAGGGTTATTGGCTACATCAATGAAGATATTATCTGGTTTCAAGTCTCGATGAATAATGCCATGTCCGTGGATGTGACTCAGGCCATCGAGAATCTGTCGGAACAGACGCCAGGATCGATCGACATCATCGTACAAGCCGTTCTTGATCAAATCTCGCAGTGTCTTAAATCCAAATTAGCATCATGAGATCCACAACACATTTCAACTTAAGAAAACTCACGTGCTTTTCGCAATACTCCATCTGGATATACAATGTAGTCAAGACGGCTCTACCATAGGAGCTTGATCTTGTGTGACTGTACTCGGCATTTTCTGCGCTGCCTGTTCCCCAGTCTTCGGGGTTGTCTCCGGTATCGCGATTGGATATCGTTCCCTCGTTTTCATCGTCACTATCCGAGGCGGCAAATTCGATCTTCGGATATCCACTGGAACTGATGAAGTCAAGGCCGCCGGTACTGAATCCGCGGCGGCCTTGACTGGCAAAGGGATCCCCCTCAGTGGAAGACATGGCTGCTGACTCGATGTGATTGAAATCCTCTTCGAGCCAGGCAGTATAGTATCGCACGACATACGGATGATTCAACCGTGACAGTAGCATGATCTCTGATAGTGTATCTTTCAATGCCGCAGCAGACGTCTGAGAAATCTTCTTAACAGCATAGAACCGGCCATCCAGCTTGTTCCTAGCTTTCACGACCTGGCCGAAGCCACCACGACCCAGCTGACCAGCCTCATCAAAGTCCTGGTGGTAACGAGACAGGGCTGAAATAGCACCAAAAGAGTCCAGTCGTGGGCGTCTCTGCAAAGATACAGAATTTGAAGACCGTTCACGCATGATTAGTGGCGCATCCACACGGAAGAACTCCGAAGGCTGAAGTTGGAAGGCCGTTGGGCGCTTTCTCGGGTCTGGACGGAAGAATTCGCGAAGCAAATCTTGAAGTGGTGGGGAGAGTCCCATGGACACCATCAGTTGGTTGGCCGATGTATATCTCAGAAGGACGTCTTTTCCAAAGGCCATTTGAAGTAACACGATACCGAGATCCCAGACGTCGGTCTTCATGGTTGGAGCGCTCTCCTGCGTCAGCTCTGGGGGGGAGCCACAAGGGGGATTTGGACGTAGTTAGTGAATGCCTTCCACTTGGAGAATCAGGCAGGGCTTCTTCTATATTGGATTGGAGTTTAACAATGGTACCACCAGATATCGTTCTGCACAGCATAATTCTTCCACTGTGGATATTGCCATGAACAAATCCATTGCGATGATAAAACTCCAACGCCTCTAAAAGCTGAATCATCCAGCCTCGAAGTGTTTCAACGGCAACTGTGCCCACAATATCAAGCATCTCCAAAAGTGAACCCTTATTGGCAAACTCCACGAGGGCGCGAACTTTCCCGGAGTTTTCAGGGGATTTCACGGGGATTTTGGGCGGAATGATCGTGAATCCCACAAATCCCACCAAATTGGGATGTCGAAGCCGTCTCAAGCCCTCCAGTTTATCTTCGCTAGTCCGCATCTGCTCCCTAAATGAGAAGGTATTCGAGCCCTTTTCACTAAGACTAATTTCCTTGAGAACAAGGAGTGGGACATTACATCGGTCTTTGGACACGACAGGTCTCACGGTGAAGGTCGTCTTGCCCGGCTTGCGTTGCAGCAGAGATTTTCCGTAGACAGCACGGAATACCAATGGTTGCTCGTCGGTATCATTGACCGTAACTGGAGGGTCAAATGTCATGACTTCTGAGGTGTTCTCCACGAGATCACCCATGTCATTGAAATCGAACCCGCTGGTTCGACTCTTGCGTCTTGACTGGGCCTTGTTGCGTCGTCGCTTATCTTGGAGCATCTCCTGTAGTTCGCGCTCTTCCTTCGCATATTCGGCTTCTTGCTTTCGTAGTTCTTCCTGCTTTTCAAGCTCCGCCCGCTGGATGGCCGCGGCTTTTTGCTCCATTCGTTCTTCTTCAAGGCTGGGAAGATCTTTATCCTGTTCCCGAGCTTGAGCAACATCCTCCAAAACATCCTGGATAGATACCGCTAGCTCATAGATCATCTCGCTTCCCAGTAGCGTCTTCGGCTTTGCGCGAAGAATTTCCTGTATGCGGGAGCGGGCCCCATCGCGAAATTCGTTCAGGTTTTCCAGTGATATGTTCGGAACCGTTTTGGGATAAGTTGCAGGCAGCTCGACAAGTAGCACGAGGCGAACATCCGGGTTCGAGGAAGCTCGGAGGTGGAGCTTGAAAGTCACGTCGGAAGTTTGCTAAGGTGCCAAAGTTAGTCACGCGCGAACAAAGTAGACATCTTCTCTACATACCTGCCATGCCGATCGCCGCAGCTGGACTTCTTCATAGTCATCACCATATATCGATTGCAGAGCTTCCGCCTCTGTCTGGTGGATTTCACGGTAATTTGTTGTAGGTATGGTGGGGGATGTCAAAGAAGACTCGGTGGAGGAGGTCTGCTTTTTCTCGCGGGAGGGGTTCTTCCTCTGTTTGGGAGACATCGCGGGGCGTGGCGCGAAATCGCCCTACATCCGGATATTGTACGACATGGGGAGCAAAGAGGTGGAGTGAGTGAGTGAGTCAATTGGGAAAGAAGAATGCGGGCAACTTCGAAGAAACAGGCGGTCAGGTACTTATCGATAATGCTCCCTGTTATTACTAGATTGTTTCTACAATTGGGCAATTCTGGCCTTTCTTGTAACTTTCCTTGAGATTTTCTTAAGTTTCCGACAAATATGAAGATCATCAGAAAAACCCATGCGCATGATGCCTTTTGGCCTAAATGTGGGTATGCTGAGCTGTTCCGTCAAAAGGTACTGCAGTAGCCTCTGCCAACAGGACATCAAACTCCAATTTTTTCCACAGAAACCAGGCGCTCATCTTACGAGCGATCCACGCCGAGAATCAAGATTCCAGTCATCGCTATCAGCGGAGCATATCCCCAGTGGGCCCATTGGCCCTGGCCATGGGTCCAGCACACCGCACCGTCGGCAGAGGCCACCGCGCTGTTGAGAATCAAGGTCCAGCCCAATGCCTGACGAGTCCCATAGTAGGCGGTGGCGTAAATGACCAGACCCATAAAGATGTCTCGGATGCCGTAAATAGCCATCAAGCTGTCGACCATGCGGTGAAGTGCTACATCGGCGGGCGGCTGGAACGCGAAAAAGGTGAGGCCATGGTCTGGGCGCACGATGGCATTGATGCCGAAGCCGATTGATATGGTTGCAATTGCTGTTGCGACAAGATGGAGTACAGACGACCTGGAGAGAGACATCTTTAAAGACATGTAGATGGAGAATGCAGGGCGGAGGAAGGGACATGGCTGAACCTGGGTTGAACCTGGGGTAGTAGTATGTAAGAATCGCAGGCACATGCACCCGAACACGAGCTTCTACAGAGCCGCCATCTCGGGGCCATAGAAGCTTTTTTCTGACTCTCAACACACTCATACAATCTTTGGCATCTATTTATACTGGATCATCATCCCATATCAGCGTCATTGTTGGTTTTAGAAATGTCTTTATTATTATTTTTCGCTGAAGACCTAAGTGCCGAGGCAGAGCCCAATCCTCGGCGCTCGGGCGCTTTTGGCAACCGGTACAGGCATATCTAAAACGCGGAAGCCACTTATCAATATTATTTAAAGACATACGGCAGGATATAATAAGAAATATATATCTTGAAACGAAATAATAGTGACGGTAAAACTGCCGCCTCGGGAAGTGATCGGCTCCCGGAGCACAGGATGAGTTAAGTCACCCCGCCGCCCTGAGCTGCTCCAAGTGCCTGGATTTGGAAATATACCCATTGATTATGAGTCGAAGGTAGGGCAAGTCTTTGCACATGGAGCCCTGGCCGCATCTGAGCCGAATTACCAGCTTGGGAATCGGGCCGCGCGTTTGACTATGCCAGAGCTTTGTATGCTTCGTCTCATGCAACGAGTGATGGAAATTTCTAATTGGGAATATGATGTGTTCAATGACAAGGTCGTTGCCCAGTGGTACGAAGATGCCTTGTCTGATTCAAAGGAGAGGGACCTATCAAACCCCGAAGCCTACGGTGATATGGATGTTGATATGGATCTTGTGTCACAATCAACATGGGATTGGTCAGCCACCTGTCTAGATCGCACCCTTACTTCCGGGTCTGATTTTGGGGTACACTTTTTCTAGTATCAAAAATCTTCCAGGTTCACAAAGGCATCTCTTTCGAGTATAATTCAATATGACCTCGCACAGATCCTATGTAACGTGATTCACGGGCGACTGGGCCACCTTTCTTTTTCGCGTCTCCCCGCGTACATCTATTTTCTACTAACCACTATGCCATCAATTCGCAAGAGGCCCAAGCAGAATTTCGCGCACCGGGAAGGGCGCAGCCTACTTGCAATACAGGTAATTTGAAAAAGAAAGAGAAATTACCTCTATACGCGACGCAGCGACGTGATCTCAGGTACCCCGTATGTGTGATTGAAACCAGCTTTCTTTGTATAGTTTGCTTTTGAAGATAATTATAAGTGGAAGGGCATATCCTTCAGCGCCAATTGGTTCGATCGTAGCTACCCACTCACGATTGTCTAGCTATAAAATTAATCGACGACCATAAGGCGTGCAATGGAGCTATGAAAACCATTCTTTTCTTAGAGAGAGAAAGCAAGGATCTACGCGAGGGGAATCGCAAGCAAAATAAGAAAAGAGTCTGTCCAATAAGCAATTTGCTTATAAAGAGGGATTATTGGTTCAAGAAGCGTAGGGCTTACGCTTTGGTGCAGGAAGTGTTGAGAGAGATAATTAGGATTGAAAGGCGTTTTGTTAATTAGAATAGTCCCTATTGTTGGAAATGGACGAGGTGGCCCACTCGCCGGTGGATTACGTTACACCGCTTCAATGTTAGGCAAATATTCTGGCTTCCAGAGAGGCCCCACTCCTTTCCTTTCTCAAAAACAATCATCTGCAACTTCATGTCGATCTATTCCTAAGTTGACACCTTGTCCGATCTGGGCCCGATCGATCAGCCGATCCTAGTGATCCCTTTAAAATTGCATACACAAAACGAAGGCTCGATTTAGGACATGAAAAAGAAAGAGCAATCCTTGAAATGACTCTTGGCTCTATTCCCAGTGAATACAAATTTAAAATATCACTTCTTCTCTTAGATGGGTTGTAATCGTCTATTTTAATTCCTGACCAATGCTGGTAAATGGCGGTAACCAGGGCTATAAATAGAGAATGAAGTATGTTCGCATCATTTGAAAAATACGTGACGAAGAGTAACCATGCCTCGGTATAATATGACCGGAACTAAATGAACTCTGTCCAAATGAGGCATTCGGTGGGTGTGCAACTTGCATGGGGCTAGCAGCTAGCAAAACTCTAGGCTCATCTGCTCTTTTTTCAACAGGCACCTCTGTTGTTCTCACTTTCGAGCCACTTCCAGATTCTCTATAGATTCACACCCGTCTGCGTGAAGTAGTGCATCGATGTATGTGACCAATTGCAGCATTGGCCTCTGTGTTTATGCCCTATCTAACTTGAGAACAGACCCCGATATCCGCTCCGACTCGGTTCCAACTCAATACAATCTCTGGACGATAAACAAGAAGACATGCGCCTTCCATATGTTCAAGATCCTCCCCCAACCAGCACACCAGATGAAGCACGAATCCTCGCCGACGTTCAAGCACGGCGAGAACCGAATCCTCTCCTGCCCCTCGACCTAGCTCTCTTACACTCCTTTCCAATAGCAGAGGGATGGAACTCATTCTTCGGTGCAATCAGAACTCAAACAAGCCTGTCGACTATAGTTCGCGAGCTGGCAATCTGCCGTGTCGCAGTTGTCAATGGTGCTTTGTTTGAATGGGAACAACATGCTCCCTTGTTGCAAGAAGGTGGGATGAAGGATGAAACATTGGAGATTATTAAAGATTCTCAAGCAAACTTTGCAGATGAGTCTTTCTCCTCGGCTCTTAGCCCTGAGCTAAGGGTCGTGATATGTTATACGGATGCTATGACGAAGGCGATCAAGGTGCCGGATGAAGTATTCGAAAACTTGAAGAGCTATTTTAATCCTCAAGAGGTTCTTGAGCTTACTACAACGATTGCAGGATATAACTGTGTTAGCCGGATATTGGTCGCCTTGGATATTGGCGAGAGAAATCAAGGTGCTGGGAGCTGGTTCAGATAAGAGATATTTGCCTCTAATATTTGCTAGTTTCATTTCGCGCAAGATCTCCTCACGCGAGATAATCAATAGTATCAGAATATTCAATATAGAGCTAACATTATGAGGCATTCTTGGCCTACCAGAGAGACCGCTGGTTTCCAACAAGTTGTGCCTGGCGTTATTTCTATTGTATGCTAGGTCTCACTGTGTAAGAAAAGACCCGAAAACTTCCAGGGATTCAATGATGCGGGATCGTGTGCAACATTTATTGCAGTAAACTGATTGTCAAGAGCAATTCCCTAGAGCAATCCGATCCTACCGTTCACGTCGACAGTCCTATCACCATGTTGAGATTCCTGAGCTCGTCTTAGCATGTCAACGATGGCCATCTAGACCTAGCGAACAATTCCACCGCAAAGGGAATTTACAATCCTGCAGCGCATAAAGATCAGACTGAATATTCGACAAATAATGGTAGGGATGGACAATATTGAGTTGCTTTGGTATTTGTTCGATAAGTAACGATCAATACGAATTTGTTGGGCTAAAATTTCAAATTTAGCTTACGATAACGTATCTTCTCGTTGGAGAGTAATACATTTCTGCTTGGTCTTCGAAGAGAGGGCTGACAATGATCATCCGAAGAGCCTAGTCTAGGTCTTCGAAGCCCCACAAGGCTATCATTTGAACCATTCACGAAGTCATTTGCTGATGTCGCAATGTTAGTGTAAATTTAAACACTGAAAAGCAAAATCTGGTATCTTACTGCCTTGAAGTTAGCTCTACCCAGCGGCGTGTCAGAAATCTGAAAGGTGCTGTTGGGACGCCACGCTACGCCAATGAACATTTGGCGACCCGTTGTTGTTTAAATGCTCATTTAACCTACTCGATATTCCGCAATCCGAGAGGAGGTTTTCAACTCTTTCAAACATCACAGACGAACTGCGCAATCTTCACTACAAGGAGCGTGGTGAGACTGGTCAGGTATTAGCATTCCTGCTGTGGATTTTTCTTCTGGGAATAAAAGAGTCGATTTCGCACGACTCTTCTCTAAATACTCGACCTATTGTGGCTCCAATTAGTCCAATTCTGCATCAATAAAATCCATCTCACGGCGCATTTGTAAGGCTAACAAAGACTTAGCTATTGTAGTTCATGCTTTTTCTACCCAAAAGCTTAACTAGGAAAAAGTCTCGTGGATGCGATGGCGCGTAAAGCAGGGCGTGCTCCAGGGTTAAGCCCGAGGAAGTAAAGTACATACAGCTCTATCACACGAGCTCAGAGAATTTCAAATGTCTCCTGACTTGGACTGGTGATAGAAGACCAGGAGTCAGCTTACAGGAGTCTCGTGGTACTCGTGTTCGCTATCGATAAGCGCGGCCTTTTTGCCTTCCCGCGTTGTAAACAAACCTCTCTTAACCTCTCCTCGGCCACAATGTTGGACTGGATGAAAGGGAACGAGGGCAATGTTGCAGGTCGGTTTATTTATTTTTTTTCATTCTGGCTGCTGAATTATACTAATGTTTATTTTCCCTTTACCCAGATACCTCCAAGGTGCTGGAACCGCCCGAGACCCCGGCTCCCGTGTTCGCGATGCGCGCCTTCAAGAGCGCCTTGTTTGGAACACCCGCTGTAGAAGAGGAGGAGGAAAAGCGCGCATCACAACCAAAGCCGCCTGGTCATCAACGCAGCAAGAGCGACACAACTAATCCCATCCCTATTGAGAAGAAGGAAGCCCCGAAACTCGACCCCGACGCGACCTTTAACCCCTCGGGTTCCCCGACCAAGAGTATCCTTGTGACTCCCGGAACAATCGCGAACCGACGCAAGACTGTCTCCTTTGGTGAGGGTGTCGTTGATAACGAAGGTAAACGCGACGCTCGCGTTACGAAAACGCCTCCTAATCCTGCGGGCAATATCACAACACAATGGATGTCAGGGTCAGCTGATGGCAAGCCACGAAGCAAGCTCACTCAGACACTGCTTGATGCGCGGGATAACGCGAACAATAATGCTGAATCACCGACCAAGTCTGCGACAGCTTTCACATCGGACACGAAGACTGTCTCACGATCCCAATCCAAGGATGAAGTCGAAGACATCACCCTCAACTTGGATGAGCCACGTTCAGAGTCGGGCAAATACTGGAAGACGGAATTTGACGCCTATCGAGTTCGGACTAACCGAGAAATCAAAAAGCTGATTCACTATCGGTCAGTCGCCAAGTCTTATGCTCGGAAGAAGGATTCGGAGTCTCTGCGGCTGGCAGACAAGCTGCGAGAGGAAGAGGAGAAGGTGGTGGAGATGGAGCACCAGGTCTCACGACTTGCCGCCGCAATTGCTGGGGAGGGATCTCAGGCTGGCAAGGAAGGATTGATCCAAGATCTCACCAAGCAGACTACCTTGGCGCTCCAGTACAAGCAGCAAGTCTCGTCTCTGCGCAGGTCGCTCGAGCAACAAGGGGTTGTCAAATGCGATGTGGTCCAAGCTACTGAGTCAACCAAGGAAGAGCAACATTCAGACAGTTCATCGGAGCTACGTAAAGTGCAACAGGAGCTGAAGCAAGCGAACGCTCAAATCGAGGAAATGAAGCGGCAAAGCTCAGACCTTAGCACACTTCGAAACCTCGCGCAAAGCTCAGAAAAGAAAGCGCAAGATCTCAAAAAGGAGAACCACTCTCTCAAACAAACCCTGGCGCGCGTCAAGCAAGAAATGTCGAGATACGAAGGCCGGCGCAAGGAGAAGGAAACGAAACTCAAGCAGAGAGAGGCCAAATTGGAAGCACGGATCCAAGAGTACCGAGAACGTTTGAAGTCAGCCTCCCAAGAGCACCGTGCATCAGAGGAGGCGCTGCGTACAGATTTCGAGGAAGAGCGCCGTGGAATGCGAAAGCAGATCGACCTCTTGAAGCTACGTTCTGCCGGTACAGAGCATGGCCCGACTCTACGTCCCCAGCAACGCCATTCCTCAAGCCCGCGCAAAGAGTATTCGGGGGTGCACGTGTACGACTTTGCAGGCAAAGACCACCCAGAGATCGAAGAAGAAGCCACCGAGGACATTGAAGCACCTCCAAGCCCAAGCCCTCGCTCCAAGGGACGACAAACCCGCAGTGCGACGACAGGCGCTCTGGATCTGAGAAGAGTTCGGGATGTCGCCGCAGATGATGACGAGGTTACGCATTATCTGAACCAGATCCTCCCCAAGCCACATCAGGGCGTGCATACAGAGCAGGACGCAATCCCACCCTCGTCACCGCCGGACATCGCACCTGTAAAATCCCTCAGTCGCAGCCACACGAAGTACCAGTCCATTCGGGATGGCCAGCGCTCGTATCGCTCTCTATACTTGCGTGACCCCGACAACACGGATGGAGGAAACGCACAGCACTCACGACCCCATATCAAGTCCACCTTAGATTCAATTTCGGGCCTACCTGCTACACGGGCCAACTATGCCGGATACACCATTTCCGCCGGTGAACGCGGCACACGACGTGGACTAGCCGATATGAGAAGCGACATGCTCTCACCAGAGAGAGTGGCTGCAGCTAAATCGAGGCTCAAGCAGAAGCACGATAGTCGAAAGTCAAAGGCATTGCTTGGAAAAGAGAATTTCTAGAGGTGAAGGTCTGATCTTTTCGTCTTTATTTGGCGCTACATGAGTTGAAGGTTTTGGTCTCGTTCGAGCGTTTATCTTGTCTAAATTATCGGAGCATGGGATGGGATACATATGGAGAAATCGAATTGTTGGATTTTCCTTCGTGGGACAATCATAAATTGCCAAATTCTCATTAAGAAAGTCGAGACATCAAACGTCCATGTATGCTCTAAACTAGATGACTGTATTCTTGACCACCATCTATTCAAAATGATCCACATACCAGGGTCTTGATCTTGATCTATAAACTCACTCATAACGACAAAACCCCGAAAAGTAGCCGGCTATTAGAGACCACCATTAGATTACCTTGTAACATCACCTACTTCCTCTAAGCCTTGCCATCAGAGAAGGACACGACAGCCCACTTGCCGCTCCAGGCCCACTTGCGAGCCTCGCTGCCGCCACCATCGGGAAGCTGGCGGAGCTTCTCGTCTTCGCCGGCTGGAAGACCGACGACAACATCGGCTTTGCAAGTGCGGAAGGCCATAACGCGGATACCAGACTTGGGGCCCATTGGGCCGATGGCGGTCGTAAAGGGGGTCGTGGGGTCCCATTGGGCCTATATGATCATCAGAAATGAAGTCGATTGACTTGACGTTACTGCGGAGACTTACATCGTTGGTCAACTTGCGGTAGTTCAGATCACCCTTGAACAGAACGAGCTCGCTCTCCTTCAGATCTTCGAAAAGCTCCGGTGCAACACGGGGCATGCGCCAGTAGCAGCCCTGGGTAGTCCAGAACGAGTGGGGACGCATGATCAGCTTGCCGTCCTGGTGGAGTTCGCTCCACTGCTCGAAGAGGAACTTCACATCGGTGACTTCTTTGTCTGAGAGAGCGGGATGGGTCTTGTCCGAGTCGTCCGGTGCAGTGTAGAATGTCTGGGGATCGACCATGCAATTGAGGAGATCGGCGAAATCCTTAGGTGTGACGTCGGATACGAACCATGGGAGGCGCTTGGGGTGGAGGACGATGCTGGTGGCCAGACCGGTTGACAGCAGGTATCCAGCGAGGATCAAGTCGACGAACAGCTCGAAACCGGAGTTATCCAGGACGATGTCGACGCGACGCTCTCCATCCTTCTTCTCGCGGCGGGCCTTTTGCATGACGTCGAAAGCGGCATCGAGATCATTGACGAGAATGTTGCTTTGGGAGGCTTTTCGTGCTTCGGTGCCCTGAAGCTTCTGGATGTCTTCGTAGGTGAGAGATGTCAGGAGCGACAGATCGGTAGCATTGCCCCAGAGGCAGATCTCGCACATCTCGGAGAAGAGGATACGCTCTGCCTGTTCAATTTCTTCGGCCGACTTGCCCTCTGAGCCCTTGCCGGACTCTGCTTCTTGCGCCAACTCGCGGTACCGAGCAGCGAGCTCCAGAACGGCCGGGCGTGAAGACTTGAAAGTAGACATTTTCTGGCGACTAAACACGTCATATCCCTTCCAGTGTTTCGAAAGTGCAAAGAATGTTTCCATGCGGCGATCTATTTATCGTTTCAGTCAGCCCCGATTGTCACTCGTATTAGTTGATTTCGTGATTTAGCATACAGAGGTAGCATTCGGCGTAGAGCCATGGGACATCGTGCCATTTAGGGTTTCCCCGCTGCTCTAGCTCCTGATTATACGAAGCAATATCGGAATATCCATCGTCATCAAGGGGGCTGTCAAGAAATTAGATTCAAATTCCATCGTGGTACATGGAAGAGGAGCCGAGGTGACTTACGTCAGGTTCTTGTTATGCTGAAGCTCATACTTCAGTTTAGCGAGCTTTTCAATAATGCTCTTGCCCTCCTTTGCCTTCTCATCGTCCTTTGTCTCAAGGGAAGTCCTGTGCAAATCATCAATGGCACCAGTCTATCTCTGTTAGTGATTGGATTGCGTCATATGCAGAGATCACATACGATGATAACGGGCCATCGGTCGTCGGCCGAGACCGAGGCGAAGCTCGACCTGTCTGAGGTGAGGTATTGGGCTAGCGGTTATCAGCAGTTTGCAAGTAGCCAGGTCGAATTAGAGACATACGGGTCGTCGGATCGAATTCCATCTTGTGTTTCTGACGTTTGATGAAAGTTGGGGAAAACCAGCAGAAAACCGGAGGGGAAGCGCGGGGCTTAAAGGCGGTGAGTATCTACACGGCGAGGAGCTACAATAGGAATTCAGATGCTCGTAAATACAGTAGTAGATTCGTTCTTTCTAGCTCTTTTGAGATGCCCGTTCCTTCGTATTTCTAACTCATCACATCGCCGAGAGAACCGAGTTCTGTGCATATGCCTGGAACGGATGTTAGTTTGGTTCATTTGAGATTGGGGAGAATTTCACTTACCATCGGCTTGATATCGGGGTGAGGGACGGCGTCAAACACCTCGTATTGGAGCTTAAGCTCAGGTCCAAGATTGATATAAGCACCCTTGTTCTCGGTAGAGTCACAATACTTAGGCGCAGAGAAGACGGTGATACAGCGACCATCGTGCTCAACTTCGTATCCCTCCATGCGCACCTCGTGGGATCGGATGATAGCCTCCAGGCCGTTATTCTCGCAGAATCGCTTGGTGATATCGGGGCCGAATTGCAGACCGACACCACGCTTGCTGGGTCCACGTCCAGGCTGGGTTTGAGGGTCGGTCCAGAGCATCTCCATCATCAGACCCGACTGGCCAGGTTGGCGCTGGTTGTGACGGTTGAGTTTCCGGATATCGTCCAATGTGATCTTGTCGTCGGAGAAGAGACCGCCGTGAAGAACGAGGTATTTGCTACCAATCAATGTAGCTAGGGGAAGGGCGGAGAAAGACTCGGAGAAGACCTTGAAGACTCGCTCATTATACTTAGCCTTACACTCTCCCTCAAATCCATAGACCTTGTTCATATCATCGGTCTCGTGGTTACCGCGGTTGAGGAATAGACCGTTGGGCCGCAGCCACTTGTATGCGTATAGAAGAAGGGCAATTTCGCAAGACCACGAGCCACGGTCCACGAAGTCACCGTTGAAGAGGTAGGCGTGAGAGTCGGAGGGGCTGCCGTTACGACGGAAGATCTCCAAAAGATCGAAGAATTGGCCTGGTTTCGTTAGTATCCTATGGACACATCCATATCGAGAGCAAACATACCGTGTGTATCACCACAGACCGTCAACTTCTTGCCAGACTCCACACCAATTTCCACCATGGTCGGCTCATTGTAGACCAGATCCTTAACAGCTTTGATGATCTGGAATACATATTTGCGGTGGATGTTCTTGCCGTTCTTAAAGCGTTCAATCATATCGTCGATAAACTCCTGGGTCATCTCGCTCTCCAGATGCACACCGTCATAGTTATCCTCGACCTTAATAGCATCGATATCAAGACCTTCAAAGGCAGACGGGGGATCGGAAACCTCGATAGCCTTCTCGAACTCTATCCGGCGCACAAGCTTCTCGCATTCGATCAATCTCAGTTTCGCATTTTGGTTGCCGGGTTCGCGCTTGACGACGGCCTTGAAATCCCTCAGGGCGGCCTTGGAATCGAGGATGGCGGCGTTGGCAAGGGCACGTCTCCAGTAAGCCTAAAACAAGACTCAAGTCAGCACTGACCCTGTGCCTGCACGCGCCGTTTCCCCCCACACTTTCTTGTCCGCTGGTGTACTCCACGATAACGACTAACCTTGACGTAGTTCGAATCCAATTCTAACGCCTTAGTGGCATCCGCAACGGCGTAGCCATAGGCCTCAAGTTTGATCTGAGCCTGCCAAGAGAAATGGAAGTGAGTTTAAGCAGAGCTGATGGCCCGTGTGGATTGGACGTACCTGGGCCCGGTTACAGAAGAACGAGGGTTCTTGGTCGTATTTCTCGATCGCCTGGTTGTAGAAGTCTACAGCGGCAGGCCAATCATGGTTTGCAAATGCCTTGTTGCCCTGCAACTTGAAGGCGTTGGCAGCCTCCTTGTCGGAAGCCATGGCGGAGCGTGCAGAGGGGCACGAGACAGTGACGATCGGAGGGTTTGGAGGGCGCGAAGCGATGACCGAGAAGGAGATCCGGCTCAGGGGAAGCAAAAAAGGAGAATCCCAATGGACTTATGAGGTACGGGCGTGAAAGTGACGAGATATAGGCAAAAGAAAAGAAATCAGGGCCGAAACAAGGCTCGTTCCTGACGATGTTCTTTTTTTCTCCGATCGCAACGGGTCTTGGCAACCTTCCAGAACCCTCGACCGCTGCCCGCCTCTTTCTCTTTCACCACCCACCATGTCTTTTTACGCCCCTTCGAACCAGCAGCGCACTCTGCGCGCCTGCATGGTCTGCTCTGTTGTCCAGCTTCATAATGTGAGAGAGCTCCTGATTCCCGGTGCTGGCATCGCGTATTCAGCTTTGATCGTTGACCGCTGACCCGCTGTCTGCTACAGAAATTCATGCGTGACGGCTGTCCGAACTGCGAAAACATCCTCCAGCTCCGTGGGAATAACGATGCCATTCAAGAGTGCACCTCGCAGGTCTTCGAGGGCTTGATTGCCGTTCGTGACCCAGCCGCTAGCTGGGTTGCGCGGTGGCAGCGGTTGGACAACTATGTTGCTGGAACATATGCAGCCAAGGTGACGGGAACAGTAAGTTTGAATTCCTTGTTGTTCGGGATTTAGACTGACAGTTTCAGCTCCCCGAGTACATTATTAACAGCTTGGAGGACTCCGGGGTCAAATATGTTCCGTAAGTGCTGCTTGTCACGCTCCTAGTGTCCCGTTGTTTCGACTCTAATTTCTTCTTGTTATAGGCGCGACGGAAGTACCGGTGAGGAGGAGTCATGAAGCGATCACTCTCGAATTCTCAACCCCCTCAGCAATCCTCTACAACCTCCATTGTTCATACGGTCTTGGCGAATACCCCTACAGAATCCGCGCCACCGAGCTTGAGGACTTGAGAAAGATGGATACAATACTTTTCTGGTTTTCTTTGGAGTTATAGGTCGGAAGCATGGCGCTACTTTTCATTCTCGGGCATTCAACTACAGGTCCAATACAGCAGAGGTTCCAACTGCTAGAGGAGTTTCAAAATACAATATATGGAATCTTTAATCACAAAGTGTGAAGTCATTCAATTGGCAGTGACATGAAAAATCTATGAAATATACATGGACCATTTTTAGTGGCATCACTCGTAGCAAGGAAATATAGAAAGAAACCCCAAATTAGAGGTCAAGGACAAACATGGAATCCGCTTATTAAATCAAATAGGAAAGGGCCAGCCCAGTCGCTAATTCTGGATTTAGAGCAGCTTGATGATCTTCTCAATGCTCTCCAGAAGGATATCAGCGTGGTGCTTCTGGAAGACCAGCATAGGGCGCAAGCGGATGGCAGCAGCACCGCTGCCACCGATGTTGACACCGACGGTCTTGGCCTTGGCGAGGAACTCGTCACGCTTGGGGGTGTCCCAGGCAATGAAGGTACCCTGGCCCTTACCACGCAGGTTCTGGAAGTGGGCGGGGTACTTGGCAGCGAGGCGCTCGAGGCCGGAGTACAGATAGTCACCGGTGATACGAGTGTTCTCAACGAGACCGAGACGCTCAACCTCCTCAATGATGCCGCGGTAGATCAGAGTGCGGGCGGGGTCACCCATCCAGGTGTTGAACTGGCGGTAGGGCTTGTTGGGGCGCAGGGCAGGGTTGCCAAAGTAGTAACCGGCAGTCTGGGCCTTCTTGGAGAAGGTGACCATGTCGGGGGGAGTGGTGAGATTCCAGTGGTCGTGAGCCCAGAACTTTCCGGTGGCACCAACACCGGTCTGCACCTCATCGACAATGAAGAGGACGTTGGTGCGCTTGGTGATGTCACGCAGGCCCTGGAAGAAGGCGGGGGAGGCGTGGTTATCACCACCCTCAGACTGGATAGGCTCAACCATGACGGCGGCGACGGGGTTGTGGTACTCCTTGATGAGGCGCTCGACCTCCTCAAGGCAGCGCTTCTCCTCGGCAGTGTTCTCCTGGACGTGGTCCTCAAGGGGGTACTTGAGGGCGGGGAAGGAGGCCTGGGGCCAATCGAAGGCGGGGATATCAAGCTTGTGGATAGCCTTGGAGCGGGTGGTGGACAGAGAGCCGAAGAGACGGCCGTGGAAGGCAGACTTGAAGGAGAGGATAGAGAGCTGGGGAGAACCGGGGCTCTCGTTGTTCATGGTGGACAGCAGTTCCTCCTCGGTGAACTCGACCTCGGGGCCACCACGCTGGAGCTGGCGGTAGTACATGAAAGCGGCCTTGTAGGCAGTCTCGTTGGCATCGGAGCCGGCCATGGCAGTGAAGACCTGGTTGAGGCCCTTGGGGGCGGCCCTCAAGACACCGGTTTTCAGGATCTCAGCCCAGTCAGCGGAGGGGAAGTTACCCAGAGCAGGACGGTTGATCAAGGCATTGATCATCTCAGGAGTCTGGGTAGCCTCCTTCAGGTGGGGGTTGTTGTAGCCGACGGGGATAGAGGCGATCTGAGCATACACATCCAAAAGCTTGTTGCCATCGAGATCGGCAATGTAGTTACCGACGGACTGGGAATAGTCGGCGAGCATGTTCAAGCTGCGAACATCGAAGACCTCGTCAAGCTCCGCGGCAGCCGCCTTGTTCTTGGGGCCGGGGATAGCGGTCTGGACGGAGGGAGCGGAAGGCTCATTGGGGAAGAAGGGCTTCTCAGCCGCACGCAAGCGGGCGGTGGTCGAGAGAGCACGAACAGCCGGGGCGCGAGCGGCAGTACGCAGCTTGGTGCTGCTGCGAAGAACGGAGGCCATTGTGTGAAGCTGAGGCGACTTCAAAGATGAAGTGCAATAGAACGAATAGGTGGGGTAGATGCGGGGGATGGAACAGTCGTGTCGAGAACTAGTCTAGGCAAATGACCCAATTTCCAGTCCAATTTCCAACTGAAGTGACACGAGAGAAGTGAAAGAAAAAAGGAGGGGCAGAGGATTTATATCGATGGCAACTGTCGTTATCTGTCGCGGTGAGCTCCAGAGCTCTTCTTCTCCCCGCGTTGATACCATTGGATCTCGGCGGCGTGCACCAATCACGGTACAGGACGGCCTACGAAACGCCGAAGTACAAAGACTGGAATTTCGACGAATTGAGTAAGTCTACGCAGGTGGATTGCCATGCTATAATTCGATGTGGTAACAGATGCGCCTGGCTCCGTCCCACTCTCGTCCGTTTACCCTGTTTCAATTGAATTGACTCACGTGGCGGGAAAGGAAGGCTCTTTGCGCTTCCCCAGCGTCGATCTTCCTTATCGCGATAACATCGTGCGGAGCCGTTCTTATCCCATGACCAGGTCGTTGCCCAGGCGGCTAATGATTTCTTCGAATCTGCATATTCTCTCTCGTAATACCTACTTTTTGGTCATTACTTTGACATTGAATTGGTTGAATATCCAGCCCTGCTTACAATTGACCATTTGAAAGAATTCATCCAGAATTAGCCACTACCTTGAGCCAATACTTGAAGATATAGATAGTTCGTTCATCCTCAAGTGCCCACAGCCCACAACCGCAAATTCATTTACACAAACGCACATCATATGCATACCTGCCATGCACCGGAAAAAAAAAACAAACAGAAATAGATGTTCCGTATGGCCTCCCAGGCGTCCAACGATAGACCCTGGAACCCGTAAAGTTGCCTAGACACATAGAAAGCGGTGTGACAATCACTAGGTGCTGGAGGCTGTAAGTCTCCTGGGCAGGACTTTCCAATCGGGAAATGGAGAAACGAGACTAGTATTCCGATCTCAAACAACAAGTACGTAGGGATTGAACGCATAGAGCCCAATTTTTAGGCCGACTCTTCCGACCATATCTAGAGCTGAAACTCTTGGGCAACCCTATCCGTCGGAATTGCATTCCCAATAGGAACATGGCGGATCCACACAGGAGCCCATCTTCGATAAAGCATTTTTTGAGCCCGTCTATCATATAACTGGGCTTGTGGTTTAGTGGTATAATACTCCCTTAGCATGGGAGTGGTCCGGGGTTCGATTCCCCGCGAGTCCAATTTTTGCCTTTTCAATCTACCCTCTGCTTAGAGGGAATATATCTGTGTCTTTTTTTTTTTTTTCTGGCGCCCAGAAGCGATTTTTGGATTTTTTGATTTTGTGCATCTATTAGTGTATCTAAGGTACATAGATGTTAAAACCGGGCAGCAACTCAATAACTGGTTCCATAACTCAGTTGGTTAGAGTGTGGTGCTAATAACGCCAAAGTCGAGGGTTCGACCCCCTCTGGAACCATTTCTTTTTGCTATTTCTTTTTTTTGTCTTCTATTCTTTCGCCCGCTTCACCACTTTACAGCCCGACCAAGAAGACAATCCAATGGATTGAAACACTTGATTCTTCAGTTCCTTCCCAACCTCTTTCTGGACATCTCCGTAGACAATTTTTGTTCCTTTACCAAGATATCCCTCTAGATGGCTTCAATTATCTCCGGGGGAATAAGTCACAGCCGGGTGTTCGAGCCATTCTTGTCATATTCCTGGTCTGGCTGTAAATCCATAAGTCGTCTAGTGTCGTTTCTTGCACTTTTATTACTAGTACTCACACGCCCTAGGGCTTTCATCACATTTCCCAAGGCTCTCTTAGTTAATACTCGGGAGTCCCGAATTGGATCTCAGCTGAAGCGCACTAGACTAGGAAGCACGCTAGAGTAGCGTTCACCGGTCTTAACCAAAAAATGAGTAGCGTAGTCGCAAGATCGGAGCCTGATTCGATCTATCGAATCTTCTGGTCGGCCGACGTACACTCTATGACAAACTCTCCGACCGATCCCGGAGAATGGAGTACCAGTCCACAAGCGTAGCCATTGATCAGCAGCTTTTACAAGGTATGAAATTTAAATAAAACTAGGAAAGACAACCAAGACTGATTTGTTGTACGTTAAATCAAATTGCTGCAAGTATCATATTCGTCAAGCCGTAACAGTGGCACTGTACAGAGATCTTTTAAAACCACCTGGCAACCGAAACCCGAGACCAAGCAAAAGCACAGGGGATATATCAAAGCTAAATGGTACAAAATGTATTACAAACCGAAGCCTCGGGGACATCAGGTAGGCTGTCCATTTCCGAGGGGCCATTCATTCTCGCGCGGTATGGAGCCTGAAGACTTGGAGCTGGCCGCGGAGGTGATGACTACGCCGTGTTGCTTGATATCAATGGCACTTGCGGGGGAGATGGCGCGAGGGGATTCATTAGAGAAATCGAAGGCTCTATCAATTTCGCGATGGTGGGCGAGTCTGGACTCAGTCCACGTTTCCATTTCCACGGTGCGCATAATCTCGAAGCGGTCGCTTTCGTAGCCTGGTTGACGGGAGTCGCTGGCCATGGGGTGGTGGGAGTTTCGTGAGCGGCCGGTTGATGACCAGATCTTTTGGGAGCGGGTCCGGTTGTTGTAGTTGTAGCTGATGTTGCGGGAGGATTGGAGAAGATGGGGAAGGAAAGCTGCGATGAGAGGGCGGAGGGCTGGTGCGGAAGAGCAGATCTAATTCTTTGTTAATTTCATGCATCGGTTGACTTTTGATTCAGTGACGTACCAGTCCCAGACTAATCTCAACTGCGGCAGCGACCAGGACTGGCCATCCAACCCATGTAACGTCGTAACTAGCGACCATACTCTTCCACACATACACAGTGCGCACGGAGCCTGCCACGTTGACAATAATACCCAAACCGAAGATGGAGATGACAGCAAGACGTTGGCGAGTAGGAAGTTTCAGACTCCAGATGAGAGGCATCGGGATGGCGGTAGCCAGGAAGTCAGTGAAAATGTTAATCACACTGGCTGAGAAGACAATGTCTGGGTCATTCATGCACTTGTAGGAGTACGTGGGCTCGACCTCCCAATAAGCCTTGATGGGTCTGCACCAGATGTTAGTTTTCTGGGAGGATAGTCGACTTGTTCAGAATACTTACGAGCACTGGAAGATACTGACGAGGGTGAAAGTAATGCAAGAAAGTGCAACAAAGATCATCGAGAGAATGAAGGCCCAGTTATAAGCTCGGAAGTTGCCCTTTCCAGCGCCGAGAAGTCGTCGACAGAACCACAGCAGTGAAATCTTCGTGATACTGGATGACATTGAGAACATAATTTGGAAGCATAGGTTAAGCTTCTGCACGGTGGGCAGCCAAGAGGTTGGGATATCCCAAATGTGTCGATTCCAGCCCCACACCTCCGTTGCAAACGATGTAACTACCACCATTGCGATGCCGAAAATGAGACCAATCACGATGAGGATATCGTCAATACCGGCACTGCAGGTGATCCGAAGTCGAGTATATAGACGGAGCATCACCACCACGAACGCCAGGGACATGGTGACGATATTAACAATCATGGCACCATGGCCGCGAGTCGGCGGGTCAATGTAATTTGGCGTGGGCCATTGAGCCATCACGGCCATTGGGGGAAGTTGCATGATGGGCGAGGAATATTATCTGGTGTATTCAATGTTCTATTGATGCAATGAAATCGAGCGTAGGGTACCGAGTTGTCGTGTGCCTTGGATTATTGAGGTGAAGGGCCAATAAGCATCGCCATATCCGTATCAAACAGAAAAGAGGATATTAAGGAGTGAAAAAAAAGTGGCAATTATACGCCTATATCATGATGGATAGGAAAATGACAGTAGGGGAGAGAAGAAAGGTTAGCGTCGCATCACGCTAGGATCTGGGGATCGGAACAGATATATTCTGCAGCAGGGTATGACAGGGCAAAGACTCGGGTGCCCCAGGTGGGAAATAGATTAAATTCCGGGCAGACAAGAAACGCTGATTCGAGAATAGACTTTGGACGTACAGTCGAGACCCAACGACTGGCAGTCGATCAGACGACTCCATACTACGCAGCTACGGGCGTTCCATCAACCGATGGCGATGAACCCTGGTCCACCCAGCAGTCAAGGCCACCTGAGAAAGACGCCAGTGCTTAAAAAGGAGGCAAGGCCGAGCACCGGCGCCGAAGGCCGACGGCGATAGGCAGATCCAAAGCCCCATAGTTCTCTTTGCGATCCACCCGGCGCGAGACTGATCTGATGCACAGGACGTGAGAGGCTGATGCTTGAGAAAAGCGAGGCTCGGGCCCCTAACTCGCTTTCAGGCACGGAGTCTCAACACGGTATTCTTTGTATCACCGTCTTAGTGCTTCGACAATCCCTGCATATGCGACGTCGGCCCCTGTTTGGAGATTTCCAGCCCACGGGCCGGAGGTGGCGGCGTCTGCCGAGGCACGCCACCTACCATACAATCAAGACTTCGCTTGACTCTCTAAGAAATAATTCGGCAGCGATTTTAGCGAATGTGCGGGGTTGTATCGTCTGGACGAGTGGCGGTGGTCGGTTCGAGGGGTCTTGTTCTCCACGGGCTCCACCGTCCATCGGAAACTTTGCAAATTCACAAATTCACTGCGGGCAGACAAATCCACTTTGAACGGAAAAACTTACCCCTCCAAAGCTTGCCCCATACTCAAATTATCTATGTTTCTGGTTCAGGGCCCGACAGGTTCATTCAAATTGCCTATCATGAGATTAATCTAACTTTCATTCACCCTTTCATTCCGTTTCTTCCTGCTATCAGCGATCTACACAACCAAATCCAGACACCGACACCTCAAACACAGTGTTCATGGCGGTCCACTTTGGATTCCCACCAAGAGCGGAGTTCAAGCGCCCGGTATTGGGCCTCATTAAGCTCCGTGCGTTGCTATCTATTAATCAGTGACCCTCTTTTCTTGCCGCGCCTATGTATCTAAAAATGCAGATCCATTCGACCACTTTTGGGTTGATATCACCAAGCGCCTGCACTTGGTGTCTCCAACTCGCCTCCAGAAATGCCGTGCCAAGAGAAATATATGTCATTCGATCTACTGGTTCCTTGGTTATCCTCCTATCTCATAATTGCTACTAGGCTGTTCAAATACGAGGGAAGACTATGGACCAACTCTCATGGGAGGTAGGGCCAAGAAAGATCGGTGGTGCTGCGTCATGGTCAGCTACAACATTCGCTGCCCAGTCGCCGGATCCATTGAATCGGTCTTCGACCGAGTCAGACGAAGATCAGCACGGCACTTGGGCTGCATCCTGACTCGAGACCCGAAAATAAAGCCGGATGATCTGCGTGCGCTATCACATTTATGCAAGATACCGAGCTGATAGATCTCAAAAAAGATTCAAGCTCTAGGCTGTGAATGCCTAACTTGGAATTGGATCAGGATCAGTAGAGACCAAGGGTCAATTCACAGTCTGGTTTCTGCAATTTAATGTAGATCCTCTCAGCCTTGCTTTTTGACTTTCGACGGGATGTGGTCAGGAACCGTTGGAAAATAGACTCGTCGAGTGGGGAATGAGGGAAAGCTCAAAATTGAGACTCTGATCCGGCGGGTTGAAACGCCTTTTCCGTGGTCGGGAAAAGCTTCGGGTAATGGGCATGTGATCAACAAATCAACGTACGAACCGATGCTTGTTTTGACTGATCTGTCTACTTGGACTCCAAAAATCTCCGAAGCTTCTGCTCTGCAACCCTCGTAACTCTATTGATTGGGGCTTTTATTCAACATTGGCTTGTGACAATGGCAAAAAGAACGCACTGTTCGCGAAATTGAGACATGGTCATGCTTGTGGCGGGCTAACGGAACAATTTCCCAATACCGCCTTCGCTTAGACATCACGAGGGCCACGAGTGCTATAAGCCCACACGAAGTCGATTACAATCTATAGACGAGCTTAGGGACCAAGTGCAGGTAAAGGGGGGGGGGGGGGGGGGATGAACATGTCAGCTTCTGATGCTTGAGTGTATTGCTGTATTACCAGCAAGCAATTTGCAAAGTTGAGTTCAATTGACTTTTCTTGCAGCAATTTGAAACGAGAATGTCTTTGCGCTGTTTTATGATGATACTTTAGCCGATTTGAGAGCAAGGGGCCCAGACCACGAGGCCGTGGTTTCAGCCTAGGTCGCTCTGCAGATTCATCTACACTAGCGCAACAATATGTGGGGGGATATATATTATCCTCGGGGCAACAATGATAATAGCCACGGGGCAGTCACAGCCTTGTGAGACCACGCGATCGGATGGTTAATTTCGTTGTTTCGAATTTGAATTTACGAGGTAGCCTCTAGGGGCCGGTCGCTCGGGGCTTTACTAGTAGTCTGCTAAACCCCTGAATCCCTTGAAGTATAAAGACACACGAGACAGCATTTGAGGAGAGAAAAACACACACACAGAGAGAGAGAGAGAGAGAGCGCACGGCGCAAATATCCGGCGTTTGATTATCATGGGCTGTTTCCCAACAGGTGAACTCGTCTGCATTATAGAAAGATGGTCACCTTGATCGAAAGCTCAGCGTTTTCTACGCTTTAAGTTAAATTTACGACGAATTATCCACGAGCAGAATCGTATGGAGTATATTTTTGCTTATAATCCGCGAGGATTTCATTGATTCTTATCTGTTGCATCATCAGCTCAGCGAATTCTACAGCCATATCTCAGAGGAAACATACAACAGAAGGATCACGCCGAGTTTTCACGCCTAATGTTCTCTAGCAGCTTCGTCTTAAGCTCTCCACGCCTTAAAACCTTTTCGCTAGTTTGCATGCGGTAGGTCTCCGTACCTCTATTTACAACAAGACTCTAAGGTTGAACAATCCCGAGCTATCGATATGAACGCCCGCAAGTGCATTTAGTGCAATTACGAACTTTGCAGTGAATAGATACTTTCCGATGATGAGATTTGGTCTTAGGTAATGCATCGGATGGAAACTTTGAACAAATAAGCATTCGCGATCCTTTCACAGTTGTCGTGAGTGAATATTCCCGCTCGTGTCGACGGATGAAGCAAGGTCTCTCACAAAGGTTTTTCCTGCTTCCTTTGAGTCCCTGTCAAACTGACAAACAAACGTTTATTTTGGGGCGTAATAGCTTGATCAATTCCTCGAAAGTGTTGTAAGCCAGCTCGTCATCACGGACTCTATCCTCATCATTTTGTCCGCTTCGGATAGCGGCACTTCGAAGTGCTCGTATATCCAGAACGATGGTGTTCTCGATATTCCTTTGCCAGTCGGATGCAAACTTGAGAGTTTCATCGAAGTCATTCAGTGTATCGGAAGCATCCAGCATGTCACTGTACGCCACCTCCTAGGTCGGTGGGCGAAATAAGGACAATCACGAGATCTTCATAGCCGGTGGCCATTCTCCGCGCATTTTGTAGACCTTTCAAGCTTGCCACAGGCCTTTGAGTTAATTGATCTAATGGTCCAAGATGATGAGTCGCTATCCCCTGTGGGATGGGCCTGATAGGGCAACGGAGAATCTCCAACGAAAGCTCTGTCCCAGAGGCTGGTGAAATCGAAGCTTTTCTGTGGTTCATTCGCTGCAAATGGAAACGCAGAATCTTATTCTTCCAGGTAAAAAAGTATTCATGAAAAAGAAAATTGGGGCTTTTGTGAGAGAAAGATCATCCCTTGATCATTATTTTGTGTTGGATTATGCCAAGCTGCACATAAGCCCTTATGCCCAAACCTTATGCAAACCGGGCAGCCTTATGAACCATACATGTAGGGGCACTTGCTGTAATCTATGATGGATCTGGCGCTAGGGTTTAATAATGAGTTATGTAGCCAGAGTTATCCATGTCATAAAGGAGCAGCTGCTTCCCCTGTCCAGTTTTCGTTGTCTTATTATATTTCGTTTGTACCATACCACCTCTTGTGTACATCGAACCCTGCCAAGAGCTCGAAACGTCACAAAAGGATCGACACAACATTCCTTGGATATGGCGGTCACAGATGATATCGCCTCCGAAAAGCCTATTGCAGCTTTGACTGTCGCAGGAAACCCTGAAAAGGAAGTTCGCCCGACTCCCTCTATCGACCAAGACCCTGAGCTAGCCACTCCGGAAATCAGAAAATATCCTGAAACAGATCTCGACAAGGGTATTGTTGGATGGGATGGACAAGATGATCCCGAAAACCCCCAAAACTTCCCTGCTGGTCGGAAATGGGGTCTTTTGGCCCTGATGAGTGCAATTACATTTGTTTCGCCTCTTGCATCAAGCATGTTCTCGCCAGCCGTGAGCTATGTCGGGACTGATTTTGGTGTCACCAATGAAACGATACTTTCCCTGAGTGTCAGCATTTTTCTGCTTGGATATACTGTAAGTCCTTGGCCCGCCTCAAAGTATTTCTCCTTCCTAGGTAGCTGATATCAGTACATGAGCCCTAGTGTGGCCCCCTCATCATAGCCCCCATGAGCGAGATCTATGGTCGCAGAATTGTGCTCAGCTGTGCCAACTGGTTCTTCGTCGCCTGGCAGATTGGCTGCGCCCTAGCCCCAAATATCCAGAGTCTGATTGTTTTCCGTCTCTTCGCCGGTATGGGCGGTGTTGGCTGCTTAACCCTCGGCGCAGGAGTCATCGCCGACCTTTTCCCCATTGAACAACGCGGTCTTGCGACATCCATTTGGAGCTGCGGTCCCCTGATTGGCCCTGTAGTGGGACCAATCGCCGGTGGATTTATCGGAGAGACAATCGGCTGGCGTTGGGTGTTCTGGATTCTTTTGATATTAGGCGGCGTTGTGTCGTTGGGTATTGAATTCTTGAACCAAGAAACCTATGCCGCTGTGTTGATTCGGCGCAAGACCGAGCGACTCTCCAAAGAGTTGAATCGTAGCGACCTGCGCAGTGCCTATGCACGAAAAGGTGAAAACCCATCAGTGCGTGCGGAGATGAAAATCGGTCTGAAGCGTCCAGTTCTCCTCTTCTGCAAATCGCCCATCGTCCAGCTCCTCTCCTTGTACATGTCTATCGTATATGGTCTTCTGTATCTGTTCTTTACGACCATTTCGACTGTTTTCGAGAGTCAGTATGGCTTCACAACGGGTCTATCGGGACTTGCTTATCAAGGCATTGGCATAGGGTTCGGGATCGGACTAGTTGCCAATGCATTAACCAACGACAAGATTGTCATGAAGCTGACTCGACGCAACGGGGGCAAATTCGAACCGGAAATGCGACTTCCCGCTATGATCTTCTATTCCTGCATCCTCCCGATTAGCTTCTTCTGGTACGGTTGGACAGTCGACCAAGACGTCTTCTGGATCGCTCCAATTATCGGTATGGTACCTTTTGGAATCGGCATGATGGGCGTCTACCTACCAATCCAGACATACGTCATTGACTGTTATCCTGCGTACGCGGCGTCGGCTAATGCGACACTCACCGCGACGCGATCGTTGGTCGGTGCGCTGCTTCCTTTGGCGGGACCCAAGTTATTTGACAGTCTGGGTCTTGGATGGGGTAATTCGCTACTGGGATTTATTGCGTTGGCATTTATACCCGTGCCAATCGTCTTTTCTCGCTATGGACAGCGTATTCGAGAAAAGTTCCCGGTGGATCTTGAAGGAAAATCCACGTAGGACGCGTAACCTACCGATGCTTGGCGGAGGCATTTTGACAGCCTGGGGGATGCGATGCCAGTGAGTGGGTACCGAAATGTGGCCGCTTAACTCGCACCCGTATGACATCTGGGTCACTAGATTGAACAATGTCCCTGGGTTCAGGAGTGTACAATTTTTTGGAGTTTTGCCTGTCACAAGCTTATTCAAAGTAGACTTCAAGGCAAAGAGATCGGAAATTGTCGTGTTTGACAACTTAGGGTCCCCAGGCAAGCCATGTGTTGCTTTTTCATACCCCAATGCAGGATGATGAAGATACTGCGATGGATTAAAATCACCCCAGCGTATGTTGAAATCATCATCCATGAATAAATATCACAATGCAAGGTCAGGGTGAATGAAATCATAGCGATGAATAGTTGCTACAGCCTCAACAAGTTAATGTGCCCCTTCGCCTCGAGCTCAGAAGTAACCCTCTTTGCCTGGCATTAAACTGAGAGAGCAACATGTGAATAGTACTTGATGCAAAATAGTCAGATTTTCCCGGCAAGTATATTGCGCAATGCAAGGGTGGTAAATCATAAGGTTGTAAATAGTTGCTTCGCGGACGATCGGTTGCATATCTCCACATTTACACCTCGAGGCGCTTTTCTAAAATTCGTGTCATCTACTAGATAAACCTCAGCAAACATGCCGATCAAATTGAGCTTTTGGTTGTTCGATTGCTCGCTGACTGGGCGAGGTATTGAAGTAATTATGTGGCGTGGGGGTGCGAGAGATGGGCCTACTCCACAAGATTCTTCGTCAATAACCTGCCGGTAATCCGAGCAGTGGTAAGTAGTATAGTAGCATTGGTCACTACTTTGATTGGGTACTGCAGTGGCAAAAACATTTCGTCTACAGAGGTTCAAGAAAGGACGCAAAAATGGCCACGCCACCAGCGATCTGAGAGAAATCAACGTGATGCAAGCAGTTTTGCAAAATTGCAAAACTGCAGAACTGCGTAGCTGCGAAAACCTCGAATCAAATCCGGGAGCACCCGATTCACGATATCGAAGTGATGGGGACAATACTGCGGATAAAGAAAGTGAACAGGGAATTCAGGAGTCATCACCGCCGTAGACTCTTAGGTCATGTGAGGCCACATGCAGGGACTTGAAGCGTATCCACCACTGAATAGGATCTTATCCTTGTGACCTTGTAGTCAATTAGACAGAAATGGACGGAAGTACTAAGATAGTGTCTGGATTAATTCGAAGGTTTGACTAAGAGCTATTCAGAGGAGGAAAAGAATCATCCGCCGCGAAAGTGTTGAAGCCCGGGACTACCTGTCCAGGTCAGGCACTTCCGACACAAATATCATGTCGAAAGGAAAAAGTGGTGAAATTTGGCTAGCTTTAACTTTCGGCGGGTTAATACCTACCGGGACCTAAGTGGTCTAACCATGATGGAAGATGTCTAAAAATCGATCCAGGGCCTCGAGGCCCCGCAGCCTATCTAGATCTAGCCCCGGAGGCTGTAGATTTCCAAGGGTTCCCATCTTATTTTTAGCAACGCTAGTTTGGTTAGCTCTCAATTCATTCGTAGGGCCCCGCCATTATGAACATAAAAAAGATGGCTAAATGACGCACGGAAATAACGCGGTGGGAAAGGGGTGTAAGACGCGTTTGTGGCGGAGGAATTCCTAGGTTCCATCCGGAGTGTACATGTAAGTGGCAAGTCACGAATGGGAAAGAAAAAAGCATTTGGAAGTGGGCTGCAGACAAATGGCGGCCAATGAGGAAGAGTATCCCCTGAAAGAGGACCGAAATACACCTCGGAACCCGCTTGGAACCCGCGGCGTGGCCGTATAACCCCACTTTTACGGCACGTCAAGTCTAGAGCGCCATGAAACAAGCCCCCTGGACGCCTGGACACCGTCTGCGCTGTTCGGTTTCAGACCTGGTAAATTCTCCTTTTCACCCCACGTTTCGGTTTCTTCTTCTTTCACTCCAGTTTTCTTCTTGTCTTTTTTTTGAATACCTTTATCTTTCTTCTTTCTTTTCGCACTCGTTACAAACCGAATCGCCGTGGTCCTTACCAACCGTTCTATTTTACCTTCTTTTTTTTTTTTCCTTTTTCTTTTTTTCTTTGCTTTTCCAGCCATCTTCACCATGACTGAGGGAGAAAGTGCCCCTCAAGTCGACTCTACGGCTACTGCCACCAGTGACAGCTCCGCTGCGCCCGTACCTACCGAAGTGCGCGCTCACGAAATCCACCATGGCGACGCCCCGGCCCACCACCTGAAAGAGCAGGACTCTATCGGACGGCTTACACCACGACCGACCTTTATGGAACATCTAGTAGGGTCGCGCGACGCGATGTTCCACCTCGACCGTCGCGACTCGAGTGAATTGGAACGTTACTTTGTACGTGGAGATAGGGGAAGCTTGGGGAGAAAACGAGAGCCAGTATTGACTGATCGATATAGCACGGTCCGCGTGAAATGGACAAGCACTCGAAGTGGCCCACCTTCATGCGTATGCATGGGAGTGTCATGCCAAAGATGATCTTGCCGCTGTTGACTGTGGCTGCCTGGTCGACTTTTATTACTCTCTTTTCTAAAAAAGTTTACTATAGTGAGTTGGACCATATTGTGCATCCTCTGGGAATGGGCTAACTCGGGATAACTAACAGTTGGTGTCAACAACATTCTGCTCACCGTGCTGGGTTTCGTGGTGGGCCTGGCGTTGTCGTTCCGTTCCTCAACTGCCTATGAAAGGTAGGACTCTTACTGGAGCATGGAATCCAGACCATGACTGACTTGTCAAAGATGGGCCGATGGACGCAAATACTGGGCCCAGCTGATTCAGATCTCCCGCAATCTGTCCCGCACGATCTGGGTCAACACTGGCGAACGCCAAGGAGAAGAGGGCAAGGTTGATCTGTTGCGAAAGATGTATGACGACCCAACCTGATACATATATCTATTCAAAAGCTGACAATTACAACAGCACTGCCATGAACCTTATCCTGGCATTTGCCGTCGCTCTCAAGCACAAGCTTCGCTTCGAGCCCGATATCGCATACGAGGACTTGGCTGGTCTCGTTGGCCACATGGACACTTTCGCCCGCGACGCCCACGACAATGAAAGACTTCATCCCCCGGCCAAGTCGTTCAGAAAAGCTATTGGAGAGTACCTCGGTGTCTCCTTTGCTGAGTCTAACCCTCGCAAGTTGATCAAGCGTTCTAAGAAGCCTCTGGGACACCTTCCCCTGGAGATTCTCAATCACTTGTCTGCCTACATTGATTCGTGCGTGAGCAACGGAACCCTTGTCTCGGGTCTGCACCAGAGTCAAGCTAGTAAATCATCTCTTCATCCAGCCTCTGCTTCATAATATGCTGACTTTCTCATGTAGTCGGCATGATGGCCAGCTTCAATGAAGTCCTGACTGGTACCGAGCGAGTGCTGGACACTCCCCTACCCACCGCATACGTTATTGCCATTTCCCAGATCGCCTGGATTTATGTCATAGTTCTCCCCTTCCAACTAATTGCAGTGCTTGACTGGGTCACCATTCCTGCTTCAATCGGTAAGACTCCATCCTTTCGTCCAAACCAGCACCACTAATGTTCCTGCTAGTCGCCGCATACATCATTCTCGGTCTGGCTACAATTGGCAGTGAGATCGAGAACCCCTTCGGCCAAGATGTCAACGATCTCCCGCTGGACACCTACTGCCGACAAATCGCCCTAGAACTCGATATCATGACCTCTTCCCCGCCTCCTAAGGTCGATGACTTCATGTCCCGCCCAGATAATCTGGTTCTGTTCCCACTGAGCCAGAACGGATACCCCGAGTGGAAGGACCGGAGCGTCGAGGATATTCGCGCTGCTCTGAAGGCAAAGGTGATTGCAAATCCTGCACCTGCGCCATCGGATGCTTCTACCGTCGTAGAGACTCTGTCTTTCAAGGCGCCCAAGAGCTCCGTTTAATCTAAACGGGAACTAAAAAGGGGTCGTTCCAAGACTTCGACTGCATCAAAATTGAAAGGGCATTTCCAGCGTGATTCAAGCAGAATCAAATCGACTTTGAACAAGATTCGACAGCGTGAGAGTTAACGGCGTTTCATCAGAGCAGTATTGCTCCTGAAAAAAAAAAAAAAAAAGACAATGTCTAAAATTGTGTTTAGAGTGATTTATCATATTCATATTCGAGATCTATGGTGTTGTTTTCGAATGCTATAGTTTTATCCTTGACACGTGGAGATTGACTGGCGTATCGGATTCTAGAGCAATTGTACTGAGACAGTCTGACTTGAAGCGATATTAGCCTAGTCGCGTGTCTTGGGTATACCCATGTGACCTTTGGCCCTCAGTGCCATCAGTCTCCATGGCCATGATGCTTGAATGAGCTCTCCATGTTCCCGGACATGAAAAGGTGGCAGAGACCGACGACAAGCGTAACCCAATAGGGCATTTTTCCCAGCTCATCAATGGCAGGCCGTGTCTTTGCAGTCACTGACGCTATTATCAGGGTAGATCATCAGGCCACAGGCTAATTCTAGAACAATATTTGTAGTCAAAGAGAGATCCAACACATAACTAGATCAAGGAACGAACAAATCCGATCCAGATCCGGCGACCAGCGCACCCAGATAATTCCCCTTAGCACATACTCTCCACGCGACATTCGTGCCGCTGCCACTCCCACCAATCCACGAGCTGAGGGCTGAGACAACAGGTGCCGCGTCTTCGCGCGGAACACGCACCCAGGCGCTGTCATATTTGCTCATACCGGCGTCTGGGGGTAGTTCCATTTTCGCAGTAGAGATGGACCCATGCTCGATTTTCAAGATGTCAATTGGGATAGCTGTTCCCGTGAGACCGAGGAATTGTGAGAGCGCGGCGGAGAGGAAGGTGCGGGCGGAGAGGGCATCGAGGGGTTGTGGACTGATATTGTCCGGTTGGGGAATACTGTTCCGATCGTTGTTAGCTTTGGTCTCCAGGGACGCGCAGTCGGGGAATCGAGCAATTGCTTACAGCCGGAGCTTGAGATAGGTCCAGGGCGGGTTGCGCGATGTGAATTGGATGGTGCTCGAGGTGGCGTCTTGCGCTTTGCGCTTGTTGCTTGTTGATGGAGTCTCGGGCTCCGTCGGCTTTTGTTGCACGTCGGCCATTGTTGGTGTTGATCGTGGGGCTTGGAGAAGTGTAGCTGAAGATGGTGAGCTGTTGCGGAATTTTAAGTCACGGGATTCCGCGGCGCATCAACAACGGCTTGGGCTATTTTGAAGCAACGTTGTTTTGAGCCGCGTCGATTAGTCTTTGCATTGATTTTTGGAGGAAGGCTTCTTCACTATCGTTTCCGATCGCCAGATCTGTAAGGCACAGTGTTTTTGCGCGTGCTTTGGCACCCCGAATGACCTCGACATTCGACTTCGGGACTTGGAAGATCTGTGGAGTACTTAGTAAGATGGACACGATGAGAAGAATGCCTGGAGGATAGAAATAGATAAATCAGCTCCGCAAATTAACATATTAACCTACCTCTGCAAATATCTGTGAAACAGCGAGATTGGCTGCTCCGTCGCGGGGAACCGCCGCCGTCGAGACATCCACCCTGTCGTTTCCGACAGCCGTCACGCCCGCTCGTTTGGCAGAGGCATTTGCTTTAACATAGCAGGGAATATGAAGGCTGTATGTATTTGGTGCAGCTTGGGATTTAAGGACCAAGCGAAGAAACGTGAAAGGGCGAATCATGTTGCAATGACAAGAAGTTGGGGGAGGCAATTGAGTTCCTCGGGCGGATAGTTGTGCAGTACACAATTTACTTATGTCTTCTTCCACATTAAGCCTCAAAGAACTATCGCGATGTCGAAATTACTAAGAGTATGGAAATCCAGACTAAGCCAAGGGAATTCGAACGATCATCAAAGAATTGGCCAAGAATGATAAGATCGAAATAGATCAATCAATTTGGGCCATGAAAAAATGAGCATTCGCATGCCAGTGCCAGAGGTGCCATACGCTAAAGACAAAGACAGCAGAAACCGATTAAACAGTCTCTCGCTCGTCCTTATCAGCAAAAACCTCCATGACCTCTGTGACGACCTGAGGTTCTTGTGTAGGCGAGGACGTGAGGAGTGAGGATAAACAAATCCCAAGAGATGAAAGTCTGGACTGACAAGAAAGGCAGTCGCGCATTTATTCTGAAGAAATGAATGACATTTCTCTGTAAAATCACGAGAGTCAAGCTAGTTGGGGTTGACATTGGATCAGCTCGGTGATCAATTCAGTAGAGGCACATTTTGATACAGAAGACACGCTGAAGGCACTTAGACCAGATAACATCTTTGCCTTCTCGATTAGTTAGCACGAGGTGACAGAAAAGCAACGCATCAATTGCCGCACAAGGATCGGGTGACTCGTCTATGTATGCAAAGTGTTCTATTGGCGGAAGTACTGGAAAAACCTCGCCGTCGGGTTAGAATCGATGCCCCGACGAGTAAACAAGCGTGGAGATCCATGAAGAAGCCTTGGGAGTGATCCCGGGTCTAAAAGGAGCCGGCTGACTTGGATGATGGCGTTTACTGTTCGCGTCAGTACCGAGAAGAGCTGGGAGAGATCAAAGAAGACAGAACTTAATTAGGTCCGCTGGCGGAAAGTGTCTCGAGGCTTCTTGGATTGAGAGACTTCTCCCTAGTGTGACAAAATAAGGCAGTGATTTAGTACGACAGAGGACTGGGGTAGTAGGCGGTATTTATAGACCTCTCGGCTGGTCTGGTCGCCCACATGCATTATTTAGCACCAACTTGGCTATGTCTGTTTGTGGCAAAGAATAAAAGGCACTGGTGATGATGCCTGCCTAAACTAAGGCTTGTTGAATCTATTCCTCAATTAATTGCATGTTGACCGAAAATCTACTGCGGGCTCTGGCAAGTCAACGAGAAGAAACTTTCTAAAGTCATACTAAGATAGTGGTGTCCAGCCTTTGAAAACACCGTCGTTCAAGGAACGTTGAATATAGAGGAAATTGGGGCAGAATTATGGGCCTCACAAAAGCTACTCGATCAACAAAATCCCCTAGAATTCCAAAATTTTCTCTAATTGTTCTATGGTGTTTTGGGGTGCGCAGCTTGCTTACATGCGCAGCTGGCTTACCGACCACATTATCCACCAGCGACACTGCCCACCCGGCCACTGCAGAACACCATATTAATGCTGTTTTTACAAATCCCAGCACTCCAACCCCCCGCACGGCGGGATCCACACAGCCAGAAACTTCATCTGCAGTCACATATGCGGCTCTGGTCAAGACTCCTCAAAATATGTATAAGACAAATATTACATAAAGGGAGTCGTAGGAAACCGCACTTTATTCAGTCAACTGGTTCTAGCTACAGACTCTAGACTCTTATACTCTAGTGTCAATTAGGATTAGCCCCTGATCCCATATCTCCACCCACTGATTCGCCCTCGAAGAATGTTCCAGCTGCCGTTAGCCATGGCCCATATACAGTGACATGATCCATAGACGGAGCCGTTCTTTCTATAGATGGACAAAAAGCCAGCCCATCCTGGTGGACGCCCATGGATGGACGATGGACAGAGCCTTCTTGTTCATGGACTGTCCATGTCTATGACTACCAATAATTCGACACTAAGAAATAGTAAGGATTGAAGATCATATTCCTTTCGAAAGGTCATAGGTCTTCGTGCAATTCCCTTTCAAGGCGACTGTATACTGTCCTAACCGCTTCCCTCAGCACGATGAACATCTTCGTTGGTAGCGCATGGTATTTTTCCGCGGCAAAACGCGGCGGTAGTTGGGAGTTCAATGGAGTATTTGTTGGTGCTGGCGATAGAGATTGTATTCGATGATGCAAAAAACTCCAACACATGTCCACCCATAAGCTTATCGGCAGAAATGAAATGCAGGTGCAATCCCGGCAAAGAGATTCCGGCAGTAAACTCCGGTGACCAAAAGCCAAATAGTGTACCTTGCAGGTCATAGTTTGTTTGATAGGTCTGTCGCTTAGAAGCTTCGAGTAGTGTTTCGTCGGGAGTCTGCTGTGGCGGTATGATTCGGAAGGTCATCGATTCAAAAAAGCCCGTAATTTGTATAACGTGGAAATGATTTGGTCCAGATGCATCTAAGCCGATTAGGACAGTGGCTAATCTCGCAAGATTTAGGCTGTGCACCGATAGATGAACGGATGGGATAAAGCGGGTGGTCATAGCCCACGGAATAACCTCGTCCTCTCTCATGACACGCACACTGCCGTCTTGCTTGAACAGAAGAGCTTCGCCATTCAGAATGAGCATCTCCCCTTCGAGTCCAGCAACTGTGCCTAGGCCATACTCTCCGTGTTGAAGGATATGAGCTAGCGGAAACCCATCTGAGCAGAGTCCATGCATCAAAGCACTAAGAACATTATACTGAAATATTTGGCTTGAGGCCATAATGAATGCAGCGGATAACAGGGTTTCTTTCTAGGGTTGGAAGGAGATTTATGTTTGGATGCACTGAGCGTATATATAATCCGCTGTGTGGCTACAGCCAAGATGTCGAATGTGTGATAATGAGTATGGGAGACCCTTAAGATTACTGGTTGCGTCGCGCCGAGCCTAAAGGCGCGTATCATACTATCGGTTTGCCACAATGCCGGTTATGGAAAAGACACGCTGTGAAATTTGATCACAGGCATCTTTAATTAGGTCAATGATTTATTTCTATCTTTTGAACTTATCGTGCATGATTCAAGCATGCAATGATTGTCGGTCATTTAAAGCTTTGATGAAAAAAGAGACCATGTCACATGAATTTTCGCTCAATTAGGAGGCTCGCAGCATATACGCGTACATAGAACTTGTTATAGTCGGCTGTTCATGCGGTGCTCCCACACCCTTCGTGCACAGTGCATAAGATCAGCAGCCCTCTGACGATATAGGAGAATCAAGACACGCAGAATTTCAGCATGAAATGATCGTCAGTAATTCGGAGAAATAACGCTTTGATTAGAAAAGAGACCACGTTACATGAAGTTTCGCTCAATTAGGAGGCTCGCAGCATATACACGTATATAGAACTTGTTACAGTCGGCTGTTCATGCGGTGCTCCCACACCCTTCGTGCACAGTGCATAAGATCAGCAGCCCTCTGACGATATAGGAGAATCAAGACACACAGAATTTCAGCATGAAATGATCGTCAGTAATTCGGAGAAATAACGCTTTGATTAGAAAAGAGACCACGTTACATGAAGTTTCGCTCGATTAGGAGGCTCGCAGCATATACACGTATATAGAACTTGTTATAGTCGGCTGTTCATGCGGTGCTCCCACACTCTACGCGCACAGTGCATAAGATCAGCAGATCTCTGACGTATAAGTTTTCGGCCTTTCTGTTCAAAATCAGGCTTATGTTGATTCGCCTAATACAAATCTCTCGGCATGCGAGTTATGGCCACTCCTAGTACATAAACATCGGAGTTTCTCATAGTCTATGTGCGAGTTGATTGATTCTTAGTGTCAAAGAGTAATATCTTACCTCCCGAAACAGTGAAAAGAAATTAAGCCGAGAGTGGTATTCAATCAGACTGGGCAGTATCATGTTCGAGCTACAGCAAACCCAAGAGCCCCAATTGGAGGCGGATCTTTCTCCACCTACATCGCATTCAATACTACCGAGCAACCAAGTTTCATCGGCTCATGAGTACAACAGCGAATCGTATTGTATATCGCACACAAGACATTCAAATCCCAATATCAACTACCACGAGTCTGATTTCGATAATCATGAATTTGATATAGAAAGTGTCGGCATCGAACAAACCTGCGTCGTTGGGATGACGGGAGGGGAAATATTCAAAGAGATGATACAAAGACATAAAGTTGATGTGATCTGTATGTATGCCTAAATCCCCAAAATGTATGTTTGCATACTGACTGTATGATTCAGTTGGGTACCCCGGAGGAGCCGTGATGCCGATTTTCGACGCGATATACCAGTCAACTGACTTTGACTTTATTCTGCCTCGTCATGAACAAGGAGCAGGCCATATGGCAGAGGGATACGCCCGTGCGACCGGAAAGCCCGGTATCGTCTTAGTCACTTCTGGCCCCGGCGCCACCAATACTGTCACGGCACTCAATAACGCATTTAAAGATGGGACGCCATTGTTAGTGTTCTCGGGTCAGGTCCCAACGGATGCTGTCGGCTCCGATGCTTTTCAAGAGATGGATATTGTGAGCATCACACGGCCCTGTACGAAATGGTCTGCTATGGTGACAGATATCAAGTTTCTCCCACAATACATCAGCCATGCCTTCAACGTGGCTACAAGTGGAAGGCCCGGACCTGTCTTGCTAGATATGCCGAAGGATATCACCGCGGCCACAATACAGGAGCCAATATGCTTGCCGAAACTCTCATCTGCAGTTGAAGAAGAAAACCCCGAGGATTCCCTTGACCGACATATCAAGAAAAAGCTACGAGAAGAAACCATCCAGCGCTGTGCACAACTCATCAACCAATCCCAGAAACCGGTCATCTATGCTGGACAAGGTGTTGTATCCTCTGCACTTGGCCCGACACTTCTACGCCAATTAGCCGACAAAGCTTGTATTCCCGTCACAACCACACTGCTTGGCCTTGGTGCTTTTGACGAATTCGATGTGAAGTCGTTACATATGCTAGGGATGCATGGGGCTGCATATGCCAATCAAGCAATGCAGAAAGCGGATTTGATTATCGCCTTAGGGGCTCGCTTTGATGAGCGAGTCACTGGCAATGTTGCAAAGTTTGCACCTGCAGCGAAGGCTGCAGCGGCAGCAGGCAAGGGTGGAATCGTTCACTTTGATATCAGTCCCAAGCAAATCAACCGAGTTGTCCATGCTACCGAGGGTGTTGAGGGAGATATTCAAGAGAGCTTGACAGATCTTTTGCCTTTCGTGAGCGCAGTTTCCCACCGCCCAAAATGGTTTAACCAGATCGAAGAGTGGAAAAAAAGACACTCGCTTCTCTCACTGGACACGCACCACAAGGCATTGTCAAACGAAAAGACCGATCCGCAAGTCTTAATCGAAAGGCTCAGTCAAATGACCCACCACCTTCGTGATGAGACTATAATTACTACTGGAGTGGGCCAGCACCAGATGTGGGTAGCCCAACACTACAAGTTTACGCCTTCTCGTCGTCTGATTGCCTCTGGTGGTGCCGGAACAATGGGATTCGGTCTGCCTGCTGCTATAGGAGCTAAATTGGCTTATCCAGAATCTCTGGTGATCGATATTGACGGGGATGCATCATTCAACATGACTTTGGCCGAACTTAGCACAGCCGTCCAGTACAATCTTGGAGTGAAGGTACTTTTGCTGAATAATGGGGAGCAGGGAATGATTACACAGTTGCAGAATATGTTTTATAAGAAGCGCTATTGTCACGCGACCCAGAAGAATCCGGATTACGTTGCCCTTGCGGTTGCGATGGGGGTGGCTGCGCAGCAGTTAAGTGACTATACGCAGATAGACGAGAAGCTCCAGTGGCTACTTGACACGGAGGGGCCTGCATTACTTGATGTGATCATCGAGCCTAATATGCCTCTCTGGCCAATGGTTATCCCAGGAGCGTCGTTGGATGAGATGTTTCTGTCGGACAAGGTCCAAATGACCGATGACAAGAAGTGAATTACAATTTTAGCCTGTTATTGTGCAAAAAAATGTAATCAGGCTTCTATATGGATTTGTAAATAAGAAACGGGGTCGCTTCACTTCTCTGGCTTTGATTATTAACGGCGTTGAAATTGTCGCAGCCTGGTCCACACCGGGTGGTGTGACGCGTCTCAAATCTTACCGTAAGAATTGTGCCGCAGCTATTCTTGTACCGCGCTGGATCCGAGTGGTCAGCCTACAAGATCGACGAAGCTATAGGCGCCACGTCCTGCGTCTTATCCGCTAGGCTTTCAGGCTTCTTTTGGAGCAAAAGTCTTTCAGCATGGAATCGGTTGTTTAAATTGAATATAAAGGCGTTGTGGTTATCTAACTGCTTCATGAATATGGAAATAATTGAATGGGTGGGCGGGAAGACCGGGAAAGACGTTAAGTGATGGCCTGGGAACGAGTGATTCATTGAGGACGAGCGATGACTTGCTACATGCTAAGTACTCAAGGGATATCAAGGCCTTGAAAAATTACCACCCGAGGACGGTTTGATACTCCATGAATGGAATCTAATATGCTAATACAGAAGAACACTGTCCAGACTGGAGAAGCCAGCGGCAACGCCGCCCTCATTAACCTCCTTTCCCTTCGTTCTCAACAGCCACCCGCCTTCTTCGTTGTGAGATATTTTCCCTGTCTTATCCCACAGAATTGTTCCATAGACACCGAGTTCTGAAATGACGCTGCCACGAAGAACTTCTCCATCATTTCGCAGTGCAATATTCTGGGCATTGGCTGCCGGGTTGATCAACTCCATCAAAACCCAACCCTTCCAATCAGACTCAGGCATCGACCGCAAAAAGTCTGGGATCTCAGATTTATAGATGTTGTTGCCTCCGCCTTCTCGTTGCGGCTTGAGGACATGCTTCATAGCGGTCTCTGGGCTGAGGGCCAATTCCCGACCCTGACCCGTGGTCGAGAGGTCATACTGGGGAGCAAAGGTTTCTCGTAATCTTGCAACGATTGCAGGGTCAACATTACCGAGGAAGCTTGACAGGTGATCGGGCCCCGTAGGCTCTGCAAGAACTTGCTGGATTTTCTTACAGCCGGCCAGCTGGTTAAGCACGCTTGGACACTTGATTGCCCCAGAGCGTTCCATGTGCAGGCGGGCCTCCCAATCGCGTTCAGACTTATATTCGTCGGGGGAATAGTATGCTCGAAGATAAACAGTCGTCACTTCAAATGCAGATTCCGGAGAGTGAGGAGGATGATAGATTAGTGGCCGTGATGGGTTCGAGTTGGACACTGTTGTTTGGTCTAAGATCTTGCTGCTCGCCAGACGGAAGACGGGGATTTTATAGAATTGGGTGAGTCGCTTTGATAGAGCATATTGGTCGAAGACGTTCCGTTCTCCTTCTTGGACTATGAAGAGAACACACAAAGGAAGATCTGGGGTGGACCTCGATGGCCCATATGCCTTGTGCGCGGCAGCTAGGCCACCAGACAGAGTCTCAACAGCAGTATTCTCGGGCGGCACACCGGATTGTAAGAGAGGATGAGGCGGATAGCTGATCGGTGACCCGGGTGGTGAAGTAAGAAGCTCCGTGTGCAATGACCTGACAAGGGCAGAAAGCCCACCAAATGATGACGATATGGTGTTGAATTCCACCTGCTTCAATGCTGGAGCATTATTAGGCGTGACATGAGCCATGTAGTCAGATCTGTAAAGACCCAAGGACAGGTTCTGAACATAGCCTTCCTTCTGTACCGCCAGATGTGTTTTCCATAGGTTTGCCACGAAGTCATCGACGTCGACGAGACTTGAAGAGATATGAATTAGCTAACATCAATCAATGAGCGAGGGAGCCCATACTCTTCTATGATTTTTCCCAGCCATTCTTCGTTACAAGTGATGGCGGCGTATAGTTCGTTGTAAACTGTTTGCAGCGCCCGAGCCTCTTCAAAGCAGACCTTCGGAAATGGACTGGGGAAAAGTGTCACTGGGGCATTGGTTGCCAAAACTCGATTTGGGTCTGCTCCTTCAGGAAGCATTGCTGGATTCGGTCGAACAGTAAGGCCATTTTGGATGGCCCAATCTTTGGTAGCTGTGACGAGGTACTCTTGTTGGGCTGGCGATAGGCCAGGAGGGTAATTGGTGTACATTGAGTCGTCCATGATATCGTTATTATCGAGGAGCTAGGAAAAGAAATGGAAGCTACCTTAACACTAGAGAAATTGGATATGCCCCTCTGCTGATAAATCACTCGCGGGGAAGCCGGCCCTTGACCGCCCGTTACACCGCCCGTTACACCGCCCATCACACTGCCCACAATCTTCCACACCGCCAAATTTTGCTGGCAGACTGATCAAATAACTTCATGCGTATCTGAGGCGCAACATCTCTCTTTGTTTGATCTCGCATATTGCTGTTACTCTCCCCTTCACCCTACGCCCCTGATACTTATGCACTGAAAAAGTGTCTATTTGGAAGTGCTCTCACCCAACCGTGTACCGCACAGGGGGCTAATAACTAGTACGTTTGTATCTACACCCATTCTGAGAAACTGAAAACTGAATGTCACGGATTCAGGCCCCCTCCCCAATACCGCGGAATGACAGACTTTCTTGACTCAGATCCCCTTGAGTGGGGAGTGGAAGAAGTTGTAGCCTTTCTCTGCAATCCTCTTTCAGCTCCATGGGCGCTCTCTGTGACTTCTCCGCGACCAGACCCTCTTGCATTGGCAGCTGCCCTCCGCGACAACGAGATTGCTGGAGAGGCCTTGCTTTATGATGTCGACCCACAGGCTATCAAGGATGATCTGGGTGTGAAAGCTCTTGGTCATCGCAGCAGCGTCAACAGAGCCATCGAGTGGCTGCGGGCGCGTTCCTCGAAATACCAACTATCCAAAGCAAGTACAGCCTTGCCCAAAGTTCCCTTCACCGAATCACCCAACAATAATATCCTACGCCATGAATTACCAAAACCTGGGGTCTCCACTCTGGAAACAATTACCACTAAGACAGTTGGACAGCCCAGCCCAGCTGCCCCGCCTGTACCCGTGCAATATGTCAATGGCAAACGTAAAATAGCACCTACGTGTGTCCCTGGCCTCAGCGAGAAGAATCCAACAATTTCATCTACTGTCCATGGTGGACCGAGTCGAGGAACCCAAATGGGGCAACCCTCGCAACTTTTACCCAGCGAACAGGACCAACCTGAAAGTGATGCGAGATCTGAGGCGTTCTTTGACAAACTAATCGCAAAATATGGTCCAGTTGAAAACGAAGAAGTCCTCCCAGCGTATGGAGACTCAGGGTCAGAAGCCTCATTTGACTCAGAGACCTGGAATGAGATATCTCCAAAACACAAACTGGAGAACCAGGGTCCCGACGATGCCAAACTTTCAAAAAGAGATGTGGCATCTATTGTGTCACAGTATATTGCAGGCCAGGAGAAACTCTGGAAGGAACAGAGCCTGCCAAGAAATCTCCTAATTGCGCGATTTCTCTGGGAGGAAGCCCAGAGGGATGCAGCCGCGAAATCAGATTGCTCAGATCGTCTCCGCCACCTGGAGTCCCGCTTGAACACCCATCAGACGGAACTTCAAAAACTTGACTACCGCTCGCGCACCAGGATAGAGAAGTCATGTGCCGCCATGAATATGACTATCTCGGAAATCTGCTTTCAACGATGGAGATTGACTGTCTTGAACTCAGACGTGTGTCCGCCTGATGTAGAACCACCCCCAAGAGCCTCTCAACTTCGAAAAGCACGCTTAGCCCCCGAAGATTCCGATGATGACAGATCGGAGGATTTGGGATATGACACGGAAACTTCCTTCGAAAGTGAGGACTTGAGCGAATTCGTCATCACAGACTCCGAAGAACAGAGCTCTGGACGCCAAGAAAAGGAATCCAGGGATGATAAACAAAGGAATTCACAATCACCTGCTCGAAAAAGACCACGCATGACAGAGAATGAAGGTACTCATCAAAGTGTTGATGCCAGTGTGGGATTCTCTCTTGTTCCTTGTCAGTCCAAGGAGGGTCTCGATTTTATTGATCTCACAGGCATGAGTCCAACCTCAACATCCTTTTCACGAAACTCAGACAAAGCAATTACGCCACCAGAGCCTGAAGGTGCGGATGATTTGGAGATTCACACACCTCCTCTGAACCCGACTCCGGCAATTCCTCTACATGATGCCGAAATGGACTTTGATCTGTCGATGGACAGTCCCCCGATTGATCAAATTTCGGAAACCATGATCAGATCTCCAAATCCGGCGCCCCTATTGGACAGTGTCAATGATACTTTGCAAGTTCAAACTGGCGAGAAACGCCTTTCCGTTCTTCCCCACGTTAGCACCAGCGATAAGGCGCTTCCTGCGCGCCAGGAGGATATTGATATGATCAAAGAAGTCTCAAACATGAGTGCCGAGGAGATCGCAGAGTCACAGGATCGTATCAGGCTATTGGCAAAGAACATCATGAATTTGAGTTCAGATGAGCTCCAATCCTACCCAAAACGCTTGAACGCACTGCTGGAGGAGACATATACAGACTTGGTTGAGGAGACACTGAGAGCAATGATCCTCAATCAACTAAACCCGAGAACCAAGGGAAGAGATTTAGGCGAAAATGCGTTTGCCATGCGCACAGCCGAATTGTTTTTGTCCTGGCATCACTGCATTGTTTTGATACCTGACCACGGCATTGAAAAGAAATTCATCACAGAGGGCCTTGCGGCCATCCAGCAGGATAGTCATGGAATGTTCCAAGCGTTTCTTCGAAGATTCAAAGGTTTCATTTCTGCGGTCAAGACCTACAATATTCTCAATCCATCACGACAACTTGTCTTAAGTGAGAATCGCGGGGATTCCATTTCCAGACCGCGCCTTGGCTCAAAGACTAATGGACAAAATGGCACTAAGAAGAAGCATACGATGAGACTGCTCAGTACACAGCAGAATGAAGCCCAAAAGCGACTCGACAGGCAGGAAAAGGCCAGAGCGGAGCTAGAACGTGAAACAGAAAGGAGGGGATTGAGTCTACATGATCCTGCCGGGCAAGCAGTGACCTTCAAGGAACCCAAAATATATCTTCATCCGGAACTTGGAAAATTCGTTAAACCACATCAGTTGCGAGGCATCCAGTTCATGTGGCGGGAGCTCATTGAAGCTACCGACTCGCAGGGATGCCTGCTTGCCCACGTTATGGGACTTGGCAAGACATTTCAAGTGTAAGTGGTTCTTTCTCCCTCCAATTGGGATTGAGTATCTAATGTTTAACAGCATATGCCTTCTTGTAACCATTGCCGCAGCCGCAGCGTCAGATGATATTAAAATCCGCAACCAGATTCCCCGCAAGTTTCATCGATCTCAGACTCTTGTTCTGTGTCCATCTGGAGTGATTGAGAACTGGATTGATGAGTTTGCCATATGGGCACCGAGCGGTCATAGGCTCGGTGCAATTCGTGAAATTATTCCTCGTGTCCAACAAGACGAAATCTTCAACCGATTGGACCGGATCAAAGCCTGGAATTCAGATGGCGGCATTCTCATCATGAGCTATGAAATGTTCCGCTCTTTGATACAGTACAGGCCTACTAAAGCTAGCAGGCCTCTTAGCATTGAGCAACAAGAGTTGCTCTCAGAATGCCTCTTATCCGGACCAAACATCATTGTCGCAGATGAGGCGCATAAGTTGAAAGGTGAGAAGTCCGCCATCTCGCAAATTGCCTCTCGCTTCAAAACCAACAATCGCATTGCGATGACGGGATCTCCTCTCGCGAATCATCTATCTGAGTATTACCAAATGGTTGAATGGATCTCGCCAGGCTACCTGGAGAACCCCCAGTCTTTCAAGACTAAATTTATGGAGCCGATCCAGGCCGGATCCTACATCGACAGCACGACAGCAGAGCAAAGAGAAAGTTTGTGCGCATTGAAGGTTCTTGGCGGAATCTTGAATCCCAAGATCCATCGTGCAGATACTTCCGCCATTGCATTGGACCTTCCTTCTAAGACAGAGTTCGTTATCGTCGTGCCTTTGACAGACCTGCAAAGACGGCTTTATGACACTTTTGTGGCATGTCTGAAGGAAAGTCCCGAATCAGATGTTGCCACAAAATTGTGGTCATGGTTGGCTCTCTTGCAACTCTGTTGCAACCATCCGGTCCCCTTCCGTGAAAAGCTTGCCGATCGATCGAGTCAATCAACATATGATCCAGATGACACACTCGATGCAGACAACTCTGTTTCCGTTCTTCCAGCATCGATCAAAGATGCCGGACTACCCAGTGACCTCTTCCCCAAAATCGAGGCTCTTTTCATAAGTGTCCAGAAACCGCTTGGTCCAGAATTCTCTCACAGATCTACTTTACTAAACCAAATTCTCAACGAAGCAGCCAATGTTGGAGATAAGGTTCTGGTCTTTTCGCAAAGTATCCCGACTATGGACCACCTTGACAGGCTACTCAAGAAATCTGGCAGAAAATTCCTCCGTCTCGATGGCAAGACCCTAAGCGCGCAACGGCAATCGCTATGTAAGCGGTTCAATACCTCCGACACCGAGCAAGTCTTTTTAATCTCAACTCGCGCGGGAGGACTTGGCCTGAACATTACTGGCGCAAACCGAGTGGTCATCTTCGACTTCTTGTTCAATCCGACATGGGAGGAGCAGGCAATTGGACGTGCCTATCGTCTCGGCCAAAAGAAGCCGGTATTCGTTTATCGCTTTATTGCCGGTGGGACCTTCGAAGAAAATATCTTCAACAAGGCTGTCTACAAGAGTCAGCTTGCTGTCCGTGTGGTGGACAAGATGAACACTATCCGCGAAGCTGCAAAGAAAACTAACGAGTACCTCAAACCTGTCCGTCAGGTTGAAAGAGAGAGCCATGATGAAATTCTGGGGAAAGACCCCCAAGTCCTCGATAAAATTCTCGCTGGGCCTTTCGGGAAGGCCGCCTTGAAAGTGACCCTGTCGCACCTCAAAAACAACGAAAATGACACCCTGGACGGAGAAGAACTCAAATGGGTTGAGGAGGAGCTGCGCATGGAACAACTCAAACGGTCTAACCGACCTGCATATGAGGCGGAACTCCAAAGGCAAATAGCGATGCTGGCTGCCGCGCAGAGGAAAAAGGATGAAGAGTTGCGGCAGCCTTTTTTGATGATGACCCAAGCCTGGAAGCATCGAGAGAGTGCTGTTCCGCTCAGTCTCGATTCGGAAACCATTGCTACGACTGGTGCCATGCAAGTTGTCTCATACATACCCACTGCGATGAGTCTACTGCAACAAGGCAATCATATGGTGTCGATGTCCTCGTTAGGGTATTCGCCCAGCTCGGTATCTATGTGCCAACGACGCCCCACCGCGCCTCTGATACCTACGGCAGCTCTGACTAATGGGCAGGTTCAAACAAGCCTCCATGGCTCATTTTTGCACAACCCGTCACTCCACGGTGAATATCAATTGGGGGCGGCATCTGCCAACGTCGTAACTCCGCCTGGCCCTACGGCTTCGCCAGGGCCGGTTCCCAGGCCGCACACCCCTCAGCATTTGTATTCCACAAACGGCCATCTCTCTCCTCAAATCCCTGGTAATGGTCTCTCAGTCCATGGTGCCCCCAAGCGATTTGCTCCAGCGACTCCCGCTCCAGTAGACCCTTTTCAACCCACTCCTTCCATTGCTGATGTCGCGGTACCTGACCCCTCTCCATCTAGCCTAGGTGAGCCCAAGGACGTCAGCAGCGACAACGACTCATACTCGCCACAACTGAACGAATGTATGAGCAGCCCATATTCACCAAATCTCGAAGTTGGCGAGAACGATGCGTACTCACCACCGCCAAACTTCCCTCTATTTCAGTGATGGCTTGCTAATTCAGGCTATTCGGGTTGCTGGAGCTCATTTCTACACTAACCCTCTTTCTTCTTTCTTCTTTCTTGTTTTGCATGTACTATTGATACCCTGTTTGCGCTTATCTTTTAATTTTATCTGCTCCGATCACGCTCATCTTGCGTGTGGCATTTCGCCGGTCCTGCCTCTGCGCTAGACTCTGGAATAGCATTATTCATTAGCATGAATGTGATATCTGAACACATACGTACATTGATTCCTTTAAACAGTCTAGATCAAGACTTATAAAAGCAGCATAAATATCAACGACCTAGTAATCTGCGCAAAGGAATCAAGAATAACCACCAATTGATGAAGAAGCCAAGCTCCGAACGGACCGCTATCTTCCCCGCAGTCAAGCCCGCTTATCTTTGTCCACTACTTAAATGGGTGCCTCCACCTCTCTCTTGTAGTCATTCAATGACCGCAATTTCAAGAGCTCGCACTGGCTGCTGGACTTGCCGTTCGCGCCGGATCAAGTGTGATGGTAGGTTTTCCACTCCTGTTCAGCACCCAGCCCTAAGAAGGATATTCAGAGAACCGCCCAGTTTGTCGCCGCTGTTCCCAGAACAATAGCCCATGTGAATATGGGATCCGCTTGATATGGAACGAGCAGTCAATCGCGCGGGGTGTCTGTCATGGAAGAGCTGGCGTTTGGTCGAAACGAAGCAATGTTGAACGCGAAGGGAACACAGACGCCCGGAAAGCGAAGGGCACTAAAGACAGACAGTCACCCCCATTGGAGCAGACGGGTTACTCTAGCCAAGTCTGGATGTTCTTGAACACAACCACGACGGATCTTGAGATCCACTTTGATGGCACACAAACAAAGGGCCCCAGATCAGAGACATCGCGGATGCGCTCATTGCCCCCTTCTCTGAGCACTATTCCAGCCGAGGGCCGACGACCAGACTATGACCCGGTGTTGATGTCTTACTTTGAAACTATCATCTGCAGCAGCTCTACACTTGTGGACAACGCGCACTATAATCCTTATCGATACCTTATTCTCCCTATGGCCCTCCAGTCAGAGGGACTTTACCATGCTACGCTCGCCATCGCGGCCAACACACTCGGTTTATCCAATTCAAAGTATCGACTTCCGGCATTAGAGCACCATAACAGAGCATTAAGTCATCTAAGAAGTCTTCTTACACAGGATACGTGGGATGAAAAGGAGTTAGACGAGATGCTCGGACTGGTTCTCATGCTCTGCTGGTTTGATGTTAGACGCCAAGATCTCCTATCTGACCAGATCCAAACTAATAGGCCAACAGATATCAGATAACAGCCGCCCGTCATGGGTCACCCACCTGAATGGGTTCCAAGACTTAATTCGCACCCGACAAGAGCGGCCTAGTCGCTCAGCTCATAGCAAAGAACTGGCAAGCTTCTTCAATCGATACTTTGCTTTCCATTTGGTTCTTGCTCGTACGGCATTTAGGGTCAACCCATTGCCTCAAGACTCCCCAATGATACCTGATAGCATACTTGAGTCTCCCGACACGATAGACCCGTACATGGGGTTCAGCCCCTCTCTTCTGCTGCTGATCAACCGAGTCGCCGAGCTCGCGTGGATCCAACGAGATGAGCAGAAAATTATAAGCGCGACAGCAGTCTATAATTTAAAGAAAAGCCTCGAGGAAGTTGAGCAAAGGATACCAGTGGAACACCTCGATCCCAACACAGAATGTGCAGCAATCGCAGAGGCCAATCGGCTCGGAGCACTTTTGCTTCTACATGAAATCTGCTCACCAAAGTCTGTCTGCTCTGGAAGTCTCCATCTTCCGATGCTGAATGTGGAAGAAAAGAATGGCTATGTTGAGCAGATTTTGAACTTGATATTGATAAAAAAGGCAAACATGATGCGTACGGCAGTTTTGCCCCTCTGGCCTTTGTTTTTGGCCGGATGTTGCGCCCGCAATGAAGAAGAAAGGATAGTCGTGATGCAGTTATTTGGAGAATTTGAAGCCATTCGCCGGTTTGGGGTATGTCTTTCTTCGCTCGCTCGAGACCAGACGTAATTTCTAACAACTCATTACTACATAGAATATTGCTCCGGCTATGGAGGTTATCGAGATGGTATGGCGTCAGCAAGACCTCTCAGTGCAGGACGAAAGAAGACGCCAGAGAATCAGGAATGCGAATGGGAACGATGAAAATGATCCCTTGCGAGGGGCCCGCTTCTCTTGGGAACATGCCATGGTGATGTTGGGAGGTTGGAAACTAAGCTTGACATGACTGCTTTTTGGGCGACAAAGCTTGTCATCCTGTGTTAACTAGATGGATTTCCATAATTCTAGAATTGAGACGATAATGAGTTGCGACCCTTCACTCGAAAATTACCGAGCAATCTTCAACAGCAGAGACAGATCATAGCTTGGAGATAGTGCTTTTCTCACGCACTTGTCTCCCTTTCCACCCCGTCAAATCGCTCAACTCCAACTCCGGATCCATATGTGCAAGATTCTTCGCCGTCGGTGTCTGTCCTGTCCGCCACTTCCACTGACGGACAATTTCCGGATCAAGTGTCCCCTCCAGCATATCCGCCACATACTTCCCAACCACTGGGAGGAATTTAAACCCGTGCGCCGAGCCACCCGCAGCTAGAAACAATTTCTGATGATTTGGGTGAGGCGTGACGAGGAAATGCCGATCAGCTGTATCGGCATCCCAGCAAAGACGTGTATAACAGAATGGCCGGTCTGCGAGCTCGGGAAGCACGCGGCGTAGATTACGGCGCATAGTCGCTTCGATCTCGAGCGGAAGGCCGTCGCTGGGACTTTGGACGAACGTATGTGGGGTAGAGGTAGTGATGCCAGAGTTCGTGTCTGTTTGTACATTGGTGATGAATTGGCTGTGGGCCATCTTGAAGATGCCGTCTGCCTGGGGAGGGAAGAAATACCCCAGTTCCAGGTTATCCATAATCGGCATTGCAGAGTAGTATTTTGTCTCGGCTGGTGAGAGTTGGATATGCGCAACGGCGTGGCCTTTGGCTGTCAGTTGGCCATTGAGTCCAAGTAGTGAAGGCGTCCAAGCTCCAGCTGCGAGGATCACCACGTCCGCTTCATGTCTTGTGCCATCGGCGGTGATGACTCCTTTGCATTCACCTGTCTCGAAAACCAGCCTTCGCACATAGCCTTGCTCTCCTGAGATGTACAAGACCCCGTTGTTCTGAGCAGCTCCTGCCATTCGCTCCAACGCTTGGCCAGCCGCCGCCCAACCAGCCGTCGGATTCCACACGTTGATATTCCACCCAGTCAACTTGCCAGTGATGACAGGATATCGCGAGCGAACTTGATCGGCGGTGAGCTCCTCAAGACCCTGCACGCCCAATCGTTTGCATGTCTCAATCGATCCCTCAACGAACGGCCGCGATAAATTGGCCGCGCTCAGGATCCACCCGGGAACATGATAGAGTCCCTTGAACATGGACCAGGACTGCCATGCCTCGATAGACTCGATACCGAGACGTGCATATAGTGGCTCGTTGTAATCACTCCGGATGATCTTGCTGATGTCGGTCGATGCAGCCTCGCACGACGGTGGCGCGTATCGGTCGAGCACGCGAATGGAGCTATATCCGCGCCGCGAGAGATGGTATGCTGTCGAGGTGCCGAAGCAGCCAGCACCGATGATCAGGATTCGTCTGTCTTTCTCCATGATTTGAGGAAGATCGTTATCGATTATTTCGACTGCCGGAGGCGCTTGACTGTATTTATTGCGGCACTCGGGTTGCCCTGTTGGGCTTTATTGCACAGATGAGGCTCGCTACCAGCTTCCTTGCGCACCATTCAATGCATCGCGGCACTGCGCCCCTCCATCTTTCCGCTATCAGGCACGCGCAAATTGTGGGAATGCGAATCACTCGTTCTGATCTTCCCCCCTAAGGTGACTTCTGCCGCTAGCGTAGATAAGAGGCTCGGGGTTATGCCGAGGTGGAGTTCGTTCCGACCTTCCTTTGAGGTCATCTTCCCCGCATGTCTGATATTGGCTTGGCTCAACCGCTTACTTTTTACCTTTCTTCAAAGCTACTCTGCATACTGTATACTGTATTCATATCACCCATTTATTGACACGGACTGCAGTTCTCCCAAACATCCATCTAAAGCCGCATTCATACCGTAGATGGCGGCATTCGAGATGTTAATTTTGTCGATCGCAGCGAGAAGCAGAGTGACCATGATCAGAAGAATGATAATTGGATCGATCTTTCATAACACGCGACGTGCTTTGGGCTCTGAAATGGGTTCTACCGCCACAGAGTGGTCTAGGTGTGCAAGAAACTGTGCTGTAAAATCTTCGCTGCGATCGGGATCTTGAAAATCGCTGTCGCCTGCCAGAGGCTTTTAATGTTCCAGCGCAAGTTGATGTCCGGCGTTAGACTTCATCTGTCCGAAATTGTAGTGTATAGTACACTAAAGGTGTTGATGAAAGCCTTGACAAATTGGCAAGCAGTGAAGAAAGGGATACCACTGGTCGGAGAGCACCTGCATGTCAAACTCGACTGTTTTATACGTCAATGCACTGCTGAACCCTTTAGTTTGTTTTAGGGCCTATATGGCAGGAAAGTCAGAACGAGAAAAGACCGTTTCTCTACATGGCCCTTACGAGCCACGAGCCGCCCTAATGCCAAGACACGATATACTACATGGAGAATAGCCCTGGAAGAGTAATGTTCCGGGATAGTCACATGTCGTTTACTCCATTAATCAAATAGCATTATGTCGTATTACCGTTATGGATAAGCTATGGTATCTGGAAATTTCTATCGAGGTGCAAAGATGTCGAACAAAAGGAGCTAGAGTAGGCCTTGAGAACCTGGCTGTGCCACTTCCCTCTCCCATTCTCGTGTTTAAGTGACGACCTAGGGGCTTAATCGGTGCTAGATAGCACAAACAGTTATTTTCGATACCTTGCTTAGTATATATAAATAATACCAATGACCCTGCTTATCAATGACTTATCTTGTCAGCCATAGCTCTCTCCTACTTAACGCTTCGTAGCACCCACCTAACATGAGCTAACACAATGATATTGCTAGGCTTATTAGTAGCCTGGTCGGCCTAAGTGGGATAACTTACACCCCTTTCAACGAAAATTATACCTACCGACCTAAACTGCCTGATCTATAGGCAGATTTACTCGTATACCCCTATGCCCGTGCCTTTTCGCTGAACCTAAGGACGTCATTGATTAATGTTTATACTTTGAGTATCAACAATCGATATCAAGTATCTCGTTCATATGAAGTTTCGTCCCACGATGTCGATCAGTGCCGACGTCTTCGGACAATTGTGAGGATTGATATCGTGCGTGTCTTACGGAGATGCTGGAATGCGCGTGTCGTTCCAGGCTCGCGAAATGTACCATCTGCTTGGTGACACTGTCTCGCAGAATATTAAACATTGATCGACTCTTATGACTTCATTCCCGGGAAATGAATCGGAAGAGCGCGGGTCTGATAGGATGAATATGCCAAGGCGTCATGCAATTCAATGGTTGCAACTTTCAATTTACCTAAGCTTCGGATTCCTTTTCCGGCCCAGAATCTCCCCCCCTCCACTTTTCGCTTAGACACTTCACGTTTTCTTAAGATTCATTCAATCATCGAAGTTGCTTTGATGACTAATTTCGGTCAAGCCTAGCGTCAATGCAAAGAACGCGAGATAGCTACGCCTATTGTTCAGTCTATCGAATCTCAAATCTAGTGGTTCTGGCGTGTCGTTCGCTCGTTCGACAAGGAAGAACGGGCCAAGTTGCTACAGTTCGTTCCTCGCACTTGTGATTTTGGAACTGCTGTTGGCGCACGCGCCCCTTATGGTCGTGAACAATTCATCGTTCCGATTTGCCCCCACGACTCCTGGAGAGAAGAGGACCGGGTCGGACTGCATCACGACGCATCCCTTTGACGATAAATCCAACCATCAAGACGGCACTGCTACGATGACGAAAAAGGAAAATGCTGTCAAGCCTCCTGCCGAAGGGCTAGCATCTCAAAATAGCATGCAAACTAGCATGCAAAATAAGCTTCCTGAAGCTCCCAGCGTCGATTCCTTCCAGACTACCTCTGGCGCCAACACAGCTTCAACACCTGGAACAAGTCAAGTGGAACGAGCCGCTTTTACGAATGAAAAAGTAGCCATCCCCCGCCATCGGCCAAGCACCGCGCCGCGATATAGTCGGCGAGTGCCGCGGGCTTGCGAATCATGTCGGCAGCGCAAAACGAAGTGCAGTGGCGACATCCCGGTGTGTCAGCAGTGTCACGTACTGCGAGCGATATGTCTATACCCCCTACGATCGAGGGAGAAAATGAAAAGGTCGGCTCTCGAAACTCCTAGATACGTTGGTTTTGGGACCTCGGATCTGCAGCCCTCTTCTGTGACTTCTAATCGCAAGCAAGTAGACAAACTACACAACTATTCGAGAAAGCACAAGATTATGAGAGCATGTTAAAGGATTTAGGGAACTTCGTAGATACACACACTGCGGACCGGATCACGGACTTACTGGACAAGGCTTGTAACGTCCCTATCGCTGAACGTTTCTCGTAACTGACATCTTAATTCACAGCATGGTGTAGAGAGATTCCCGCCTAACTCTGTAACACTGCCTGGTGAACTTTCAGATGAGCCAAGCTCGCCCTCGTCTATTGGCTCACTCGATGGGATTGATCGAGTGGAAGAGGACCTGAACCGCAATGAGGAATCAAGGGCAGCAGGGTTTATGGGAAAGATCTCTGAGGTAACCTGGATGCAACATCTTCAGAAAAAAGCGAAACATTGTTCACAAGGATCGTCAGGCTCCTTGGAGCACGGCCAAAGCAAGTCGCATGAGGATGAACCCGCTCTCCATGCGACAAACTACCACTCAGACGAAGTTGACATCAGTTGTCCCGAACCGGTGGAAGTATATGCTGTTCCACCTCCCCAGCTAGCGGATAGACTCTTCGATGATTATCTGAAGACTGTTCACCCGTTTTTTCCTATTATCAACCGACGTCTCTTCACCGCACAGTATCGGACTTTTTTCGACAGCAATGCGCAGCCAAGTGATAAATGGCTTGCTATTATGAATATGATATTTGCCATTGGGGCTCAATATGCCCATCTCACCAGGGCACCATGGCGCGGAGAGGTTGGAGACCATCTAATATATTTAACTCGGGCTCGAATCTTGAGTGTAAATGGCGATGACTTGTTTAGTCATCCTGATCTACAACAGATTCAAGTGGAAGGATTGGTTGCATTTTACCTACTCTCCACCGATCAGATCAATCGGTTAGTCAAATTCTTCTCTCAGTGATGACAAGATTCTGATTCTGGCTCTTCAGCGCATGGAGAATCTCGGCTTTGGCAGTCCGATCTGCTATTACACTTGGCCTGAACCTGAAAAATAATAGTCCCACAACACCCGATGTTGCCAAAGAGGCTCGCTACCGAGTCTGGTGGTGTCTCTATACACTTGAGCATCTTCTAGGTACAATGACCGGTCGGGCCACTTATATCGTGGGTGTGAATCTTACTACGCCGTTACCATTTCCCTTTGACGAAGACCAGCTGTCAGAACCAATGGCCGCGGAAACCTTCAGAGATACGCACCTTAGAGATGAGCGCATTAACAACGTTATGGCAAGCACATCAGTCCGACACATGCCTCTCCACCCAACTAGGGGCGCGGAAACCACGCATTCGGCCTCCATCTATGACAACTCGTGGGTGAAAAGCCTGCCTTTTAGCTTCAGTCTCGGCCACCTTTACTACTGCGACCTGGCGCTCATCGTCCAGGAAATTGTGAACAAAGTGTATTCCACTGACTGTGTGATGTTGCCATGGGCTCACATTTTGCAACGCATCGGGGAATTGAAGGTCCAGCTCGACCAATGGTACCAATGTCTTCCAGAACACCTCAATTTATCGGAGAATAAGGACAACGGCTCCGATCCGCTCCGCTGCAAGCTGGCCTTAAACCTCCACTACCTCAGTGCACGCATCACGCTTGGTCGCCCATGTTTTTGCCGGCGCGACCCGCAAAAGAGAAAAATAGATGAAAAATCGACTTTCAACCACGACATGGCAGAACTGACTCTACAATCTGCAAAGCTCATGCTTGATCTCATCCCGGATGAACCAAACGTTATCGAGCTCTACGAGATCTCCCCGTGGTGGTGTATCCTGCATTATCTAATGCAGGCAGCGACAGTCATCCTCCTAGAGCTCTCGTTCGGGAGTCTCATGATGCCAGAACACGTAACAAGCTCTGTTGTCTATTCCAAAAAGTCATTGAGATGGCTTTATGCTATGTCTGCGCACAGCATTGCCTCACGACGCGCCTGGCAGCTTTGCGACATCAGTCTGCGGGCTCTCGCTGTCAACATAGGATTCAATGTCGATGACATGCCTTCAGCCCCGTACTATCAATCCGTGCCCACCTCCGCCCTCGCCAACCCCCACTCCCACATGGCTCCAAAAGGATCCCGGCCCGGCTCAACCGAGCGCTGGAATTCCGTTCTGGAAGACGTCTCTCAGGCTATAGTGCAGCACCCGACTCAGTACCCCTACTGGGATTATTCCAATGTGCCCACAACGGATCCCACGCCATCGGTGATGGTCAAATCCCACGAGTCTGACGAGCATTACTCCCCCTATGACCCTATCAGTGGCGCGTTTATTCGCTCCTTCTTTCCGCAGTTGAGCGAGGACGATCAGCCCTGAGGTCATAATTGGCACGTTTGAACACAAGAGTGAAGCCTTGCGTCAGTACGTCAAGGTTGAAATGAAAACAACGCTTTCCATGATAGCTTGCTGGGCGTCTCCTAGTTATTGGGTATGCGTCAAGTTAGTGGCGGCCGTGGGGTGGCATTGGAAGACAGCCCGATCGCAACTCGACCCGATCGGCCTAGGTCATCTCGACAGGTTCCAGAGAACCTGGCAACAATAACTACGCGATCTTCATCAAGGGTACAGAGCGCGATGACAGCACGGTCACCGGCGTGGTAGGTGTGCACGCATCGACCCCCAGAGATGGGGTACATACTTCACCCCATCGACCTAATCTATATTTGCAATGTTTGCATATAGCGTTGATACCAAGAAATCCTCTCAATACTCGTTGCTGTATTGCATAGGTTCGTAAATCTGCGGGTAAAACCTTCATTGAGCTCTAATGCTAGGCTCCAGCATAACTGAGTAATTCTACGAGGATGATGTTAGGGGAATCAAGTTTCCGAGCAGTACGTGGGGAGATTTAAGGCCTGGGAACCATATCCTCACCAATCATCCACTTGCCGGAGAGGAACTCATCTGCCTGACATCACAATCATCACTCCAGTCTGGGAAAGTGAGTATCTCAAGCCATCTTTTGACTTGGAATTTTTTCTGCTGACATTGAACTTAGTCCCTGTAGTGGCTGGTGGCTGGCGGCTGGGGAATGCCATCGTCGGATGAAGCCACTTCGAATGCTTCTAAAGGGAACGGCGATACCTCGATGTTCCAACCCCGAGGTAGCCTTCACACTTTCAGCTAGATAGCAGAGTCAGCGATGTGAATAGAATGACAATGAGAAATGTATAGCTGTACGAGGATTATCCGCTATACTTTGGCCATGCCGCATTACTGCATAGTGACGGCTAACTATGTTTTTGCTGTAACCTGGATGCCAACCTCCAGGCTTTAAGGTGCCATAGATTCACCCCTGGAAAGGCTTCTCCACAACCAGCCGGAACTGAGTATATGACTTCCGCACTTCTGTGGCAAATTGCAATCGCATTCCACATATGGTTACCAATGGGGTCACACCCGAGAGCAACTACCGATCCGTCCAGCGCCAAACTTTAATGGCAGCAACTTCGTAAAATCCCATCAACTGCAATGAGTGTCAAGAGCACCACCCCCTTGTCAATAGACGATATAATGGGCACAGAATGGTCAAGATTAACTGCGAAGCCCCCGTCGAGGGCATTGTCGGAGCATACACGGACAACAGCTTTGCCTTCCAAGCCTCCATCACCAGCCTGATAGGTTGCGCCATGTACAGTGCCCTCGAGTTGATCGTCCTGGTCTTCTTGGTATTCAGCCGCTACCATGGCCTGTACTTCTGGAGCCTCCTCATCACATCATCCTGCGGCATCATCCCGGATGCGCTTGGCCTAGTATTGAAATACTTTGAGCTCGCACCAATCTGGATACCCGTCACTCTATCAACGGCTGGCTGGACGATCATGGTAACTGGCCAGTCGCTAGTACTGTACTCACGACTACATCTGGTAGTCTATAACACCAAAGTACTCCGCTTCGTGCTGGGGATGATCATCTTTGATGCGATCACTATGCAAATTCCGCAAATCATTGCCTCATACGGCGCGGTTTTTGCCTGCCAAAAACATTTCATGCGCTTTTTCAATATCTGGGAGAAAGTGCAGCTGACTGTATTCTTTGTGCAAGAGATCATTATCTCAACGATCTTCATCGTGGCAGCAATGAGGCTTATGCGTCTGAATCCGACATGGACCAAGCGAAGATCCAATCTCATGTTTCAGCTGCTTACGATGAATTTTGCGATCATAGCGATGGATGTCTCCCTTTTGACACTGGAGTTCTTGAGCTTGTTTATCTTACAGACGGTGCTGAAGGTCTTTTTTTATACTGTCAAGCTGAAGCTGGAGATTGCGGTGTTGTCGCGGTTGAGTGCTTTTGCTCGGTCGCATTACCAAGATGAAAGCTCTGGGTTGAGCGGATTAACTTGATCCTGGAAACCCAGTTTATGTACATGAATTCAAGTTCCAAATTCCCGAGGTTGCATCGGCTGGAGATCCCGATATGTAGGTCTAATTCTACAATAAGAAAGTAAAACCAGGATATGTCGAGACAATCGATACACTGAAAAGAATGTAAAATGAAACAGCATGGGTGATGTCCCGGACACCAGTCTCCTACCTGTTCACGGCACAGCGCCAGGTCTATTGCAAAAGAGTTTCAAGGTCAGCAACCCGGGTAGCTCTATCCTCAGCCTTCTTCTTAGATGTCTCCCGGAAGGCAGTGAGCATGAGTTCACGCTTGCGTTTCTGAATCTCGAGGACGCGCTCCTCGATACTATCTTCAATGACCAGTCTCCACATGGTCGTCTCACGCTTCTGTCCGAGTCGATACACGCGGTCGAGAGCCTGGTCCTCGATGGCGGGCGCCCACCAGCTATCTGCCAGGATGGCCTGATTAGCTGCAACGAGGTTGAGACCGACGCTGCAGACACTGAGACTGGCAAGGAGAACGGTGCAGGAGGGCTCGTTAGAGAACATGTTGATGGAGTTGTCGCGCTTCACGGACTGCATCTTGCCATCGATGCGGACAAACTTGATGCGGCTTTTCTCGAGTTGAGGCTCCACGAGATCGAGGAATGAGGTCCATTGGCTGAATACTACGGTCTTCGTACCTGGTGCTTGGCCCTGAGCTGTCAGGACCTTCATGAGCGCCTCGATCTTGCTACTGGGGTTGTTAGGATCGGCGACAACGGTGTCGGGGCTTTCGCCCATGTCGGCAGCGGGAGAAACGAGAGTGGAAGTGTCTTTGATGTCGGCACGGCAGAGCGGGCACTTGTGCTGTCGCTCGATGACTTGCTCAACACAGCCTCGGCAGTAAGCGTGGGCACATGCAGTGATGACGGGATCTTCAAGGTTGTCAAGACAGATGGCACACATTTCCTGGCTCTCGATCTGGATCTGCAGCATATCCTGAAGGGCTTTAACATTCTCGGGGGTCAGCGGCACAACCTTGTGTCTCTCCAAATCGCCCATGAGTTTATCCACACGATCTTTGCAGAGAGCCCAATGATCGCAGACTTGACGGAGACGGAGAAGAACCTCTAACAAATGGGAGTATTCGCCCTGCTTGTCCTTGAACTGCATGAGAGCGCCCTTCGCCTCCGACCTGAGTTTATTAGCAAGTAACACAGATTACGCGATAAAGAATCAACGTACTGTAGTGCGTTGTACTTCTCCAACTCATGGCGGTGAAACTTGATACGAAGGACCCGAGATGTCATGGCTGGCAAACGCAAGTTGATAAAGTCCATATCCTTCCTTCGTCTCAAACAGATCGTTCCCATGAGAGCCTCGAGAAGAAGGCGAGCTTCAGGTTCACCATTAGTAAGAGGACGCATAAGGACGCTGTTGAACATAGCAAGGTCTGCCAAGCCGCCGGTAAGCCCGAGGAAGCGGACTTGCGAATACAGATCCTTGAGTGTGTTGATAATCGGTGTTCCGGTCAAGGTCCAACGAGAATCTGCGCGCAAGGCACATGCTGCAAGAGAGGCCTTTGACCGAGGGTTTCGAATGGTGTGACCCTCATCAAGAACAACACGACGCCAATGAACGGAGAAAATCCCCTTGGCTGGGCTCTTTTTTGCCTCTGGTTTGAAGTCCAATGCCAGGGCTCCGTAGCTCGATACTACTACGTCGTATGATGCCAGGTTGGCCGCCTCCTTTTTACCAGATCCATGATAAATCAAGACTCGAGGTGCTGTTTCCTTCTTGGCGTGCTCTTGGATTTGATTTCTCCAGTTGCTCATGACACCGACTGGAGCCAAGATCAACGTAGTATTGCTAGATTCGGGCGTGCGAGGAGTCGAGTTAGCCATGATAAGAGAGATGATCTGGATGGTTTTGCCCAGACCCATGTCATCGGCCAGAATACCACCACTCGCGAGCGGCGGTGCAGCACTCGTTGAATAGTTGGTAGCGATGTTGGTAAACTTGCCACCATCACGTTTCCAGAGTTGTACTACTGCATCAGAGCCAGGCGCTGGAAGTCTCGGTGATTCTTGCGCGATCATCCATGCCAAGCCCTGTCGCTGGTATGGGAGGAGTTGTGTAGAAAGACCCTCTGGAGAATCAGCCATCGGCATCTGTGCCAAGTCTGCCTCTTTCTGACCGAAGTTCTCTACAACCTGACCAATTTCTCTTGGGTTGAAGGAGCTGCTTTGACTGAGCAATTCCTCCAGGCTCTCGTTTTCACCCAGTCCGATTGCATCGGAGAGGTTGGCGAACATCGAATTATCGCTTGCCTGGAACTGCTGGGCGGCTTTGCCCAAGGCCATTGCACGAGCCTGCTTTTCAGTCTTCTTCCTCTCAGCGGCCTGCTCCTTTTCTTTTCTTGCTGCGTCACGGTCCGCTTGAACAAGCCTGGACACTGGGAGCTTATCTTGTTGCATTCTCTTCTTCAAGTCATCCTTTCTGGTAGCTTCACAAGTACCAAAGAGGTTCAACATGACAGGGCAGTCGTAAAAGCTCTTTCCGCCTGTCAGAATACCCTCCACAAGAAGATCATGGGGATCCTGCGACATGTGCCGGTCAGTCTTTTCCACGGAAACAAGGGTCTCTCAACCAGTACCATGTATTTTGCGAGCTTGGCTGCGAGTCCGCGGGGGATATGGCCAATCTGAGCACCCATGACATTGTCGACCCGGATCGCATTCGGATCATATTGGTTTTGGGGCTCTCGTTTCAGAATGACATGCTCTCCAGATGTAGCAACACCATTGTAAAAGCGAACACCCACAATCTTTGCAGGCAATTGACCTAGCAATGCTCATAATTTTTAATGTTCTTTGTCATATGTAGATGCATGGGATGCCGTGAGGAGATAACCTACCGTACATCATGAAATTGCCCGCCGAAGCGTCATCCGGACTACTCTGGACTAGTTCGTTGGCTTGATCTTCTTCTTCATCGACGAAGGCTATCTGGGAGAGCGGGGGCGGCGCAATGTAATCAGCGCTCTCGTCAAATTTCATGCCAGGGCTGACATTGGATGAAACAAAAGATGATCCAGTGCGGCTGGCCTTTGAGGCACGCGTCGAACCATCATCTATATCAGTCAAGTCGACTGTATCAGGCTTTCTTTTTTCAGGCAATCGAGCCATGGTGGCGGGCTGCACCGCCTTCAATGCTCAATTACTGGGGAAATTCAGTGATAAGATATCGGAAAATTCGTCTTCACTATAAGAGTGGACAGGAGAAAGGAGGGATGACGAAAGTGCCGATCGGGAAACCCACGCGAATATGACACGTAATCACGTGACATACGGCTGATTTCTTGAAAGCTGCATGAACTTGTTTTTTGGCTTTTCCCCTCTACCATTCGAACATCGAACATCACAATAATTGACTTAATTGCTCAAAAGCATTATTTAATTGAAAGTCATTACTAGCCAAACCCTGAATTGGCTCATCTGTATATTCAGCCCTAGCGCGTCCCAGAAAGACAAGCTCCCGAGTCTAGCGGCGCCCTATCCGCATGGCCGATCTTCATGGCACCTCAAGAAATCTCGAGCAGAGCCATGAAAAACAGTTAGAGTCACTGCTATTGCAAGGGGTCTACAAACCCGTCTTTCTTTACCATGTGGTTTTGTTTAACTGCCTCCCAATCATCGGCATGGTCATACCCCGGCGCCGAGGTACACGCTATGTTCGTCACTTGATTTATGCTATCAGTCTGGCATTTGCTTTGGAGATGCTAAGAGACCACCGGATTTTGCTTGGCGGCAATGGATATATGCTTGGCATCATGATTGCATGGTGGCTGGTGTGGTGCACCACGCTTTTTGTCTTTATGGATGTTGAGCGTGACTTCCAGCGTATTGAAAGAGGAGCTAAACCTGCAGCCGAAGACGATTCTCCTCCTAACAACACTCAAGAGAAATCGAATCAGACAGTGACTAGCGATCAGTCGAGTCAACCTCTTTTTCACTGGCAGTCTTACCCTCGCAAATTTTCCCATCGCCTTGAATGGTGTGCAGGTCTACTCTTCAACCTGAGAGGTCCTGAATGGAACTGGCGAGCTCCTCATCTCGGCCCTCTTCCTCAATCAGTTCACAAACAGCTGCAATTGGAGTTTCTCTCGAATAAGTTTCGTGCAGAAGGCGATGATACCTGCATGACTTCAAAACAGCGTCTCCGGGCTGCCTTCAAAACCTTCCTGCAATCCTATCTGCTTCTAGACATCCTCAAAGTCGTAATGATGCGAGACCCTTACTTCCGAGGCACTGCAGAATGTGACTCAATGCCTCCATTCCCACTGTCCTACCTTGCGCCCTTCCCTCTTCTAGTTAAAACCTACCGCTACTTCCTCAGCTGCATGGGTGTCTACGTTGCACTCAACTTCGCCACCTCACTCAACCCCATCTGTTTCCTCGGATTATCATTGGCCTTTCCAAATGCATCGCGGAAATTGACAGCTGCCCCGCTGGACGAGGCCTGGCTGTATGCCGACTCTTTTGGACCCTTCATTTCACCCGTACTCGACCATGGACTCGCCGGCTGCTGGGGCCGCTGGTGGCATCAAATGTTCCGCCATGGGTTCATCGCCACTGCACGATGGACATTGACATGTTTCCCAACCAGGTTGGCTGCCAATACACAGATAAAACAAATTGTCTATATTGTCGTTGCATTCACGATCAGCGGTCTCATCCATGCTTGCGGCAGCTACACCGGATTCCCAGAGACCAATCCTTTCTCAGGCCCATTTTTATTCTTTTTCATGCAAAGCATGGCAATTATCAGTGAGCACATATTTAAGAAAGTCGTCATCCCGAAATTACCTCTTGTTGCCAGCACACCGCGGTGGCTGAGGCGCACTGGGAATGCCGTCTTCGTTTTCTTCTGGCTGCTGTATTCGGGGGGCTTTATTGCGGATGACTTTGCCCGAGGTGCGTTGTGGTTGATGGAGCCTGTTCCACTCAGTCCACTTCGTGGTCTTGGGCTTGCAAATGGGGAAGGCTGGTGGTGCTGGAAAGAACCATGGTTTCAGCATTGGAGCGATGGGACGTATTGGGGAAGTGGGATTCGAGTAATATAGACTACAATAGACAGCACATAGCCACCATGCATTAGACTTCCGAAGTTTGGTTTCGCGGCCAACAAATTTAGCGGTGTCCCACTTGGGCAGTAGCATTTTACTCATGTGCTCTTAACGCTGGTGAGGATTTGTAAATTATGTATTGATATATAATATGGTGCCTGAGTAGAGACAAATCCTTATTTTATACATATACACATCTGCTTTCTTCAACCTCCCATGTTGACGTCCTCATCATCATCGTCCTCGTCATCAGTGTCAGAGTCAATGTTCAGAGTAGGTAATTCGTCATCGCTATCGTCCACAGACAAGGATGCATCAGCAGAGGGCTGCGGGGCCACCGAAGAGGAAGACACTTGCGAAGTAACCTGAACTGGTTTTGGCCCACTTGTCGCTTCGATATTGGCAGGCTGAGAGACGGAAGAAGAGACGCTTTCTTCAAACCGGGCCTTCTTGGACTGCAACTGCTGTTTCGAGGCCGACGAGAGACTTGCCGGCTGAGTGGTGGTTTCATCGACGTAAGTCCGCTTGTGCAAAGGCGCCGCAGCCTCGGCCTTTTGAGTCAGGGTAGAAGCGACAACCGGCTCTTTCAGAAAATCGGAAGTTTTCGCCGAAACGTGGTATGACTCATCGATCATATCCTCGTCCTCCTCCTCATCTTCCTCATTGGCAAAGACGTCGAGTTCCGGAGTAGTCATGAGAACCGGCATTCTGGGACGGACCAGAGCCTCGACTTCCATCTGATCGGCGTGAGCCTGAACCAAGAATGGAATGACGCTAGCACCAGCTGCACGGCCCTGGACGGCTGGAACAGGGTTCAAGACGCTGGCGAGCATTGCAGCCTTGTCAGCAGTCAGAATGATCGTGCGGTCGATCTCAGTTCGAACGGATGCCAAAAGCTCAGAAGGGACGGATGCGAGGACATGCTGCAGAAGCTCGGAGGCGGCCCGTTCGAGTTGAGGGAAACGGTGGGTATCTTGAGAGTGTCCGTTTTTTTGGAGGCTAGGGTTCAAGAAGGCATCGGCATTGACTGCGGTTTGGCCCTGTTTCGACTTAGACTTGGGATCAGACTGTGCCTTAGCCTGAACAGCAGAGTCTCCAGGCGCTGGGAGGAGCTCAGAACAGCAAGAGCGAATAGCAGGGATAATAGAATTCACGCTCTGCTTGGTCATAGCTGGGCCGTTCAAGGAGACCAAAGGGCTCAGCATTTCATAGACAGCCATGCGCACGTCTCTGCTGAAACGTTCGTTCCGGAATACCCAGGTGACTTGCTCCACTATATTTTGCGTGATAGGAGCAGCGTTATTCTCTAGAACGACCACAACGTGTGCCAATAGGTCCATACAAGCAACGTGGATGCGAGGCAGTTCAGCGAACAGCAGCTCACGCTCCTCACGACCAATTTGAGAGTTGGCCTGCACAGTGGCGGATCCTTCTCCGCTTGCCGGGACAGTCACAGAATTAAGGCGGGAGGTCAAGTCGAGAATGGGGCCCAGAGGAAGAGCAACCGCAGTGGCTGATGGCGTGGAGACGAATCCTGACAAAATTTCCAAGAGAGAAATCAGTCTTTGAGCTCCAGCATGCATTCCGTTCCAGCTATGAAGTCCCAAAGCATCGGGGGCATCCATCGACACTCCTTTGTTGTAGTTGTGTCGTGGTGCTGTCAATGTTGAATCAACAGATTCCCATTGCTCTTTAATAGACCGCAGGATGAAATCGGCCGTTCGGTGGGCAGAAATGATGGTAGATTTGCAATCTTCTATCCAGGCAGGGCCCGACTTGTCCTTGGGTGCACATTTGTGGAGGGAGACAAGCACTTGTTTGGCGACATCAATGACCGGCTCCGGATAGAATACAGGCGGCTGGAAGCTCAGAAGGCTGGTCACCAAAGACCGAATCTGGCTTGCGAATGGACGAAAGATTGTCGGGTGACGAGGAACTAATTCCAAAATGGCATGTAGAACCGTCTCCATGAAAGGCGTATTGGGCTTCGGTTCTCGAATTGAGCCCCCTTGAACCTTCTGTAACGTACCAACCAGGTTTAAGGCGGCGTTCATGAATGCTGGGAGCTGAGGAGTCGTGATCTCTCGAACGAGAGTCGGATACTGGTACGTAAGATGAAAGATGCGGGTTAACGTAATGATACACATCTTCCTCGTGGACACAGGATCGGGTTTCTAAAAGCACCATAGGTTAGTCGATTGAACACAAGGCAATTGATACAAGAGACCCATACCGCCAAAATTCCAATCAGACCGCGAACAATTGGTTCGTAACCGCGGAGAATCTCCCATTGCCCGGCTTCGACAGTAGCTTTCACCAGAACCACTGCAGTCCAGCGACCCTCCACAGTGCGGTCCTGCAGCAAACTAGCCAGGCGAGTCTTGAGCTTGTGGGTTTGAACCGCATTTTCGGAGTCGGATTTGCCTGGTTTTTGGGATTGCGGGGCAGAAAGTAGTTCGGCGCAATCGCTTAACGAAGTTGCAAGGAACGAAGCGATTGAGGGCAATTGATCGACCGGCGTGGCCGTCAAGCGATGAGTGACCGCGCGCAAAGTGGTGGCAGCCATCACTAATCGTACGAGCTTTCAGAGACGGTTGTTTGTCTAGAAAAGTTCGCTCAGTGACTGGAGTCGAGCAAGAAGCTTTCAAAGAAAAGTTGATGGCAGAATATTTTTTGTTATTCACCGCCAGGGCCCGAATCCGAGCTTGGACCACATGAAGCCTCGGGTAAGATTACCATGGTACTGTCACGTACATACGTACTGCCACCCCTGGGCGATCATCGGCACTCACGTTGGCGGCGTTCAAATGCCTTGATCTTCTCCAACTTCCCCCGTCTACACATTTCCTCAACCATGGCGGTACGTACTCGATTGCTTCGTTGGAGTCGCCCTTGATTCCAGCTCACAATACATCGATTCTGCCCCAAATATATCACTAACACGTGTGACTAGGGAGGTAATTCTGAGAAGGGACAGCGCTACGCCGTTGCCTTGGACCTGGCGCGTGCCCAAGGCAAATGGGATGAAGTCCCAGAATTGATCCGAAAGGTCACTAAGCATGCACCGCAAAGGATATGTATGATTGCGTTTCCCCACGTCTCTAGATCGCGCTAACAGGAAACTACCCCCAGGTTTGATTCAAACAGCAACGGCTGAAACTCGAGTCGTCGAGTATCTACGACAGAAAACTGGCCCCGAGGCTCCCGAAGACGATCCTACACCTGCGCCTGAGCCCAATCTTCCAGAGCTAATTCCTGCTCTATTGACAACGATCGACAACAATGACGGTTCCACGCAGGAGATACTTCAGGCGCAAGTCTGCGTGGGATGGATTCATTGGGCCCTAGCCGAGCCCATGTTGGCCGCAGCACGTCTTCCAAAGGACTTTACTATGACCGTTCACGACATGCTGAGTGAAGGCGATGGCCTTTCCTCCTGGACTGAGGTTTGCATGGTCAAGGGATGCTACATTAAAGGTTCGTCCATCCCGTGGGCTACTCGAGACTCTTAGGCTCATTACGATTCAGGATCAGCGCAATCTACAGTCGCGGGAATTGACGAAACTCTGGAGACCTTTGCTTCACTCGTGCCATGGCTCGGGAGCGGGGTGCTCACGGCGAGTACCAACGCGCAATTCTTGAGTTGGTCCGAAACCATGCTTGGAAAGGGCGCCCTGATGGCGAGTGAAACAGCGACCAAAGCTGCACCTATGTCTGATCCCAGACATGTGGAAATTGCGCTTCAGCTTTTCCGCCTTTGGGCGTCTCTTACTTCGGTGAAGCAAGGGCTCGCTTCTCCACAGACCTTGTACACTGACGCCTCCGGTTCACTGTCTCGGGTCGCTATCTGGAGGGCCTACTATGGATTCCTCACAACTGTTCTCCAGGACAACCTCATTTACGCTCCTACTCACAGCGGCGTTCCAGAACGCCCCCAATTGGCTAGCGAATTACGGCGTATTGAGGCTATTTGCGAAAACAATCTTCTTCGGGAGGCGAAATTCCCCACGGCCAGTTCCAACAACTCTCAAGTTGAGGAATGGATTGAACTGGTCATCAAGAATTGGCAGGTTCTTTGCGGACCGCACTGGCAGGACCAGGATCTTGGCGAAGGGGGTCAGAATGCCGTCGGCCGGAATGTTTTGGACGTAAGCGGGAATAATTGACCCTTGCTCGGCTATTACGAACTAACTTTATTTCAGATGCTTTACCGCGCAGCAACCAAAACATACCATTCGCACCTTGTTCTTCGGCGTTTGTTCCATGTTCACTCGGCCTTGGCGGACTTTGATTTGGCCATTCAAGCTCTAGACTCTTACATTGAGATTGTGACTGCCGCCAAGGAAAGAGCTGAGAAGGGGGCTGAACTTGGTGAGTTGGAGAGTGACGAAACACTGCTCCAGACTCTCGCCGAGGGTGTTTCTTTACTCAGCTGTCTTGGATCGCTTGCCGAAGCAGAAAAGGCCAGGGATTTGACGGAACTGATCAGGGAGTATATCGACAAGCAAATTGCCGGTAAAGAAAATGCCAAAATCGACGGCAAGCTATTGCTTCTGCAAGGTTCAAACTCGTCTAACTCTCGAGAAGTTCCTCTCGCGACACTCGCCACTGCCTACAGAGCAATTGGTGTCGGCCTTGCTACTTGGGCATATTATACTCCCTTGAATGAAGCTCGTGATGAGATCCGAGCTGAAGCCATTGAATACCTTGAAAAGAGCATCGCGCCTGAGCTGGGCGACCAAAGAAACTACTCCTCGCTCTACACTCTCGCCGTCGCACTGGCCGAAAATCGTGATCTGGACACTGCAATCAACTGCGTCAAATCTGCTCTAGGCTCACATGGCTCAGCTCCTAACTCCGAGGATCTCTTCAGAGAGCGCGACCTTGTGCCACTTTGGCACTTGCTTTCGCTACTGCTCAGCGCTAAGCAGGACTTTGAAATCGCGGAGCGCTCGTGCGAAGCTGCCTTTGAGCAGTTCCCGGCCGAGATCTTTACTAGAAACAGGCGTCCTGAAAGACGTGCGTCCAGAAACTCGCAATTTTCTGGCCCTCCCAAGCGCACATTTGTCAGCCGATTGTCAGGCCGTGAGAAAGAACGCATTCTCGAGACTCGCATCACGCAGGTCGCATTCACTGAAATTCTCGAAGGGCCAGAGGCTGCTGTCAATCAGAGTGACCAACTATTGGGACTCTTCAGCAGTCTGTTCTACGACTTCAACCTTGAGGGTGAGGGAAGAACAAAATCCTCCAAGCCAGAGCATCTAGTACCACCGAAAAGCTCTGCTGGTACAACGAAAAGCTTCCGTAGCAGCATCTTCCATCGGAACAGAAATTCTCAACTGCCAGAGCGCAGAGCCGATCCAATCGGCTCAAAGCCAACTACCCCGACCCCGCCAGTTCCAGCCATTCCAAACGGACATTCCCCTGGAGCAGATGCACCTGCCATCCAGGTCACAAATGAAGATACCCACGTACAATCCGATCGCGCGTCTACAGTTGGAAGGTCGGACTCCAAAAGGTTGAAGAAACGCAGCAGCAGCTTCCTCAGGAGTGAGCGACCCCGAGGCCAGGAACCCCCTCTCCCGAACGGAGCAGAGTCTCCAGAGTTGGTTGGCATCGCGGTATCTGGAAATACATCACCCATGTCAGCCCACCATGCGACGACTGCCAAACAACCCCTGCAGCCAATGGCACACAACGTGCCTCCCATGCAACAACCACCCCCAATTGGTCATAGGAATCAGCCACCATTGCACGACGTTCGAATTCCAAGCACGGCTTATCACAGATTCGACTCTCCATCAAAGGCTATTACCAAGTTCTCAATTGCTCAGTCCGAGAAACATGCCCTCGGAATGCTTATCAAATTGTGGCTCGTTATTGCCGGAATGTACCGTCGTGCATCTCTGTTCGATGATGCCCGCGAGGCCTGTGAAGAGGCTGCAAAGCAAGTCACACGGGTGGAATCTGTGACAGCAGCGCTCGAGTCATCAGCGCGGGCCTTCAGCAATCGTGGCTGGAGTGCTGCTAAGAGCTGTGATGAGCTTTGGGCTGATGTCTACTCCGAACAAGGCATGTTGAGCATAGCTCAATCGAATCCTCACCAAGCCATTAGACACTTTGAAGAGGCGCTTTTGCGCCAGTCCAACCACTCAATAGCGACTATTGGACTTGCAACCCTTCTTCTAGATGTCTGGGACCAGAAGTTGCCGCTTGAGGCAGCGAAAGCCGACGTGGATCTTAATGCTTCTCGCCTCTCCTTGCTCACAGAAACCCCCAAGCCAAAGTCTGGCAAGGCTGTCTCGATTGATGAGTTGAAGGCCGCTGAAGCGCTGGAGGTTGAGGGTTCAGCAGAGGGTTCAGCCTCAGCACACGATGTTGACCCTAAACACCTCCACCGCCTCGCAGCACGGGATCGTGCCTACGGTCTCCTTTCCGCATTGACCAAGCTTGGCAGCTCGTGGGATAGCTCTGAGGCGTGGTATGCCCTATCCCGGGCATACGAGGCCGGCGAGCAGGTCGAGAAGCTGAAGGAGGTGCTTTGGTGGTGCATTGAATTAGAGGACCGCCGTCCTATTCGACACTGGTCGAACATTGGATCAGGCCTCTACGTTCTCTAAATCGAAACATAGTCGCTGGCGCTTCTTTTAATATATTCTTGTATCTAGTTGGTTTCCCACACCGTCCTTGTTTCTTCCCCTTCATATTCGACAAATGAGATACCATGTCCGCGGCTAGGAATTTGGGGGTTTAATTAGTTGCCAGAGAATTTAGTAGTTGAAAGAATCTTTTCAAAACCGACGTTCTAGTCAATTCATTGGTAGCACAACTTTATGTACATGGCTCTGCAAGCCCCGACTGGAGGCTCGCAGAGCTATAAAAAAGGAAAAACTGAATCAGGCACAAGTACGAAAGTTGGATTCATTTTGCTAGCCCACTAGCCATGTCAATTTACCGCGCAGCAGCAACGGGGGTCCAGGCGGAGTACTTGGGGATGGTACTGTGATCTCGGTTAGTCAATGCAGACACTGTCGAATATACAGATTACACGTACGTCGAGTAGGTCTTGAAAGCAGCCCGGCTCAGGGTGGGGTTGGCACGGTGGTCGGGGAGCTCCCAGGTGCGGTGGCCGCCCTGCAAAAACTTGTCGACGGTAGGAGGCGCATCGACCATGTAGGAAATCCAAGCGTGCCTGAAGCTAGCATCAGTTCTCGGGCTCTTTGCGCGTGGGCAAGGAGGCGCTTACCAGCCAGGCTCGATGTGAGAGGCATCGTATTCGTGCTCCTTGTAGTCGACCCATCGTGTACGGACTGTATGGAAAAGGCCCTTAGCTTCCTTGTTCTTTGCGATCATAATGTTTTCGAGTAGTTGGTCTTACGAGGAAGCTCCTCCTCCATGTTCTCGAAGTACTTGTTGCCGAAGCGGTCGACTCCGATCAGGGTTCCGGCCTTGGTATCACCTATGATCGCGCGGGGTCAGTTATCTGCCACTGGAAGAGTCGGGAAGGGTCAAAGCATACCGATATACTATAAAACAACGAGGAAAAGGTCAGTGTCAGTCTCCAGGCCTTCCCGTCTATCCCATCCCTCATCTCCGCGGCAAGTAACGTACGTGCATCTGGTGGCCAGCATCCTGCAAATCCGCGTTAGTAAGCTCTTCTCGCCCGGTAAAAAAGGCGCATAACGAACCTTCAGGCCAACTCGGCGCAGATTGCGCAGTGTCCTCATAATGGTCGACATCTTGGCGGTGCAATGGAGGGAAAGGATGGTGTCTGCCGAGTCGAGAAGCGAAATGGAAGTCGGAGCGGAATGCAAACACAAAATGTTTGCACTTGCATTGGTCTCCTTCCCGATTCAGAAATCCTTTTGAAACCGCAATCCAGATATGTTTGGTCGCATCGGAGGCCAGGCGCTTCGCTGCGCTGCTCGGCCGGTTGTACGTCGTCATATTCCTGTTCGCAGGTTCTCTGCGCATGCTCCTAATGCTGCTTCGGCCTCCGCACCCTCGCCGCTTGGGGGCATTACCATCGAGCTAGATCGCATTGCGCCTCGATTCGAGGTCCCGGCCTCTCAGATTACGATTCTTGATTCTCCGGCCAATTTCTATTCTACATTGAAGGTGTGCATGTCAGTGGTGCCGTGCTTCAGCTGTGGACTGACGTTGCGCAGCATAAAATCCGCAACGCGAAGCGGCGCGTTTACCTCTCGACGCTTTACATCGGAAAGACCGAACACGAGTTGATCGAGACCCTTTCGGAGGCGTTGCGCACCAACCCAGACCTCAAAGTATCCATCCTTACCGATGCCCTTCGCGGTACCCGCGAAACGCCCAATCCTTCAAGCGCATCACTGCTCTGTTCGTTGGTAGAGGAATTTGGACCGGAACGAGTCGAAATTCGGATGTTCCATACTCCTAATCTCACGGGACTGAGGAAAAGGCATATCCCTCGTCGAATCAATGAAGGCTGGGGATTGCAGCACATGAAGCTCTACGGTGTCGACGATGAGATTATTCTCTCCGGGTAAGCATGGTTAAACATGTTCATGATATGATACTAATGATATATTCCAGAGCCAACTTGTCCTCGGACTACTTCACCAATCGCCTGGATCGCTACCACGTTTTCGACTCCAAAGCTTTAACAGAGTACTACGCTCGAATTCACCACACTATCTGCAGCCTTAGCTTCCAGGTCCTGCCAGATCCCGGCAGCGAGGCGGGCTATCTTTTGGATTGGCCTATCTCCAATGGGGCTCCATCACCTCTGGATGGTCCCGAAGAATTTATCGCATTTTCATCGACTGTTTTGAGCCCGCTCATTCAGGCGTGTGATAACAAGCCCGTCACTCCATCCGAGGCAAGCCAGACTTTTGTATACCCGGTAGCACAGTTCACTCCTCTCTTGAAACCCGACACCTCCACCGAATTCCCAGCTGTCACTAGCATTCTGCGTCTACTTTCAGAGTCTCCTGTATTTGCGGGAGCGCGATGGCTTTTCACCGCAGGATACTTCAACATCCACCCTGTACTTTCTTCCTTCTTGATCGCCAGCACATCCTCCACCCCTCAAAGCCAAACTACAACCGAGGGCACAGTGTTGACCGCTTCTCCCTGGGCGAATGGCTTCTATGGATCCCCGGGTATCTCCGGTATGCTTCCAGCTGCGTACACACATCTTTCTGCGCGTTTCTTAGACCGCGTTGCTGAGGCGCAGTGCACAAACTCCATCCAGCTGAAAGAATGGCGCCGCGGCACAGTCGGGACACCAGATGGGTGGACATACCACGCCAAGGGCTTATGGATCACCCTTCCTCAGGAAGAACATCCCAGCCTGACCTTTGTCGGTAGCAGCAACTACACCAAGCGAAGCTACAGCCTCGATATCGAGGTAGGCGCGCTAGTCGTGACGAGCGACCAGACCTTGAAGGAGAAGCTTGGCGCTGAGACCGAGTGGCTTCAAAAAGACGCCAAGGCCATTTCGAGAGAAGATCTCATGCGCACAGAGCGGCGTGTTGGGTGGAATGTACGCCTTGCAATGTGGATTGTTGAGAAGGTTGGCGGCGCACTCTAATGCTTCTTTGTATATATAGAACTTGTATTTTATAACTGGGAAGATTCCCTTGTACTTTTACATAGATCCGATTCCCGATCACACCATCCGGGCCATGTCTGAGTCATAGCATCGCATTGAAGCCATGCACATAAAGAATGCTCTTCGTTTCAAGCCTCTAGCATACCTATTTCCTTTATTTCCCTTACAGGGACGCCCTACAGCCCCTCATGTCCACTCCAAACCCTCACCTACAGGCCATCCTCGCCAAGAAATGGTTCGGCTTCGATCTCGATGACACCCTGCACGAGTTCCGCAAAGCCTCAACAAAAGCCTCAATGACTGTATTTGAAGCCATTCACAAGAAGTTTGGAATCAATATGGAGGCTCTCGAAGTAAAATACCAAGAAATCCTGCAAACATCGACTGCAAATGCCTTCACAGATGGAAGAACCTCAACAGACTACCGCCGCGAAAGATTCACACAGCTCCTAGAGGCGCATCTCGTTGACGATCCCATTGAAGACACTTATATTAATAATTTATTGGAAATATACCAGTCGTCATTGCGGTCGAACTTGACCCTGAAAGCAGGGGCGCTGGGTTTGCTACAGACTCTTCGGCGACTCGGGAAGAAAGTTATTGTCATCACCGAAGGCCCGGCTGATGCGCAAGAATGGACAGCTCAAGAATTAGGGCTTTGGTCCTATATTGATATCCTGGTGACGACGAATGGGATAGGGAAATCCAAGGTTGATGGGTTGTTTGGCGTTGTATTTGAGAAGTACGGTATTTCTGCGGATGAGATTGTTTACTTTGGTGATAATGAGGTTCGAGATGTGAAAGTAGCGCAGGGAGATGGGATACTCGCTGTGCTTTATGATGAGAAGCAGAGAAGCCAGCTTGACGATTGTGAATCATTGCGGATCGACTCATGGGAATTCTTAGCGCTGAACTTGGAGCCAGGGGTTTGAAACACGGAGAGCCTAAGGACGGAGGACATTTATGAAGGGAAAAAAATGCTGCGGTATATCGATTGAGTGTGTCAAACTATCACTTTTGGTCTAGCCATTATGATCCCTAGTACATATGCAAGAACAACCTAAAAAAAGCCAAACGCCGAGTCATGGATTCCATTCAATGTCGTATCATGCGCAGATCCATCTACAGGACCTTGTTGCGGGTGTTGGTACCGGAGAACCGAGCGGGGCCAAGGCCAGAACGAACTTCCTCAAGCATCTTAATTCCGATGGCCTCGTTACCGTTCTTACCACGCTTGTTCTTAGCACCTCTCCGCTTGGCCTGGGCACTAGTGTTGTCGTCCCAACCGGCGAGGAAATCGTCCATGATGTTGTGGAAATCGCTGCGGGAGACTCCCTCACCGCTGGCGTTGACAAGGCTGGGTGCTAGGGATGATGCAGTGGACATGCCGGTCATGCCAGTGGCACCGGTCATGCCGCTGACCATGGACATGCTGTCATCGTACTCCTCTTCTTCGTCGAGGGCGTAGAGAGCCTCAACTCTGTCGAATCGGTCGTCCAAGAGACGGTGGCCTTCGGTACGTGCCAATGCGGACGAGGTCATGGAGTATGCGGACGGGTTGGTCAAAGCACCCTTGCGCTTCTTGCGACGGATGGGGGTTCCTCCAATTGTGAAGGCAGTCGATGCGACAGTCTGCTGCTCAGAGGGTGCCATAGTTGGAGGGGCCGGGACACCAGTCTTGCCAGATTTAGCGTCCTTCTTGAACTTGGCGAATTCGTTCATCCAGCCCTGGTCTTGAGGGTGGAGATCTGGAACAGGCTGGTCGACCTCGGGCAGCTCACCAGGCTCGAGATCTTGCGAAGAGCCTTCGACATCCTCGGCGAGTTCTCGTGCCTCTGTGCTGCCTCTTTGGACTGGGGCCTTCTCAGTCGCATCCGACTCCCACCCCTCATCCTCATCTTGGTCGAAATAGGTATCCTCCCAGTCTCCAGAGTCCATCTCCTCAGCCTGCTTTGTCAACTCGCCGAAAATATCGTCGTCTTCGTCATCGACGAAAGCATCATCCTCCAAAGCCTCCAAAGCCTCACGCAATCGCGGATCCATGTCTGGCTGGAAACCTGCGATGGCATCGGGAACGTTCTGCTGATCCTGATAGGTGGGCTTGCGCATATACGACGATGCTGTAGAGCGCAAATCACCATACTCAGATCCGTAGAGACTTTGGTCACCGACAGCGCTCCGCGCATCGTCTTCATTCAAAGAGACTCGGCGCAACGCATCCTCCAGCTTCATTGCCTTGCCCTTGGCCTTCTCAGGCTTCGCATCCACGAAGTATGCCTCTCCACCGCCAGTTCCGAGTTCGCGCAAATGTTGCATGTAATCATATTTCGAGTCATCGTAGTAGACACCGTAATTGGCGGCTTCACCCTCGTTGCGGCGGACGGAGTCATCATGGAATTCACTCTCGAGATCAGACAAGACCCGGAAAGGCTTTTGCGAGGATGTCGATGCAGAAGAAGGTGCAGGCGCACGACCGCCAACTTGGTGAAGGACTCGGTCCTCTGCCTGGGGGTCGTGGATCAACGGGTCATTTTGGGACCGGTGGAAGAGCTGGAAAGTGCTCGCGTTCTTCTTATCACTATCCTCAGGTTAGTCTAAAACTACTTAGCCCGGTAAAGCAAACTTACATCCACTGCTTCTTTGGCGGCATGTTGGCTGGTGAAGTGAAGATGGACGCTCGAAAAAAAAAAAAAATGTTGGATTCACCTTTGGATAGGATCACGTGGGGCTTATCGCTGCCTGACCCCTCGGGTCCTCAACTTGGCGTTAAGCGAGAGGATGGTAAATTTGATATTTTCACTGTATATCCTAGCTTAAATAAAACATTACTCTAGAGTATCTGCACATAAAATGAGGAAAAACAATGTTGTAACTACCAGAAATCAAAAATTTTCGCTCTTTGCCCGGCTGACTAATCGTTATCTTATCCGAACTTTGAGGAATAATCCAAAATTTGACCCCTCAGTGATCTCTTCCAACTACATACCACTACACCCTCATTCACCATGGTGTTAGCAAAGTCAAAGAATGCCGTGGGACTGGGCAACAGTCTCATGAATGACCGATTCGGCAGGGGAAAGTCCTCAAGCCAGAAGAAGGCTTCCCACAATGCTATTGCGCGCAAAGGCGTGAACGGCGAGACCTATATCACCAACGAGGCTCAGGAAGCATCATGGGTCAAGATGCGCTCCATCACCGAGCAGGCTGCCCTCGATGAATTCCTTAGCACTGCAGAGCTGGCAGGAACCGATTTCACCGCCGAAAAAATCAACAACGTCAAGATTATTCATTCCGATCAGAAGAACCCTTTCCTCCTGACCGCGACCGAGGAGAAGAACAAAGTCAAGAAGCATCTGAAGAATAGGGGAAAGTTGACGGTGCCGAGACGGCCGAAATGGGATTCTTCGACTACACCCGCGCAGTTGGAAAAGATGGAGCGCGAGAGTCTTTTAGACTGGCGTCGCGGATTGGCGGAACTTCAGGAGCATCATGATCTGCTCATGACTCCCTTCGAGCGAAACTTGGAGGTCTGGCGCCAGTTGTGGCGTGTTATTGAGCGATCCGATCTTGTCGTGCAGATTGTCGATGCGCGTAACCCTCTTCAGTTCCGTTCCGAGGATCTGGAGAACTATGTTAAGGAGATTGACTCGCGGAAGAAGAACCTTCTGCTCGTGAATAAGGCAGATATGTTGAGTCTTACGCAGCGAGAGGCTTGGGCCCAGTACTTCGAGGAGAACAACATTAACTTCCGATTCTTCTCTGCCCATCTCGCCAAGGAGAAGATGGAGCTTGAGATGCTGCTGGAGGAACAGTCAGACAGCGAGGATGATTCTCAACTGACCAAGTCGGCGAAGAAGCTGGCCTTGGATGAAGCCGAAGAGGACTCTAGTGAGGAAGACGAGGAGGCTCTGGCTAGGCTCGCCGACCCCGATCAGTCTCTCGGTCCGCACATTCTGGATGTGGACGAGCTTGAAGCGCTCTTCCTAGCCAACGCCCCTGATGCTCTCCCTCAGGAAGGAGACGCGGACGGACGTAAGCAGAAGACCACCATTGGTCTCGTCGGTTACCCCAACGTGGGTAAGTCCAGTACAATCAACGCCCTCCTGGGAGCCAAGAAGGTGTCCGTCTCTGCCACCCCCGGTAAGACCAAGCATTTCCAGACATTGTACCTCTCTCCCGAGATCATGCTCTGCGATTGTCCCGGTCTGGTATTCCCCAATTTCGCCTCTACCAAGGCCGACTTGGTCGTCAACGGTGTGCTGCCCATCGACCAGCAGCGTGAGTTCACCGGTCCCGCCGGCCTTGTCGCGAAGCGTATCCCCAGACACTTCATGGAGAATGTGTACGGCGTGAAGATCCCCATCCGACCTATCGAGGAGGGCGGCACTGGTATTCCCACTGCTAGTGAGATCCTCCGAGCCTACGCTCGTGCCCGTGGTTTCTCCACTTCCGGTCTGGGCCAGCCCGATGAGTCTCGTGCTGCTCGTTACATTTTGAAGGACTTTGTGAACGGAAAGCTCCTCTACGTGCACCCACCTCCCACCCCAGAGGGCGAGCCCGTCGCCGACCCGAACGAGTTCAACCAGGAACTCTATGACATCGCCCATCTTCCCGCCAGACGTCAGGCCATCCTCGCCAAGGCTAACCTTGCCGTCGAAGCCGACTTCGATTCGGAAGTTGGTTCTCTTGCCTCCGCACAGATTGAGACTCACGATCTTCCGGGCGCACGCTCTCGTAACATCGATACCGGTTTCTTCGGTACAGCCACTGGCCCGTCTGCCGGTCGCATGAGTGTTCCCTTCCAGCACAAGTACACGGAACAGGGCCAGCAGATGCGCAAGAACCTCACCGGTCGCAAGGAGCGTATGATGATTGCTATGGAGCGCGGCATTGATGTCTCCGAGGTGAAGAGCGGCAGCTCCAAGAAGCATTTCAAGGGTAACAAGAAGCGAGCCAAGGGCAAGCGCAACACTCCTGAGAATGACGACTACAACTAAAAGTGCTTTGTATTTTTTGATGCTGTTATGATTTGTCCATATGGATGGCTCGCTCTTTACATACGGGATTTGCATATCAATGTTGATTTCGATTTGAACCTACCCAGGTGCTTATGCTTAGACATTGCCGGCGTTGGGGATAGCATTAGTTTAAATGCAAGATATACCACATCTACACTGCTTCCAAGTATCTGCGTATTCCGAAATATTTCATTTCATTCTGATATCCTTTAATCCTAGGTATCACGTAAAAGTAATGGTACGACTATAAATTCCCTTTTCACAGATGGCTCTTAGCCTTGAACCCAGCGGCAAGAAGCAGGCGATCCGACTCCTCGCGCTGCCACTTCAGCTTAGCAACAACTGCATCCTTACGATCGCGGTTCTCGCGACGACCCAGCTGAGCCAAGTGAACCTCATCGGGACCATCAGCAATACGCAGAGTACGGATACCAGCCCACAGATAAGCAAGAGGAGTATCCTGGCAAACACCAGCAGCACCATACGCCTGAACAGCGCGGTCGATAATAGTCAACGCAGTCTGGGGCACAAGCACCTTAGCCTGGGCAATCTCCTTAAGAGCAGACTTAGCATCGCCCTGGTCGATCTTAATAGCAGCGTTCAGCACAACGAGGCGAGCAGCATCAACCTCAATACGTGACTTCGCAATCCACTCGATAATAACACCGTGCGAAGAAAGAGGCTGGCCGAAGGTCTTCTTGCGATCATCGTTGACGCGCGCAATCAACCACTCGAGAGCCTTCTCGGCTGCGCCGATGGTACGCATGGCGTGGTGGATACGGCCAGGTCCAAGACGGCCCTGGATAATCTCGAAACCGCGACCCTCACCCAGAACCATGTTCGCGACGGGGATGCGCACGTTGGTGAAAGTGATGTGGCCGTGGCCGTGCGGGGCATCGTCGTAGCCGTAGACATTCAGCATGCGGTGGACGTTGATGCCGGGGAGGCCGGCGGGCACGAGGACCACGGACTGCTGGCGGTAGGTGTCCTTGTTGTTGGGGTCGGACTTGCCCATGACAAGGTAGATCTTGCAGCGGGGGTCACCGGCGCCGGAGGACCACCATTTCTATTCGAGTTAGGATCAGATCATTTAGATTTTTGATGGGGTGGGAATGCATACCGAACCATTGAGGACGTACTCGTTGCCCTCGCGGCGAATGTTTAATTCGATGTTGGTAGCGTCACTGGACGCAACATCGGGCTCGGTCATCAGGAAAGCAGAACGGATCTTGCCATCGAGCAGGGGCACAAGCCACTCCTGCTTCTGGGCATCATTGCCGTACTTGGCCAGCACCTCCATGTTACCAGTATCGGGAGCAGCATTGTTCGTAGCCTGGTACCCATCAGCATTGCTCTTCGAGATTGAGGTCTGGCCCAGCATAACGAACCTCGGAGGCAATTTTGCTCTTTCCGAGCAACTCGGCCATGAGACCATACTCGACGTTACTATAACCAGCACCCTGCTTGAAGTGGTTCTTAGGCAGGAACATGTTCCACAAGCCGAGCTTCTTAGCCTTCTCCTTCAGCTGCTCCATCACGACCGGTGTAGTCTGCCATCTCTTCTCACCCTCGCCGAGCTCGGCGGAGAATACGGCGTCGGCGGGGACACAGTCTTTCTCGACGAACTCCTCAACCTAGGATGATGGTTAGCGTGGGGTTACAGTAACGGGGGAGCAGGGTCCAAGGTGTACCAAGTCGAGAGTCTTCTTCGCGCGGTCGCTAACGAAAGGCTGGGCGATGGGAGGGATACGGGTAGAAGCAGACATTGTGAGAATTTATTTGAATAGATGGAGAAGAGAGAGGAGGGCTCAGCCGAATATAAGTCAGGCCATTGCTTGGGAACTGCGGAGTAGCGCGGTGTGGAGAAGCCGAGAGCGGGCTTTTGCCTCGGCCCAGCTACGCTTCAATGCTGTTAACTACTACATACTTCCCCCACAGCCGTCGGGTATCATCTACTGTAAATGAGGACCTGAAGTAATCAGTAAAATGATTGGACTCACTTGGTTTTTATTTTCCCGTGGAGCGGGTGGACTACATGAGGCGAGACCTGCCTCGGCCAGATCCCCGACTTTTTTTTTATGCCGAGCAAATACAAAAGGAACTCGATCATCCAATTGCTCCTAATTCCAAGACCCAACGGGACTAAATACCCCCGAACAAAATCCATAGCCCGAGAACCCCGTACCAATAATACAAAAAACCAGTCACAGAAGAAGCAAGAAGGCATCGCGGTCATCATAAAAGAAGAACAAGAACAAAGAGAATGAGCCTGCATGCAAACACAACACTCAATCCATCAATGCAAGATGACTTTAGCATATAGTCCTGTTGAATAGACGTCCAGCGCCGATGCAGCTGGAAGATAGATATAGCAGTCGAGGAGGTGAATCGAGCGTAGCGATAAAAACATGCGAGCGAGAAGCGAAAGACAGTAAAGAGGGCGAACAGTCACCAAGGGGATTCCTACTCGGTCGCTCGGTTCTGCTCTGCAGATGATTGCTCGTAGCTCTTCTTACCGAGCTTCGCGAACAGCGACTGGGGCTTGCCGGCGCTGTGAACACAGGTTAACTTGATACTCTCTCAACAGGTCAGTCTTCTAGAACATACTTCTTGAACCGCTTGCCCTTGATATCACTGAGCTTCTTAGTACACGGGCTCATGAGCTCGTCGGACGGAGACACGTAGGCAGTGGGTTGTCTGGAGGGATCCACGTTAGTCTCCTATTTGCGTCACGGGCTGGGTGGACTACTCACTTCTCATCGCCGTCGAGGTTCCCCTGCATTGTCTGGCGATGCTGCTCCATTGATGAGAGATCGGCCTTCATGTCTGACTTGTCGATGTTGGCATTGGCGAGGTGGGTGTTGGTGTCGCGGTCCGCGAGAGGCTGGGTGTGTGTTGTGGAGTCCATTGTGTATGTGTGTGCGTATATAAAGCCTGACACTAGAGAATTGAGGATGGAGGGCTGAGGGTTGAGAGTTGGAGAGAGTAAAAGTCGAGTAATTTGATCGAGATCGGATAAGAGAAAAACGTGTTGTTGGTGCAGGTGGGCGAAAAATGAAGAAATATGATTTGATTGTTGGCAGGGCAACCGCTGTGTTTGCCCCGGACCCGCGATGACCGTGTATGACGCACCCGCACAGGGCATTCCCAGGATTCCTGGTTCTTTTATTTATTTGTTAGGATTTGATGTTTGACTTTTGAGTAGGTTCAACCGAGCAATGCTGTATGCAAGTATTAAAGTACATGTCCTAGGACAGGGAATCATATTCGTAGGTCATCCAAGCGTACACCCTCTAAAAAATAGAATGCCCAGAACGCCGTAAATCATGAGGAAACAATGCAAATGAGACGTGGCTTGAATGGCCGTGTATACAGGGTTATTGGTGCCAGCCAATACAGGAAGTCCCCTTGCGCAGGGGCTCATGACATGGTGGGTCGATCGTCAGCCTCGGGGGATTTGGGTTCCAGCAGAGCGTTGTTCTCGATGGCCCCTTCCAGACCGAGATCTGTCATATGACCGCCTATGACGGGCGGAGTACTACGGGACCGGAATTGAGGCGTCCCGAGTGTGGGCACAGTCATTGAGTCGGGGGAAGCTGGCCGGTCGGCTTTTTCATCCTCCATCTCGACCTCCTGCGAGACATCGGATGTCGGAGTCGGCGGAATGTATTGCACTCTCGGGCTAGTCGGACTGTCTTCTTGGGATGAGGAGCTATCCGAAAGGTTCCGCCGGTGGCCACTTTCGCGGTGTGAGGAGGCTGGTCGTGTGGATCCAGGACTGGCCGAGGGTGAGGCAAAGATTGGGGAGGAGGATCGTAGGCTGTAGGACCGATTGACCATGCGCTGAACGCGTGGGAATTCCATGTAATTGCTAACGGACCCACGTGAGAACAGTACAAGCGCAAAGCAGCATAGGACCATGATACTCTGGATGACTGTCACACGTTTCTGGAAGACCAGCTCATCGGCTAACACACCCAGCTGGGAACTGATGGAAGTCACCTCTTGCTGATAGCGTATGCGTTGGTGCTCAAATTCAAAGGCAACGGATTTCCAAACATGGTCGTATTGTTCTCGGAACTCCTTCAGCTCGTTGAGAACGGTGACGTTCAGGTTCTCGAGGAAGTTGGATGTCTTCGAGAGCTGTCGTTTCTCAACCTTGTTGAAGGCATCCCGAAGAATTCGAGATTGCTCCTCAATATAGAGCAAGGATAGAGTCGAATTAGATTCAAGCATTTGTAGTCGCTTGTGAACGGATTTGAAGAATGACTCTTGGGTTGTCGGGTTTGAAGGCGGCGGTTGTGTAGATGTAGGTCGAGTTGACTCTGGGGGTACACTATTTTGTTCCTCCTTGGGTTTCGTTGACGGTTGGTTCGTGTATTCAACGGCGGAATCTTGCTGTACAGGCTCTCCCGGGACAGTTGAAGCATCGGGTGGCGTTGCCACGTTTTTGGGTGATTCGCCTGGCTTCCGAGCATCTTCGGCCTTGGGTGGCGTGGATGATCCGGATTGAGTCGCAGGAACGCCGTCTCCTGCTGTAGATGTCGGATTCACGATTGGCGGCGAATCCGGCTGGTCCTTGGTAGCAGTTCTTTCTGGAGTAGGTTTCGCTGGAATATCATTGATACCACACGTATTTGCAGGTCCGTGGACCAGACCAAGTAGGATTGCTTCCACTTGGGTGAGATGATTGGGGCACATCTCTTGAGGCTTTTCTTCAATCAGAGCCTCTACAACTGGAGGCTGAGCTTTCTCCGCCTGTGTATCTCCGGGAAGCTCGCCAATCTGAACGGGATCCACGACCTCTTCATCGTCCACCCGGCCACTCTCATCGTGCTTATACTCTTCCATCATGGTAGTTCCATGCACACGAATAAGACTGACAGGACAGAAGAACTCATGGCCATAGTGCGTTAAGAATTCGATCCGCAGATACCGAGCCCAGATAAGGGAATTCTCAACGGCGAAGGCCTGTACCTCTCGCGTGTTCCTAGCCTCATACACGCCCAACTCCTTCCACTGGTCCGGTTTGGCGGGATAGCGGTCCGAAACACTGACTCTGAAAGTGTGAAATATCGAACTGAAAAACTCATAGTTTGCCAAAACGACCGTATCGACGAGGATATCATCGCACAGCTCCAGAATCAAAAACTTGTTCTGGGCACGACACTCATTCAACATGTAGCTGTCTTTGTTCTCAAGCAGCACAGAAGAGGACCCCTTGCACTCAGAATTCGTCTTGAGCACCGTAGCCGCACAATCAAAAGACGCATAGTTAAAGCGCTCTTTGCAAGTCGTACCAGCATCCTTACGACGCCGAACATCTTTCTTGATGAGCGGAACACGTTCATCTCCCTCATCCCCCGCTCCATCCACATACGGTGACGAAATAGGCGTACCCCAAGCCGTAGGACTTGCCTCGGGCGTCTCAGCCCCAAACCCACCGAAATCCAATTCAATCTCCCCATCATCTCCTAATGAGTCCAGCGCGTTATTGATCCCAGGCTGTCTCCGACCTTCTTTCCCAGCCGCCGCAGCCCGTCTACTCGCTCCAACATTCTCAGCAGATTGGCCCGCATTAGCAAGATTCTGCTTCTTCCAATCCTCAAATGAAAGGAAACTCGCACTGTCAAGCAGCGAATCTGTATCCTGCTCTTGCTCCGTTTGTCCTGGGACCATCCCTACCGTCCCTTTAGACGCAATAGATTCTACCACAGGCGTAGCTCCAGCTTCTGGCGTCGCATTGTGAATCTGATACCGTCCCCATCGAGTCTCCGGACAGATATGCGACTGGAAAGGCTCAGCCTCAATCTCCCATAGACTCTTCGCCGGGCATATTGACTCCGGTATCGTCGCGCGATCCGACTGTATGGAATGCTGAGTTGGGTTCGCAAGCGCACACCCGACAAGCACAATGGAAATAGAATGCACCCAAGTCCACGACCGTCCCAACATCTTGACGTTGTGCGATAAGCAGTCTCGCGTCGTGCTGCTCTCACGCGAGCCTGACAGAACCCTATCTCACGCCGACGTAGACGAGAAGTCTGCTGATAGTATCGTATCGCGTATCACTCCGGAGAACCGATGATTATGACGTGCGCATCGTCAAAGGTGAAAGCGAGACCGAATCGCGACCTTGATCGTTATCTGGGAGTCACGGAAATATAGATGGGAGGAAGGGCGAGTATAGAGCGTGTGTCGGTGTCGGTGTCGGTGGTAGTGTTGGTGTCGTGCGATATCGGTGTATTCAGGCTAGTGGAGGGCTGGAAAAGAGCGACGCACCGAGCTCAGGGCAAAGTGGATCGTGGCATCTTACCCGTTTGACAGCTGGGGTCACCGCCTTCTTGACCGCCGGTCTGAGGGACATTTTCTCTTCAATTTCTTGGAACTGGAATATCGATTTATACGGGTTGAGATGTTATTGACACGTTTGTTGAAATGTTCCTATACATAATTGCCAAGGTTGCAGCTTGGAGCTGCATTGCTAATAGGCAAGAGGGTGCAGCAAGCCTAGACGGGACCAGCACGAGCTCCCACCGCCCTTCGAGACCCACCAAGCCCACAAGGAACAGGACTTGGCGACTTGGCTCCCAGGGGACTATGCCTCAATTCAGGAGATGGCAAGAGGCCTAGCCGGAACTTCTAGAATTTACAATGCTGGCGTGAACTCTACAGTAATCTACAAGTCTACAGGGAAATCATTCTTCACGGATGGTAATCAATTTTCCCTTCGACTGTCCCACCGACCTAGATACAGTACACACACAGGATTCAGTACACTTGGTCAAAAGGAAAAATTGGCCTCATTTAAATGAGAGCTCGAACCTCCACGCAATCACAGACGCCAATCCACCAGCTCAGTCGTTTTGTGTCCATATGCAGAACCTCGGAAAAGAAAGAATTTTCTCAAGCAGATCCTCCCCGCAATCTAGTCTTTTTGGTGCTCGACATCCCCGTCATACTCAGCTGTCCCCGGCTTGATATAGTACAGAATTTGGAGAATTGAAGAAAGAAGGCGAAACGGCCGAGGACAGGGCTGCAGCGCGATCGTGCATGAGTTGGAGAGCAGACGGAAACATCAGCAAACAACCAAAAATCGAAAACCAGAGACACAAAGACAAAGAACAGAATTAGTTTATCGTTGGTTAAATTTTTTGAACTTTTTTTTCCCAACTAAATCGAATAAACGCGAGGACGCGAAACGACTGAAACAAATGGAGTGGTGATGTTATTGCAAGCATAGGCAGAGTATGCTACAGGTGGAGGTCGTGCCACCCGCCCACGAGATCAAGATCTTCGTCGATGCTGCCGTCGTATGATGAGTGCTTGACGGGTAAATGCTTGGTGACAACCGCAGGTTCCCGACGCCAGTCTTTCTGGAGAAGACGACGGCGACGGTCCGGCTGAGGTGACTCACGCTTGACTCGGGAAGCTTGATCAAAGCCGGAGGAGCCAAGGCCCCAATCGCGCCGCCAGGTGTTGGGGGCTCGCTGGGGACCGAAAAGGTCACGGGTCTTGCAGTTGCGACGCTTGTCACCAAGTTCCGCCCACTTGTCCGACTTGCCTCCAGAAAGTTTCGGGGAAGCCTGCTGGTGGATGGGACGAGGCGTGCTACTGGAAGTGCCGGTGTCACTGTCAACATCGAGGGAGTTGGCTCGCATCGCACGGGGCGCGGTGGGCTGGTTGACCGGAGTATGGGTTCGGTCGGCAGAGGGAGCGGAGGCCGGCTCGCGCAACCCGGCCAGGGGAGCCTGAAGGCGCTTATCCTGGCTTTCTTGGCTCCAACTACGAGAGTTCTGCTCACGGCGTTGCTGGAGGGCAAGATCTTCAGTCTCCGACTCTTCAGTCCCAGACTCTTCCTCCTCCTCGTCCCACAGATCACTCCAACTCTTAGAGATCTGGTCATTCGCATTCTTACCAAAGACCATCGACAAGGACGGCAGAGGCTTGCTGGCATGACTAGGCAAAGAGCCGGTGATAGGAACGGGATCTGATCGAGGAAGGAAAGGCATAGTGCGTTTGCCATGGAAGTTGAGCGAGCGGAAAGACTCACCCATGGCAGAATCCAAGACCGAGGCCATCGACGGGGTGTTGAATTGAGCGGAGATCCATGAGGTACCTGCCACCTCGGAGGGAGGGAACAGATCCTCGGTGTAGCTCTCGTTGTCGGGAATAACCGACAGTTGTCGCATGGCCTGGGGAGGGCTTGATTGCAGTGCCTTTGCCCAGGGGAATGAATCGCCTTGGCTGATGAAGGGGCTTTGGATGGAGGGGGTGCGCAGAGGCTCACGGTTGGCAGTGGCAGTGACAACCTCGCGGTCCTCAGCACAGAACTCATCAAGGGACTCGTCGTCGGTAGTGAACGACACAGCCCGCAGGATGCACTGACGCACCTGAGCCAAAGAGCGCTTCTCGGGGTCAATGGCCAAGGCATGAAGCAGGATCTCAAAAGTGTCCTGAGACATGTTGGGGAAGATATCGAAGAGCGATTGGCGGTCACGCACGTAATCCGCGAAGAGCACGTCGGACTCCGTAGGTGTCACAAAGGGATTGCGAGCAAACAGAATGTTAAGCAAGCAGATTCCCACGGACCAAATGTCAGCCTTGGCTGGGGAGTAACCAGTGGCAGTCGGTTCGTATTGTTCAGGAGCCATGTAGCGATCACTGCCAACGCAGGCCTCATGGCACCACGAGTCTCGAGTTGCAAGACCAAAGTCACCAAGCTTCATCGTGCCATCGGACATCAGGAAGATGTTCTCAGGCTTGATGTCACGGTGGTAAAGACCGTTGGAATGCATGAAATCAAGGGCGCCGATGAGTTGCAGCATGAAATCCCGAACGTGCTCAGTCTCCAGAGGGCCTCGGTTAAGACGGATGGCTTCGTAGAGGTCACCATTGGCACAATATTCCAAGACAAGGTACATATGAGCCTCAGTCTCAAAGGAGTGAATCAGGTTGACCAAGTTTGGGTGATAGCGGAAGCGCCGGTGGCACTCTAGCTCTTCAAAGCGATCGTCAAAGAAAACAGAGGCTGACGGATCGTTCGAAGATGGCTTGGTCAAGCATTTGATGGCGACCTCCTGGCCGGTCGTGATATCTGTGGCGAGGAACACCATACCAAACGACCCGTGGTTGAGCGGGGCAACCGTTCGGAATCGACCGTCCAGGAGTCGACCCTTGACGAAATCATTCTTGAGGCACTCCATGGTCGACATGGTGAGTAGTGATATCAAGAGATTAAGTCAGAAGGGGATATGTGGAGGAGGATGCGGAAGGATTGAAAAAGTGCGGAGAAGGTGAGGTGAGAGAAGTGAGAAGGTTCAAGAAAAATCGAGAAACAATCTATGAACCGCTGCAGAAAGACCACGTGCGAGACGTGTATAACAGCAACCAGGCTAATGGGTTATTAAGTGTTCAAGAAGTGAATATTCGAGGCCGGTGATCCCAAGGAGATGGGATTGGAGCAATAAGTAAAAGTATCAGGACAGAATGGGCGAGTTCCTGATCAGCTCAAAAGTTGTCATAAAAATATACCGGACGAACAGAGTGGATAGACAAGGGAAAAGAAGAGATGATGGAAGGGCGCGATGACGGCGCTGCTGAATGTACCCGAAAAGGGTTATGTGACGCTTTAGGAAAAGGTGTAAAGACCGTTATGTGCTCATTTGTATATCGTTTTCGTTGTGAAAGGTGGCGAGGGCCTGCAAAGTGTCGAACGAAGAAGAGGTGTGTCACGAAGGAATGGACAAAGTTTGTTGAGCTGAAAGACTGAGGAATCGGAGGTGAACGCTGCGTAATATCGTAATTTGAAAGGCGGAAGTATAGAAAGACGGAAAAGGAAGCCTATGAACACCGGGTTCAAGGTTCGGAAGGGCCGGGACTCAAAGAGTAAGTTGAGATTAATGAGTCATGAGTACACCGACTGGAATAGAAGTAGTAAAGGTCGAAGTCGAAGGAAGTTCGAATCGAAGGCGAAGAGTATTCGAAACGATCAACAGGCTCGGGAGCTTGATGATCGAGTCGAGGTGAGAGTTGGGATCCTGGGAGGACTGCCTTCAAATTCCAGGGGTCGGAAGAGCCGGAGTACTCAGTGCCAGGTTCCCTGGCAATGCGGATTCGAGATCAGGCAAATTGCAGTTGACAACGACGACGTATGGAGATATTCGCAACGTGTAAAATGGACGACCTTGTGATGATTGAATTGACAAAGGCGATGACGAAAGCAAGTAGCGATGCAAGTCACTTGAATCCAAAGGCGATGTCGCTAGGCGGGTTGAGTCAAGTAAAGACTCAGATGGTTCCTCGAGAAAGGAAGAGAGAAGAGACAACAGGGAGGATGGGCGGGAGAGAAGTCGAGGAGAGTCGAAGCACTCGATGGCAACGTATCTAGAATAGACGGGACGCGGCAACCAAGTACTATCGCGAGAGAGCGAGAGGAGATGAAAGGGAGAATGTGGCGAAGAGGTGACGAAGAGGTGACGGAGGAAGTGATAGGAACTAAGAACTAGGAGAGGGAGGAACGAGGGAAGGGATATGGATATAGGAGAGATAGGGAAGGTCAGGAGGAGATGACTCTTGGGCTTAGGTTGAGCGCAACTGTTAGTCACTGAGTGGGGAGGAAACCGGGAGACTAGGCAGTGCCAATCAACCAGTGTGACGGTATCGTTACGCGTCACAAACGGGTCTTCCTCGTGGGCCGATGGGTGTGATCTGCACTCATCACCTTAATTTTGGTGGGTGAGGACCTTGGCCGTTTCCGTCCCCCGGTATTGTGACCGAACCGATAATGGTCTTACGCCACGCAATCCCGTCGTCCCGTCGTTCCCATCTTCATGAACCTTCTAGACATTCCAGGACCCTTGGTCGTCACTGGGCGAGACCCTGGGAATTCATGACTATTGAATTCCAAGTGTTTCGAATTACCTAGAAACAGTCTCGAAGAAATCCAATTGATC